CGCCCGCGTTGAGTTGATATGACCTAGTGGGCGCAAAGGGTTCGCAGGGTCTTCGCACATTCATCAAGAGGGAGAGTAAGTCCTCCTTCGCCTTTCCCGTCACGCCTTTCTAGCTATGATTACTCGAATAGACGAAAGAAGTTGCTGTATTTCCTCCGCAGAGTGGTTGTAGTAAGTATGAGGAATCTCAGGCTATGCCCAAGGAGATAGGGGTAAACTTTACATACCTCGTCGAGCGAAGGAGTCTATGGAAATGTTCCTTGGGCGGAGTCAGAATATCCTAGGACTCGTCACACTGTCACTCGTGTCTAGAGAGAGAGAAAAACGCTGCGTATACTACGGTTACAGAAGACGCGTCGATTTCTGTGAGCAATCACCTACCGGCAATCATGACTGTTTATATGCTTGCTCATATATGCGGGTGCAAACCTCCGTTATGACACGGCACTAGGTAGCCCTACAGGAATTACCCCTCCATATAGTGGACCATGTCTTCTAGCTAGCTTCGTAATTTCTCTTCTTCTTCATATACAACAACGTAAGCAATCCTAGAGTCAACAGTAGTCGGACTATGAGATTGGTCTCAACCTTTTCCCGGGACTTTAAGTGATTCTCTATATAACTTCTTACTTGTCGTCTTGAACCCGTCTCAGGCCAAGGCCAGGGTTTCGAGATAGGAGATGACACTCTATATTGGAGTAGCCAAACCATGTGTTTCAACCGCTTATCGACATACGCAACCCTTCACTATAAACGCCATATGAAACTCAGTTAAGTAAGCTTTCTGCTGGAGGCCCTTGCAGAAGACCTCAGCTGGGTCTGACTCGTCCACATCACATTTACTCTATATACCCATGGTCACATTAAATGATCACAACTGTGAGTTTTCTATTTAAGCCTGCTTAGGCGGGGGATTCCACCACCGACCTACTGGATGGGCCAAGCTCCCATCCTTCTACACAGCAAGCAGAAAATCCAGAATACAGACCTGAGACCAACACCCTGTCTTGTCAGTGGTGACTCCGACCCGGAGTATTGGGAAGCAAAAGCGTCTGACTTCACCCAACTGCTTGACGACATTAAGTCACAGTCATCCGAAGAAGCTTATAGAAGATTGGAGGTTGTGAATCGAGCACTCGCAGCTTGGCAGAACAAGTACAACGAGTTGAAGAAGATCACGGACGATTAAGGAAGTACAATATACAAGAAATTAACAATGACGCAATCCCGCTAGAGGAGACCATGACACACCACTTGTTGTTTGTGCAGCAGAGTTTTGACGAACTACCTTAATATGTTGCGCCTGGGTTTCCATTGCGAGAATGACTGATCGAATTGGCTAGAACGGTGTCTAGCATATCGCTGAGTATACTTCATTACAGAAGAAACGCAATCACTTTAAGAATTCACCTGATGGCCAACCTAACAGTTTGTGTGCGTCGTTTTATCTAGCTCCTCTCCAAGTATACAAACCTCTTAGTGCTGGTATGATCATTTCTTGGTTACGTAGGTACTAGACTATATATATTCAAAGACTTAGGTCTCTGACTTGAACCCGATAAATCCCAATCCAGGTGAACATGTTATCTGTATAGGGAGACAACCCTCGATATTGGGTAGCCAACGCACATCAACTAAGGCCTCAGCTATCAAAATACACAACTTTCCACCATGTAATTCAGGTGAATAACATGGAATGTCTACCATCTACCAGACGACCTCGCGGAAGACGCTGCCAGGTGGGTCGTCTAAATCATACGCTCGTTGAATAATTGCTCTACGCCCATTATAGTTCACCATTCTCAGACAATGCTCTATTTTCGCATCAGATACCAACAATGACAACGGGCAACAAAATGGAATTCCCATTGTTCCATTGAATGATCACAACTGTGACTATTTTATTTAATCGTGCTCCAGTCTAAGATTTAACGTTACAGCTTCTTCTGCTTTACAGCAACAAGATCGATACCATCTCTCATTCACAGCAACAATATCGATATCATCTCTCATTTGCAGAAACAACATCGATACCATCTCTCAATCTACTCGGTTGGAACCAGTAGCTTCAAGAAGTGAGTCATCAATGTAGCTACCAAACTGGTGCTTACCAGCGCCAGCCCCAAACTAACAGAAGCTATAGCCATCATGTCTCGCTTCATGAGAAACGTAGATGCCATCGAAGCTGACCAAGGCTTAACGAAGCTAAGAGAGAAGCTTGGAGGGGTGTTCCGGACCAACATGGCTCTCCAAACCTTCCTCGACTCCGAGCAAGGTTCCGAACAACTCAATCCACTTCAACGGGACCCCTTCTTTGAGTTGAGTTGACACTATCCACGACTTCGTCGTCGCTTCGTTGAGTTGAGTGTATCAACGAAAGGTCTGGTTTCTGGAGATAGACATTCTCGTGGGTTGATATAGCCCCGGAAATTACCGTATTTCCGGCCGGACCCTTACTAATCTCGGTAAGAAAATCCCGGTCTTCCGGGATACCCCGATAAGACCCACCACAGAAAAAAAAAGTTATATGGTTAAGATTTTTTCTTTTTTATCAACCTATATATCAACGAATTGATCAATATCAACCCACGAAAACCTCGTGGTTAAGTTGGTTGCTAAGGCTACAAGGGTCTTTGTGGATTGAGTTGACGTGGATATTAACGTCAACTCAACCAACATATTGATATCCGTTGAGTTGTTCGGAACCCTGACTCCGAGGGAATCCTCCCCTACTTTAAGGAGTATTTCGACAACTACTTGGCCACGCATCCCGATACAACCGAGCCTGACTTCAACGAGGTCACACGACACCAGGCGCTCGTAAACTCCATGTACGTCCGCGCATACCAGGCGGCGGAGGTCGACACGGCAGGCTTTAGAGGAGTGGAACACGCCAGCCGATTCGTGGCATTAATTGTCAAGCACAATATCGACCACAACGGGCCCATGGGCTGGAAGAATGTGGAGTTCGAGCTTGTCGTACTCCAGGCCCACGAGATCCTGATGGCGTTGCAAGAGATGTGGCAGGAGGCGGAGAGACAGGCCGAGTAAGGCCGGGGGAAGAACGGCATACTATCAGATACATGATGGTATAGGGATAGCGATGGATACGACAAAGAAAGGCAATGCATAGATAGGACATCGCAAAGGATTGAGCTCCTGGCACCATAAGCTAACGCTTGCGAGATACACTCCCCGGCCAGAAGTCTCCGAGCCCACTTTTTAAGCAGCCCTCAACGCCTACACCCTCCAACTTTCAGCATTCACAACGCACCAATTTCTCACTGTAATAATATGGAAAAAAATTGTATTGTGTAGGTCATTTAATAGTGTGTGTACCAGCCACCTACTCTTTTTACTGCGGCGATTCGGTTGCTGAGTGATTCGATGAGGATGCGTACGTCCTCAGGATCGATCTCTGACCACGCCCTTTTAATTAACTCTCTGGCATATGCCTTATGGGTAATATTAGCCTTCAAATTAGCGAAACCAGGCTCGATTCTCTATATCTGCTTCTTTAGAAGTGCCTAAACGTGCTTGATCGGGTTCAAATCAGGACTGTGAATAGGCCAGTCGATCGTCCAGATGCCGTGCTCCACTAGCCACTCTGGAGTGCCTCCAAATCGATGGATGTGAGCATTATATTGCATAAAAGGATCCCAAGCCTCATAGAACAGAAGGAGCCCTTCCTCGAGGACATCTTGGTATGAAGCTGAAGATACTCCTCCGCGAGGAGCATCCTCATCGGGCTCGCAAAAGAATATTTTGCCTAGATCACCTTCTCTGCCATATAACCAAATCAAAGCCCAATACATAATGGAGATACAGGGTCTCCCATGGCTCTGAGGGTTCATAAGATCCTGCCTGTAACGTTCAGAAGAGAGGCGGATCACCCAATCGCCCGGATTATCGGGTGAATTATGGACCATGACTTCGTCTGAGAAGAGCGTTCGCATCAGCTCCTCCAGAGCCTCCGGAGAGTTGTATTTATTGCAAAAAGCGAGCCTCTCTCGTGCGTTATCTTCTATAAGCTCAATCCGCTTCACCGCCTTCTATTTGTAAGCCCATAAGTACAAAGAACGCGCTTAATAGTGGTATAGGAATAGAGGACCCTGCTCTCTTTCTTGAGCTTTTTGTAGGTAGCCTTAGGGTACTTTTGTGCCATTTTAATTAGCTGAGCTTCTTTATGCTTATTTAGAGTCTTTGTGGCTCCCTCTCAAGGTCGAGAGACCGTGGTGTTATGCTCTCTAGCAGTGTTGATAATGTCGGTCATGATTTGAGGCCGATCCAGATGGAACGTGCTCGCGACATCGTCGCGCCTTGCGCCTGCCGCCCTGGCAGCCATAATAGCTGTACGAGCTTCGGAAGTAAATTCCTGGTTTGGCCCGCGATTTGCGGTCAGAATTATACTAACTTTTTATAAATCCATCGTTTTGGTATTAAGTAAATAAAATATGAAAAAGGAAGGGGGTCGCGAGCGCGTAGACACGTTCTGAAACTAGCGTGGTGGATGCTCGGAGACTTTTGGAGGGTCAGTGTACCTTAGACATAGCCAATGATACACGCAAGTCATGACTGGGTACATTATCAGCGGAGTGCAAGGGAACTTTTTTACTATTATTTTGATACCGCATGGCAGCAATATTCACATCTTAGGATGAAGCTGGTGGTATTTCCCTATATAAATACAACCTAGTTCATCATCTTATGCTTTTCTTCCGTTCCCGGCTCTCACGCACATTAAACCGCGACCACCGCATACCAGTAACCATAGCAGTTCATCACATTGCTTCCAGTGCTTACTTCACTTGCCTATCAACACCGTCAGTTATGCCCGGCCACCGCTTGGTCACTTGTACTAATACAACCCAGTCCACCTCGTCATTTTGCACACCACGCTCCCGCTATCAAGCATTAACAATCGAGTAAGTAATATTACTACTAGCTCCCAAAGGCCTATACCACATAAAAGCAGTCAATGACTAACTTCAGCCGCAGCCATGTCTCGATACATGCGCATCTTGCAAGCCCTAGAGGATGATAAGGACCTCACCAAGCTGTGGCTTAAAATAGGCGGCACGTTCCGCACGAACGCCGCCCCGGATGGCTTCCTGCAATCAGTCGCTGTATCTCCCTACTTTGAGGAGTATTGCGAGAAATTCCTAATGGCCCACCCCGACGCAGACGAGCCGAACTACAACGAGGTGACGCGTTACCATGCTCAGTTCACGGGATCTATGTTCGAGTTTACCAAGAAGAGAACGTAAATACGTCTCGATTTGGAGACATTGAGCACGCACGCCGCTGCATGGCTCGCACTATCAAGCACGACATAGAGCATGGTGGCCCTATGAACTGGGCTAACACAGAGTTCGAGCTGTGAATTAAGCCACTCGTGCCAGGGAAACAAGACAAGCAACTGATTTGTGACATGCTCTGCGGTCAACCGTTTTCTTGTGCATTTTGTATCGAGTTGCAAGACTCTTGAATGCTCTGATATATGTAGACCTACGTGACTGTTCCCGCCTCGTAACGCCTCGCTCTGCTTCTGGACTACTTATAGTATGAAACCTGATGAATGGCATAATTAAACAAGTCGTGAATAGGTAAGTTTCCCGCCAAGTGGAGGGTACCTTGTTTGCTGTTTGACGCGGTAGAAAATGAAACCGCCTCTATATGACCATCAACGGGGCCTGTCGACGACGCTTTAACTCCCGAGAACAATTTCCCAGCTCAGTTACCCCTAATCATAATAGGCTCAATCCCAACCAGAGGTACGATGCATGCTTAATCTCAAAACCACCGAGTCCTTCTCTACGCTATAGGCTCGTACGCAACTCAGGGAACGAGGAAGGTAAAGCTCGTCACGGGCGAGATCATCTCTGCGGCCGAGCCACCCAGGGATAACGCGCGATAATATGTAACGACGGATATGACGAAGACCTACGTGAACTGACAGCGATAAGCTTCTTCATAAAAGTACCGCGATCCAGTCAAGCATGGCCCACCAGATGGTGTAGCCAAGAGCCCATGCAGCTCGAACATCGTATCAGGTTCATAGCCCAGGCCGTTGCCCATGATCTCAGCAGTAGTCAAAAAGCGTATAACTAACATAACGACGAGCTTGAAATCGTCATGTATCAGGCCTTCAATATTACTAATGCGACCAGGGGAAGTAGCAAAGGGCTAAGCGAAGGGTTCTTGCAGACTATGTTCGAGTGTAACGCCGAAAGACGGGCGATATAGGCATGCCGAATATTAAGATTTGTTTATAGGACTAAACTCCTTGCATTCTCTCTTTATAGAACTGAAAGCACGACATCTCCGCGAACTGACCACTTCAATCTTTCTTGAGGTACCCCTTCAGGCCCCAGTGTGATGACTTCTTGACCGCATCTGCCAAATCCACATCTTCGAAGCCAAGATCAGCAGGTCGGACCTTTTGACCCGTATGGTGGCCATGTTGGTCTCGGTGCTCGGAATCGTCTGGTTCTGCAGGTCGAACCTTCTGGCCCGCATGGTGATCATGTTGGCCTCGGTGCTCGGAATCGTCTGGTTCTGCAGGTCGGATCTTCTGGCCCGCATGGTGGCCATGTTGGCCTCGGTGCTCGGAGTCGTCTGGTTCTGCAGGTCGGACCTTTTGGCTCGCATGGTGACCATGTTCTCGGCGATGCCTCTCCATATCGATCACGTAATCCCCTGTACGGTTCCGACTACCTCGAAATTCATGTTCCTCGGAGCCGGCATGGGAGCGGACCGTGGGCGTCAGAAAGGGGTTGTGATCTTGGGAGTGGCTCCCGCTCCCATAGTCCATGTCTGACCCTCCATCCATGGATGAGAACTCTTCCCCTTCTTCTGGTACGGTCTGACCCATGACGCATTCACGTTCTGTGTAGACATCGTGAGGGTATGAAGCGTTTTCATGTGCTAATCCAGCACCCGGGGGGGTAGGTGGGCTCATGTCGTGCAACTCGATTTGCGGACGCTCATTTTCGCTGCTTTCATGACTTTGCCTGCTTCTCAGACTCCTCTTGCTCACCTTGCGGACAAGGTCTGCACCGTGATGCGCACGATGATGCACATTTTGATGAATGTCCTCAAGAAATTCATTGCCTCGTTTTCCAAGCTCGTCACGGGCGTACCCGACTGTGCGTCGGTTGAGGTGGGCGTGGGCACCTTCGTCAATGAGTCGGTTCATCCTGCGTATCTCTGTCCATCGTGTCAAAGAACCCATCTCCAGGATACTCAAGCGCCGGTGTTTATTGGTAGGATTTCCAAGGATGCTGGGCTTCTATCCGACCTCATCCTCAGGAATATGGGCATGGTCTTTGAGGCCGCTAGCTTTGGCAACAGCGATTGCCGAAGCTCGCCGGCGATGGGAATCGCGGCGTTCTGCTTTCCATTTGTCCATTTCCTCGCATTTACAATCCGCGACGATTTGCACGTTTCTGAACCGAATCAGCACGCCCAGGAGTAGAAGGGAGAACAGAAACAATATTGAGGCTACGACGCCTGTCGCTGCTCTCTGACTAAGGCTTCGAGTGGCTATGCCGCCAATTCCCGTCGCACCTGCAGCGAAGATGAACCCAATGCTGTGTATGGTGTTCAATCCGGCAGTGACGCGAGGAAAAGACGAATAGTTGGTGCGTTTGTTCGTATCGCTGGACGGGGGGTGACCAGTCATGCCTGGCTGCAGATCAGAGCAGTCCCATGCTTCCATCAACAACCCATTGCATTCGGCGATTGCGAGACAGGACAAGAAGCCAATCAACGCGGCGAAGAAACAAGGGAAGAATAGATGAACAGGTGGTCCGGCAGACACCACGGTATACAAGATGCCGCACACTGGGAGGACTATGGTGAAAATGGCGCGACGGACCAGGTGAGAGGTCCAGGTAACCTTCTTGACAAAGGTCATGCTGTTTGTACGAGGACCCATCTTCCTGGCTCTCGAGAAAAGGTTGGCCTTTTGAAACGGTACTGCGACCAGGGCGCCGATGGCGACAGACGAGACGGCGGCACCAACGTAAGTTGAATGCAGGCGGTAATGCCTGGAGGTCAAAGATCCGAGGAGCTAACGCAGTCAGTCATGGTCGCAATGATGAAGTTTTAGACCAATCTTACCACAATGATTAGAACAACCTGGGCGTAGATCCACGCAGAGTACACAGCTATGACTGTGAAGCCGGGTTGGCGCAGCATCTCGAGCGACAGCGCGGCCCCGTGAAACATTTCTTGTCCCCACCATTTCGGACCGGTTTGAACGCGATGCATCTTGATCTCCCCACGGGCGACGCGTCGAGATATCGTGGAGCCGTGTTTTACCTCGGCTACAGACCGCCTCCAAGCCGATCGTCTGACTTCGGGACAGAGAACGTTCAGCAGGAGAACAAGTGCGAGGAGCATAATGCTGACGTAAAATCCCCAACTTGGTGGTAGACGGTCGATGATCACGGCTCCAACCAGGAAGCCCACACCCAAAGAGCCAATGAAGCACCAGGTCCAGATGCCGAGCCACACCCCAAGTCCACCTCCATGTCTTCTCACATCGCAATGGTCGACTGTCTCCTGGTGCGGGTTGCCGCTCATCAGCGACGCTCCAAAAAGATCAGTCAATATTGAGTGGAAGTTCATGCTGGCAAACCCCAGTGTAAATCCCATCACGGCCCTGGGAAGAAGCAAAGCCCATCTCCAGGCACTGGTGTATGGGGACCGTAGGGCGCTGACTGCAATAGCTTGAGGGAAGAGGAGGGGCATTGCGACACAGAGACTACAGACAATATACGGCTTGCGTCCGTGTAGGAGAGGCAAGGGCCAACAGAAGAATGTCGACAAGGCCATCCCGAGGTACATCCCGACGTTCCCAAGGATCGCGTAATGGTTGAAGTCAGCGATGTAGTACTGAACTGAGGGAACCAGACCGGCGTAGATGCCTATGAGTATTCCAATCAATGCAGTGCTGATACACGCGACAGCTGCAACGAGTCTCTTTCGAACTGGAGACCAATCTCGAGCAATGGTCGGCTGGCGTTTGACGGATTTAGTAAGGTTGAAGCCTTGGTCGTCTCTGAGGCTGACGTGAGATTTCTTCCGAAGGCTGATGTTGCGGACCACATGGCCTCGCTTTCCTGTTGCCGCACCCGCGGCGTGCCTTTGATGAGACGGCCCAGGGTTTTCAGCCGAGGTGCTGTCCTTGTGACCTCGGGACGATGCTCTGAGGCCCGAAATGCCATTACTTTGCCTGCCCCCAGTACTGTATTGGATAGTGAAGTCGATTACATCGTCTATTGTAGTACTGCCATCTAAGCTACAGACGCTTACGTCTCTGCGACGATTCTCAGCTGATCTGCTAGTCTGACTAGATTCAAGACTCTCTGCCTGTACGGCTGCGACTTCGCGAAGATTTCGGGAACTTTGTCGAGGTGCGATGGGCGGCTGGTGGAACACGCGGATATATTCCCTGACTTCTCTGCTATTGGGAACCTCGGTGCGAGGCTTGATGGTTCCTGATAAGTCGTCTTCATCGTACGCATGAGGTGGGGGGAAAATGCTCTGTCTCCTGAGTTGACGATCTGGAGGTGGCATAGGCAACACGTAGTCATCATCCGCAACATGGTGCCGTATTTCGCGGCCAGGGTTGCAGTTTGTCCCGGATTCTCGAGAGCCGCGGACGCTGGAATTCCTGCGTGGTAGCGCCGGCCCTCTAACATTGCCATTGTGCATGTCGGGCTGAGCTAGACCTCGGCGTTTGACTGCTCTGAGGGGGAGAGCTTCACATCCGTGCGTCAAGCCCTCGACTGAGCCGACGAATGTGTGCTGCGGTATCGTAGCAAGTACTGGGCTATCATAATCATCGGAGGAGCTACTTCGGACACTCTCGTGGGTGCTTGCTGGATACGATGATTCAGGAACGCCTTCAGAAATGCCCTGTAATCGGAGGTCGCCGTCATCGATATGGCCGCACTCAATATCATCTTGCTCGCTGACTTCGTTGGCGATCTGGAGAGCCTCGCTCAGCAGATTCTCGAGGTTATGCATCGCAGTACTCATCGCGCCCGCGTCGGCTGCATCTCTTCCTGAGAATGTGGTCACCCTGGACGCCATTGCAGTGACTTCATCGTTGGAATAGTCTTCGTGAGCTTGATGTCGCGGATGTCGTTTCTCAGGTAGCTTCGTTAGCTTTGAGCCACCCGGCTCCGGCTGGCCTAGCAGCTGGCGAAGCCAAGTAGCAGTACGCCTAGGGTCGAGCCTCTCCGGCGACGATATTCGCCTTGGCTGGTCGACTTCGTCTTCAGAAAGGCGTGGATGAGAGATTGGTAGAATGGATTTCGACGATCTCATGCCGTTTTCTGCCTTATCGTCAGGGACAGTTCTGGCCTCCAGCGAGTTCACATCCGACAAGCGCTGCCTTGACCCTTCGATTTCATGAGGTGGGTTATCTCCCTTTGCTTCCGACTCAGCCATTTTCGCCACAGAACTGAAGATCACTTCGGCGTTCTTCGGCGGACCCGAGCGTTGGCTCTCAGATAGAGATTGCTGCGTGCCGGACCGAGAAACGTTGGAAGATGCGCCTTTGGAACCCGGTAGAGGGCCGCCATTTTCCACGGGGTCCACCGCGCCGCCCGAAAGTGATTGGGTATTCGACTCTCCGAATTTCTCGGCCCTGTTGTCTTTCTTTCTGAAAGCTGGAAGGAAATCCCAGTATGATGTTCCCGTGGAAGACTCTGCAATGTCCTGAGAGGTCTCCATCGGACGCTGCACAGCGACACGGGGGATTGAGTTCTCCTGAGAAGCTGTCACAGACGAACGGTCCAGGAATGGACGAACTTTTGGCGTGTCAATATGACGATGACGGAGATGCTCCTCGATGGGGTATGCTTCCTTTGGTGCTGCATGAGCAGAAGGTTCACTTTGGTGGATTATCTCTTTCTTCACCGTTGGACGTTCAACGAACGGTTTGACCTTTGGCGTGTCAATATGACGATGACGAAGATGCTCCTCGATGGGGTATGCTTCCTTCGGTGCTGCATGAGCAGAAGGTTCACTTTGGTGGATTATCTCTTTCCCCTGATGAACGATCGCCTCAATGGCTGGATGTCCAACGAATGGACTGACCTTTGGCGTGTCAATATTACTATGGCGGAAATGCTCATCCACGAGGTATATCTCCTTCGGTGGTGCCTGCGCCGAAGAGCTGTTCTGGTGAATGATCTCGTTTCCCCCAAGCACAGCTTTTTCTGTAGGTGGAGCCTCGACGAATGCTCCAACTTTTGGCGTGTCATGTCGACTATGGCGGAAATGCTCCTCGACGGAGTATATCTCTTTCGCTATGTTCTGCGCCGAAGCCGCACTTTGGTGCAGAACCTCTTTTCCCGCGAGAAGGATATACTCTGCGGCTGAGCGGACCTTCGAGATGCCACGATAGCCCTCGTGATCGCGGTTCGTGAAGATAGGTTCGTTAGCCGGTTGGACCTTGCTAGTGGCATCGTGGTCTCCGTGAAGGTGCTTCGAAATATCCACGGTCTCCGAGAAATATTCGGTGGCTGGCTGGACCTTGCTAGTGGCATCGTGGTCTCCGTGAAGGTGCTTGGAGATATCCACGGTCTCCTCTCGAGGACCACCACCTATTTGACGCGGTTAGCTCATCCAATCAAAATACTACCTGTCGAACCTGATCGAGATGATGTGCTTGGCGGTGATATGACAGGGGACTCACGCTCGGCTGGAAGCCCAGACTCAGAGACATCCTCCACTGGGAACACACCAGGAAGGTCCGTCATTGCAGGGGTACCGATAGGATGCATACTCGGGTCAGTGAAGAGTTCAGCAGGCGCTGAGGATGACTCGATTGGCTGGAGATCTAAGCGCTGAAGATCAAGGTCTCTTCTGGAAGATTCCCTTGATGGAACCAATACGGTCGTTGGGTTGGGACCTGTCGTGGCATCTTTCCCTACTGACAATGGGGTCTCCTGACTCAGCACAGGTGGTATTGGCGAGTCCTTCTCAGCCTGCTGCTGACGCGAGACATCTGATCTCAGGAGAGAATGACGGGATGCACCAGTCCGAGAGCTTGTCGAGCGAACATATGCTGGCCGATTGCCAATAGCCCTCAGCGACGGATTCGAGGCGCTTGGGTGAACGCTCGGCTTTGGTTGAGGTTCCATGACTTCGTTTGGCTTGGGTATCGTCCGCTCCCCCGTACCACTGGGCTCGAACTTGTCGACAAGGCAGAACAGTGATGGAGCTTTTACGGTTTCTTCGGATACCTCCTTGGGGGAGTGCAAGCCTCCCTCGCCGCAGGGGGTAATGCGAACTGCACCAATGCTATCGGAAGGAGATTGAGATACAATAGAAGCGCGACGGGACACGAGGGCTTCGATTGATCTGGAACTTCGTAGCAGCGTGGGTCGATAAGCCAATACCTGGGCGACCTTCACACGCTCACTCGGTGGTGGAGATGTCGATGTTCTCTTCTAGGAGAACAGAACCATGGAACATCGAATCAGGGAAGATCAAGCAGTCCAGAGAAGCCGGGCGGAGAGGTAGAGAGATGGAAATTAGGATAACTGCTGCAGCATATGTATGCTGTCAGAAGAATGATGGTATTAGGGTAAGCGAAGGTGTAGAGTCGTGAGGTGAGAGGCGAGAGGTACTGATGTTGTCGTCAACAGATTGACCGTGAATGATGCTGAGAGGTGTCCGCATAGGTACAGATCTGAGATCAAGGCGTGCGGGACAACCTTGGACGTCCCGTCCAAACAGTAGTTGCTCGCACCTTCTCCATTTCCGCTGATGCTGGTTTCACGAGTCACCGAGGAAGGCGTAAATCTAGGAAATCGTGACTTGTAGTAACCTTGGTCATGAAGGTAGCTGCTAACCGGCCCCTTCCATTGTGAGATTCCTACTATGGATCGAAGGCACGTTCCTCGATCTGAGACAGGACGATGATATTGTTGGGAGTCTGCAGGCACTGCCATCCCCGGGATTCGAGGTACGCCTTGGAAGCGATGTGTGCGAAGAACCGGAAGCCAGCCAGAGATATCTGACGACTGGTATGGCAGGCACAGGATTCCCGAGGTCATTCGAGGTCAAGCAACCAACAGCTCAAAAAATCTATACGGTATACCTACCTTACTGGCGTTGAGGTACGCGTGCGTCACTATACGTATGGCGACTCGCGGGATCAAACGAGGTCATCTCCAATGGGCCATACCTATAGCTCCAGAGACGGGAGTGCGGCTCAAGAAGCACACTGAGAACCAGCACATTGAGGTCGTGCGTGGCCACAAGTCAGCGATCGCAGCGTGGAAGGAAAAAAATTTAGGACGTCCCCACCAATCATGCCGGCCCGAGCGCCTCCTCCTCACCAACTCACCCCCACCAACTCCCAAGCGCCACAAATCAACAACGAACAATACGACAAAATGCAAAAAGAAATGCGGTCCCAGGAAGGCTCGAACTTCCGACCTCCTGATAACGGTTTATTTGACTTATAGCCGAACTTAACAGTCAGACGCTCTAGCCAACTGAGCTATGGGACCACTTTGATGATGAAATCACAATTTTATCGTGGATATTACCTAACAAAATTTCGGCAAACGACATCCCCACATTCGGCGGCTCGTGGCGCGCGCTGGCCTCCAGTGTTCACAGTGAATTGCAAGAGTTCGGCGAATCCATGCCTGCAGACAGACCGATTCGGCAAAGGTTCGACGCTATCAAGGCGCGTCTGATTCGATGGGGGGTTTGGTCCAAGTGTCGCTGGGGGCAGGCCGGTACGCCGAGGCCGCCGTGTTCCGCTGCCCCCAGGCGACTCCAGAGCGCCGTTAGGTATGTCGGTCGGCTGTGACAGAAGTCAAGGTTCTAGACGCCGCTGGCAGTTGGACCAGACGGCCAATGTATCTAAATCATCGCCTGAGCCATACACTGGAATAACTAACTGTGCTAAATAGACATGTTTGACTCTTTCCGAGCTCTTCTCTTGATGGAGATGGACAGTCAAGCCTCCCGACGCCCGGTCAGCTGGTCATCGCGGTCATTTCTCACCTACCACCACAGGCCGAGTCACACATAGTACAGGTAATGTCGCTGAAAATACGAGTCTGCCTTCAAGTTGCCTTCCAATTACGTGTAGAAGTTGCACCTGGCAGGGGGCGTGACCGGCATTCGAAGCACCAAGCAGTCCCAAGGCGCCACGAAGCAGCCCGGTCAGAGCTCCGGGGTGCCAGTCACCAATAACGCCACAGGTGATCTCCCGTTGGTGTGCGGCGAGGCGATATGACTTCATCTTTATCGTCTTTGTACGCATCAACAACACATCGAACGAGGCATACCAGTCATTTGATGGAGTTCGGTGGTTGGATGGCCACGAACAGCAGGCTAGGAAGCTCGATGCGACTTGGACGCTGCACAAAAGCAAGATAACACCAAAGCCCGGTTCGTTCGCCACGAAAGCCGTGCAATCAAGGAAGGTTTGGATTCATTGTTGCAGATCAGGCTTTCAACCCAACCGTCTGGCAAATGGATGTCCGGTCGTACGGGACCGGTCGAATGACTGGTCAACTGGAAGCTTCCCACATGAACTCGCTTCGATCTGCCTAGCCTGTCGTTCATGACCATCTTTCTCGTTTGTGGACAAGGCTTCCGGGCGTGCTGCCTTGGTGTGACCGTGCACGTTGAGGGAAACCGTCATCATGCTTTGACTGCGATCTACTCACGTTGTGTCGTGTATGCGCTGGCAAAATAAATACTGGGCGAGCTGTCTGGTGACCACCTTGGCCTGCCTCGCCTCTTCTCCCACCCGTCGTCGTCAGTCTGGACTGTCTATTCTCTCGACCCTTTCGAGATCAGCAAACCAACCACCACTCTCCCACTCAAGCAGTCATCCAGCATCCAGCATCCACCACAATGGCAAACCGGGGGCTTCTTGGCATCGTGTCCATCATCCTGCGCATCGCCGAGCTGGCGTTCGCCACCATCGTCGCCGGCCTCAACGGCGACTACCTCCGCGCCGCCAGGCACACCTCCAGCTGGCAGCAAGGCCGCTTCATCTACACCGAGGTCATCGCCGGCATCTCCATCGTCCTGTCCATCATCTTCCTGATCCCCCTCTCCCGGTTCATCCACTGGCCCCTCGACCTGTTCATCTCGCTTGCCTGGTTCGTCGCCTTCGGTCTCTTGGCCAACGTAAGTTTATTTCTTTGCCTATCATCCCATGACCCACCGATGTGAGAGGCTGGCTGGCTGACATGTCTGCCTAATCTAGTATCTGGACGACGGCCCCTGCGGCTGGCTCTTCAACTCCTCCATCGTCAGCTTCTACCGCGGCGACCAGTGCAGCAAATGGAAAGCCGTCATAGCGTTCGCCTTCCTCTCGGCCATCTGCTGGCTCATCTCGGCTATCGTTGGTATCATCTGGGTTCGCGACCACGAGACTCGCAGCTACCGCCGCCGTAATTGGCGCGGTTCCCGCGTCTAAGTCTCGAAACGTCTGTACGAAGATGGTATGGCTGGCTGCCTCTGCAGAAATGTGTCGGCTGAAGCACAGATAATACGCTTCCTCGTTGGGTCGGAGGTCATGGTCACGAGGTCTTTACGCTCCCCTTGCATTTCCCTTCGCTGCATGTCAACACTTCCATCATTGATTCCTGCGTGGAGAGCTCATCTCAGACCGGTTTCGATGGTGTTACTGGGAGGTGTTTGGATCTGGGTTGTCTTGTTTCTGATGACACCAAGCTGGGAGTGTTCACGGTGTCGGGTGTTGTCAAAGCGTACTCAAATTGATACCCTTTTGATTGATGTTCGCGACAAACTATTCCTTGCAGGCGCACTATGTTATCGTAAAAGACTCCGTGCAGCTCAGCTGAGTCTTCGATGACACCTGATTGAAGATGTAGAACCCAGTGCGTAGTTGATGTTATGGAGAGCTGCCGCTGCTTTGGTACATGTACCTCCTACCACACCCTATATCCGATCTAATACAGCTGAGACCCTGGACCTGGCATACTGTTCACATCCGGTAGCAAGGTTGAACATGAGAACAAAAGATAGCCTTACAGTTCTGTGTATCTTTATATTACAAAAAAAGATAAGGTTATGTTGCCTTGCGACAAGTGTGTTCTATCACCAGCGTACCAGCCTGGCAACAGGGCGACCACAAGTACCAGTACCGTGGGCCACCCCATCCATGTCCAAGTCGCCCGGGTATATCGCCATCCATCCGTTCATCCGTCCGTTCTTTCCTTTCCTTTTTTCCTCCTACCCCTAATCACGCGTCACGGCCCAACTCGTCTGGACCCCAATGACATCCCTCGGCACAGGCGGCGAAGCAACGTCCGTCAGGTTCTTCTCGGAGCCCTCGTCCCCGTACGCATTGACCATAGCCTCATGCTTCGCCTCGCGGTCCGGGTGCTTGTAGTGGTGATAAGCGCCCATCTCCCAGTCGTCGGATCCATTCCCAGTCCCGGACCTGGCCCGCGTGCCCAAACCCAGACCCCGGCCGCCCTCCGGCCCCGACCCGCTCTTGTTGAACCCAGTCAGCCTCTCGTCCGAGTCCTCGTGCAGCCGCGAGCCGCCCATGCGCTTCTTGTACATGATGTAAAATGGCCGCAGCATCGGGATGCAGCAGCACAGGATTGCCAGGTTGGGCTCCAGGATGAACAGGAAGATGGTCGTCGGCATCGTGCCCGTCACGTTGCTGTTGAGGGCGACGGTGGAGATGTAGACGATTCGGAAGATGGCGCAGACGACGCAGCTGCGGGGAAACGTTGGGTCAGTTGCGTGTGTCGGCCCGTCTTGAGGAGCAGAGTACCTAGGAAACGAGGGCCGTGATGGATGGAGGGGGAAGTGGGAGTGGGAGTGGGAGTGGGGGGAGACATACGCAAGACCCAGCGCGAAACACCCCATGATCCCGATCTTGTCCGTCTTGCGCATCTGCAGCGTCCAGATGCCGTGCATGGGGATGGCCATGATGACGACGTCGAAGAGGGCGTTGGTCGCGATTAGCGACTGGATCATGTGGATGTAGGCGCCGCACTGTCCGGCGCCCGTCCACTGCGCCTCGACCGGGTTGCAGATAAAGATGCAGGCGCAGATGTAAGCGATCATCCAGACAATAAGAACCCCAAAAGTGATCTTGGCAGCTCTCTGCACGGCCGGCGTGACGAAGACGCGGATGAAGAAGGCGAGCATGCTCATTTTGACTATGGCCAGTAAAGTCACGTATATGATTTGCATGCCGAAGGTCACCTGCTGGGGCGTTAATGCTTTATGTTGGCGGCGTGAGTTTGGATTTCTCCAGGGGCTTGATCGTACCTGAAGGATGTAGACGATGTTGGCAGCAACTGTCAAGTAGGGCGGATATCAGTGATAGTTCCAAGGGGTTATATCTGGGAGACCTGAGGTGGTGTTGGGCCAAGAACCCAGAGTAACTTGACCCCTGTGGTCGGATATATCAAAAGGCGGTGTTGACTCACGTTCCGGGTGTTCTTCCAAGCTGTAACCATTCCCTATCGGAGCGACTTTAAGGGTACGTTAGTCGGTCTATCTACTCAGCCGCCTATTATTCGAATACTCACAAAGAGCCTGGCACACAAGCATGGCGACGCCGAGAGGCTACGAAATTTGTCAGCAACTTCGTACAGGTGGCATCGTTGTGGGTTGCAAACCGTCGCGAAAAGGATCAACCAGTCATCCCATCCCAAGCCAGGCCCCATGAGGCGGGCTGCGATTCTGAGAATGACGGTCACCAGGACGAGGAAGACGACAACACAGTTGACGATGAGCTCCGCCTGCACATAGCCCAGCACGGGGTAGTGTACTAGGGAACTCATGGTGTTTGGTGGCAGCTCCTCGCAGAAGAGCGTAATGGTGAGACGACGACGTGAGACAGCTGTGTCGTATGCGCGCGAGCAGAACAGGGTTACCTCTGCCTTATACCCCAGAGAGAAACATAGGACTGCTTTGCCTGAGAGTACAGGTGGAATGTCGACGAAGGAATGACACTCTTCTCTCATACGTAGGGACATTTTGAGTAGCCATTGTACCCTTCTCTAACTGCCTAGTCAGCCCCAGCTGAGTACGCCAGATCTGACCACTCAAGAGGCTAAGTTACAGACTAACCCTGGCACCTGGCCTCCGTCATAGAGACCACGGCCTCAGGTGCGCGGCAGGACTTTTCGGGGGGTTTTGGCTGCACCGTTGAACTTGCTTGGCCCGCCGGGTGGACCGCTGTAGTCAAACGGCCCAGCCGGGAACATGCCGACATGACCGTGACTAAAAGCGATGGGATGCTGGAGAAGACGTTGGCGATAGCGCGCTGTCCGGAATTTCAGGGTCCACAGAGGCGCCCGGCCGCTCGGAAAAGCTTTTCGCTCTGGCTTGCGAGGCAGAGCGGGTCCGCCTGTGAGGGCCGTCGTGAGATCTCGAAATCATCAGACGGGGACCTGCTTCGGTCTCACGAGCGTTTCCTCATCCGCACCTGATCGAGAGTAGTGTCCCAGAAGCAAGCCTGCTGTCTGGAATGGAATTCGAACGCTGCCCGTCTCCGCCCTTGTTGTAGTTACTGAGTCGTATTGTTGTCCATGCTTGATTTTGCAGTTTCACGGAGCTGCCTACCTAGGTATTATCAATAGGAGACGAGACGTTGGGAGCCTCCGACAGGGCGAGGACATATTGCACCGAAGGGCAGCCAGCCAATCAGTGGACACGCTGGCTTCAGCAGGACCCGAATTAGGTAAAGCCATGACGAAAGGAATAATCGGCATATGTTCTAGCTCCTCAGCCGCAACAACATCAGACAGCGGAGCTGTGTTTCAAAAGTCGAGGTTGGGGCAAACGAGCGAGAAGGTTGCTGGGTGTTCCCTACTAGCAGCCCCTCCGCGATTTCCGGTGCGGCCCCACCCCGTCCCGGCAGACTGGCTCGAATACCGCAGTGAGGCATCGGGTTAGAACTTAGGTAGGGTTAACCCAACCTGTCACGTAAGTTGCTGACTTTTCAAATGAATTTAAAAAGCGTAGGGCAGAATTCCATGCAAGTCCGACATTGTCAGTATATAGAAGTCCATACAGTTATCGGGGATGGTGATTGTTAGCGTCTCCATACACAAGGGGGCTCTGGGTCCTGAGATATTGTCGATCACCATGCATATTCTGCGCACATCTAGCAGGCAAAGTACGGACCCATCATATGGAGACGCTAACAATTACCATCCCCGATATCTGTATTCCGTTGGACAAGGAGTATCATGTTATGCCGCGCGGCTCTGAAAGTCATACGGGGATGAGGGCGGCAGCTTACCCCTTCAGATGCGGGTTTCGACAGCTTGCTCCGCACCTGGCTTCGGCCAAGCCGTCGGCGCTTCCATAGCTTCCTTAAGTATTAAAATATGTACGTAAAAGCGCAAGCCGTAGGATCGATGACAGCAAGAAGTCATCATAACCTGCGGCCATCTGACTCGTGATACACCATCTAACCATATAGCGACTTGACCTTATAATAGCCTCCGGCAAACGAAGATGACCACCTCCTCCTCCAACCACACCACGACAAAACAATGGATTCTAGCCTCCAAGCCGACGGGAGCGCCAATACTATCCGGGCCCGGCGCGACGTTCAAGCTGCAGACGGCTGAGCTGCCGGCGCTGCAGGAGGGCCAGCTGCTCGCGAAGGTGCGGTACTTCTCCAACGACACGGGCCTGAGAAACTTCATCCAGAGCACGGTGGCGCCCGAGCGCTTTTACGTACCGACCGTGCCGCTGGGCGCGCCCATGCGGTCCGGCGTCATCGCCGAAGTGCTCGAGTCGGCATCGCCTAAGTTCAAAGCCGGCGACCTTGTGCTCGATTTTCACCTCGGCACGTGGAGCGAGCTCGTCGTGCTCGACGCCGCGACTTCGCAGCCGCTCGCCCCGCTGCCCAACGGCCTGCCGCTGACGCACTACCTCGGCGCCTTCGGTGCGTCCGGTATTGCAGCCTACACGGGGCTGTACTACGCCGGCGGCGCCAAGCCCGAGCACACCGTCGTTATCTCATCGGCGGCCGGCGCGACTGGATCGATGGCGGTCCAGATCGCGGTGAAGCTGCTGGGCGCGAAGCGCGTGGTCGGCATCGCAGGGTCGGACGAGAAGTGCGCGTGGGTGGTCGAGCAGCTGGGCGCGCACGCCTGCGTCAACTACAAGAGCGCGACGTTCCTGGCGGACCTCAAGGCGGCGACGCCCGACGAGGTCGACGTGTACTTCGACAACGTCGGCGGCGCCGTGCTGGACGCCATGCTGACGCGCATGAAGCGGGCCGGCACCGTCGCCGTGTGCGGCGCCGTCAGCGGCTACAACTCGGACGAGCCCATGCAGCTGTGCAACTGGTTCGAGCTCATCTCCATGCGCATCCAGATCCGCGGCTTCATCATGCTCGACTGGATGGACAAGGCGCCCCAGATCGTCGGCGAGCTGATCGCTGCCGCCGCCGATGGCAGGATCAAGTTGCAGGATGGCGAGACTGTGGTCGAGGCCCGGATTGAGGAGCAGCCTGAGGTCTGGATGCGGTTGTTTAGTGGTGCGAATCAGGGCAAGCTGCTTACGAAGCTTATCGTCTAGGAAGGACTGCAGTACAGTATATGGTTAACACGAGATACCCCGAGCAATCCTCTTTGGTCCTGATGCGTTCGATAATCCTCGGTCTGTAAAGCTGCCTACTCAGCCAGGGTGCCAGGGCTGTGCTTAGACTTTGGTGATCTTCAGAGTCTTAATTTTGTCGGTGAACTATTCACTCAGCCGCAATTCCTCTTCTTATCTGTTACCATGAGAGGATGAAGATGTGTGACTGGGGAACCTCTAGATATGGAGAGCAGCATACTGAGGCACGTCGCGTAGCGCGGCTGTGAGGGACTGATTGACATCTTCATCACCGGCAATGAGAGTTCAGTACTTAAGCAGTGAGCTTCTGCATGCGAGGGTCAACTGTTCAAAACCTACCATGTTCAAGCATCGATATTGAGCTCGACACGCGTCCTAGAGAGTCGCTTGCGCTTCACCGATGACTATTTTGGTGCTTGGCCTTGAGTATTGGTTTGAGGTTTCTTCCCAAGAGCACGTGCTTCTCAAATGGTCGTCATTCTTCTGGTGTGGTCATTGATAGGTGCTGTCAAGGAGTGGAGAGAGCGATATAGGCCTCACCTCCCGTAAGGAGGCATGATGATAAGCTATAGGTAAAGCAGGCCTGGGGTATGCCTGCTCACCCAAACTCTAAAGAGAGACGCATAATCCCAGCGGCTCTTTCGGGACACACCTCGTCGCTTGATCTGGAAATCTGTCAGGTACAATGCAGCCCTATTGACAGCTGTACTTGTAGGGAGCAAGCATTCTCGCGCGGCTCTTATACTTTCGGGTGTCGATTAACTTGGGGTCTAGAAACCGTATCACGACCGCGTCCCAGAGATTAGTTCTCCGGACGCCGTGGGGGGCTGTCTTACTGGGAGATGCTGTGAGCACGTGCGAGTCAACTGACAACGTAGGCGGCAAGCACGTAGTAGGGTTTGACGAATACGAAGAATGTTCACCTAGAAGAGCATCCGGATCTCTGGTGCGTTGCGAACATCGCCAGCCTCGTGGTCTGCTGGCTCGCTACTCATGGCCTATGTTGCACCGGCTGCTGGTATGTTTCTCAGCGTGTGACGTGATGGGCGTTGGCAGTTTCACACACATAACTTTGGGCAAACACACCTTCGTCCCAGCAACCCCGCAAACACATTGTCAGCAGCTCCAGCAGATTCTAGAATGTCAGATATCGGGTCCCAAAGTGAATGTCTCCAGCAGGGTGAGATGGCTCGCTCATCCGATGAACCGACTGCCGAACCCTGTTTGTGCCTGCCAAGCCGTCAGTAACCGGCATCTGCCATCTCATTCCATCTGGTGGACAGAGCGACAGGCTGGTCAAACTCCAAGTGAATACTTTCTCTGCTTGGCAAGCCGCAAACTGGGCAAAGCCCCTGGGCAGCATTTCGGTTTGCATAGCCACGGAAGTGGCTAATACGTGCATCAGGCAGCCGGACTTCCGAGAACCATGCGATCACCTGCATCTGAAGGGGGGACTTGCGGGAATTTGAGAGATGAAGAGGAGACGCAAAACTGATGCCTCCACCTGCCTCTGCTTGTCCGATGTCGAATCTTGGTAGGAGGGCGCCTATGACGGCATCAGTGGAGCATCAGCTGAGGCGCAGGCCGCAGGTGACGCCACATCTGTGTTAGGGCTGCGTCACTTGTGGCCACCAGCCACAGCCCAAGCGTCTAGACGGCGCAAACCGAGCAGAAAGGGGAAAGAATAGCTGCCAATCCCCAGACGACCCCGCAGCCCCGCTAAGATTTACCGCGCATCACAGGGTGTCAGCGAGGCGGCTCGTTCACCCCCGCTACTACCATCGCCAAGCGTGATCCAGCTGTCCCAATCAGGCAATGACGGGAGACTGACAGCAGGGAAACTTGTGGTCTAGAAGCAGTAGCGCCATTTCAGGCTGATATCAGGGGCCCAAGTGTCTTGCAAGCTGTGAAGCCTTTGCCGTGGTTGCCACCAAATGTGCATCCCGCCCCGCGCCGCCTCCTGCCACAACCAAGGTTTAACGCCACTACAGTCAGATTACTACTGCTTCATTGGTGGGTTTGGGTCCCGTATGACGCCAGCCGCGTCAACCCAGCCTTGGAAGGTTGGAAGAGCGGGTTGGATCTGGGGGTTGGCGTAGTCCACCGCGACTGGCTGGCAGTATCACAGGGAGGGTAGCCGCATTCCTGGAACCCGTGGACGCACCTTATTTGCATCTTCAGCTAGTGACAGACATGGACGGTGCCGGACTTGGGGCCACCCGTATGTTTGGCAGGCACGCTCAGCCGGGATGGAGTTACCAGGACAAGGCCTATGACGATGGATGAAGTAATAAGCACCTGCCCAGGTAAGGTACCGGAGCTTCTGGACGTACCTTTACCTCATGTAATGTGTATAGGCAGGTACCTTTGTACACCAGGGCAGGTTCGAATTCATTGTTGTCGGGTCTTTGGGGAGTCAATCGCCCACCTGCACTGATCGAGATTCCCTGATGACGCAACTTGCCAACATTCAAGGTTGAAAGCGCGCAAACAGGAAACAACTGTACGTCACAGCAAGTAGGTATGTGCCTGCCTTAGGTCGGGTCTGCTAATCACCCTTCCTCAAGGATATAAGGAGCTGTCTTCTCTGCCCATCCTTCGACCTCACTTCTCCCCTCCATCTCATTACAACAACAAACACAACCACAACTCTTTGATACCCCATCCACCACATCACTTCCTACAAACTGAACCAACCTATCCTACATTTACCCAACAGAACAACCATCCATCATGTCGGGCATCATCAACAAGGTTAAGGACGCCGTCTCCGGCCACCACTCCTCCAACACCACCACCTCCACCTCCGGTGCTCCTGAGGGTACGCACGGTCCTCACGGCCGTGTTGGCAACGCCGCTGACCCGAGAATCGACTCTGACGCCGATCACCGTGCCGCCCCAGGTACGACTCACGGCACCACGGGACACACAGGTCCTACCGTTGGACACAACACCCACACTGGTCCTACCACGGGCATTCACACCGGTCCAACCACTGGAACCAGCACACATACCGGCTCGACCAACCAGGGCCCTCACAACTCCAATATGCTTAACAAGGCTGACCCTCGTGTCGACTCCGACCGCAGCGGAAACACCATGGGCAACACCGCCGGCGACTACCGTGGAAGCGGCCCTGAGGGCGTTGCTGGCCCCCACAACTCACGTGCCCTGAACGCTGCGGATCCCCGTGTTGACAGCGACCGCGATGCGAGCCGCACTGTCGGCAACACCTACGGCAGTTCTGGCACAGCTGGCACCACCGGCGGCTACGGCAACTCTACTGGCATGGATGGCACTAGTGGTCTGACCGACTCGCATGGTACAACTGGAACTCACGTAACAACTGGTACCCACGGCTCCAGCGGTCTGCCCGGTACCCACGGAGCGACTGGCACCCACGGCACCAGCGGTTTGACCGGTTCGCACGGCACCCACGGCACCAGCGGTTTGACCGGTTCGAACGCAACAACCGGCACTCACGGTTCTAGCGGTTTAACTGGTAGCCATGGCGCTGCTGGCACATACGGCAGTGGTCCAGGACCCGCTTCCAGTAAGTCATAATTTACCTCACATTACTCTAGACGTGTGTACTGACCTTTCTCAGAAACCGCTGGCCCTCACAAGTCGGATGCCTTGAACAAGGCCGACCCTCGTGTCGATTCCAACATGGATGGAAGCAAGACCTACGGTGGTGACAAGACTTACACGTCGTAAGTATGTGAGCTACCCGGTGTGGACAATGATTCACCGTAACAAGCAGCTAATATTATGACAGTGGCCACAATGTTACCAAGGATCCTACCGATGCGGCGCAAGTTCCGCCTTCAGAAATGCGGAAGGTACATGGGGATCCTGCCATCCAACACGGAGATCACGGACACGGCCGTGACCGCCGGAACAGCTTGGCTACGGCGCAAGAAACGCACCGAGGCATCTAGCTCACATGAAGATGGATTGATGCTAGGACAAGTCTGGCTCAACTGTACATTAGATTCCTACGAATGATGACTAAATCATGATATTCCATACTACTTTTTGGTTCCTCCTTCTCTGTGACCAAGCTTTTGTGCAAATGTTTGTGATATATGAGTTTATTTTGTGAAGACGCCCAGAATGTGTGGCAAAGTGTCATGCCACGCCGAACTCGCAGGCTGGTCAACATCAATCTTAGACCAGTGACCAGCTTCTCTCAGGGTCCTTTCCGTCGGTCTACAGAGCAGACAGCCTCCCAGGAAGTAAGGCCAAAAGATATTGATGAAGCCTAGGTGATTATCAGCCATCCATCCGTCCCATATATACCCGTTCGTCTCTGCGCACGGTGGCAGCATCAGGGTCGGTCGCACCCAGGCCCAGCAGAAAAAAGAAGAAGAAAAAAACTCACGTTGATACAACAGCATGTACCAGCTGTGCTCGGTCCGCACGTGCTCGTACACGTACCAGCGGCCGCCCTGCTTCAGGTACCCGTACAGCTCGCGGACGTTGCGCTCGGGCTCGGGGATGCTGCACAGGCACAGCACCGAGACGATGCAGTCGACGCTGCCCTTTTCGATGTGGCCGTCCCACTTCTTGTTCTTGGTGGTGTCGAGATCTTCGACTGCGGATTGGTGTAGGTGGTCAGTACGTGGCCTCGCTAGGAGGGAGCGTGCGTTCGTTGCGTTTTGCTATGGCATGTTTGAAAGGGGGATAAAAGGGGGAGATGGGGCATGGGGGATGGGGCATGGGTGAGGGATGGTGACTTACTCCCCACAGGCACGATCTCGTACACGTCCTCGAGCCCCGCGTCGCGGACCGCTTGTCGTAGTTTGGGGTGCTGGTCCGCGCTGGGCTCGATGCCGTAGACGCGCGTGATCCTTTTTCTTCCAACACCATTACCACCAGCACCACCACTACCACCGCCTTCTGCTGCAGCAGGGAGGTACCGGTCATCCGAAAACACATCGACCCAAAGCCCGCTCCCAGCCCCAATCTCCATCACCACGCCCCCGATCCCGGGGCCCGTGGCGGCTCCCCCGTCCACGACGCGTCCGTTGTGCGTGCGGCCTTCTAGGAGAGGCACCACGAGCGCGCCGGCGTTGCGCCGGACGTTCGGCCCGAACCAGGACCAGAAGTTCGTGAACCATCGGGTGTGGAAGTAAGAGGGGGAGAAGAGCAGGAGGGTGAGGAGGCCCAGGAGGCCGCCGTGCTCGTGGTAGAGGGTCTGCAGGGTTGGAGGGATGAAGGAGGCGGAGAGGGATAGGAATCGCCAGGGGATGAGGAGGCCTTGGATGGTTGCCATGGTGCGGGCGGTGAAGGACATGATGGTGGTGGTGGGTGGATAGGGGATTGTGACTGGGTTGCGAGTGTGAACTTGGTGGGAGAAAAAGGGGGCGGGGATCTTGGATCACGGATCACAGATCACGGAATGAGGGGTGTGGATGGGAGATAGGGGATGGGCTGGGGAGCGGGTATGTGGAGGAGTGGGCTGATGAGCGGAGGAGTGGGATAGGGGACCGGCTGGGTAGCGAGGTCAAAAGATCCTAGACAGCAGAATGATGTGTGCTGATGGTAGGGGATGCCGATGTCTATTATGGGGTAGAGCGAAGCTGTGAGGATGGTGAGTATTATGGTAAAAATATGTTGGAGGCAGAACTATCCACTATGTGCGTGCTTACGAAAAATGGTGAGAGAAGCTGATTCAAGTGCTGAGACGAGGCGATGTGGTTCAGGGGCAGCAGGTGAAGGAGGCGAGAGGGGCGAGGGAAGAGGGAAGAGAAGAGGGAATAATATTCTCAGCGGTGGGGGGGGCATCGGCTTATATACAGCTCCCAGATGGATCCCAGGGTCTTCTGCCTCCCTTCGGTTAGTCGGTGTGCGCAATGCTGAACGGCCAGCCGCGCTTGATATCTGCCACTGCTCGTGAGAGATGTGACGGCCAAATGATTGGCCCCTGGCTGCAACGATGTCGACGCGGCACGGGTGTCTAGGCCCGCACGGTGTAGGTTGGCAAGACTCCACGTCTATATGTGTATATAGCGTTGTATCGCTCGCAAGCATTCGGGAGCTCAACACAGTGCATATAGCCTTGGCCGTCTACCTTGCGAGCTTCCGGATTCAGAGGGCAAACTACCCCTGGCTCACACAAAGTCCTGTGCTTTGTAATTCGTGGTATTGTGTGCTCTATAATCTAATGTTATTACAGCTCATCCTTCTTCCCCTCGCCAGAACTTGCGGCTATGGGGACATCTGGTCTCCCGCTGTCCTTGTGCAGGTCGACACCGATCTTCCCCCTCCACTTCTGCCATACCGCCCAGAATTCTTTCTCCATGCCAGACTCCATCTGGTCTGGCAGTACGACAACGTACTCAACATAGAGCTTGCCGAACTGGTGCTGGTGATACACAGAGTCGCCTTCTTCGTTCCAGATGGGCATGCCCTCGCCCTCGACGGTATCCACGTGGCCCGGCTGCACAATATGTCCGCGCTCGCGCCCTAGCCTTACGACGTGGCCGTCCAGATGTGTGAGGTTGCGGGTCCAGTCGCCCATCCAGGCCTCTCGGAGCGACAAGACCTCTCTCCAGAAGAGATCGTTGTCTCTCCGCCGGAAGAATGTGCCATCGACGTGATCAGGGTTCTCCGACTCCATGTCGGGCTCCTTCTCGGCCAGCGTGACGACGAGGTCGCCGGCTATGTAGTCTGGGCTCGCGTCCGCCTCGTTCTCGTATACGAGCTTGGCGTCTCTCGCCACACCACGATCAATCTTGAGACTGACCGTAGTTGACTTGCGGATGACCCTATCGCCGTTGCAGACTGGGCACTTGTGCTTGATGGTCTTGCCGCGGCCACCGCAGGCGTTGCACTGTGTCTGGACCTGCTGGAACATGCCAGGAGCCAACTGGTGCTTGACGATGCGCACACCATGGCCACCACAATGCTGGCAAGTGTCCACGACGCCGTCTGCAGAGCCCGATCCCTCGCACTCTTCGCAGATCTGCTGTTTGTCCCACTGGAACTCGGTTTCCCGTCCGTTGTAGAAGTCGCGCAGGGCGATGCCGACCTTGATCTCGATGTTGTGCCCGCGCGGCTGTCCGCGCTGGTAGTGGCCACCTCCACCAAAGAAGCGGCTGAACAGGTCGAAAGGATCGTGGTGTCCTCCCCCACCTCCCTGCTGGCGCTGTTTCAACCCCTCATGTCCATATTGGTCGTATATCTTTCGCGACTCGGAATCGATGAGGGCTTCGTAGGCCTCGGAAACCTCGACAAACTTCTCCTGGGCTGTGCTGTCGCCTCTACAACCTTGGGTCAGTACTCTGTAGGTAGCGTGCCGATCGATGAAGAGGCAGACTCACGGGTTCTTATCTGGGTGGAACTTCTTGCTCAGTTGCCTGTAGGCTGACTTGATCTGCTTGTCGCTTGCCTGGCGATCTATCCCAAGGATCTGTGGGACGGAAACGTGTCAGGACTGGAACACCGAACCAACTTATCAAGTGGGATTACCTTGTAGAAATCTTCGGCGCAAAGTGCCAGTTGTGCGAAAACACAAAGCAGCAGGAAAACCGCCCCGTGAAACAGCATATTCGGCCGTGAAAGGCAGTGCAGCGCAGTGAAGTGCAGCAAGTCGTTTGGTGAAAGGTGAAAGGTGAAAGGTGATGTGGGAAAGGTAAGAGGTAGAAGCTAAGTTGAGTCCATCTACAAGTACAGAAATGACCGACGTGAAGAAGGTGTCCAATGAACGGGAACCTCACAAGAAACAAGGGGGATAGGCAGGCAGGCAGGACTACAGGCCAACGTGGTGTTCTAATAAATAAGAGAATATCTTAGTGCCCAATTCAATGCATCCATCTGGATCAATGTCAGCTTGCTTTAAAATAACGGGAAGCCGACAGACAATAGACCCTGGAAGATACCAGCGTGTCAACGTGTCAAAACCGCGGTTGGCTGCCAGAGAGCTGGGCCGGTGATAAGATAAGCGCGATAGACGATAGACGATAGACGATAGACGATAAGCCCAGTAACCTCAATCGATACTACACAGAAAACAGACTAGCGCTCCATTGGCTACAACTTGCAGGCGCCTTTTTAAAGTGGATACTGTCTGGGACTGGTGATTCCAACCAACTTGGAGACTTGGAGACTTGGACATCTCATCTTGGACTGGCCGACTACCAAGTGTCCCGGTCTTTTGATCTACCGCCGATATAACCATGAGCAAACGATATGCCTTCGTCCCCATGGACGAGGACGAGGTCGGCCCGCAGAAGGTAGAGAAGGAAAAGAAGTCGAAACACCGCCATCGATCGCGCCGTGATCGAAGTCGAAGTCGCAGTCGCTCGCCACGCAGAGAATCGCATAAGCCCAAGTCCAAGACCGTACGGAGGCAGGGTCAAGGGGACGATAATGATCGGTGGGGCGACGAGGAGCCAGAACCCGAGCGCTCAGCATCACCCGACGCGCGCCTAGAAGAGCCCGAATTCCGAGAATCAGCTTCGAAGCGAGTGAAGCTGAGCCACGACGACCGCGCCGAAGATGACGAGGGTGCCGAATCCGACACCGCTCGCGATAGAGCTGAGAGGGAAGCTTTCTCCAAACGATTGAAGGAACGCGACGAAGGGAAGTCGAAGAAGCCCGAGGGTAGTAAAGCCGAGAGGGAACGCCAACGGCTGGCCGAGGACCTGGCCTCAAGCCGTGCTGCCATGCCCGACCTCCGGGAGCGGTCGCGACAAGATTATTTGAAGAAACGAGAAGCAGAACGCCTCGCTCTGTTGCGCAAGCAGGTCGCCGAAGAGACATCAGAGCTGCGAAGCGGCGTGCGCCTGTCCGAGCGCGAAAAGGCCGAATTTGCCAAGAACCGAGAAGTCTTACGACTCGCCGAAGAGAGGTTGCGAATCGACGACCATCGAGATGGGTACTATATGCCAGAGGACTATATCACAGAGAAGGGGAAAATCGACAAAAAGAGGAAAGAAGACGCCCTGTACAAGCGCTACGTCGAGAGAGACGAGTATGGCCAGGAGAAATTCGTCACCGAACACGAGGAATGGGAGAAAGAGCAGACACAAAAGGCGAAATCCCAGATTAACCGGGCAGAAAGAGAAGATGAGGGAGAATATGCTCCGGTGCTGGACCCCGACCAGTACATCCAGTGGAATTTGGGATCAACATTAGCTGGCGAGGGAAAGCAATTGACCAAGGAACAGAGGTTTCTTGAGGCCCAGATTGAAGCTGCCGAGAAGGCTGCCTTGTCCATTCAGGAGACCCGCAAGAGTCTTCCCATCTTCAAATATCGGGACGAGTTCATTGCGGCTATCGAGCAGTATCAGATTCTTGTTCTCGTCGGTGAGACGGGGAGTGGTAAAACCACGCAACTACCACAATATCTTCACGAAGCGGGTTATACGAAGGACGGTCGAAAGGTCGGCTGTACACAGCCACGGAGAGTTGCGGCCATGAGTGTTGCCGCTCGCGTGGCGGAAGAGATGGGTGTCAAGGTCGGTAACGAGGTTGGTTATTCCATCCGTTTCGAAGACTCTACCAGCGACAAAACAGTCCTGAAATACATGACAGACGGCATGTTGTTGAGGGAGTTCATGACGGAGCCCGACCTTGATGGTTATTCGGCAATCATGATCGACGAGGCCCACGAACGGACGGTTCACACGGATATCCTGTTAGCGCTGGTAAAGGATCTAGCAAGAGAACGGCCCGACTTGAAGTTACTCATCTCTTCGGCAACGATGAATGCTGAGAAGTTCGCCAAATACTTTGATGATGCGCCAATTTTCAACATTCCAGGACGACGCTACCCGGTTGATATTTACTATACCCCAGCGCCGGAAGCCAACTACCTGACGGCAGCCATCACTACCATTTTCCAGATACATACCTCGCAAGGAAAGGGAGATATCTTGGTCTTCTTGACGGGTCAAGATGAGATCGAAGCAGCGGAACTGCAGCTCACCGAGACGTCGAGGAAGCTTGGAAACCGCGTGAAGGAGCTGATCATCTGTCCGATTTACGCCAACCTTCCTTCAGAACTCCAGTCCAAGATCTTTGAGCCTACTCCAGAAGGGGCTCGCAAGCTTGTGCTCGCCACGAACATTGCCGAAACCAGTTTGACGATTGACGGTATCACGTATGTGATTGACCCCGGATATGTCAAGGAGAACGTCTTCAATCCAGCGACAGGCATGTCAAATCTTGTAGTCGTCCCTTGTTCCCGAGCTTCTGCGAACCAGCGCAGTGGACGCGCCGGACGTGTTGGACCTGGTAAGTGTTTCCGCCTCTACACCAGGTACGCCTACATGAACGAGATGGATGAATCGACCACACCAGAGATCCAACGAACAAATCTCAATGGCGTCGTCTTGCAATTAAAGTCGCTAGGTATCAACCAACTTCTGGAGTTCGAATTCATGGATCCTCCACCCACCGAGTCACTCATTGGAGCCTTGAACCAGCTCTTCGCCCTTCAGGCTCTCAACCACAAGGGCGATCTTACAAAGGTGGGCAGGCAGATGGCCGAGTTTCCCACAGATCCCATGCTGGCCAAAGCCGTGCTCGCCGCAGACAAGTTCGGGTGCGTTGATGAAGTGCTTGCTATTGTCTCGATGCTTAGCGAAGCCTCTGCTCTGTTCTTCCGGCCGAAGGATAAGAAGATCCATGCCGATAGTGCTCGTGATCGTTTCACCGTCAAGGAGGGAGGTGACCATCTCTCTCTCCTCAACATATGGAATTCCTGGGTTGATAGTGACTTTTCCCCCGTTTGGTCGCGGGAGAACTTCCTGCAACAGCGGTCGCTGACCCGAGCCCGAGACGTCCGCGATCAGCTTGCCAAACTGTGCGAGCGCGTCGAGGTGGCGCCTTCGACCTGCGGCGCAGCCAACATCGAGCCGATCAAGAAAGCCCTGACGGCCGGCTTCTTCCCCAACGCCGCCCGGCTGACGAGGGGTGGCGACAGCTACCGGACGCTCAAGAACAACGCGACCGTCTACATCCACCCCAGCTCCGTGCTCATGAAGTCGGACCCGCCCGAGAAGACGGTCATCTACTTCGAGCTGGTGCTGACGACCAAGGAGTACATGCGGAGCTGCCTGCCCATCAAACCGCAGTGGTTGAATGAGGTGGCGCCGCACTTCCACAAGAAGAAGGATCTGGATCAGCTCGAGGAGAAGAAATTGCCCAAGAACACTGGTAGATAAAGTAGTGATGGCAGAGGCCGTTGGAGAGTCGAGAATTGAACTGTCTTTGTTACATTGGTACATGAGTAGCCTTCAAACGATCGTGTCCCATGTTTGTGGAATCGCCCGTTCTGCAAATGACATGTCGTTGGGAGAATTCTAGTCGCTCAACCGCAGTGGAAAGGGAGGGAGATGGGAACACAATCGCAAGTGGGGCCACAGCAAGACTCACGCTGTTTGATACATACCTATGTAGGTATTGTAGGTATAATGTAAATACCGTGACGGTGTGTGCCCGAGTTACGCACTGATGCTGCGGTCAAACCAACGAGGCTTCGCTTCGCCCGTCCTTCCCCTTCTTCCGCCGTCTTCATACGATCGACCCGGAAAAACCTCAAGATATCGCTCGTCTGGAACCTCGTTAACACTCCGTTGGGTTTTCCGCGTTCTCACTACCTCCTTACTAAGTACATACGCTCCCGAACGGGCAAGCTCCAGCCCGAGTCACTTAACCCGACCCCAGTCCTAGCGACCAGCCTACCTACCCTACCCACTCCAGCCGACTTTTCTCCAAGACTGACCTACCATGGCCACAATCACCACCGCCCATAAGTCTCCGTCCGGTCTGCACTTCCTTGACATACTTCAGTTCCAGCATACATAAAGTACCTACACAGATGTATATATATCCACATGTATGTCTAGAATGAATAATACACCCTGCCATGCGCAGTTGCACGATACATACCACACCAAGAACCACTCACGAGTCACCCAATACTGATATGTACCAGGACGCCCGCTTGTTATACATCTAGATAATACCCCTAGGGATATATATATTCAAGTACCTCGACTACATGTACATACCTAAGGGGTGGTGGGTGTATAGAGACTCTCAAGGTTAAGCGTCCAGTGAAAAGCAACACGTTTCAATGCCTCCTACGATTCCTCACAACCTTATCACACGCACATTCTTTCATTAGACGTAGGCAGGCAGTCCTGACAAAAGCACGCTTCTGCAATCTCAACCAAGCAAGTTAAGTCAATTCCATAGGCAGGTAATCAATGAAGTCGTACAGAAAAGGAGTTCATTCCTCGTGATCGTAAGCATGATGATCTACGTAGCCAAGTCAAGTCGTGTGTCTGTCGGTCTGGTGTATCTAAGGAAAAAAGCCCAACAACCCTCCATCATCGCTCCCAAGGTCAGAGAAAGCCCCAGGCCTTTGATGTCAACCCTCAAAATATGAAAAAAAGGGGAGCAGATCTAGATAGGAATTGAATGCGAAAGTCGTAAGAAATTGAAAATCAGTTCGTGAGTCATGAGCCCATAATCACTCCTCCTCGCCCGGAAACCCCTTCGAAGCCCCTCTTGTAGATCATGCCATCCCCTCGTCACTCATCTCTCTCGCTTCAACGCACGCACGCCGCTAAAACAAATCAGCAGTCGAAACTCTAGGAAACCGATATCCAAAACTCCCGTCGCGCAAGCCTTCAACGTTCCCTCCCACCACCAAGACCATCTTTCAAGACATGTCCAAGCATACCCAGAAACCCCTCCTTCCCGTCCAGCATGCCCCCAACAGCCTCGACAATCCCGCCAACCCCGTCCGAGTCGACGTCGACAGCGCCCCTTTGCCACGGACGGTATTCGAAATCGCCCTGATGACTCGTGTTGGCCCGCCGTAGATTCCTGTTGGAGTCAAGCGGCCGACCCGAGGAATCGAACCGGTCAGGAAGCACCTCGACTTCGTCTGCACTCGACTCCGACGAATCATCACCGCGGTGGTGCCGTCGCCGCCGCCGATTAGAAGACGGATCCGAATCGGATCGTCTGCGAGGATTCCTGGGCCTCTGCTGTACCTGCTTTTCTCGATGATGCGGTGGCGGCGACTCTTCTTCCTCGTCATCAGCTTCGGTGGCCGACTTGTCGCCTGTCTCCTCGTGGTGGCGTCGAAGAGTCATAGACGACTCTGGAGAGAGAGCTCTGAATTTCACCTTGGACGAGCTGCGTGGTGGCTTGTGAACAAGGCTGGTAGAGGAGGTGGTTGGAGGCCGGCCGCGTCGCACTCGCCGCCGTCTTAGACCATCTGAGAGGTGTGTTAGAAGATGCCACGCAGAGTAAACCACAGTACTTGGGCTAGTTTCAATAGGACATGGGGAAATTTCGAGCTCAAGGAGACGCACCCTGCTCAGTAGCCGCGCTCCGAGAGACTTCAGGAGGGGATTGACTGTCACCTAAGTGCGCTGGATGACTCACGTTTTCTGGCCCGGATGGCCGATGACCCCCCGGACCCCCTGGTGGCGAGATAGGTCCCGATGGAGGTGGAGGACCAGAAGGCCCTCCCGGTGCAGGTGGAAAGTTCGTATAGTCTTGTGGGTTATAAGGCGGATAGGCGTTGAGATTCATCGACGACTGGTTCCGGTGCTGTGTAAAACCGGCGGGACCGGCTGGCGGTGAAGGGCCAGGAGGCGGAGGCGGGTAGTACCCGCCAGATGCATGCGGAGGGGACGGCGGTGCTTCTACGTCGTAGTAGTCGTCGTGGTACGGGTCGCCAGCTATCTCTTCTTCATACTCTAGAAGGCTTGTCAGTAAATAGTTGCACACTGAAGGGGTGTTTCCGTACGTCTCCGGTCACGATCACGATCCCGTCTATCGCGGCCCCTGTCTCCCCTGTCTCCTCTGTCTCCCCTGTCTCCCCTGTCTCTCTGATCTCTCGACCTAGATCTGGACCGGGACCTGGACCTAGATCTGGATCTCTCTACGCTTCTCTCTTTTGATCTCTCCTTACTCATGGCACGGTCCGAGAACTTCTTGATACCTATCGCGGCAGCTGCGGTGCCAAGCCCAGCGGCCGCAACGTCACGCAGCCTGCTCTTGCTTCGCTTCTTCTTAGCACCGGTGTCAGATACCGAAGACGATCGGTGACGGTGCCGGGGACGGTGTCTTCGCTCTTCGGCCGCTGACTCGTACCCATCGAGAGGTTCAGTACCATATTCAACGCCGGGAACCACTGGTACGAGGCCTAATTCTCTATCAGCCGCGGAGCCTCTGGGTTGCACGTGGCGACTCTGAGACCTCGATCTTGACCGGCTTCTTGAATAGCTGCGACCTCCTCTGTCGTAATATTCGTCATCTGACACCGCGTGATGCTCACTCTCCTTCTTGTCCTTGTGTCGCTCCCAAAGCTTGCTGGCTGCTGCACCGGTTAATCCAGCAGCAGCAATTTCAGCACCTATACTGCGGTCAGTACGGCAATCTCTGGGGAGATCCATCTTGACTCACCTGTGCGGATGCGAGATTTTGAGCGCGATTTGCCTCGGGACTTGGATCGATAATGCTGTACCAACCCAGCAATAGCACTGAAGAGGTTTATCGTTAGCACCCAGCTCCGATAGTCTCTGATCACACCAAGGAGAAAGAACATCGCAGCGCAGCTTGACGATCCCCAAGTTAAGTGGTGGTATAGTCCCAAGTACTTACCCAGTGGCTACAGCAGCCTTGGCCATGTTTGACTTGCTGCGGCCGCGACCCTCCCGACGAGAACGGCTTCGCGACATCGAGTAGCTATCATTGGAGTAGCGGCGACGAGCGCGACCGCGGTTGGCCTCTTCCCTCTCAACCTTGTTGTTCTGCATGTACTTGAGACCACCGGCGACGGCGAGTGCAGCGGCTCCCTAATTCATTTGGTTAGCTCTCGTCTTTACTTTGTCCGCCAACAATAAAGGGTAAGACTGCTTACGATAGCCAAACCTGTTGTGAGCCTGCTGCGCGACTTGCTTCGGTGACGTTGGCGGTAATAGCCATCGTCATCATCGTCATCATATCTGTCTTCGAACGTGCTTCTAGCTCGCCGTACCACTTGCGTTCCCAATGCGCCCAAGGCGGCGCCAGCCAAGACGTTTCGCCCTCTATGCTGTGAGTGCTCTCTTTCTTTGCCGCCTCGGTTAGAGACAAGTGCGCCGAGACCTGCACCGGCGATAGCGCCTTCGGCAAGATGGCGCCTCTTGTGGTGGTCGTCGCTAGAGCTTCGGTCACGTTTGATGACGGTCTTCTTGATATAGTAGTCCTCGTCGTACGAATCATCCTCGCGGTATCTGTCCTGACGTGCGCGTCTTCGCTCTCGTTCGTAGTAGTAATCATCGTCGTAACGGGGCTCCGGACGTCTCGCGACTTCGCGATTCTCCTCGCGCAGGACGATATACCCCGGATCCTGGCGCGGCACGATCACAGGGGGCGGTGGGGGTGCTTCTTGGACAATAATCTGCTGCGGCTCGGGTGCCTTCTGCCGTATGATAATAGGCGCGGGAGGAGGATCTGGTGCGGCGTAGTACTCAATCTCTCTTCGGTATCGCTCGATTTCGCCGTCATGGGTATGGTGGGGTTCTCGTTCTTCGACGACACGGCGCTCGATCTTGACGTCTCGCTCTTTGTAATCCCGATGGTCATCTGGGCGCTCTTCCCTTTCCCTGTGCACCTCCACGCTTTTCTCCTTGACCTGTAAATCGCCAGAAGGCTCCCGGCGCACAATACGTTTGTCGATGCGAACATCGGTCTCTCGGTCGTCCCAGGGAGCTCTCGACTGGCGATCCCAATAGTCGCTGCGTGCTGGCGAAGCAATTTGTTCCCTGGTCTCCTCGACTACTCTGGTGCGAGAGTGACGCTCTGGGGCATAGTGGTCACGATCGCCCCGATCGACTTCTCGCTCATAGTCGACAGTTTTGTATCGATCACCCCGATCGACTTCGCGTTCTCGTTCATACTCGACAGTCCTGTATCGATCACCTACTTCGCTACGGTGGAAATCAGAGCCGCGCGAAGGGGGTTCGAAGGCTGATCTTGGTCGCTCAGGATAGGATTTCCTCTCTACACGGCGGGTGTCGATCTCGAGTACGTCGCCAGGTGGGCGGCCGACGTGGGAGTGGGAGTATCGCGATCTTCGGTCGTCGTCGTCGTCATCCTCGTAGCGCTCGATCCGTTCCCGCTCCCGCTCTATCACCCGACCAGTAGTCGAATGTCCTCCTCCTCCTCCACCTCTATCTCCTCCTCCGCCGCCGCCTCCCCCGACTTTGTATCGCCTCACTGTGGTGGACTTTTGTTTGTACTTGTCCTCGTCCGACGACAGGCTGCGTTCCCGGGTGTAGCGAACATCTCGTTCTCGATAGACTTGAGACATGCTTTCGCAAGCCGACGTGGCTGGCGACAATGACGTCACCGAATGTAGACGTTTGACGAAGACACGATGATAGAACACAAGTAGTTAATAAATCGCTGGCTATAGGTAGACGGATGTAGTAGGTATGAAGTTTAAACCAGGCTAGCAAGTGTCAAAAGTTTAAAGAGTATATACGGCTGGGAGGCCTTGGAGTTGGCAGGAGGGCTGGAGGGCTGGCGACTGTGTGGGACGATCTGGGATCTGGGATCTGGGGGGTGGTCTGTGGTCTGTGGTCACGCAGGCTGCTGGCGTAGGCTCGAGGTGGCAGTGGCAGGGCCTCCCACTCGTCTTCCTCTCACTCGCCGGCCAGGATCAGCTACCGTTTCCGAGGGGCTGGCGGAAGTGGGTTTGGACAGCCTTCGACGCTGGACCCAAAAGCCGGTCGTGGACTAACACACACGATACCTAATAATAATTATAATAATATCTATTTGCGGCATTCACTGTTCGACTGTTCGACTGTTCCACTCTCCGACGGTGAATTTATCCTCATGCTGCCTTATTACCGTGGAAGTACACGAGGTATGCACGTCGCATCTCCAAACAGCAGATATACCTGCTTGAAGCAAGCAACATTGGAGTCCTGATGCGGGGTCACACGCCATGTAATATGTATCGTGTAGCACCGGGCGCAAGAGGCGTGTACATGTACTCGGTGTTGCGAGGTGAGGTGACCCAAGATTCACAGCCTCAGAAGATTACGATGCTGCGGTGAGATGCAGGTCTCTGGTCTGCAGAAACTAGCAGCAGGCAGACGGGCAACCGATCAATCATTCTTGTTCGGCGTGAGACTGTCACCACCTTGTGATCACTGACAGCCTACAGGCTAAGTGTCGTGGTGGTGTGCGCCGAGGTGTGACTGCCGCCCGGCTACGATCATAGCACCACAGACTTCTCTCGCTATGCCGAAGTTCCTTCCAAGTTCCAACGGTATCCCCTGCTCGACGGGCAGAAATGGATCATGCGGTTCCTGCCTTCCTGCCTTCCTGCCCATGGGATTTGTTCCTTGGGTTAGGTATTTATGTCGTCATCTCCAGATGGGGGGCCTTTTCAAAGTTCTTTCTGCAGCTTCAAGGTTCCATGCTGGGCGCAGTCTGGACAGGTTTCTTCAGGTCACAATGACAGAATGAGCACTCAGCTGGGTTGGAGTCGGCTTGGCTTCCGTTGGCTCCGAACTGGCTGGGACATTCAAACCGACTTCCGCTGTAGCCGTAATAGATGCGCACGCTGCGTTGGTACAAGCCGAAGTGGCTCGAAGTGGCTCGAAGTGACTCCCGTCGTGAGGACCTGGGCAGTGGGCACGCCTTTGAAGTCCCACAGACACAGAGGCGCCTAAAAGAGGATCTGAGGCTGTCGCACTCCTTCTCGCTCCTTGCTCCTTGCTCCTTGCCCCTTGCGCGGCAGACTGTTTCATCCTTCTGCAGAACGTCCAACTCGCGATCCTCCGTTCCTGTGAAGGACTGAAGGTGCATCGGTGGATGTTGGTTTGATGGAGTTGCAACTTGTCGATTTCTATTTCAAGCATTGCGTTGTTGAGTCTGCCACATGGGCCGAATCCCGATGGCCTATCTGGGAAGATTACCGTAGTGGGTCCAGATCTGCCCAATTGTGGCTTCAACCCCGCCACATGATAGTTGAGTCCCCCCTGACATGCATGGATGTGGTCTCCCCTTGTCTGTGTTTCCTATCGAACATCGACGAAATGTGTTTTCTTCATATGGCAACTCGGAAACACATCGAAACATCGTTGCCACTGCCTTGGCAAGCTGCAAGGCAGTCTGTAATTCTGGGGCTGATGCCGAGTCGGCATGTCGAATACGGTAGGATGGTGTCTCACGCGAGCTTGACCTTCCCTCCCACTTTCCAAGCAAAGAGGGACATGATTATTTGGCGAGTGAGTGAACTATGAATTACGTTAATAACTTCTGGGGAAAATAAAGATCCCCATGGACTTGAGTTTCTGCATGGCGGAGCTCATCATCATTGCGCTGAGCATCGGACGATACCGATGCTTGCTTGATCCAAATCGCTCGTCTCGTATCGACTCGAGTGGACATACTATTCGGCAGTGCTCTTTGGTACCCGCGGCATAGAAGACTGGCGTCTGGAGATCTGCCTGCTCTTAAGACCCCGTCTCTTCGAAAAGCCTGATAAATATAGGAAACCGCGGCGCTTGGTACTTACATTCCTGCAACCAGTCATTACGATGTTGGGCTGCTGCAGTCACATGTTTAGCCAGTGTAGTGCGACGATGTCAATTGGTCCAGAATGCAGCCTCTGTCGATAGTCTGTTCGCCCAGTCACCTAATGGGGTGAGGCTGAATACTGGATGTTCAGCTGAAGCTTTCGCATTAATACTGCCAAATACTGACCACCACCTATGGGTACCCATCGTGGGCTCGTTCCTTGGAGAGCGCTGCCTTGCAATGAAAACATTCGTGTTGCTACATAATTTCATCCACGATGTTATGGGACTCTTCCGTTCCCAAGTTTCAGTACCCGCCTCTGCGCTCAGAAGACCGCAAATTCCGAGTCATCAAAATCCAGCCGTCGAAGGCAGGTTCTATCCCATCTCTCAGAGAAAGACTTCACATCGAGATCATCGAGGCAAGTGTTGACGATGTCAACACCTTCGACGCCCTATCCTACACCTGGGGCACCGGCGCGCCGGACAGGCAGGTGCTCATCGACACGCCTCAGGGCCAAAGAGAGCTACGCATCACCGAGTCGCTGGAGCATGCTCTCCGGACCCTTTCTCGACGTAGTCGTGTCCTTGACCGTCCCATATTCGTCGACCAGATCTGTATCAACCAAGACGACAACCACGAAAAAGGGGGCCAGGTGCGGCTCATGGGCGACATTTACGCCAACTGTGCCCAGGTGATCATATGGTTAGGAAAGCAGACACGAGACTCGAGCCGGTATTTCGCTTTCACCGCCGAGCTGTGTGCCGATCGCGGCATCATGCGCCGCGTCATGGGCCCGAACGTCGGGCATTTCCCACAGGTCTTCAACGCGGTCATGGATCCGACCATCGAGGTCAGCAGTGACGTACAGCGCCGGGACCGAGACGACCTGCTAGACCTCATAGCACGCCACGGTCCCCGCTACCCCGTCCGGGGGGTAGCAGACCTGCTGGGCCGGCCCTGGTTCAACCGCCTATGGACGATCCAGGAGATCTGCCTGGCGCCCGCGGTAGTCCTCGCCTGCGGAGACTCGGGGCTCCTGCGCCTCGACGACTTCCGCGCCGGCATCCTGTTCTACACCATCTGGAACACGCACTGGCTCAGGACGTCTGGCGCGTCGGTGTCGAAGGCGGAGGCGCGCCTGCGGAGCGGGATCTTCGACCTCAATAAGTCGTTCGTCCGCGTCTTCCAGGAGCGCAAGGCGATCCACCTCTCAACGACGGAGCGGAGGTCTCTCTACGACCTCGTGTTGAAGTACAACGTCAACGACGAAGGGGTCAAGGTGGGTGCGGGCATGGGCGAGGACCGCGTCTATGGGCTGCTGGGTTTGGCTCGGGACGACGAGATCAAGGGCGAGGCCGTGGCGGGCATGGAGGTTGGGGATGTGGCGAGCACATATACGAGATTCGCTTCTTCGGCTCTTCGGCACGGCCTAGGGGTGCTGGCTTTCTCGCAGTTTCCGAAGGAATTCAAGCCGAAGCCTGGGTATCGCGATCTGCCTTCATGGGTGCCAGATTGGTCGACGAGTCAGCTCAGGACACCACATGGCTACTCCAATCTGTCGACACCCGCTTTCTCGGCTGGTGGGGAGAGCCATGGTCAACATATCACGGTCGATATATCAAGAGGAACTCTCTCCATCGAAGGTATCGTAGTCGATCGAATAGCCCGCGTAGGGACTCGAAGTATCCAGTCGGACGGCGAGAGCTCAGTGGAGAATGCCGACTACGCCTCAGTGCGCCACTTCTTTGGCGAAATCCACGAGTACGTGCAGCTAGCAGCAGAAACCGGAGGACCCTACGCTCCCGACACTTCGGATGACATATCTTGCACTGATCTCGCAATCCGCTTGTTGGACGGCGGCCTCACCACGAAACAGTTTCCTGCGACGTTCGACACCGCAAACCCACAGGAGACACTACGACGGATGTACACGCAGGTCTCCAAGTACGGGCAGCGACTCATAGACGCAGAAACGGGGACGCGGGCATATGGCAGCATCTCCCGAATCATCGAAGCGGTCGGCATCGTGCCGTGGTACTGGGTCCCAACGAGCGACGTAGACCTGGTGCGGCTATGCGCCACGAGCCCCATCACGGCAGCCCGGAACTGGATAGAGGGCTTCATATGCACAATCATCGATATAATCGGCGTCTGCCTCGCGCTCGTGACCGTCCAGACAGTGGCCCACTGGATCCGGTTCCGCCGGCGATTCTTCACAAAGGTGGACTTCGCGCATGCCGGTCGCGAGGCGACGTATGCTCGAATTGGCATAGATGCGGATTTCATGTCCGGGGAGGAGTGGGAGCTCTACTCGAGCAACCTGCTCAAGAATGCTGGGCGGAAGTTGTTCGTCGCGGACGGGGGATATGTCGGGCTGGGGCCCAGTCATATGGAGAGGGACGACGTGGTTGTTGTGTTGCTGGGTAGTACCGTGCCGCTTATTTTGAGGCCTTGTGTTGAGAGTACTGTAGAAGGGAGGGCGCAGTCTGAAGCTAGACGGTCTGGGGAGAGGGTGTGTGACGCGGCTTGGTGGTATGTTGGTGAAGCGTACTGTGATGGGGTCATGGAGGGTGAGGCGTTGGGGGGAAGTGCGGCAGAGAGTGTTGTAAATTTTCAGATATTCTAAGTCTCATGTTTCCCACTGGTATATCACATTTCGACTGCTGGTGACTCCACAGATGACTTTGTTGATGTACGTAAAGAACAAAGGAAACTATGAAGCTAGCTAGGTGACAGGATCTGGTATATATAGGGGCTGACCCCTGGAGCTGTGGGGCTATCATCTAGTGCCGTGACAACTATAGATGATGGGCTCGGTGTGATACGTTGAACAGGTACGCGAGACAGGTATATAGGCTCACCTCCCGACTGTGTTACGTTACCCTGCGTATTCATAGTGAAACATGAAGATCCAGGCAGCATATCCTGAATGAGCTGTATCGACCACTCAGTGAGTAGACACCAGATACCTATGTAGTCGACAGAACCATCGGCGTCTATCTTTACCTTCTGCCTTTACCAATGCCGAAGGAGCTGGTGAACTATATGTATAGCACGATCTTCCTCTCAACGCTCTCGACAACGCAGCTGCGCAGCATCCAAGACAACCTAGGTTCCACCAAGCGGCAGAGGCCGCACAGCCAGCTGCCTACGCGACGGTCGCCGAGCGGGAAGCCCGGGCGTCGTTAGAACGAGAAGCGGATGGAAGCTGGTAGGTTATCTGCTATGGCTATACGAATACTTCGACGTTCTGCCCAATAGTGAGCCCAGGATCAGGAAGAAGAGCCTGGGGTATGGATAGGGGCTGCCCCGATGGGTGCTTAGGTGTGGGCTTGGGGGCGTTGAATACAGCGGCTTGGGCTTGACGAGAGTGGGACGGCGTGGAAAAAGCGGTAAACTTGCGATCCTGTAGAGTTGTATATGAAGCCGGGAACTTGTGGTGTCTCGAGGAGGACCATATTACTATTCTACCATTCTGCAAGGCGGTCTAGTAAAGATGGCACAGTCGGGGGTCAGAGCCCAACTGAACCTTTGCGCTATTTGAGACTACACCTTAGGACTGTGAGATAGGTAAGAGGAGGCTGGTGATCCGATCACGAGTTCACTGGGTGAAAGTGCATCAAATAAATAACAAGCAGACGATAGACTAGAGGCCGCCACCCGAAAAATCCAGGACGGCATCCATCTTAGAAGGGCATCCTTTCCGTCCACACCTTCCCACTCAAAGACCCAAAAGAAGGAGAAAAAGACACAAGAGAATGTTTCAACCGCTAGAGGAATCGAACCGCTATGCCTAAGAATACCTTGTAAGATTATCTTGTAAGAATATTTCGCTAGGCCGTACCAACCCGGCTACCAGACAAACCTTTTAAACTCGTATATATATCTTATACCGTCGTAGGTGCGGGGAGAAACGGGTGGGTGGACAGGTGCAAAAAGTGCGCAAGGTGGCTTAGCTTTATACGAAAAGTTATCTTGTACCGTTGTTAGTACGTACAGAGATAGGCGGGGGGTGGACGATAGGCTTCATGGTGTGGCTGTTAAGAGAACTCTGTTTGATTGCCTCTTCCTATATAAGAAAGTTTATGTATAGATGTGGGTCGACAGACTGATAGATATATTAGTAGCCTTTGCTATGTAAAGCGCTACTATCGCCTCTTAACACGTGAGGTCCATGACCCATTCTGTCACCATCCGCCAGGTCTTTGCAACTCGAGGCGAAACTCATCCCTCCCCACGGTTGAACTCGGTACACTCATCCGCAAATTCAGGGCTCGATGGCCCACAACCACCACTAAGAAGGACGCAGTCCCAGCCCTTGGTGAAAGTATCTTCAAGACTCCCCACCGACGCACTGATCCGTGTGGGCGACGGAGAACAGCAGTGGTCTTGATTGGTTGATATAAAGAGGTAGTCTTCCATTGTATATATTAGAGGAGCCAAGATTAGTCTCACCCAGGACAAGTACTCGCAGCTCCACATGGTGTTCACGGCACTTAAGTATGGGGCACTGAAATAGATTCATGACCATGAATTCTTTGTGTACTACTAACTTTGTAACCTACACCGTGCTCTGACAAAGCATCGCAATTGTAAAAGCTCGCGTGTCCATTGAGAAGCCTGGCCCTGCTCGCGACTCATAACCTAGCTCGACTGAACACATGTTTCCTGTATTGCGCAACGTGGAAGATGGCAAGCTAACAAGTGCTTCTCACCCAATATCGTTGAGAGACCTCTTCCGTCTTCCATACGCTATACGAATAGCAGTTATGTAGCAACAATGGGACATAATCCAGCTCGAGAGTCTCTTCCTCTAGAGACAACTTCTCACCTTGGCTATGTCGGAGTGATTAGGGTGCTGCTTACTCGGCCTCATACCCCATGAGAGCCTGCCTGCCCAACATCACACGCTTAGTGTTTTCTCTTCTTGCTGCGGCTGCGGTCTTCCTCTTCGGGACTGGCGTCGCGATCCTTTCGCTTCGCCTTCTTCTCCAATTCATCCCAATCCTCGCCTTCGTCATCGTCGTCTGAGCCCTCCTCGCTGGCTTCTTCTGACGCGTTGCTGTCGAAGTCCGAACCCTCCTCGCTGGACTCGCTAGCTACTTCAAGCTCAGACTCATCCATCTCAAAGGCAGACTCCTCTTCCGACTCATCGCCATCCTCATCATCACTATCATTCTGGAGGAACGACCAACCTCCATCAGCGAAGAACTGGTGGGTGTCGGCCGTCACCGTCTTGATGATTGTGGGCCAGTTCAGGTTTAGGGGACCTTCACTGTAGGCGATATCGGATGAATCCAGCCACTCCTTAACGTCTTCTAGGGACTCGACTGGTATGGTGTTGACATGGAACGGTGGCCGAGTAAAGTCCTTGAAGACGAAAACGAGATCGAAATTCTTGAGGCCAAACTGCACACGCTCAAGATGAGCAATCTCGATGTCCTCCAGCGTAACGACCATAAAGGGTGGCTCCGTAACCTGGATGAGGCAGTCTGTAGTGGGCTGGATGTAGACATTGCTTCGGAAGGGAACACCATGGAAACCAAGGTCTCTAAGTGGCATGTCTACCTCCACGTTCTCGTTCTTGCCGGCATCGGCAATCTTGTCGGCGAAACTCTTGAACTGGCGGTCCAACTCAGCTCTCCGCCGGCGTTCCTCCTGCTCGGCTTCGAACTCATCTTCATCGCCGTACCGGTACTTTCGCTTTCGGTTGCCGGTCTCGTCGAACTGAATATCCGTCGCTTCTCTGTAGAATTGGACATCTTTCGTCTTCTTCTTGTTGCCAATAAGGATGGGATCCTTGAGATGCAGGTGGATTACTACAATCAACTCGTGATCGCATGGCTGGAAGAAGAGGTGACGGATGTTGGAGAACAGCACATCGACTCTCTGCTGCGTGCTAAGCGGCGATTGATATCGAATACCATTCTGGTGAATCTCGATCTTGCCAGGGACACGCTTGCCCTCCATCGCAGGACGAATGAACACATTGTCCATGACAGGCGGCCGGCGATCTGACTTGTCAGCATTGAGGAAGCAACAGTGCTTTGGGCAGACTTACTTCTGATCTCGACGAGTTTCTCTTGCTCAACGACATCCTCCATATCCTTCTTCTCCTGCTCCTTCTTGGAGGACTCCTTCTTTATGTTGGAGATCTGGGTCGCGATCTCCTCGTACCGATCACCGTCGAGAGAACGAAAGGTCAAGCTTCTAACAAAATGGGCCGAAGCGTCCTCAAATGGCTGGTCATCCTTTCTACCGACTCCCTGACCCGGTGATAGAAAGTTGATCCTCAGATAGGACCATTCTCCTTCATCGTTCTTACTGGCATTCTTGATCGTGTGAATATGAAAGGGGACCGGTCGTCCCATGACTGGAAGTACGACGGTCTGATTCTTCTGGTCGACGAGGATCTCAAGGTTCTTGACCTTCAGGGGAAGCTGGTTGTCCCTCTTGTAAGACTCGAACTTCTTGAACTTCTTCGCCTCTGTGCCATTTTGACCACTAGTCGACTCGGCGAATCGAATCAAGCCTTCCTTTTGTTTCTTGGCCGCAAGTTCTTTCTGGTGTTCTCGTCGCTTCTTCTCCGTGTCCTCGTTCACTTGTGTTGAACGCTCCGAGCGAAGACGGGTGTTAGTGATGTTCTTCGCGGCCACAGCGCCAACCTTGGAATCCTTCTTCTCCTTCTTCGGCGTCGGTTGCATCTCCTCATCATCCTTGAAGAAGAACGAGGTTGCGTCGAGGTCGGTAGGGGCATCACCGGTGAAGATGACTGGCTCGCCGTTGGTCACTCGAATGGTGTCGGTTATGACGAGGGAGTATGTTTTGCTCAGCTTGTCTTGGGGCGAGGGGTCCTCGATATCCGTGAGACCGGTGGTGATGGAGAAAGTCATGCCGTCCTTCAGCGTTCGCAAATTCTTGCCGTTCAGAACAAGTGTCGGATCTCTGCTTTCAATGCCAATGGCCGACCCAACATTTTTGACGAAGTGCTTCTCCAAATCGGGCTTCTTCGACTTGATATGGCTAAGAGCCTTGTGGTAGATATCCTTAGCCACGGCACCATCCCTCATCTCCTTCAACACTATGTTGTGAGCGGTGTGGAGAGTCTTGTAGGCGGATTCTTGAGCCTTGTTGGGGTCGACTAGGAAGGTTCGCGCGATCACGGAGCTATAGGACTTGTATCGAAGACCCATGCCGGCAATGATAATGCCGGCATGAAGGTTACCGTCGGTGGCCTCTGCCTGGAGCTTCAGGTCGTATTTGCCACCGCTTTGCACAGCAGGGCCAAGGTACCAATCCAACGAAGAAGGATCGAAGTCTGATGGGAGGCGCTGCTTGTTAGGTAGCTGGACCGACTTCCACCACTTTTCATCGTCGAGCCTAGAATCAACCTTGTTGGCAAGCGTGCTGTGCTTCACCTTCTTTTCCTGATCCAATATGTCGGACATCTGGTCCAAGAAGTACGGGTTCATCAACGCGACGCAGGCCTTGGACGCAGTTCGCATCGTTCGCAGCTCGGTCTCGTCCTTCACGGAGAAGGCGGCGGTGGATAGGGCAACGGAGATATCGACTTGTTCGGCATCGCCACATTTGTCGGCAAAGACCTTCTTCCACTCGTCGACGAACGGTCCCTTAGACGTATCTTTGGTGAGCACACCAACCTTTTTCTGAAAGAAGGTCCAGTTAGTTTCGGGTCTTGACGTGGGCCGGGCTGAGAAGTATCGATAGGACTTACGCCCGCAGCATTGATGTGTTCGGCGATCTTGTGGAACTGTTTCTCGTTCACAGCGGCGTCCTTGCCTCTAACCAGGACCTCGATGGGAAACCGTCCTCCTTTCAGCGACTCCAAATGCTTGGCTATGTATAACCATCAGTACACTCTTGTATGAAACGAGGATTGAAACGTCGGCCCGTACCTTTCTTGGCGGTTGTGACTATGTATAGGCAGTCGAGGGTGAAGAGCATCAGGGTGGTCGGGAACTCGTAACCTAGCAACCAGAACTGGTGATGGAGTTAGCTTCGGAGTCATGCACGGGTGGGGGTCGCATTCGGGTGACGCACATGTGTGGCATTGTTCTTGTGAAACTCGGGGTTCTCCTCGACCTTGCCCATCATGACGACGATTGAGGAGACGCCGTTGAAGATGGCATCGCCGGCGCGTTTATCGGTCTTCCAGGCATTGACGAAGTGATTGATGCGCTCCTGGAAGAGCTTGCCGTCGATCTTGATATCCGCCATCGTGGATGGTGACTCGGCGGTCGTCGACGCGAAAGGTGGCAGGGGCGTCGATGCGCCGATGCGTCGATGGATGGCGTTGTGGATGAAAAAGGATAGAAAGGAGGGATGCGCGAAGCAGGAGGCTGTCGCTCCAACGAAAATGTTAATGAGACGCGAGCTTGCCTGCACACCTGGCCCAGCTTGGGTTATTAGGATACGACCCACTAAATTCCGTGTCGTGGTTTTAATGGCCTTGACTCTCAATCGTAGGTACCTTGTACCCCTACCTGGTCCCCCTTTCCTGCCGGTCACTGCACCTCACGTACCTAGGCACTGACTTGAATCCAAGGTAGCTTGTGAACTTGGCTCAGCTCGATGGAAATGTCAAATTTCTTCAGATGCCTACCTAATCTTGACGAGCAGTCAGTGAGAGGAGGTTTCGGTTGACTGGACTAGGCTGTCTAGGTAATGAGTGGCGGGGGTGGCAACATTCGTGAGTGCTAACATTGAACGTGGGGAGTCTCTGCAGGTGTGTTGTCGTACTTGAGGGAGACGAACAACTCCGGTGGATTACCACAGCACGAACTTGGTGATGGGAAAGTTGCTAGCGGGCTAGTGAAGTTCAACGTACTCCAAGTCATTCATGTGCTCCAGGATGTTGGTCAGTCTGATAGATAGTGTGGGTGAACAATCCGTGCCTCTCAGGGTGTCCTCATGCGTTTGAGCAGGGTGAGGCATGAACTCTTCTCAGGAAAAACTCACTCGGTATGTCAAGGGCGAGGGCAGGCAAGAATCTAACGAGGCGACGGCTTTGGGTCGAGTTGGCTGGGACTTGCGTATAGTGCATGTATGATGCACCTATTCCCCGAGTGGGTGCTTGTGACTACAGAGCGCCCCGTCCATCTCACTTCCTGAGAAGTATGATGCCTAACTGGTAACATGAGGACGCAGAAGGAGGCAACATTACACGTCTAAGCAATGCCGGGGGACATGTACTGACTAGGTACTCGTGGGCAGAGCCTCGCAACCTAGCGATACTCCGGAAATTGTCAGAAGGCGATATCGTATTCATAGCAACCGTACCACCGGTGGCATTGTGGTTATTTTCACCCGTTCTACCATGGTGTTCTCTGCCGCTATATATCAAAGGCATGGGGATGAGACCACAAGCCGCGCCGACCACGAGCCGGCAGTTGTCCTGACGAAGTAGTTGCTGAAGCTGCTACCATCACAGGCTAGGTATCATGGGTAGTATTTGGAGCTTGGAATCATAACATGCTTCGGGGATCCTGAAGCTGCATCTACGCCATGTGATGGCCACGGAATCGACCATAACTCGCAGTCACCAAAAGTTTCAATAGTGTGATTTCAGATTACTCGCAACTCCCAAACCTGCGACTTCGAAGACCCTACTGCAAGCAGCGCAAAGTGACCGAGCCAACCGGGGGTATTGAGCACTAATCGCGCTCTGCGAACCCCTTACGCCTAAACGCCCACGTCATACGCCCACCAAGCTTGGAATCATCAAGGGCCAAACCTTTCGACCACCCAAAGGAAACGCGTCTGCGGCTGTTCTCCATGGGCCAAGGCTAATCCCGAAGCCTAACCATTCCCTTCCAACGCCTCAAAGCAGACTGTGAACGGCAGGAGCCGCTCATCCGAGACGATCGAGTCGTCCCTACGAGAGAATGCCGGTGCCTACTACATCTCCATTCTAGAGGCAATGTCTTCACTTATACCTCTTACGGAGTGCATGGCTTCGTCTTCTTCCATCTCGCTTTCACTTTCATCATACTGATCGCTTTCCTCCTCTTCTGTGTCCGGATCGTTCAGAGGGTCGATCTCGACATCCTCGTCCGGGTCCCAGACAATCTCATCCTCGTCGTCGTCATGGTAGTCCTCATCACTGGCCACGATACGATCAGCAAGGTGGTCCCCAAGCCAGAATCGAGCGCGCTTGTTGGCACCCAGGATATTGGAGTACGGAGCGGCGTAACGTTTTGTCAAGCCATTACTACCTCGTCCATGGGGCTGTAGCGCAGGCGAGTTGAGTACGATCGGCAATCCCCTAACATAGAGGTACGCAACTCGTTTCTTGGTTTTGTTAAAAAAGAAAAAGTGCATACGCCATATAGCGGCCTCGTCACCGTCGAAAGGATCGTCTGTCGGCTGATACGAAAAGGCAGTACAGTCCTTCAAAGTCATCTCCTTGTCGATCATGTTCCACATCTGGGGACTCCAAGCAGGGCTACTGGTCGCAAAACCTCCACCAGCTGCATTGAGGGAAGGCGAGCTGCTGTAGGCACGGTACGATGAGTTCGGATCAGGGGCCAGGAGTGACGTGCCGTGCGGACGCACGTTGTTCAGCATACTGTCAATGCTAGCCATTACGTGGCGCAACTCCTTCTCGCGGCGAAAGTCTGTGGGACGCAGGACATGCGAGAAATCGTAATCGGGATGGCTGGCATTGAGCGTCGCAATCAAGTAGGCGAAGGTACGGCGGCTCGAGATTTCGTTGAGGGAGCCAAAAGGGCTGGAGCGCGATAGGTTCATTGAAGCAGCCATCTCCTTGCGCTGAGGAGGCGACAACGACGCGCCGAACCTTACCAGCGCAGCATGTTGCGTCTCCAAAGAGCACTCAATATTCCTGTAGAGCTTCTTGTCGGAACCAGCGGCCTTTGTCGTATAAAGATCGCATCCTCCAGTTACTCGGCAGTCGGGCGTGCTGAAGTTCAGCGCGGAGGTGATGACATCGAAATCGCGAAGTGGGAGGTACTATTTGCGCGGAACTCGTCAGCCTTATCATACGGTGTGGATGTGATGCGCGATGGAGTTGCGCGCAACACAATATGGAGTGTATGCGTACCTTCATCTTTGCGGTAGAGGCCCGGGTTCTGATTACAACACGAAAGGGAATTCCGCGAGACTTGCAATGATCGCTGCGATGCGCAATACCTGTTGCGCGTAGTATGTTGCGCGTAGTATCACAAGTCGACTCGGAGTCAAGTAGAAGGGCGCTTTGTTAAGTTGTCGTCGTAATATAACGGATCCGGCGCCAGAGGCAGGGCGATGCGCCTTGACTTTGGAGAAAGGTGACTGGATGGCCGTCGTCCTGTCCGGCGAATGTATTGCTTGTGCAGTGATCGCCTGAGAGTCCTTCCTGAGGAGGTAAATCAATACGATTTCAATTCAGTCCCTGCGACGTTTCAAGCAGTTGGAACGGTTCGAGCGTAAACTAGACGAGAACTCGTCTAGAAGGCAGAGGGACAGCAATGCATGATGCGATAGACGGTTTGAATGAGATTGGGTGATGTTGGCGATGAACGGACATCCAACGGGTGATGCGGAGATAGTTGTAAAGTGGAAGGTTTGGTGTTGATCTCAGGTCGCGGGAAGATGGACGGGTCGTTCATTGATCAGCTGTTTGGGCGCTGATCTGCTGTCTGACAGACAATGGAAGGGGCACACCCCCAAAGACATCACTGGGCGACGGTCCAGGTGTGCCCGGTCGCAGCATTCCTCCCTGTCCCTCCTCCTCCTCGACTTTGGAGGGGCGTCATGGGTGGGTGGCTCCCTATCAGTAGCCTCCACTAACGTCCACACCATGATGCGCCGGACAATGGAAAGTCAAACGAATGAGATAACGTCAACATGCCACGAGCATTGGTGGTGCCATGCACCCGTAACCTCGAGCCCCATCGCATGCGGGATCAAGTGCGTTGGAACCGGTGTTGAATTAGCATGTCCCATTCACCTCGTGTCCGGATACCTCCCATCGGCTTGCGGCTTTGTCTTCCAATTGCTTACGCATGTTACGCCAATGCGTGTTTGATTGGCTTGACTGCCCTGCGAGATAGGTAGTGCCCTGACCTTCACGGCTTTGCATTGCGGACACCTGTCGCTCAATAATCTCGATATATTCGTAGCGTGGAGCTCTCCTAGATCGCCCAGGGCCATAGGAGACCGCTCGCATCTTCCCTGGATCACACCACCCAACGAGCTAGCAGCATCAGATGACTCCTGCTTGCTCGAGTGCTCTTTGCACTTCCTCTGTGACCTGTTTAGACAATCGTATAAGCAAAGGGGCAAACGCAATGTCTTGATACCTTGTCCATTGACATCTGTACGCCAACCCAAACCATGCCATCTCGGACCGTGTAGCGCTCGTAGTAAAGTACAATGCCAATGTGTTACATGATCCTCGTAACCTCGTCCTCAACCTGAGAAATAGAAAGTGTATGTCAGTGGTCTGAGAAACACGGTGTATGCGAAGCTTGGCAGGCAGCCAAGATAGTGATAGACCAGATCGTTCAACGAAAACGAAAACGGCAGCCGTGGCGGCAAACTCACCTCCATATCCTCTAAAGAGTCTTGTTGCCCTATACACCGCAGGACATTCTTCTTACTGCTCTCCTGGAGCTCTCCAGCTAGTAATATCTCGTCCAAAATGTAGTATGCCTTGGTGAAGGAGAAGATGATGTCGAGCTCGCATACGTTCCCGTAGTACTTGTCCATCTGCTCGACGTATCGGTGGATGATTTCGAGGCTGATCAATTCGTTGTCATCAGACGAACAGCCGGCGATGAAGAAGAGCGAGGCATAGCGGCGGTAGACGATCTTGGTATCTGGACGTATGGTCAGCATGTCGGATGGTATGAACATGTTCGCAATGGGGTTGCGGACCTTTGTACTCCAGAAAGTTACACATGCGGGTTCGCCTGGCGAGGACCAACTGGGAGACATCCTTGACAATCTTGGCCTTGTCCTTGGGGCTCAAGGTGGTGAACCATTTCGCCAGGCGCTACAGCAAGTGGGTGTGAGCTTTCTTCCCTCAAGGTCGATCTCCTGCGAGTCTGTGGGAGGGAGGGTGCAACATACCACCTTGCCCTGCCGGGAAAGCAGAATCAAGTAGCTGCCATGGCTTTAGTACGGTCCTGACATGGGCAACGAGGTGTTGACGGCATACTGGATAGCCATGATAATGCGTTCACATCACCACAGTGGAGGAAGGTTCTGAAGTTTTTGTGTGTGTTGGCCGAGGCGAGAATGGAGGTGGATCTTGTGCTGGAGCAGCAGCCAGCCAGCAACAATTTCTCTGTCATGAATATGAAGTAGTGGGGTTGGCCACGAGTGTTGAAAGGGAAAAAGCGAGACAGCTGCCCAAAGCCGACGCCGGGCTCCCGACAGCTGGCAGCTGGCTATCAGAGCACCCAACATGAATGCTGCCTTCGCTGCCCTGTCACAATGACCTCTCCCAACCTTGGACCACCATGCAGACAGGCAGATAATATGCATTACAAGCACGCCACTGCACGCGCAGCAGATAACCTCGGATGAGATGTTCCTATCAGTCTTTGGCCTCCTATTATCGATCACTGGTCAACATGGTCAATGACAATCCGACGGCTAGTGCCGGCGGGCGCGCAATACTCATGTCACTGTCACCGTAGGTCCGGCAGTCACCGCGACAATGGCCATCCATGAATCCATCTCGGTCTCGCAAAGGGGAGGTAAGAGGTTGGTGCTATCACGACTCAGGTCTGCTTACAAACAACCACTTTGCTTGCATCCACCACACCATCATATGACTTCTCTGTCCGTCTGTCAAAAACACTTTCATATATAAAACAGAACTGACTACGGAGTTGGTGTGTTCATGTTGAATGTTTCTAGCTCCGATAGATACAACACCAAGTTCCAACCCACCCCACCTGGTCTATAACGCTTCATTTTTTTCTGCCCCTCCATCAACCTGCCGCCCTCTGTCTGCGCATAAGTCTTCGCTTACTACATCACTTACTTCACAAACATTACCTACCAAATATGACGCGGATAATTCTATCAACGGGTAACATCGTCTCCGGTGGCCCGTCCATCATACGGAAACCCGGCACGTACCGATCCAACCTCGAGTTCACCAATTCGCTCCGCAGCAACTTCCTGGCCGCGCAACAAGACTACGCCGCGGCCCTTCAAAACGGCAATGGCGAGACCAACGGGTCGGGTCGGCCGGCGACAGATGTCTGGACAGCGAAGGAAGACTCCGCCTTATACATACCGCGCATCGACTGGGCTTCGGCGGGGCTGCAAGAGGAGCGCGCGCAATACGAAATCACCGTGAAACTATTCTTCCTGCCCACAGCACCGCCAGAGAAGCGCTCCGAATACATCAACGAGGCCTTGCGACTGGTTACGAAAGAGCTCCGCCTAGAAACCGTCGATCTCCTAATAACCTCGTTTCCCGGCGTGTCATTCGAGGGCGACTGCGAATGGGAGGCCGACAAGATAAACGCGACGATGGGCAATGAAGAGGAGGAGGTCAACACGTGGTCTGCGCTGGAGGCCCTGCACGAGCAGGGCAAGGTCAGTCGGCTGGGCATCGCCGAGTTCGGCAGCGACAAGCTCCAGCGGTTCATAGGAAAGGTCAAAGTCCGGCCGGCGGTCGACCAGATCAACATCAAGAACTGTTGCAACGTCCCTCCGCCGCTCGCGCTGCTTGCGAAAGACGAGAATATCGAGCTGCTGACGCACGGCGACTGCACGGACATACTCCCCAGTGGCACCCTCCGAGAACTCCTAGGTCAAGGTCTGCAAGGCGCGGGCGTCTTGGCCGACGGTGAGGATAATGCTAAGGGCCTCAGGGGTGACCTGAAGCCCGAGTGGGTTGTCAAGTATACGGCGTTCGTCAAGGACAGAGGTGTAATCGAGAACAAAGGCTACTTCGCGGGAGCTGAGCTGGTGGAAGAAGCATGACTGGATATGGGTCTTGCACTATGGTCTCTAGCGTTTCATGTATTAAGCTTGGTACATGGCGTTGGGCAGGTTTCTCGCGTAGAACATAACAATCAAATACACGGCCTTCACAAGCTACCTACCTGAGCAGAAGCGACGGGCCGGAGATGTGCATTATGAGAAGCGCCAATATTCATTCATTGCGAGTTGGATCGAGAGGTGTAAGCCTATCCCAGCATGCTTCTCTTCCGGCCGCGCATCCTCACCTCCTCCAGCTTCTTCAACACGATCGGTGCCTGTTTGAAAGCTTCCCTGTATGCACTCTCCAGCACCGTGGAGAACAAGGCCTCAGCTCGTGGATGTGTGCTCGCGAACGCCCTCTCCAGCACATACAGATCGACCGCGCGATCCTCATCTGACGTGCTCTGGCCCGCGAGCCCAAAGTCAATCAGCACGATCTCCCCCTCCAGCAGCCCATCGCCCTGCCCACCCGCATGCCCGTTCGCCGGCCTTTCCCTCCCCTCGCCCCACGGCCTCAACATCATATTGCTCGTCGTCAGATCCCCATGCACGATGCCGACCTTGTGCATCCTCCCCAGCGCGCCCGCAATCCTGCGCATCAGCGCCACCAGATCCGCGTCCCCGGGCGCGTCCCCCGTAACAACAGCGTCGCCGCCCCGGCCCGCCGCCCTCTCGCTGTCGCGCCGCCGCCGCAGCCACTCATTAACACCAACGCGCACCGGCGCGCCCGCGACCCACTCCAGCGCCAGCCAGCCCGCGGCCTCGTCGACGGCGTACACGGCGGGCACGGCCACGCCCTCGCGCCGGCACTTGACGAGGACGCGCGCCTCGGACAGGATGCGGTGGCGCGTCAGGCGCGCGTCGAGCACCGGGTGCCGCCACGGCTTGGGCGGGCGGTATTTCAGTGCGCAGGGTACCGAGGGGAGCAGGTACGTCGTCTTGTAGAGGCGGCCTTCCGCGCCTTGGGTGATGAGCTCGGGGGTTTTCGAGGAAGGGTAGGTGAGGATCGCCGGGAGGGGGAATTGTTGGGGTTCGGTGTCGTCCGTCATGGCGGCGATGTGGTGGTGATCTTGTGACTGTGGGGTTTTCGATTCGTGGGAGTGAGGGTGAGGGTTTTCGAGCTGGCTGTGATCATGTGGTCGTGTATCTCGTCATCGTGTAGCGGCGGACAATATGTTGTAGCTGTTGGTGGTCGGTCACCAAAGATTTGTGTAATTTGGCGGGGCTGCACAACTCCCAGTCGCCCCGCGATTGATTCCGGTAATCGATAAATCCCGTCGACATGGGCACCTGGAGTGGATGACTTGCGCCAGCAAATCCAGGCGCCTGCCGTAACAAGAGGCAAACAGGCAAGGAAGTCACGTCCAACATCGAAGTCAATTCGATCTCAAAACTCCGAAGCATTGTCCGAGTTTCTCTCCTATTTCCTGTAACGTTCCTCATCTATCATTTCAATACCCTCTCTGTTGCGAAGCCCCAACCTCAACAGTAACGAAACACACCGCCACCAAAGCATGTGACGAGTGACGAGCAGCATAAGCGCTGCCAGGGCCGGTCCGGGGGCTGGTAACTGGCCGCCAAACCCGCCCCCTCTGCCCCCACGATGGACACACCGGGAACATTCGATGGTGCTACTCCTGCAGGTGAGGAGATGAGTGCGGTAGCCGGCGGAACATACGCACCGTGTTCTATCCAGGGCGGAGAGCGACGTTGGCTGTCATATGTATGCATGCAGAGGGCATCCTTCCCGCACCACCTGCACCATCACCATACCGAACCCAGGACGCACAGCCAGGCCCCAGCGACACACACACGCGCAGACGCAGGCCACGCCTATCAGCACCGCAAAGGGCAACACGTAAGAGAGGCGAACGTCACCAACACAATTCGCCTCTCCGCAGCTGCCGTGCTTCTTGCGCATACCATGAATCGGTAGCATTTCTGCTCTCTCTATGAACCTCAGCCGCGCAAATCTCACGTTCGCAATATGGCGGACCCCTCCTCGTCGCTTCTATGGACAGTGATCCTGCTCGTCACCGCTCTTCTGCTCGCGCTCATCGTCACCACCCACATCCTGTCCTCTTACACGATAGCCTACCTGGCCGCGCCGCGTGAGATCAACACCTTCATCGACGCCGTCGACTTTTCGATACAAGAAAACGAGAGTTACGATTGCGACGTGGCGAGAGTGCCGAGACTAGAGGACAAGGTGCGGCTCGGACGGCTCCTCCGCGAGATTCAAAAAGGGGGCGATGACCTGCGCGAGGATTTGAATCAGCTCGTAGTCGCAGAGGGCGGTACTACATTGCACACCAGCGCTCGAATACTATGGGCGAGCCATAGGAGACAGTTGGAGGACAGGGTGCGGAGGCTGGACATCTTGCGCATGCGATTCTTGGTGGTGTATATGGGCATCGTCGCAACGTCGGCAGGGGAGCGAGGGAGGCATGCCGAGAGGACGACACCGAAAGACATCGAGAAAACACCCATACACACCCCTCGTGCGTCTCGGCCGGGCATACACAAGTCCTTGACGGACAGTATCAAGCAGCGGCCGCCGTTGAGGCGGCTGGCTACCCAGGCAATGGGGCATAACGAGAAGACCGAACAGCCACATCGAACTGGATGGATGGGCGTGGTACAAGAGCTACAACGCTCACCACTTATGCAGAAGCGACATGCCTCTATTGAGGAAGCTATGCGATCGCCGCCGGTTATGACGCCGTTGGGTAGCCCGCTGGCTCTGAGCCCAATCGCCAGGACACCTTCACCAATGACCATCGACTCCTAAGCATATTCAATGTGGGATGAAGCTTTCTGGCATTGGGAGATAACCGCAAGGCCTCTTCTAACATCGAGTTCGCCCCCTGACGCCCGCATGTTCAATTTCGCAAGCACGAGACTTACATGTTGTCCACCCACACCCTGACTGTCCAGGAAACCCCGAACCCTCCTCCGCAACTCCCGCGAATGGAACCCCTGCGAATGGGCTACCCCATCTACCCCAATGCTGGTGGTCCCAACTCGGGAAGTGGTGAAGGTTCCTTCTTCTAGGCCGTCATGACGCTTGTAAATCGATGATACACGAACTTTCCACAATGAGTTCAATGTGTGATTTCTCACGACGAATACGAACCCTAGCTCGTCCTGGTTATACGACTTTACTCGAATCACGACCTCTTATGAGCACAGCGTTGAAATACGCAGCATCACGATCATGAGGACAAACAGAACTGGTTGACACATGAGCATTTACGCCCAACCCTATACGTGGAGTTTTCGGTCACATCATCTGGATTTTAGATACCCCCTATTCACTGCATATTCAATTCCTCCACTTCACCTCATTAGCATTAGTACCCCTTTCCTGTTGATAACTTTGGATTATGCTTCTTTAACAAACTCTTCACTCAAACGTGCTTGGAATTCATGAACTACTCCATGAATATGTATGTACGGGGTTACTAGTGTAGGTGACTGGACAAGTGGGTGATATACTGTTTGGGTTTGGGAATTGGGCCAAGGTACCTGGATCGACAGATGTACTTCGCATGCAATGCATATATTCCTCAAGGACTGACTTCGCGGCTACCTCTTGCGACTTGTGTCGGGGAGTTTCGGCATCTACAGCATTGCGCAGTCCTATGTCTCCCATTGTCACCGAGCTTATAGTATACGCACACCGAGTGTTTCCCAAATCATGGAGCGAATGATTGTGAGTGTCACTGTAAAACTGAGTAAATATATGGAGTAGACAGTATACACACTATACGTTAGGGATGTTGATCACCCGCCTGCCGGACACCCGAAGCCGGGAAAGTTATCACCCCGCGGGGAAGCATTCCACCATCGGATCCGATGTTCGGAAGCTACCGCAACCCTCGACTCATCCCGAGGTCCAGCAACTAACTGAGTTCCCAACCCTCCTCTTAATATAAGTTCTCACCGCATCTGAACTTCAAACGTACATACAGCGTTACTTACATATTCGTCCCAATCCTTTCTAAGATCGTACGGGCATGAGCCTCCGCCAGACCTCAACACTGCTGCACCATTGCTTCCTCACAAGAGCCGCCGTGTTCTCAAAAGCCCCTTTCCTCACCTCTACCCGTACATACAGGCCCTTCAGCACCAACTCCCCGCCGCTCAAGATGCGCATCCCGTACACGCCCAACCCGCCCACCACGACCGATGCCGAGGACCAGGCCATCATCTCGCGCATCGAGGCGCGCCGGGCGCCGCGGCCGCTGCAGGTTCGTTTGGGTTCTTTCTCTTTTGTTTTGTTCGTTGTCACCCTTTACTGTTGCCCCTGATAACCCGACCTCCATCCTTCCCCGATTCCCCCTTTTCAAGTGCACAACAGCCATCCCACTCCCCCAAGTCCCTCCCAAGCAAGCCTCTAACCCACTCATCCACCCACTCACTCACTCACCAAACCGCAAGACCCTACCACCCCCACCAAAACCCAAAGTCTGACAAGCAACCACAGCCCCTAGACCTAGCCCTCCTCCACGCACCCCCCGTAGCAGACGGCTGGAACGCCTTCCTAGGCGCGATCCGCACGCGCACGCTCCTGCCCGCCTCTCTACGCGAGCTGGCCATCTGCCGCGTCGCCGTCTGCAACCGCGCCTGGTACGAGTGGGGCCACCACGCGCCGCTGGCCGCCCAGGCGGGGCTGGGGCCGCGGGCCATGGCTGTTTGTCGGGTGGAGGATTTGAGCACCTTGTTCGAGGGGGGAGAGCGGGAGGAAGCTCGCGAGGACGGCCTCGGCGACAAAGAGTGGGCCGTCCTGCGTTACGCCGACGAGATGACGCGGAAAGTGGCGGTTAGTGAGGAGACGTTCGCCGCGCTGAGGGCCGTCTGCGATGAGCGGGAGGTTGTGGAGGTCACTGCTGTTGTGAGTTTCTGTTTTCTCTACTTGCCCCTTCCCCCTTTTTCTAGCCCTTTTCTCTTGTTTTCTTCTCCTGGGGGGCGGGTGAGTTGCTTGGAATCAGACGACGAAAGGGGGATGGGGGGATTTTGGTCTTCGCGGCCCGCGAATGAGTGGTGAGCCGGTTTGGCTTATAGCCGGCTGCTGGACATAGAGGGAATACGAAGGTCGCAGTGGAAGGGGATCTACGGATTGATGAGCTGGATTCCATCCGGGCGAAAGTCCTGTCTGCTGACATGATCGTAATATCATAGGTCGCGGCTTACAACTGTGTCAGTCGATTTCTAGTTGCACTAGATGGTAAGTCTCATCATTCCCACCTGTTCCCTGTTCCCATCGATGTTCTCGTGCCCCCCGAGGACTCTGCGACATAAGCTGCAAATAATTAAGAAACTGACGACGTGGCAGTGGGCGAGAGAAACAGTACCGGGCCGGATGATGTTGCTCACTGAGTGTAGATTATGGAGCGTAGACTGCCCCTGAGGTATCAGTTCAGGACGACTTGGGATGAATCACATAGGGCATTCGTGAGTATTGAGGAAGGCTTGAGAAGCACATATGCCCGTGTCCTCATTGATTGGAGAGCCCCACACGAAGGCAGGAAAATCCATTGACTGTACGTAGGTATCCAGCTAAATCGTCTGGCAGCATAAGCCAGATTATGTCTCTATTAATGTGATGCTTTGTGTATGTGGAGTACATGCCCGCCCAAATCAACCATAGCATGTATCATGCGGTGACTTTGGGGAGTCACCCCACCCGACAGGCTTTTCCCTCCAACGCCTACCTACTCGAGCCTGGGAGTCGATTATCGGCGACTAGTACCTACGAATCCAGGTCTGGTCGGCTTCGTATCGACCTCCCCTAGGCTGTGAGCCCTCCAAAGAAGAACGTGGCAATGCGCATTACAAGAGTGTCAAGCATCAGAACAAAAGGGAAACCATGCATGTCCACCGCTTGCCTGCCCGTACTCCGCAAAGGACGATTCGACTCCCTCCTCGAATGAGGAATATATAAACAAACAGCCTAAACGCCTCGCCAAATCCGCCAGTATTTTCTGCTTCTTTTCCGTGCAAAAACCATGCCGTCGTCCATCAGATCGAGGTGTGTAGAGCCACTTCGTAGTACCAAGAGTGAAGCGGCGTTATATAGAGGTACAGTGAGTAAAGTTAGCTGTCGCATGGACAGCTCAGCTTGTAGTGTTGAATGGTCGAATCCACGGCTAAATTCGGCCTCGAACGGCACGGTAGCGTCGAATCAGGTAGACGCTTCACGTTGGTGTGTTTGCCGAGTTAAGTGTTCGGGTCCCTGGAGGGGAGATCTTTGGACTTTGCCGGGCCAGACGAAGCGCCCCCATTAGGCGAATGGGCTACATTGGTGGGACTATCCTTGTCAGGTGTCGTTTTCCTAGTGAGGGATGTCGTTTCCGGCTCTTCGGGGATAGTTGCAAACTTCTTGAGAACCTGCTTGAGAGCTGGCCGACGGATAGGCTTGCTGAGGAACTCGTTCATGCCTGATTCCATGCAGTTTTTGACATTGCTCTCGTCGGCAAATGCGGTCAAGGCGACGATGGGGGCCGAGTATCCCATTTGTCGAATCAGTCGTGTGCTCTGAAGACCATCGACGTTGGGCATCTGGATGTCCATGAAGATCAGGTCAAAGTGATGGTCATTCGCCATATCCGCTTTGACCAGATCGTACGCTTCCTGGCCGTCCTTGGCGATCGTCACATCGTACACATCCTCAAGCTTCAGCATTCTGCTCACGACCTCGATATTGGTAGGGTTATCTTCTGCAACCAAGACTCGCAACTTTCCTCCGCCTTTGTTTGCTACGGCGATTTCGGCAGCCTTCAAGCGATCTTGCGTGGTTGGTTTGGATTTGGGGCTAGGATTTGCGGCGAAGAATGGTTGACTCAGGCCGACGAGACGGGGCTGCTGGTCGAGAACACTTGCTTTGGCCTCGGCCGTAGTTTGTCCCGCTGAGACCTTCCGGTTCTCGCCGTCTGCCGAGCTAATGCTGGGGTTTCGTGATCTGAGACTACTGGACGCCGTGCTTGAAGGCCTAATTTCATCTTGTTAGTAGCTGGAAGCCCCAAGAATGGGCGGCCGTCTCACCTGTCCTTCGTATACTTGAGGGGTATCTGCATCGTGAAAGTAGTGCCGACCTTCATTACGCTCCTTAGTGTGATCTCGCCTCCCATTAGATTTGCCAACTGTTGGCAGATACTGAGTCCCAGTCCAGTTCCACCGTACTTTTTGCTCAGACCCAGATCTCCCTGCATGAAAGGCTCGAAAACTCGCTCCTGCATATCTTCTGGGATACCAGGACCGGTATCCTCGACTTCAAACTCGAATAAGAAAGGTTTGGCATTTGGTGGGGGTGGCGTCGCAGACCGCTCACGTACATGTACGTGCGGTGCGGTCTTAGGATCCATGGGGTTGATCGATAATGCTGTGCCTCCTTTGTACGGCCGCTGTGGAGTTGGCGAGTCTCTCGAGTTGCTCGAATGGTTTGATCCCGAACCTAGCCTATGGCGAGATCTCCCCGGTCGACTCGAGACACTTTTCGTGAAAGAAGACGATCTGCTCTCCTCTGACTGCTCGACCTCTCCTACGCATTTTATCCTCACGGACACCTTGCCGCCATGTGGTGTGAACTTGAGACTATTGCTCACGAGGTTGATCAGCACTTGTAGGATTCTGTGTTGATCACCCCACAGACACATATCCTTCAACCGACCGGTCCCGGATGGGCCGAGGGCTGGAAGCTTGCCGTCTATACTAGGCCGGTCAGGACCCTGGCCCATGTCCACGTCGGTGCTCAAGAAATCAACTGAGAAGATGATTCGACCCTCCCGGACTTGCTTGTCGAAAATGGTTAGCACTTGTGATTTGATATCACCCAGCCGGAACTCCTTCTCCTCCAAACTCAGTTGTTGGCCAATTTGGTTCTTGGAAAAGTTGAGCAGATCTTCGAGGAGATGGAACAGTAGATCTCCAGACTTGTAAAGGAGCTTCAGAGACTGCTTGATCCGAGTCAGGTCGTCCTCCTCCATGCAGACCGCGGCCATGCCCAATATCCCGTTCAGAGGGGTTTTCAGCTCATGGGATATATTGGCAATGAACAACGTCTTGCTCTCGTTGGCGGCTTCGGCTGCCTTCTTGCTGATCTCGAGTTCGCGAGTCCGATCGGCGACTTTGGCCTCCAAAGACGTGTATTGTTTCAACAGCTCGTCGCTCATTTCATTGAACGTCTGGGTCAGCTCGGTAAGCTCATCTGTGACATAGTGCTTGCGATCCTCTACCTTGCGGGGTATCTTGAAGATCTGCCTTCGAGGATCGCTACTATGTTCCGAGGCAGGAACCCTCGATCTGGTGTTCCTGCGGATCAACCTCTTCAGCTGAATCAGCACTCCCTTGTCTGTCTTGTCATGTCCCGTTCCAGGTGGTTGGTTTTCGTCATCCTCATAATCAACATCATCCTCGTATGCTTCGGCGTAACCAGGAGGCGCAATGGATTTCTCGGTTGCCGTTTTCAGTCTCCTGATAGGCTTGACGCTCAGGTGCGCACAGGGGAAGATGAAGAGCAGCACAAGACCAGCCGTACCAAAGACGGTGCCCAAGAGGATGTTCTGGAGATTGTGGATGGGAATGTACGCCTCATTCCTGTCTTGTTCGACAATGAGCGTCCAGTTCACCAAGCCACTTTGGGGGCGAGCATAGCCAACAGCGACGGCAGAACCTTGTTCATTGGTCGTAGAAAGCATACTGCTAGCGTTATTGATGGCAAGATTCCGTTTGGAGAAAGCCTTGAATGCGGCCTTGTACGCGGAGACCTTGAAGGGCTCGTCGTATTTGCCCGAGGCGAAGTTGTGGAGCGTATGTCTGTCATGCTGGCCTGCCATCGCACTAGGAGGCAAGACGAAGTTGACATTGACGTCGGAAAAGTTGGTGGCCGCATCGTTCGTAGCATTTGCAGGGAGGTTATACTTGCTGAACCGATTCCAACCCGTGGCCGGTCCGACCAGCAGGACGCACCCGGTAGTCCCTAGTCCTTCCTTGGAAGCTACGATACTGATGATGGGCGTAGCTTCAGCAACGACGGTCATGTATCCGAGCACTAGCTCTCGTCCCGTATTCTGTCTGATAGGTATGGTCAGCGAGATAAGGGCATAGGTCTCGTTGATGACCAGCGGGCCCAGTATGAGGCCGTTGACGGTCGAATCAATTCTTATATCTGGAAAGGGCCTGGCGGTGGTCGCATTGTAACCTGGGTTGTCCGGGTCGGGGTTCGACGAGTTGTAATAGGTGATGTTTGGGTAGAGGCTTGGAGGGTAGCCGTAGTTCTGGTCACCACTCAGATAGACGTCGGATCCGTTGGCGGCTTTATAAGGTAGCAAGACCTGGGTGAGATTATCGCCAGTGACACTGACGAGACCTTCGGAGCTGGCGCCGGTCTCGTTACACGAGAATAGCCTTGTCTGCAGGAGATTGGCAGATCCACCCGAGTTGAGAGCGCTCCGGAGGTCATCGGAAGCCTGAGCCCAATTGCTGTCGGAAGTATTGCCGCGGTAGAAGGATTGGAAGGCGGACTGAACCAGGAGTCGCGTGGTTATGGTAGTACAGGTGGTCTGGATGAGCTCGATCTGGGAGGCGACCTGGGCAGCCTTCAGAGAAGCAGTCAAGGACAGACCATCGGTCTCTACGCCAACGACGAAGCTGTTGACATATATCCATGTTGGAATAGCGACGATGGCGAGCGCAAGGAGGACGGCAAAGAGCACAAGTGCGGCCAACTGCTCCCGGATCGCCACTCTCATGTTTCCTGTCTATGAGGGGAAATGCGACAGTCGCCTGGGCCGATGCATTCTCTAAGCTTCGATATCTGGTCGGATTGGAATGCACGTCGGAAAGAGGAAGAGGTGGGAGTTTGAGGCCGGCGCGAAGAGCGGGGACCGAGACGGGTCGCTCTGTCCGTATGGGTGCCGTCGCGGCTGTCGTTGTCGGTGTCGTATCGTCGGGGACTCCAAGGTGGAGTGGTTTGTCGAGACTCGAGAGCTCCGTACAAGCGAAGGTGCTGGCAACTGGCAACCGACAACTGACCACAAGGACGTGGTGTGGTGGTGTAGGTGCCGTGTGTGGTTGCGGCGGCGGCGCCGGTGGACGCGACGGGCTGCAATTGGATGAGGTGGTCAAACGTCAAGACTTAAGCGTCGAGAGCGCGACACGAGCAGGCGACACGAGCAGCAAGAGGGCAGGCTACGAATCGTAGCCTACGATAAGGTAGCGTTGGGGAGGACAGACTGGAGGAGGACTGGGAAGTTTGGTGCCAGGGGAAAATTGCCGTAGCGCAGAGACGAACCGTGCCAGAACGTTCAACGGTGTAGTGCACGGCGGCACTGCACCTGAATAGGAGCTAGCCGCATGGGGGAAGGACGGCGCTGGTTGACGGAATGACGGACTGACACCATACAGATTTGGACCTTCTGTCTCGTCACCAGTATCTCTCGGTCTAAAAACAAGCTTGAAGGTATATCAGACTGTTGGGTTTGGAGGACTGGTCCGGTGATCGAGTGATCGACTGGCAAACAACGGGGCCCAGGGGGGATCTCCAGCTCTGAGCTCGGTTTCCACTCTGCACTCTGCACTCCAGTTCTAGAACTCTGGGGTTGTGGTGGTCGTGGGTGGTGTACTGGTGCACTGCTGAACCATGCCAGCTTCACATCAATTGTGATACCTACCTCTGAATCTCATTACATGTATCGAATCGATTGCTGAGCTAAAAGAACGCGCAAGCCTCTCCATAGCCGACATCGCCACCAGGACTCGCGATGGTGAAGAAAAAGAAAAGGGCAGGGAGCATCCCCGCCCCCAATTGACATGCGATCCCCATTGGGAGCACATGGCATTTTGAGTGCCAGAGAATCGTCTCCAGGGCTATGATTACGGGGGCCGCTACCCATGGCGGGTACTCTAATAAATCCACTGAGTCCAGACCCGAATCGCCGTCGTGACTCGTCGGCCCCCAGCACAGCCTGTCAGCTTCCCCTGTCGCCATCTCAACTCATTGCCCGTAATGACAACAATCAAACCGTCCACCTCCGTCCATCTGAGTCCGACGTACAACTTCGCCGCAGCATATGCACAGTACCTACACATGTGTATGGGATTCTCAACCCAGGCCAGGCGAGCCGTCATTAGGTTCATGTTGTAATGCTCACATATCCCATCCATCATGCACTCACCAAAACCTAAAAAGCTAGATCAACAACGCGGCATCACCGTTGGGCTGCTGTATCCACGACATATGTCTCACGAAACCGAACCCGCCTAGATCTCCTGCGCCCCTCGTACCACCGTGTGGCTGGCTGGCTTCAGATGTAACACAGCAGTCCTAATGCGCACGACCAGTCATCTGGTAAGGCAAGCAACTGGCCACGCCGCCGTGCCACTGAACAGGATCTTCCCTCCAGATCTCTTGTGTACCCTCTGTCTCAGCGATTTTCGCAAAAGCTGGTTACGCATGCGCGTCGAGACCTCGTCTTTAGATGCAGTCCGACCTTCAGATGCAGTCAGACTTTCAGATGCAGTCCGACCTGAGTAGTAGGAAGTGGTCCTCTTATGCACAGCCTTCGCCCGCCCATGAACTGCATCTAGATATGAGACATGTCGGGAATATGATAAAAGTGATCTGAACGGCACTGTCTCGCAAGAAGAAACTTCATATCGAAAGACGCAAGGGAGAATCAGTCAGAATACCCTCGCCACTGAGAGAACATGAGATGTGAACTGATGCCAAACATCACCCACCTTGGAGACTGTCTCTTGCCGGCAACTCGTCCAAAGACTTGTACGGTTCCCCTCCAACTCACAAAATGGCCTGCAACTCCCAAAAGATCACTCGCTCAAGGTGCGGTATCTACCTAGGTACGTAAGGTCTGCTGAACAATCAGATATCACTTCTTCGATCCTGCGAGATCTCACAGCTCTTGTGTTGGACACCTTGAGGCCATTTGGTGCCGGAGAGTCACCTATGAAGCGGGCTGGTATTGACCCATCGGCGAGTCGTTGAATGGTAATGAGGCCTGGGTAGGAGGTGATGTCGTGCTCTGTAGTTCATAGACAGCCTACACGCATTCGCGAAGGGCCAACCTCCAGATATACAATTGCGACTGTGTTTAGCATGATCTATCAAAATTGACATCGACTATTTGTTATGCCTTATAATTGCGGCTGAATATGAATATTGAATGAAATCTGTGAGCAGAACCTAACTTTGTATGTTGACAGTATGTGCTGGGCAGCTAGGGTGGCGGGCATGAAGACCTTATATCAATCCTTTAGGTACATCTTGACAGCCAACTGCCAGGAGCTGAACCTTTGCAATAAGCAATCACGCTGTTACGTTCATATAGACCTTGTTAGGTTCCGGATATTGCCTTCATGACTATTAGATCTCTAGTCGACCAGTCGTTATGATGACAGATTCTTCTCGGTAGATCTCCCTTTGATCGAGTTGTTTTGTTTTGTGACCACAGGTCACTCAATTATGGTGGGACCAGAGGTCCAGTATCGAATAGGAAGAGTAAACAGCTGAAAGGCCGCACCCTCAAGCCTGACACAGTGACTGGGAATGGACTTGCTGATACAGCCTTCAGCTTCAGCCTGGCTCTCAAGCGGCGCTGCCAGAGATCTCCCTTTGATGGTGTATTGCTAACTCCACGCTCTTCGAATCCAAGTTCAACTTCCACAACACCTGTATACAATATCCACGCCGAAGGCCTGTGTCCGACACATCATCCCCAAGACGAGTAATATTTTTTCATCGCATAGATTGCCAACGTATGCAGTATGCCTGACCTTCTTATACCTGATCAGTCCCCAAGGGTTTCGACGTCCCAGGGCGGCTCATTGGAATAAGCGTATATATATCCGGTTCTCCGAAGACACCGTTGTAGATGATATGCAGGTCGAACACGTACCGCAGTCCAAGCCGGGCCCCTCAATGTCGGTAGACAGGCAGCCAACCCACTCACTCCACGAAGAAGCGGCATACGCTCTGTTCTATCTGAGAGCGGAGGAACCGCAGCCTCGAAGATCGTCTTCACCGCGAGGATTTCAGCGACTGGCAGAACGTAGAGCTAGCATCCTTGCATCCTTGCCTGACTCATACGCAAGTAAACCTATCCTCTCAGGCCAGCCCGTTCACGCATAAAGCCGTCCCGGCACCGGAGGCGCCACATCATCCCCCTCAGCCCCAAAGCCCAGATGTCCCACCTCCTCCTCTTCGTGCTCGTAGTCAGCATACCACTCGGGCGGCATCTTGACGACGCCCCAGCGGAGCCTGCACTCAGACAGCTTCCGGCAAGCCCCCTGCTCTTCGTCGCCGTCGCCTTTGTTGAGAAGCGTGCTCGACGACAGCGATAGCGAGCGCCACGACCTCATGGACCGCCACGACTTCTTCGCCGACAGCCTGCGCATCTCGATGCCGCTAAACGCGCCCGCGCCCTCTCCGCTGCCTCTCCAGTCCCCTTCGTCGCCGTCTGTTGTCGGACTGTGCGGCCGGACGGGCATGTACGGCGAGGGCAGGAGATCAAAGCGCGAGGAGCGGGGGCTGCTGTCCAGCGCCATCGATTTGCGGGCGGCGTGGGACAGGGGCGACGAGTGGCAGGCCGCCGAGAGCGCTAGCGAGTTGCTGCCGGGGTTCACGATGGTGGAAGACAGTCGCTTGAAGCTTAGTAGTGGTGGGATGAGAATCAAGACCAGCGATACTATCATCAAGACGAGGAGAGACCAGACGGAGTATCCCACGGCGATGGCCGTGTTGTCGGGTAGTGAGGGGTCACTGATTTCGGTACTACCGGTACCGACAAAGTCGCTTCCATAGTAGCCTTATGCCGTGTAAGCAGAGTAAATATCAACAGTCAAGGTTAGTGTTGTGGTAGACTCACCTCCGATTGATACAAAGACATAGATCGTATTGGAGAGCAGCCAATGTAGAAAGACGCTGACCGCGATTAGGGGAAGACTATACTTGTATGGTAGTTGTAGCCGGTAGGTAGAGTACTGGTTACCCTGTTTCGATCGATCAGCATTCCTCACGACAATACATATCTGCTTCGGCGTACCTTCGGTTCAGTGACTCGGAGAGGGTGATACCCATCGCTGAACTGTGCAAACTCTCGAGCCATCTGCAGGCGAGTGAACATGTTATTGTACTGCAACAATGAATTAATAAACGAACACGGGGATGGTTTGCTGGCTTGCAAAAGATCCGGTTCCAATCCCAAATTCATATTGGCCGGCCGCCTGGGACACTCGCCTGGGACAGAAGCGGGCGCGACATGAACATCGGAAAGGGAACAACAGGAAGGACACAAAGTAGGACGTCACTTACAGCTAAGTAGCAGAATGAGAGTAGCAGTTGCGGACTATTTGCCAACAAGACTGCATTGATGAGTGAGAACGCAAGCGGGATGAACGAATTCTCGTCACCTCCGAGAAAGGTGCCTTGCCTACAGAACAGTTAGCTGTCTTTCCTACCCGAGGCACAAACGTTGAGCACTCACAAGCCGTTCGTATCCAACGCATTTTTGAACAGCCCTACACAGGTCCCAATACCAACGAGGAACAGTAAGTAGCTCGTCGTCCATACAGATATCGGAACGACCGATGCCCGGCGCTTTGGCAACGCGCGCCATTGTCGCGGCCCGGGAACGAGAAAGGCACGTTTTGACCTCATAGCTCTCCGTATGTCTGTTTGGTCAACGGTGCTCAGCCCGGCCGTGACTCGGTCCGGTTGCTCGATGAAGGAGGCTATGGCATCCCCTAAAGTCACCAGGGGCGCCTGATTGCGGCGGCAGAGTACGATGGTGACCACGATGGCCGTGACGGTCTTCACAATTACACATATAGTAACTCCCATCAGTAGGGTAGGTGACAGTGCGATATCTGCAGGGGTTGGTGTTAGTTATGACTGCATGCTTATACCAACAAGGAAAGATGATGACTTTTGCGTCCTGATTGTTGCTAGTGACCCCAAGACTAACGGCCCCGAGGAGACAATACCGCATGGCTTAGGGCAATGATGGGATACACGGATTCGTGGTAAAGCTGCTTACGGCATATGTCTTCGACTTGCTCCGCCAGACAATCTTAGCGACGAGTTAGCGATTGGTCAATTCGTGGAGAGACTTGAGAGAGCCTCAGGCTGCGCCAAAAGGGTAAAAAAAGGTCTGACTACTGCTTGTGACTCGGGCGGGGTGATATTTGCTACAAGCATTGCCTGTGAGCGGTGCAGGGGAAACTGTGAATCCGAAATGACTTACATTTCAACGTTAGGTTGAGAGAGTCAGGCTGAAGGCCCGATGTGTTGGTATAGACGGAATGCTTCCAGGTCCCGTTGAATTGGTCAGAACCATTGACCGCTTCATACGACGCGTAAGTGGAATTGTCAATGAAAGGATACCGCCAATCATGAAGCCCGTCAAGGGAGCCATCACCTAAGGCGCCGCTGCATGTATTACTGCATTGCGTTGGTTCCTGATTCACCTGCAGGGCGTTCATGGCACACTGCGCGTCGAAAAAGAGATGATTGGGCTGATCCGCAGGAACATACTGGTCCCAGAACGTTGCATCGTTATCTTGTAGATGCCAGATGTCGTCTCGCACCCATCCACTTGGCTGATCCATCACCCACAAGACGTTGCGGTATTTCTTCAGCCCGTGGCAATCAATATATTGCGCGTAACAATTTGCTGCTTCGAGCCTGTCCCAGCTACCAGCGTTCGCAGCAGTATTTGTTATGTTCAATACAGCAGGAGAGTTCTTAGTGTCGTAGTCTGACATATTCACCGGGGACCCGTAAGCGGACCCGCCGGGCGACCAGGAGGAATAGTCTGGCCGATAGGCATCGCTCAGGTTAAGATTTTTGTAATATTCCGCCCAGTGGTTTTGAACAACGTCGTCGGAGGCCAGAGCTGGTAGAATTAAGCTCCCACCGGGAGGGAAAAAGGCACCACCGTTCACAAGTCTCTCGTTGCCGATTGTCAGATGGAAATCGGACTGCCGGTGGTCCGTTTCGAAAATCGTAGAGTTGAAAAGCACATGGATCGGTATCGAGCTCAATAGCAAGAGCACCCAACACCATGTCTTGAATTTGGAGACTCGGAACGCGTTTCGAACCGAGGGCACGCCAATACCCAACCAGGAGCCTCTGAAATGCGCTTGGTTCACTTCCTCCCGAGATGGCGAGTTGAGCACCTGCATGAAGAAGTTGCTCGAAGCGAGCCTGTGTCTTGGGTTAGTACGGCATCAACTTCGAAGTGAATGTATCACATGAAAAGACCCTTCCCTGCATGGTTGGCCCTGGACGACAGTAACCGTCTTGTTGACTTCCATCGTGGGAGGGAGTGAGTCGACTTTGAGAACAGGCCCTGTGCCGTGAGACCATGGTATGGTTCAGCCGCCAGGAGATGCAACTCGGCCCAGCAGCCAGATCAGAAATTTACTTACTATTATTTCCAGTTAGCGATATATCCGACGAACTCGACATAAAGGTCTCGCATTGAAAAGCTTGAAAGAGCGGAGGCTTACCACTAGAGTCGAAACGATATTAATCAGCAAATGGAGCGCCAGGTTGACCGAGGCCACATTCTTTCCGCCGCAGTCGCCATCGTAGAAGAACAGGGCATGTTGCGCGTCATGCGACAAAGCTGCGATGGTACAGGCCAGCAGAGCCACCGACATGACACTGAGGACGACGCAGTTGACCTTTGCCGCCTTCTTCCAGCCATTCGAGTCCTGCTTGGAACCCCGGAAATTGAGGCTGCCCATCTTGGGCTTGGCAGCGGCGGCGGCGTGCTCGTCTCTCTGCTGTGGCGGACAAGGTCGGTCATAGACTCATGTCGGCCTGTCTGTTGCTGCGATAAGGTTGTCGTCTTGATCCCGTCGGCGGCGGTGTCTTGGGAGAAAAGTACTGGAGGGCACTCGATCCTAGAAGTAGGATGACGACCCCTGCATATCCCACGTCGCAACTTGCAGGCAGCAGGCAGCAGGCTGCATTTCAGCTGCATTTGAGCTGCATTTGATCGGCAGCGGTCTTGTGGAGACTGCTGAGCCGCACAGAAGCATCGGATATTGCGTCACAAGGCAATGCAATGCGCAGACTCTGCAGAGACATCGCGGCACAGCCCTATTGCGACCCTATCACCTTGTTGATTCGGACCATTATGATGGCCAGCTTGCCGCTGCCGGATCCCGCGGAATTGGTCGATCGACGTCAATCAGGTATCACGACAAATAGAAGGCTGAAGTAACTGATGCAGAGGCGAGAAGCAGCACCCTGCACACGGCAAGGATTCTCGGGGGCCAAAAGGTCTCTTCATGCCCGGCCAAGTGGGCATTAGTGAGGCTCACGATTTTTGGAGAAGGTAGTTCTTCAGTAATTGGTGAATACATAACCAAAGGAGGGTTGGACACAGATGCACGTAGAAGCATGGATGGCAAGAACGACTGACGTTGGAGGCAGGAGGCAGGAGGCAGGAGGGCCAAACCTTCGAAGCCCCACAACGGCTACATGTATCGCACGTCGTTACAGCCTTTTCTACTATTCTACTACCCAATAGACAGCTTGAAAACATAGCTGTCTAGTGGAAGAGCGTCATCCAAGCAACTTGTGCTGTTATTCCGCTCCATCCTAAGTGCCGGAATGCAATCGGTCTCAAACGTCGTCTCCGCATACTGCGGCCGCCAAGTACACTTGGTGCAACACATGGTGCAACTCTGTGTGATAGAGGCAACGCGTCTACGAGTCGACACTGCTCATGGACAGCTTCACCATCCCCCATGAACAAAGCACAGGCCTGTGATTCATGGATCTTCAGAGCATCGTGTCTCTTCGGGTGGGTGGAATGGACAGACAGCAGCTTTCTCGGGCCAGTCCTCGGCTGCACCATCGACGGATGTAGCCTTGGGCTTTTACTCCATCTTGGGACGAGTTTAAGAGAACTGCCGTCCCATGAGCGTACAGTTTGCTTGAGCAGCATTCATTGGAAACGGCAGGTTGCATAAAATTGTCTGGCCATGAATGGTGACACTTGTACACCGTACTTGGCGGTAAAGACGATAGAAACACGACTCGCCGCGATCTCGCTATTGCCGTGACGGTCCCTTATGCATCTACGAACTCCCTTTACGGTGCAGGGCCTGCTTGCAACCTGACCTTTTTTTCTCTCCGTGGCAAGAGGCCCACGTAAACACCGCGGTCTCGGATGCGAACTACGATATCCTAGCCATGTCGACGGGGACGGCGCAGAGTACGACCTGACCGGAAACTGACACGATTACAGACGCATTCCCGTCCCTTACGACCAGATTCGCCCCGGCGTCATCCTGTCTAAATCGGTACTACTTATCATCCATCTGGGAAGCGACCCTACTCGATATATACAGCGATGACAAAGATAGGCTCTATTCGGCCTGCCAACCAGAGGGTTTTGATCGAGACTGGTTCTGGACCCAGCTATACAGCCCAAGGGTATGCCCACAAGATATGACAGTTGCCCATGCCACCAGTGCTACAGACTACCTCAGGGGGTTTACCGAAAATTGTTGCCAAAGGTACTCGCTCTGAATCATTCCTTGACAGAAGATTTCAACCGCTGATTATAGGGGCGTATCAGTGGCTTTACCTACGATTTCAGCAGCTGTTTCTCGATGGTTTCGTCGCCTACCTCAGTTCTCATGTCGCCCGAAATAGCCTCAACCGACATTTGGACGGTCCTTCCCGAAGCGGTGGCACATCACCCGCCCATCACAGTGATATGGCAAACGACCAATTTGTCTTTGTTCGCCAACGATATCTCTTCACAAAGAGCCTCACTTGCAAGCTCAGTGGCCAAGTTCGGGTGGAACAGTGTTTCAACAACTTCGAATACACATGACACTCCTATGTCTACAGAACCTTCCGCGACGGAGACGCCAGGAATCGATGCACCAGTGGATTCGCAGACATCAGAAAAACACACGTTGAGTCCAGCTGTAATTGCAGCTATTGCAGTCGTAAGCTCGATCTCTCTTGCCTTGGCCTTTATGTCCATATGGGCATACCGCAGACGCCGTCAACGTCACCCTGTGCGACATGGAGCCGGACAAGAGTTGGATGCTACCCATACGAGTACTTGGAAGCGGTGGGTGGGAGGCGGATGGAGAGCAGAACTGAGCAGTCATGCGACGGCATGTAAGTTGGCTGATACAGAGACCTGTGCTGAGTTAGAGCATCTCCACCAGTCTGAGCACAAGCGAAAGACCGAGCAAGAACCACCAGTGGAGCTGGATGGAACAGCGGCGACCACACAAGCCACACCACCAGTTTCTCATGGAGAGCGGGCAAGCGAGTCACCGACTCAAGAGTTGGTATCACCAATGGCATAAACCTAGACGACCATGTTAGTCAAGTCACTACATACTGTTCAGAGTTTTGGAGATCGGTTAGGTATTCAGACAAGTTTGAGAAGATTGGATGCGCGGTGGTTATCGGCATTCACTATTGGAGAGCTGGAGATCCAGTCCCAACAGCAGTTCGTTGGCCCCGCGTGCGTCATCATTCGGAGCATAGGACAGAGACGAAAGGACTTACTCTTGGGGGAGATAGACCAGATTGTAATACACATGGCTAGACCAAGTCTGACGAACAGTCCTCGTGCTGCATTGAGCCATACAGGCGTATCTGAAAGTCGGTACTGAAAACCGGACGGTATTCGGGGCTTGGACAGCTCACCCCCATGACAGCAAGCTCAGGTCTCAGGCCGGAACTTTCCTCGCTTCTCCTTCATGGCCTGAACCTTCTTCCTGTCCTCGTCGAACCTCCTCAGCATATCAGCCTGCTCAGCCTTTCTTCGCTCGCGCAGCTGGAACCGGTAGAAGTCTTGCATGTCATCCTGTTTCTTCTTCTGCTTGTCCAGCATCCTCTGTTTCGCCTCTTCCGCTTCGTCTCGGTTGGCAGGAGCGCTTCGGCCGCCGCGCGTAACAGTGACGAAGCCGTCCTCGTCTGGCTCGTTTCGCAGCCTCTTGGCCAACTGGTTGGCCTCCTCCTCTTTCCTGTTGAAGACGGTGAAGTATGCGTCCATCACATCTTGGACTACGTCGTTGCCTGGGTACGACATCTTGTTGTGCGCCTTCAACCACAGTGAGCCGAGAGGCGGGGCCTTGTCCTTGACACCCTCTCCCCATACAGGATATTTCTTAGACTTCTTGAGCTTCCGCACGGCTTTCAGGACAGCCTCGACGCTCTTCTCGTCAGCGAGTAGGGCCACAGCGGAGCTACCACTCCGATGCAGCTGTCGTGTCCATGTATCGGGCAGTTCGGCGGCAGCTTCTTCCCTCTTATGCTGCAGTTCTTCGTCTTCTCTCTTTCTCTTCTTGTGCATTTTTGCTAGCCGCTCAGCTTGTGCCGGCTCGTGAGAAGTTTTCGCAACCTTCCTGTCCTGCTCGAACGTGATGCTCTCGAATCGACCGGCGCCGACCAGGTTTGCGAATAAAGCTCGGAAATGGGGTTCAGTACTGTCGACAGGAACGTTCGCTAGGAAGAGACATCGAGAATCGTTGGCCGTGGCTATCCTGGGGGCGTTACGACGAAGATACAAGTAGTGCGTTGCTTGTACAGGATACGATGGTAGAGGAGGTATCGATACTGGGAGGGTCGCGAAGTCCTCTGAGGACGTCGGCATCTCGGCCATGGCTATGGCGCAACCTGATAGTCGTGGGAGAACAACGTTCAAAACCTGCGAGCAACGTGTTGCAAGCTGTGGATCGCGGCCAATCGTCAGATTTTGTGATATTCTCGCCGTAATGCTGAGTTGAAAAAAGTGAAAGTGGGATGTTGCAGAAATTCGGCGCCTCTTGAAAATTTAGTGGACCGTTTGGACAGCGTGACTGGCACCTGTCAATTCTCTATAACGGCTGGCAGCTGCCGTTTGTTGTTGCATCATCACACCTGCACACATGACAGTTGGACACACCCAGCAACTCAGCAACTCATCAACGCAGTCGACATAACAGGCGCCATTTGGAGAAAGACCTGACTACCGCAGAAACCTCTGACAGCGATCGGATAACTGTGAGTCCGCCAGCGGAGAGATCAACTGGCACGGCTAACAGGGACCTAGTTTTACATGACGCAACTGGTCACAAACCATCAGTGAACGCCATTGGTTTGCAAACATCTCATCGTCGTCACCCCAACAGCCGTTGCCTCAACAAAAAGGCACTGATCTGCAGCGTATGCATATGCTTTCATACCGCACCATCCCGCGCCTACAAAGACACCGCCTCTCAGCATTAACTCTCTCGTCATCACCCGCAGCCAGAGCAGCTCTTCGCCGGCCTTTCAGCATGTCTCAAGCAACGCAGGAGCCCGTGCTCAACAAGGTCTCGAAGCTGCCCATTGACGAGGCGAAATGGATCACTCTCAAGAAGCTCGACTATACGGACCAGACGGGAACGCAGCGCACGTGGGAGATGGCCACGCGCAAGACCCGCGGCAAGGCCGGCGTCGACGCCGTGGCCATGGGCAACATCCTCGTCCACCCGTCGAAGCCGCCGTCGACGATGATCGTGATCCAGTAGTAAGTGTCGTGTTTTCTTGTCACCATGAAAAACTTCATACATTTTTCGGTAAAATTAATTTTGCTAACGGTGAAAAAGTCGCCCCCCGCTCGACGCGTACACCGTGGAGTGGCCGGCGGGGCTCATCGACGCCGACGAGACGGCCGAGCAGGCCGCCGTGCGCGAGTTCCGCGAGGAGACGGGCTACGACTGCCGCGTGTTGAGCATGAGCCCCGCCCAGGCTGCCGACCCGGGCATGAGTGATGCGAACATGGTGCTGGCCATGGTCGAGGTGCAGCTGCGCGAGGGAGATCCGATGCCGGAGCAGCGCCTAGATGACGGCGAGCGCATCGAGCGCGTCGTGGTGCCCCTTACTGAGTTCTACGATCGTCTCGTCGAATACGCCACAAAGGACCGCTTCGTCGTCGCCGCGAAGCTCTTTCACTTTGCCGCTGGCATGCAGTTTGCTCAGACACAGAAGTACGTCAAGTTCCCGGAGCAGGGTTGATGCGGAAGGGATTAGGGGGAAAGGGCGATACCAAGGTCAGGGTTTCAGGCTTTCGAGACGAGTCCGATGAGCACCGGTCAAAGAAGACGCCCGAGGTGTATTTCTTGCTACATCATTCAGACTTCCGCCAGCGTAGCGAAGACCGTTTGCTGAAGACTCTGTTAGACTTGTTGCCGGTATTGAGAAGGTACACGGCCAAAATATGAGCTACACTTCCACACAGGCACCGAGTACTTTATTTTCTTGACCTTTCCCAAGCTCGTCTCGAGACACTTTCTCCCAGGCATGGCAGAGCAAGGCGTCCTCTTTCGTGGTAGTCTCTCTTGCCCCTGAATTGGCCAAGGCGGCCGCTTCGGACGGGAATGCTGTCACCCCGGTATCCTCGCGGGCCTCCTTGTTCAGCACGCCACATGTTCTCCCGCTTCGCGTGCTCATCTTGTCAGTTGCAGGATATGTGAGATCTTCGGGTTTCCGAGTCCATCCATCCACATCCATACATAAACTTGCAAGCTACGCTCATACGAGAAGAAGCGATTAGACAAAGTTTCCCCAACAGCCACACGGCGAAGCTTATAGCCCAGCCCCTTCCTTGTTAATGTGTGTACTACCTAACGGTACAGGACATATATACGAGTATGATGGGTTAATTTGGTAGCCGGGTTCGTACGGCCTAGCGGAGTATTGTTAAAGAATATCCTTATTCTATATCCTTAGGCACAGCGGTTCGATTCCTCTAGCGGCTGAAACATTTCATTTTTTATATTTTGGCCCTTCCCACTCTACCGAATTTGGACTTCGCTTGATTCGATCTCTCATACCTCTGAGGTGAGCATTAATGGCATGGTCGTGGAACAATACCGGTAGTATCAAGGGCTCAATTGCTCTGAGAGGTTCCGTAAAGGGAGACCACGTGCCAGTCAAAAGGGCGGTGGTGCATACAAGGTCTAGTCGGCCTAGTCAATGATTTTTACAATTCCTTCGAAGATACAACCCCGGGGGAATAGCATTCGCCGATCGGGCTCTTTGATAAAACCGGGAAACCGGCCGGTCCTCCTATGACTCTTCGTCTAGGCCGTCTTCGGCAGCCGTCTTGGCTGCAAGTGTGCGGCGCGGTCCGCGCACACCATAATCCATAAAAAGCCAAACCCCGGGCGGATGCCAATGATCCGTAGGATTCAAATACTCCGCGTATCCACTTCCAATGAGTTGGTTGGAACGGGAATGCCTTGATTATGTAGGTTTGTGCGATGGCTGCGACCAGTTGATCGTAGACAGGATATCGGTCCATCGTTACTTCGGTCGCTCTAGTCGACATCATCAACATGGGCGTGGTTGGCAATGCGCGACAGTTCCTCTCCGGGACGAAGAAGGATTCTGCGTCGAAGCCTCCCTACCTGCTCCCACTCCGCTCCTCGACGACATTGATAGTACTTACTGGTGAGCTTACGAAACCTTCCACCTCTTATTGGCTTATATACTGATTCGGAAAAGTGAATCTGGCCATCTTCACCGACATCTTCTATTACGCCCTAGTAATCCCAGTCATCCCCTTCTCCCTCACCGTCCAAGTCGGCATTCCAGAGGACCAAGTCCAGCACTGGACGTCAATCCTGCTAGCCTGCTACAGCGTCGCCCTGTTCATCGGCAGTCCCATCGCGGGGCTGTACGCAGACCACACATCGTCGAGGCGATGGCCGCTCCTCATCGGCCTGGTAGCGCTCGCCGCATCAACGCTGTTACTATGCTTCGGCAACTCAATAGGCTTGTTGGTCTTGGGTAGGATCCTCCAGGGGTTCAGCGCATCCGTCGTCTGGAGTGTCGGCTGCGCGCTACTCGTCGATACCATGGACAGCGCCGTGGGTGTGGCGATGGGCTATGTCATGACCTCTATGAGTGTCGGTCTCCTAATTGCACCTGTCATCGGCGGCGCTGTCTACGGTGCTGTGGGCTATTATCCTGTTTATTACATCGCGTTTGGCATCGTCGCTGTTGACGTTTTGCTAAGGCTGTTCATGATCGAGAAGAAGGTCGCGAGACAGTGGATCAGGGAGGAGGAGCCCAGCCCCTCGGAAACCGAAAAGCCTTCGCGCGACGTCGAGAAGGCAGTCTCTACGATAGGGTCGCGCACAGAGGACGCGCCGCAAGATGCCGTCGCGGCCTCGGTAGTAGCAGGCAGTGCCCAGACTCGACAGCCCAAGACAGGACCAGAGCCTGAAAAGGCGGCAGATATCCCTCAACAGGACTCCAGGGACCCTTCACCGGTACCTCAGAGCCCTGCCAAACCCCGCCCACTCGTCGTGCTCCTCAAGTCACCAAGGCTGCTCGCCGCCCTCTACGGCGTGGTAGTCCAAGCTGGCATCATGATGGGGTTCGACGCCGTGCTAGCCCTGTTCGTGCAGCGCACATTCCACTGGAACTCCACCGCCGCTGGAATCCTCTTCCTAGCAATCTTCCTTCCGGGCTTCGTCTCGCCGCTCGTCGGCTGGCTCTCCGACAAGTACGGCGCCAAATGGCCGTCGTTCGCCGGGTTCTGCTTTACGGTGCCCCTCCTCGTCTGTCTGCGCTTCGTCACCGAGAGCACCATCGGGCACAAGGTCCTCCTCGGCTTCCTCCTGGGTCTCCTCGGTACGGCGCTCGCGTTCTCGAATACCCCTCTCATGGCCGAGATCAGTTATGTTATTGAGGAGAAGGCTGCCGAGAACCCGGGGGTCTTTGGCGAGAAGGGCGTCTATGGGCTTGGGTATGGTCTCTTCACCATGGCGTTCGCGCTGGGAGGCACGATCGGACCGCTGTGGGCTGGGTATGTTGTCGCTTCCGCGGGGTGGGGTACCATGACTTGGAGCTTCGCGGTCTGGGCGGCTTCGGGTGCGGTGGTCATCGTTGTATGGCTGGGTGGGCAAGTTAAGAAGCCTGAGAAGCCACCAGTAGGCCCACGGGAGAGCGGGTGATGCGTGTAGTAGGTTCTCTTACGATTGGGGTATCCACGTCGTCAGACAATCGCGGAACAATCGCGGAACAATGTGTGAAAGCCAAGACGCCCCTTCCCACAACCTCCAGCTTGGACTCAACTTACATACTTGAGCTGCTAGGATACAGAGTGAACAGATATGATCAATAGTTGTGTGATGAATATCTATACACCGCGAGTTCCTAGTCTCAAAAATTGTAATGGCCCGCGCAAACACATCTCGGAGGCAGGTGGTCAACGTATAGGGTATCAGGTCTCCCTTCTTCATGTTCTGCTCTCCTTTCAACTCCCCGGGTTCTTCAAGCTTCCATGGGCTACAATCGGCCCTCGTAACTCTCCGTCGACGCACCCGATATTCTCTACATTCGTAAGTGGAATAAGCACCTCGGGATAAGCAGATTCATTTCATTAAGCCACCGTTGATGCTTATTCCTGCATTATTATTCCGCAAATTAAACACCTGCATATCCAGGACCTAGCATAAGGGGGTGTATGCACAAACCCCTCCCTGAGCTCAGTGTAGCCGGTTTGGTTCCCATATGAGAGACGACCTCCTCTGAACGGGCACTTGCCCAGTAGAACACGATTGTTCACACCATGGCGGAACTCCAGAAGATCAAACCTGTCATGATCCTGGACTGAGGGGGTGTTATCACTACGTGTGATAGGGACCAATCTGAGTGACTACCCCCAATGGCTATAGCCTCCATGTCGTAGTATTTTGGTTGATGGCTATTCGTTAACAAATCCATCCCCAAGCTGTGAAAGGTCCTCGTGGTGTTGACAGCCTCGGGATAACATCTCCCACCCCCCTGCGGACCACCCCCCCGCGGACCAGCGCGTTCTGACCCACAAACGCGTAATTCACCAACCACCAGGATTATGGTGATCCACCATCTACACCATCACTTTTACATCTTTTTTTTCATAAGCACACTATTTGAATCCTTATCTACTGCTGAATCTCATGATGTTATTTTACGACCGTCAAATAAAAGCTGAAACCGCCATTTTGGCCATCCAACACGGAGCTCCAGTCTGCTCGTCAGCCCTCGAATGGCAAATCAGTCGCTCGTACGTCAACCGACGAATCTCTGGCACCCCAACGCGGAATGAGACCAGCGCTCTCCAACAGGCTCTCTCACCGTATCTTGAACATAAGCTGGCAAGCTGGGCCCTGGGGCAAGCACGGCTAGGGTATTCTCCGGCGGTCTCTAAGTTCCGTCTCATGGCCCAGCGGATGCTCCATGCCACCGGGGATGCTCGAGAATTAGGGAAAAATTGGGCATCCAAGTTCCTGTCTCGAAACCCGGAAGTCAAGATAATAAAGTCTCATGTTATCGACTACAACCGAGTGAATGGTGCTACAGCGGCAAATATCAACATTTTTTTCGATCAGTGTGACGCCCCTGACGTGGTTAACCTCATGCCAGCACGCTGGTACAACGTCGACGAAATGGGAATCGCCCAGGGGGTTGGGGACTCCCATTGGGTGGTCTCCGAGGCCTCCGGCAACGTGGCTATGAAGAAAGGGGTCGAGAAGGGTGAATAGATAACTGCCTTAAAGTGTGTGAGCGGATCTGGTGAGACCTTGCCGCCGCTGGTGATTCTCAAGGGCATTAACGTACAAATCCAGTAATTTAGCAACCAAAATGAGGGCAAATTCACTGACTAGAGGTTTATTACGTCGCCCAATGGATGGACCTCGAATCCCATTGTGTTAGAATGGTTTCAACGTATCTTTATTCCTCACATTCGGGAGGTCCACGGCAACACATGGGTGGTTTTGGTGTGTGATGGCCACGACTCCCACACGAATGACGAGTTCCTAGCCACCTGCTTGAGAAACAAAATATGGTTGATCTTTTATGAACCTCACTGCTCCTATGTAGTCCAGGTGTTAGATGTGGGAGTCTTCAATTTGGTGAAGAAAAGGTTGAAGACCTTACTCCAGGAGACGCCCAGCGGCCGTCTGGGACTCAGGCCATCTAAGGAGGAGGTTTTGGAGTGCTACGAGCAGGCCCGGAAGGACACAATGACGCTCCTCAATATCAGAATTGCCTGGAAAAAGACTGGGATTGTTCCTCGCAACAGAGCAGAGGCGTTAAAGTCGAAATATGTGATTCTGGAGGACAAGGGGGTGGCCAGGGCACGCCAGAGGGACCCTAAGGCTTCCGAGCGAGCCACAACACCAGATTTTCTCGAGATGGTAGCTAAAACCATTGTCACAACACCCTCTGGAAGCCGGGCTTTGCGGGAGAGTGCTCGAAAGCTCGAAAGAAAGGACCCTTCCTTTGGGGGGCCCTCTGAGCGCTTGTTGGTGCAGAAGGCTAGCAAGGCCATGGATGTTCAGGCTGCTACCATTACAAATCTACGGGCCAAATATGAGCTGTTTGAGGCTCAAGTGGCTAAAAAGGCTAATACCATTCGAAAAGCAGTCAAACCAACACTAGGGGAACGATTCGTCACAATGGCTAACATAAGGGAGGCCAAAATGGAGCTGAGGAACAGGAGGGTCTATAGGGACTCCGCTGCAGGCGAAGAGGTCCCACAAGAGGTCCCTGGTGAAGATTTAGGGTCGGAATCGGATTCTGGGAGCTGTATTATGATTAGAACACCACGACCTTAGTGTATTTAGCAACTGTGGTGGTTGTAGATGGCTTCATCTGAATGAGAGTGGTGTGGTGTGGAGTGGTCCGTGGGGGGGTGGTCCGCAGGGGGGGGTGAGATGTTAGGGGGTGAACACACGGAACTCTTTCACAGCGCCACCCTAAAGCCACGGTGAGCAGGTACTGCTAGTGGTCGCGGTGGTCATCAGCGTAGGTTAAATTAATCATAAGGCTACGCGACTCTTTGGTAGAACCCAGAATCGATTTGAAGACATGAGTGGAGAAATGAGACGCTGCTATGCTTATTCGATCGTTAAACCTGCTGTTTGTGAAAGCTATGGTTCCAATACAATTAACTTGTGGTTCTAGTACGGGAAACCCAGATTACATCAGAGGATTCAGTATGAATGAGGCCTCCCGCTCCGGCAATGTTGTTTTGACAGGAAGGTTTGGGGCCCCAAGGGGTTTGAGTTCAGCCACTGGCGGTGCAAAAGCGCGCATGGTATTCGGCACGAGGTCACTCAATCGCCCTCAAGTGACCAACATTTCTTGCTCCCTGGATGATATCTCGACCACCAATCGTTCTTGTGACTACCACCCATGCAGATGGACCATCACTCTTCCCTCTGACTACAACCAGATAGACCGTCTTCCGAAAGCCTCGCCGACTGCAATCATACGAACAAAGCGACGAATCAATCGTCTAGCCTTTCGATAATGGCTATTGGCTACGTCGGACGATACGGAGAGCTATCCATTTCTCGGCATCTCGCCGCAATGGTGGTCGAGCTTGATCGAGTGGTATATCTCGATATACCTCTCCATCTACCTCTACGCGATCTGGATAGACCACTACATCATCCTCTACATCTACGAAGTCATTTCGTACATTTTCATCCTCCTTGCTCCCGTGGCCTGCATGTGGCTCCTTTACATCCTCATCGACTATATGATTCTAGAGGTCGGGCCGGAGAAGGGCCTCGTGTCCCTCCCGTTTTTATGGCAGCTGTTCCTGGTGTGGTTCGGGTTACTGATGTTCGGCATTTCCGCTCTGAAGATCATGGACCGCGGCATCTGGCTGCTCAATCGCATGGCCAGGATCATGCCGTTCGACCGCAGACAAGGAAGGCATTCCTACCTGGTCCGCACGTTTGGTCCTCCAGAAATCGTCGAGGCTGGCTCCTGAGCCTGCTGGCGCCTACGATTCAAACAACGTTAGCTCCAGCGCCACGGAAGGTTCTGTCTCGCGTCTTCATGTAGAGCAGCTGCGGATTCTCAAGGACATGTTAGCTATCTTGGCTATCTTGGGTCTCGTGTTTATGATTCTTACCTATCAATCAAGTACGACCTGTTGAGGGTTATGGTGTATGAAACAGAAGGAACGCTGTTTATTCCCATAACGGACTATACAGACTGTTGGAAACAGACGAACCGCGAATACATACAGTCTCTATATACCCATCGGCGAGTTCATTGTCGACTCATCGGCTCACCGACTATTTCACCAGTGTTCGCGTCGGTTTACGCTCGGCTGCAGTGACAGAGTGTATGCGGTGGCTTCCGTAAAGGACACGGTCTTGCCTACTGGGCTCCGTGTCCAAGATCGGAGCAACAGTTGGCACCGTATTGTTCAGCTTTGTCTTGCTCGTGGCCATTGGATTCTACAGACTCGTCGACGTGGCCAAGGTTTCTGCTACCATTACTTCTGTACCTTCCACCGCTGGGGAATCTACTGAATGAAAGCCGTCAATTGTTGGCGCTGGCTCGATCATCTGCCTGTAACGGAACGAAAGGGAAACCCGTCTCGAGATAGCCACAATGATGTCAAGAATAATCAATCCCATATATCTTCATTCTCCCGCTCCGGCCTGGAAGACCGTAAGAAGCATGGGCCTGGCACAGAGCCATGCAATCCGGACGATGGCTACCAAATCACGCTGGACTCCCGTAGCGCCAGCAGTCCGACAGCATACACGACTAGTTATGCAGTACAGATACATTCGATATATCCAGACTAAACTTCCATGTACTTATACCACACCCGGGCACGGCTGTGTCCCTGAGCTAACCGATTATCGCGTAGCACAAGCCACCACTGACGCATTTCCAGATCAAACTGCGCCACACTCCTGGATAATCCAACTCCTCACAAAGCTAGCGATCTCGACAATAGTCCGGCTTTGGTAGACTCGCAATGCTGTACTGCTCGGTGTACCCATTGCACCAGCAGGAGCACATCTTTTGGTTGCGCGGCGTCGCAAACGCCTTCAGGGTGCGGCAGAGCTCGCCGCCGCGCACAGAAGTTGTAAGACCATACAACTATCGCACGATGGTATGAAGTCCGCATCACGATACCGTAGGGTATCATCACAAGATTAGAAATGCGAGGCTTGAACCTTACGATATGACTGCATCCTTCGGCCACGGGGAAGTGATCCACGACCGCGTCTTACGTCTCGGCCATTCTCGCAGACCTCTTAGCCGACTCAGCACAAAGCTCCAACCTTAACACAGCCAACTGCCTGCACTCCTCTCGCTCAGGCTCCGACATCTCATACCAGTCAGGCTTCTCCCTCGGAGTACCTGACTGAGCCGGAATAAGCCGAGCCTGATCATCCTCAGCATTCAGGTCCGCAAACTGGAAAGGCTTAAGATCAGCATTCCAGATTGATTGATTGATGATTGATTGTATTTAACGTGGGGGATCGCTCCTCAGTAGTGCAAACCACGCCTCCCAGAGCCTCTGCATCGCAGGGTTGTGGAGGTATCAAGATAATAAGTACAGTCAGTCCTGCGCACGAGCCCATCCCCGTTGTTGCGGCTGTATTGACTTTGGGGTCATCCATCTGGTCCTTTAAGAACAGCTATCTATCGGGGGCAGATTGATGAAAAGAACTTGCTCTTCTCAACAAATCTTGCCCATCAGCATTCCAGAAGATACCAGACCCCGTACGCGTGGCAATGCCCGCGAAATCCTCTACCAGGAAGTGCAACAGCCCGCTATGCGACACCACGACGATGTGGTCGTCGGGCCCAGCCTTGCGAGCCAGATCACGGAGCCATATGCGCGCCGCACGCGCCAGTTCTACGACCTCGTCAAAATTAGGGGCGGGCTTGGAGGCTAGTCCCTCCTTGTACCAGTCCTCGGAGATGTTCGACAGGTCGACGACGGCGCCGAATTCTTCCTCGAGGACGCTTCGCGGGGAGCCCATGTCGCTTGGGCGGGCACTGCATTTCTTTAGGTGTGGCAGGACTGTTGCCTTTCCGCCGCTCTTTTCGATGATAGGCCCGAAGGTTTCTAACGCAGTTTGGATGGCACGACGCATGGGGGACGTTACGAGACGGGTGGCATGGGGGAAATGGGGATAGGACTGCTTCAGCGCAGCGCACTGGCTGGCGGTGGCCTCTCGCGGTTAGTTCGGGGTCGCGGAGGTGGCTGCCTTCGATGTTGTGGCGGGACTCGGCGTGGCGGACCAGGTCGATGGTCGGGGCCATGTCGTGCCAGATGAGTTGTGGGATTGGTTGAGGAGGCAAGGCAACTTAGCTATGGATGTTATGGGCCAGGTTCTTGATATATGGATGTGAGCCACGGGGTTTATTGACAGCTTGTGGTTTGCTATGACCAATGTGGTGCTCCAAAACAACCTTGTTGTGTGCTTTGTTAATACAAGCAGATGCTAGGAGGGTGCCAACGCGGGAGGCTACAACTCCTTTGTGTCAATATGACGTATTGTGTCAGTTGTGACTGAATTTTCTCGCGGTTTTATCAAAATTGTGAGCCATGGACAATGAAGTGACTGAAACCTATCCAATCCTCAATGTGTTTAAAAATGTCCAGGTAGCCTACCTACGTGTACGTCAAGACGCCGGGAAGGATCTCAGAAGGCAACAAGGTCAATAGTATGGAGCTTTTTCTAGCACTTAGGTGCGTATGAGGGAGATCAACGTGATTCTATCTCAAACTGGCGAAATCAGGCATGAACAGGCTGAAGCGCATGTGTTGTGGTGTGGGTGTAAGAGTAGCATCAAGGGCTGGAGCTGGGAATCTATCAGGAAACGTCAAGATATTACCTAGATCCACGGGCATGACTGATAGATAATCATATAAAATCATTTTCAGAAAGTGCTTTGGCACATACGAACCCACTGGGTTGCATCTCCCCTGGATCCAATCGGGGTCGATGGGTGTATGGGGACGACAATCGACATCGACCATCGCCAACACAGCCAGACAAAGGTGCGATAAAGGTATTGAAAGAGAACCCCAGTCCAGTATCCACCCGGACATACGGTAACCTCAGCCTGGGGGCCATTGTACGTTGTTATGAAAGTATTGCGAGGTCCGGACCAGACGTAGGTGTAGGGGCCCGGCGCAATGCTCCTACGCGCAGCTCCTCGTGCAGTAGCCCGTGGTCATCGAACCTCAGGCCAAATGAGGTGCGCCCAGAGGCACGTGATCGTCAGGCAGCCACTCTTCTCCGCATATAAGTAGCTGCACCCTTGCCGTTCCTCATGTTTCACTTTCGTTTGCTATTACTCCGAACATCAACCTCAACATGTGTCCACCAGGAGTTGACCAAACCACTCGAACTCCACAGCAATGGCACATCCTTCTGCCCTTACTTCACAGGCGGCAAGCATTGGTGGCACTCAACAAGGGTCCTTTTCACCGTCACGGCACACCCAAAGACTATGTCGAGAGCGATTTGGGCTTCGACGCTTTCAACAAGCTTGCTCCTTTCGATAACGAGGTCACCAGCGCAAAGGCCTCTGCTGCTCTGAACACTGTCACTGTCCGCTCGCCGTCCACGTTCAAGCTGTCACCGCTCGAAAGTCTGCCAGCTGAGCTTCTTGCCAACATCCTGGCTGATAGTGAGCTGGGCCCATACGACGTCCTAGCTCTCGGGGTATGCTCTTCGACTCTTTGGTCACACGTACTCTTCCATGTTCAGCAGGTCCGCCACCGCACTGCGGTGCCTTTCGCAAACACTCCGTTTCTGTGTAGCGGTACCTGGTTGACGGAGCTGCCTCCGGCGCTCTACGAGCTCTTCCCACGGGAAACCTCTGTTGAAAAGGTGTACAGACTTCGTACACGTCGCTGGTTTGGGCCCTGCCCAGCAAGGCGCTGGAACTGGGGTGCGGTCAGCAGTTATGGAGCCGTCCAGGCCGATGATCCGCGTTCGGTGTGGATGACCGCTTTCGAGGCTCTGGCGGTGGATAACCTCGACGTGTTCTGTCAGTACGGGCTGCGGCGGAGCTTGGAAGCGTTGTTCGAGCCTGCGGACATACGCCAGGAGAAGGACTGGGTCTTGCGTGATCTGACGGCGAAGGAATCTGTACGTCTTGAGCTTGCTGGCTCCGCCGGAAGTCAAGGCGTCAAGGTTCACGTGGAAAAAGTGCCGTCGCTTTCGCTCGACAATGCGCTCATGCTGCGGATCTGCAGGGGAGGGGCCGCGGGCCCTGGCTGGAGTGGTGAATCTCAGAAGTACCGAGATTTGGTAAGTGGGAAGTGGGCTGGGCATTGCTTTGATGTTGTCCAGAGGGATGATGAGAGCCTAGAAAGTGCTGGTTATGAAGATGTCACGGAGCAGATCGCCAAGGAGGGCAGCGCTTGGGAGGGAATCGGAGGAATGGAGGCAAAGGATTGGTGAGAAAGACACCTAGAGTCGCTTCAGCACAGATGGTCCTGACGCCGATGCTCAGGACGAAGGACATGAGAATCCGGTACTTCAACATGCGACTGACCAAGGGTCGGTGACAATGGGCGGGGCGGCCAGCTCTACATGACGGACTTTGTACATCTGGTTCGGCAGCTTCTGAAACGTTTGATAGCGTGGCTGTCGTCTTCGTCCTAGCGTTGAGGCAGTTCGTCCCAGCTCAAGCCTATGCGATACTCATCTTCCTTGAGACCCACCAAGAATGGAAGCGCAGAGTCGTCAAGAATCGGTACCTTGCAGCACCAGCTTCCTCTTGGTAAGCTTCGCCAAAATCAGCTAACACGGGAGTAGGATAGAGCGGATATTGCTCATCTCTTTTGCAATCATCCAACAAGATGTTGTCTGTTTTCATGTCACGATGTATGACTTGTTTCCAGCCGCCAAGGGCCCGATCCCACAGCACTTTGCTCCATGACCAATGCGGCTTCCGTGAGCGTTTCGAAAACGTACCACAACATAGGCTCCGGTATTAGCTGGCCTTCTGGCTCCTTATTGACGATCCAGTCCAGGAATCCGCTCTTGCCATCACCGTGAGAGCAGTACTCCAGGTGCATCCTGTACATCAACTTTCTCGTGTAGACTTTACACTTCCGCGTGTTAGCAAAGCACTTTCAATTTGCCTCGCTGTTATGAACCAAAAAATACCACAGGCCCGTTGGCAGGCCTGAAGGGAAAAGGATGACCTACGAGGGAACCCAATCAGAACGGGGGCACAACACGAAACAGCGCAGGGCATCCAGGCACGTGATCCAGGGAGCCAGGATCACGTGACTAAAGTTGCTCACGTTTGCTCACGCGAACAATGGTGAGCAAGGGAAGGTTGCTCACGTCTGATCACGCGAGCAACAGTGAACACGCCTCATCAATAAGGGAGAGATTGGATATATAAGGATGGACATTTCCTAGTTAGACAAATAGACAGTCTCTACCTCAGTAATTAATCTAAGCATCTTAACCAATCTTAAGGTAAAAGAAATCTCTTAATAATTCGACTATTTAGTGATCCCCTGGATCAGATCAAGCCCCAGCATCTGAGTGTCTTCTAGTTGACAGAAGCCTCTATCGTCCTTTGTGTTGACTTACCTCAGAACATAAACCCTGTAGAACCCTTTAGCCTTATAGATTAGACGGCTCGTCACACTCGCGCCTGTTCAGCCTCCGTTGGATGGAGTGAATAAATTGCTGCCGCTTCATACTGCGAACATCGCCATCCAACTTATTGGCATGCATCCAATTTTCGTAGTCGAGATAGGTGTCTTTGACAACGACACGTTCTCCGACATTGAAGTTTCAAGTGTTCATCGCGGACTTCGGTTAGTCACCTCCATGCTTCAGCTATGTACTAAGTCCACTCAGCCCTCATGAGTCTCCGTGCAAGCCATATTGGGAGGATTTCAGATAAAACGTGGAAATTTAGAAATACTGGAATAAGCAGACGGGAATAGGCAGCTCGAGTTTGATACGCCACTTCTAATGCTGATTCCGGTGTGCTTATTCCGCCGATTCGATGAATATCCTGTTATTTACTAGACGGGTGGTGTACGGAGACGTATAGGGGCTCAGTGTACTTACTTGACTCTAAGTAAGACCACCTCTACTTTAGTCATGTTATGGCAGAGTACTAAGGTTAGTGGTTGGATATTATAACAGGATAAGACAGCGCGCCAGGAGGCTTTAGGGCTGCATGCGCTAGAGCGCTAGCTCCAGGGCATTCACAGCACCCGTACAGCACTGTAAGTCCGGGCTTCTGATTGATCCAGTTGGGACCTTTCTGTTATGATTATCTACCTAGTCACCTTGAGGGACACACCTGTCATATAATGGGGACTTCTCCGCCCGGGATTTTCTTTTCTTTCTACCAATACAGAACAGTTTGAAATCTCACAACTAGTGAGAGGCGCTATTGCATCTGCATGGAAGTTTCTCTGGCTGGGATGGCGCCCCTTAACGCACCAACCCAGCAGCAACTACCTTTTATATTGAGACCTGTTCCCGTAAGGTAGGTTCCGCATCCATGAATGACTCGACCTGAAAGTGCCCCCGATCTTAAGACTGAGAGATGTCCTGCCGTCGCATATATTGAGATTGCCTCATTCCCCCAAGACTTTCACATTCCCATTCCTTCTTGTCCCTTTGTGTCAAACAGCGTGTATTGTGGTTGATCTGGTTGATAACGTGTATTCTGGTGATTCTGATTAGAGTGTTGTTGTTGTAAAAAATCCTTCTGTGGGCTAGGTGGCCTAAAAATACCCTATTGGCCTTGTTGGTGCACTGCCACCTCCCTGAACGCCACGGTGGCTTGTGCGCCATCCAACACTTTTGCGCGTTTTCCCCATCCTCTCGAAGCGTCCTCGCCTGGAGGCCTTGAAACCATCACTCATGTCCTTCGAAATACCAGACGAACAATGGGCAACATCACATGCCGCCGCCTCCCAATCGAGCCCCAATATTCGCTCTCTGTGGTGCCCAAATACGTTCGCGCCCTGCGCATGATACGCCAACGCCCAGAGGCATGGTTTCGCGACACCCCCATCGACAACAGAGACAGACTTCTGCTGTGCGAGGAGTAGCCCTGGTTCGTGGACAACTACGACCTAGCTCAGGATCGCGAGGAACTGGCCCATCTCCGCGACTACGGTGGAGGATCTTTCTTGCGCAACATCGTCAGTCTCTGCCAGAATCCCTGCGGTCAACCCAAGATACACCACTACTGACACACAACACAGCACCATATGCGTAGGTCAGACATTAGAGGAACCCAGGTACGCATATACTGCACTACTCTCGATCTCTAATTCCCATACTGTCGTTAATAAAACCCGGACTGAATGGGTCGGGTAGACCAGCGGGATGAGGAGTGCAGGAAGATGATCGCCGAGGCAGGCGGCACACTCGTCGGCTTCTCTGTCGACCCTCCTGTCGACCCCCCTATCGGCTACCGTGCCGTCCGCCCAAACGACTGGACTTCCATGACAAGCGAGTTCGGAATGCCCAAGTCACCTTGACGTCTTTCCTTACCACGTGCCGCAGTAAACGTCAAGATCGAGCTCCCGGGAGGCGAAGATAGATGGGGCTTCCTCTCGACCGGAGCAAACAACATCCGCATCTTCCGCAGCCCGGCGGAGACCTGCCAGGTGCACCCGTGGGACGCCATGGTGCTGCGCGACTGCCAGCCCAACTCGGATATCTTCCGCCAAGACAAATACATCTATAAGCGCAAGTGGGACATCCTGGTGATGAAGATGTGCGAGGACTACAACTGTAAGTCTCCGCGTTCAGTGGAAAAGTGTGGGCGATGGCAAGCACATCTGACTCACAGGATAGACCCTTGGAGTGTTGTCGCTGTCAGAGCCGCTTCTTGTGACGGGTAATAGCTGTGAGCTATTGGCTGTCTGTCGATATCCTAGGCGAGAGGTTACGTTGGTTACAGTCATTCCACAATTCGGTTTAGTAAGCTAAACTGGGTGGACAAAAGTCTCCGTACACCCCACCACTAATCTCCAACAACGCGTCAACCACCCTTCAACTTCAACACTCTCTGAACAACGCAAATCACGATGGTATTTCGATCTTTTGGAGACGAATTGAGCGGCAGTCGCGCGCCGAACGGGGAGTTCACTCGCGATGCTCGCTCTGCGATTGTGGCGGCGAGAGTGCTAGGGCAGAGCCGCAAGGAGGTTGCCGACGCGTTCAAAACCACGCGCCCTGCCACCATCACTGAGACTGTCAAGCGCTTTGAGACCACCACCACCACAAAATCTGCTCCCAGAAGTGGTCGACCAAGTGCTCTGAACAGTCATAAATGCGCCCGTGCTATTCAGGCAGTAAGGGACTTTCCCAGGGCCTCGTGATAAAAGACCTGAAATAAGGCCCGTATTCTCTGCTATGCGAAGACTATCAAGTGCCTCTGCCACGCCAGAGGGCTTAAGAAATGGCGAGCAGCCAAGAGGATCGAGCTGAATAAGGAGACGGCTCGGATAAGGCGCGAATTTGCCGAATATTATGACCATCCGGAGCATATTCTTAAGCTCTTAAAGGCACTATTCTCTGATAAGTATACGGTCTAAAATGAATCGGATAATCCAGGCGATTGGGTTATCCGATACTTGTCAGAGCAGTACCGTTACGATCTCGTGAACCCTACAAGTCACGGAAAGCCTCGTATTTCGATAATAGTGTGGTCTTAGATCTGGCTATGCGATAGATAAGGAGGACTGGGTAAGTTGATCTTCTGCCCACTCAATCTGGATGCTCCGCACGGAGGAGTATCCATAAAGTCATATGAACAGGTCTTTAAGAACGGCTTTCTTTCTTTCTATGAGGCTAGAGATCCTTTTATTCAAATAACGCGAAATTTCATCTCTCAAGAGGTGTTCCGGAGTGGTTAGAAGAGCACGGGATTCACTGTATTGACTGGCCTCCTTACAGCCCCGATCTCAACCCCATCGAGCACGTCTGGCGACTTCTAAAGAGGCAGATACGTGCTATCGAGCCTGAATTCTCTGAATTAAAGAACAATATCCCTCATTACCAGTACGCACACGACTTAATTAAGAGGGCGTGGTCCGAGATCGATCCTAAGCAGGTACGCGTGCTGATCGAGTCTGTTCGTGATCGCATCGCCGCGTGCAGGCGCGCTGGTGAATGGTACACACATTACTGAACGGGCTATCGAAGATAATTTATTTGAGAACTTTCTGACCAGAGTTGAGTGTGTTGTGGTTCAATTGAGTTGTGAGGTGTAGCAGGTCAGGGGTCCAGAAATGGGGCTGTACGGAGACTTTTGTCCCAGTTGTACCAAGAAAATGGTATAAGCACCCTGGAATAACCAGCTCTGTTTCAATCAGTCGTACTTAACGCTTATTCCAAGTGCTTATTCCACAGATACCAATCACCAACAACCCTAAATATCAAGGTTCTGAGGAATGGGGTGTACGGAGACTTCTAAGGGTTCAATTGGATAAGCGATCGCAGAGTAAAAGGCCAAGGGCGACCAGTGCGCCAACGAGTATATTGCAGAACATAGGAGAAACCTTCTAAACTAGCGCCTCATCCAAATATATCGACCAAATCATCGCGCAAAAATATCTACATTTGAGCCAGCTCACACTTATATCCATTCCATGTCCGTCCACATAAACTAGGGACCTAGACTCGGGCACCCCTGAATGCAGTCGCAGGCCAGCCCTGCATCGTCTCCCCCTCGCCCACAACATCCCCAGCCATGATCAACGTGTGCTCAAGGAGACAGCTGTCGGGCCCCATCTCCGCACCAGACAGGAGGCGGCTGTTCGTCCTCAGCACGCTCCGCTCGCCCACGCGTAGGCGGTTCAGGTCGAACTTGCCGCGCGTGTTCACGTGCCCGACCAGGCTAGCATTATCAACCACGACGCGGTCGCCCAGCGTCAGCAGGTCCGGCTCCGTAAAGTACAGGCTGGGCTTCCCGTTGACGAACAGCGCGCAGTCTCTACCAATAGTCGCGCCGAGCGCCCGGAAGTACCACACCGCGTACGCCGTACCACTAAAAAAGCTCAGGATCCCGCTGCCGCCCAGGCAGTGCTGCCGCAACTTCTCGAGCGTCAGGTACAGCTGCCACCGCTGGCAGTAGCTGCTCTTGTCCCAGTCGTAGTTGCCCGGCTGCCGGCGCCCCAGGAGGAGCCACTTGGCAGCGATGAGGGCCCCGAGCGCGAGGACCACCTGCACCGTGATGAAGGCGGAGATCAGCACGGCGAAGTAACCGTACAGCGTGAACACGGAGGGCGCGCTCCCGTCTTTCAATTCAAGCACTTGGAAGATGCGTGCCACTGCGATACGGGGTGTTAGCGACACTCCCAGAGATGGGACGGCCTGGCCCGCTTGGGATACTACTTACGGATCTGGATTGAGGAGATGGCTGATGCATCCCAGTAGATGTGCGTGAAAACGACCGTGCCCGCCGAGTAGAGGAATATCTGCCACGGCCGGAATACTGTGTATCTGTAAGCGACCGCCCACAGAGCCGATGAGACCACACGGGGAAATGAAGCCGAACGTCAAAATGCGATTAGGGGAAATTAGATCATGCTGCTCGGGTACGGTGATTAATACGCACCATAATACGCTGCTTGGTGCTGATAGAAGGCTCTGCCAAATGGGGACGATGAGTCCGCCCCTGTGGTGCTGGCCGGTCCGGCCTTTCTGGTCCTCTTGAATAAGTTGGCCAAATGCTTGCCAGGGACCGGGCGGGATAGCGAGTTTCCACAAGTGGGACAGCTTCCACAAGTGCGACAAACCTGCGGCGAAAGGAGAGAGGTACTGCTGCCTGATCCTACTCCCAATGTTTCGGCATGCAGTTGGGGCTTCTCGAGACTGGAGGTGCTGTCGTTGACGACCGGAGTGTCGGCTCCATAGGTGATACTAGAGGCGGTCGAACTCTTCTCGGTGACCCTGTTGACGCTCAAGCAGAGAGAATCTCCGCCTCTGGATCCTACATAGGTACCACCAGCCTCGTATGTCTTGTCACGCTTCGTCATCGCGCCCGAACCCATGACCGCACGTTGCTTTATCCTGGTGTTTGGCAGTAAAACAACGCGGTCTGCAATCATGGCATTGTCCCCAATTGAGACGGTACCCGAACCAACGCCGTCCGAGGTGATAAGGTGCGATCGGGACCCGAACACGACATCGTTCCCGACGTCCAACAAGTGGTAGTCACCGATACTGGGTCCGGTCCCGGGCCAATAGATACGCTTGCCTGCCTTGCCCCCGAGCATCCGGATTGCGACGCTGGTAGCCTCGTAATGCTGGCCGAACAGCTCGGTGACGTCCCTTAGAGTGCCTAGTGGCATCAAGGACTTCATCAGTCCCATCCTCCACGTCTCGACCGACCCTCTCTCAGCAGCTAGACTTGGTCCAAGGCGTCCAAAGCACAAGTCAAGCAATACGCGGACGAGGACAACGAAGCCGAAGAGTAGGGCAGGCCCCACGAGGATCTTCAATGAGCGAGCAAGATAGTGGTAGCCAATTCGCTCACTTCCGGCGAACCAGGCCAGGGTACCGGCGATTGATGCTGGCTCATCCGGGTCCGACCAGGCAAGGCCCAGAAGACCGGAGAACCATGGAAGCAGATAGAGAAACTTTGCCATGATCGAAAGGGGCGCAGTCGCAAACAGCGCCAGGGCCCAGTGGGTCCTGGGCGCTTTCGTCGCCGAGAGGTCACGGTTGGCCTCAGTTGCGTCTTCCATCTCGTGGGAGGAGGAGTTGGGTCCAATGCATGTCTCGTCCGGCACCACGGTCCCAGGCGCGACGACCGAGCTAACGCCTACGGACGCGTTCCGCCCGATGCTTATCCTGCCCAGGTACATCGTAGTATTCCTCTCTCCGGCCATGGGCCGGACAATGCAGCCGTCGAGCGTGGCACCGTCGCCGATCTCAAGCAGATCCCACTCGCCGAGCTGTACATTCTTAAGCGTGACACCGCGCCCGATCTTCGCACCGAGGAGGCGGTAGTAGTGCAGCTCGAGGAAATCGGCGCTCCCGAAGAAGCCCTTGCCGCAGATGTCGACCAGCTTCTGCGTCATCCACCAGCGCGTGTGATACGGACCCCACATCGGGTAGAGGCCCTCGCGGTGCCGTCCGATGATGATCCATTTCAAAGCAATGCCTACCCAGGGCATAGTGAGGCGCCGGGCAACGCGCGAGACGGCGATCGAGAGCACTAGATTGAACAGCCGTCCGTAGACGTTCGTGTTGGTCGGCAGTTGCCGGAAGAGGTTGAGCGCGTAGACGAAAATGGTCCACCAGAACGCTCTGGTCAGAGGGTAGAAGACGACGACGGGAAAGAGCTGGAGTATCAGCAGGAGCAGGTTCGTCGAGCTGTATGACTTGCCGCTACCAATGGTGGCATCTTCCTTTTCACTGCCGGGCGTCTCTGTCGTCTGCCTCGACAGCTCCTCGTTGATGAATTCGGATAAGCGGTCGACGGAGCCAGCGCTGAAGATCAGGTCGATGGGAAGGCGCATGTTGAACTTGCTACGCAGTATAGACAGGAGCTTGCCGGCTCGCAGCGAGTCTCCACCCATCTCCATGAACCCCTTGTGCGGAGCTATATCTTTGATGTCCAGCTGCAGTAAGTCGGCAAATACTTGAATGATTTGGCCCTCAGTTGACGAATCCAGAATAGCGGACGACACTTCGCGCTCTTCTTCCAGCTGCCTCTGTAACAATGCATGATCAATATTGTCCTTCTCGTCTCGGGGAAAAGCTTTCTGAAGTGTTGAAAACTTATGTGGAACCAGATACCCATCAAGGAGTGCCGATGCTGCCTCTTTCAAATAGTGCGCTGTACTAGCATCAAGAGCTGAACTTCGATCCAGCTTGGGCGCCATCACGGCCTCCAGAGTACCAACTCGACAGTTCTTCTCCACGATCACGTCAACCCCTGGGAATACCAGAGTTTCCAACAGTCGCTGTACATTTACCTGGGCGATATCACACGGCCAAGCTGAAATCGAAACATCGAGGCCTGTGTCCGGTGGAGGACAATGTGCTTCCCAGTGCCTCCTGGCATAAGGATACTCGTCGGTCGTGCAGGGGAAGTTCAGCCTCTCGCCCAGCTTGATCCGCAGCACCTTGCCATTCCTTTTCGGCGTAGCGTTCATATACACGACGACGACAGGCCACTTGACTTGTTGCAGTGACGATCGCAGAGCTTCGTGCAGTAGGCGCAGGTCGGCGCGTGGCTTGTCTTTAGGCGTTACCAGCACGATTCCCACGACTTCCTGCAACACATCGTGCCGGGCGGAGAATGCTAGTGCCTCGGAGACTCTGCCGAATATGGGGGAGTCTTCCCGCTCGGCAGCCGCGACGATGGCGTTCTCGACCTCGAAAGGGGATACCAGCTCTCCCCCGCGGTTGATAACCTCCTTGTTGCGGCCGGTGATGTACAGATAGCCGTCGCTGTCCATATAACCCATGTCGCCCGTATCGAACCATCCGTCTGCAGTCAGGGCGGAAGTGTCGAGTGAGCCATCCGGTTGAAGGTATCCCTTGAAAGTTGGCTCGCCACGAACACAGATCTGGCCCACGTTCCCAGGGGTTGCTGGCGAACCATTGCCATGCATAATCACGAGATCAGGGCCTACGGATATGCCCGAAGTACCGGGGCGGTCCAGCTTGTAGTCTATTGGTGGTGTGCTTACGGGCATGCACTCTGTCATGCCGTAACTGGGGAGAACAGTGCAGTCGAAAGTGCCTCGCAGCTGCGCGGCGAGAGCCGGGAGCAGGCCACCAGCGGCGTTGCAGATGAGGCGAATCTGCGACTTGGCCAATGCCTGGCTTCGAAATGCGGCTGTGTCGAGTATGACAGAGTGCATCGACGGCGACGCGTAGTACCATGTTGGGCCCATGGTGTCGACCACGTCCCAGAAGAGGTTGCCGTCAAACGCCGCACAGCAGATGGTCGACCCGCCGGCGAAGATTGGCGCGAAGACATTGCGGATCAGGCCTCCTCTGTAGTCATTGTGAGCTCGAGACGTGGTCTGACGAGTATGCAGTTGACTTACACATGGCAGAGGGGCATCATGTTTAGACATGTATCGTTGGCTGTCAGGGCCCAAGACTCGATGACAAACCTGACGCCAGAGACGATGGAGTGCATGGTCATGGGCACCACCTTCTTATTTCCGCTTGTGCCACTTGTGAAGAGGATGATCCCATAGTCGTCTCCATGATTGGCAACTGGTGTTGACTTGTGGTGCGGGATAACTGAATGAGCAGTCTCAATCACGATCTCACCATCTCCTCCCTGCGAAACGAGGAAAACATCAAGCCCCGTCTGCTTGAGGCAAAGACGTTCAGCCTCCGCATGGCAGGATACGACGGCACTGGCCCCAGAGAGCGCAATATCTGCCACTATCTGTTCCGCACCTGCTGCCGCGCTGATGGGAGCGGCGGCATACCAGGTCGCCGTGGCCAAGACGGTGGCAGCCAGCAAGGGTCCATTGGGAAGGATGATGGCCACAACGGGCTTGCTCAAGACACCACTGTTCAGGACTGGAAGGGTAAAGTTGCTGACGTAGTCCCGAAGCTGTTGGTGTGTGATGTCACTCCCGTCATCAGCGTGGCGCAAAGAGGCTTTGGAGGAGGGTTGTATGAAGTCTGCGAGGCTTTCATATGTGGACGGCAGCTGCCAGGGGTTGTTTTCGATTAGCTCGGGCATCTTGACGACCACTGGTGGCTTCCACTTATGGCTTCCTGCGAACGACGAATGCAAGGTGTCTTCCAGGCAGACTTCGCGGGAGAGGGCAGCCTGAGTGAAAAGAGATTGAGCGAGAGGGAGGCTCGAGGCGAAGGGTATATTTCATGAGAAACGAGGCGCAAGAGAGGACCGACCAACATTTGGACACCTGCGCCTTCCTAACAATGCCTCATTCGGGCCTGCCAAGACGATTCCATTTATACATCTCGTCGTGTGAGTACAAGTGGAATTTGAAGCTTGGACATGTTTGTTATCTTCATGTCTCGGGCATAACTCGCTGTGGGTGCCACCCCTGGCCATCTGATGTAACTCGAGTACTTCTGGGCTCGCCGTGTCAGCACACCAAGGTTCTGGGGCACGTTGAACACGTAACACGTTCATCCGTGAATATAGATCACGACCAGGGCGAGATGAAGTCATGTCTGATTCTCGTGAGCTGATGGCTTTCAGCTGGCGTACACAGTCTTGGACGACAACTTCCCTATTATAGGCCCATATAGTCACGCACCTGTGACACCTTGCGTGCGGCATGCGTGGAAGGATATCTGGCTTCGACAGCAAGGGTGGCACAAGATGCAGCAATGCAATGCAATGCAATCAGCCGTGGAAGTGAGCCGCAATGTTGGCTTGGCATACACGGGCGTTGACAGTCGGGTGGGCCACATGTTTGAGACACGACATCGAACGTGACCCTCTCTTACGAACTTTAACTCGCAAACTGCCCCTCGGCCCTGGTGTCATTGAGTGTCGAAAGGAGTATCTGACTCGAATACGAATTAGTCCCTTGTCATGTTACGAGCTCTTCAACTGCAAGGGAAGGCCTTTACCAAGATTGATACCAGATATTCCACCCCACCCGGCGCTTGGCAGATCGGGCAGTTGGTTTCGTTTCAAGGCAGGGTGAGTGCGTGAATGTACGTCAGGAGTCAAACCCTTATGAGCCGCGGAAATTGGTCTTCGAGGCAGTGTGAGTATGTGTCAAGGACGGTTAGCAACTGAATTCGTCCTCGAGGCAGTTCGAGCGAGTATGTGAGAGAGAGTGTGTGTATCAAGGGCCAAAGCCCCTGAGCTGAGCAGCTGCCAAGACTTGACAAAGGCTCCGGACCATCCCCTTCCGCGAACCGGTCAAGCAGCTGTAGGGTTCCCGATCGGGGCCCTTCAATGTTTTGGATAAGGTAGCGATTGGCCAAAGAAGAGGGGTACAGGCGCCACCCAGGCTATACCTATCCCTACATGCAGAAAGAACGCCAGAACCTTTCCACTGCATTCGTATCTGTTGGGGTGTTATACTTAACTGCTCATCCCCGGGATCCTCGGGATCCTGAAAGACCAAGACGCCAGAAGAGACGCGGGTCGGTCCCACCACCTTCAGTTGGGCTGGTCGCCAGAGCGTTATCCATGCTTCCCGTGGTGGGCAGATCGCCGAGTACCTATACTGATGGCTCTTGGGTTGCCTGAGAGCAGAGTAAGCAGATTCCATTATCGTCTTGATAGCCGATCGTTACTAGAATGAGAGGTAAGTCCAAAAGTAGAGTCTGAGACGAAGACGTTCTTGGTATTGACATATGTGACTCTTGGCTTCTTGGCTTCTGGGCAGAACTCGGAACTTGAAGAACGACTTCTTCCGCAGAGGTCATCGTGGCCTCTTGGCCTCTTGCCCTCCGTGGGGAGGGTTCACTGTTCAGGGCTGTGCAGCCGGACGAGCCGGACGTTGCAACACCCGTTGTCTTGGCATACCACCAGAGCGATGGGCGATGGGCGATGGGCGATGGGAGATGCCGATCTCTGGCGAGTCACCACCGTTCAACCCGCATGTGTACCTGCATAGTATTGGTCTCAGCATCGAGACGTTTCATTGCGGGATGCGAGTCCAGTACGACCCAAGCCTGCCAAGACTCGGCAAACAAGGCCTCGAAAAGAAAGACGAAAAGCTTGTCACCAACCTTGGCGTTCAACGTGACCACTGACCACTGACCATGGTGATAACCAGGAACTGATCACAGTCTCCTTCCATTTTACGACTGACGGCCCACGGGGCAGCCGGGGTGGTACCGTTATACCGTTGCAGTGGTCAAGCCCACGCGGCGGCCGGCGCCGGGGTAGGTTCAAGATTGGGTTCAAAGTTTACCGAGCAAGGATCCCCAGCCGCCATTGGCGTTCGTCCTGACTCCGACGCCTGAGGAGATGGATGACAAGTCGATGAGACTTGCCTCGCAAGCTTTGCCCAGGAGACTCATCACTCGAATGCCGTTCCGCAACCTATCTTGCGAGTGTCCCGCCCTTTCATCGTTCACGGTTGTGGTTGTGGTGTGAGGGGGAATGTTCAATGCGTTCAATGTTGGGACCACCAATGCAGCCCAAGGTATGTAATATTTGAGGAACATGCAGTGACTGTACTGACCTGGACGCTAAGGTACCTACCAAGGTAAGTGTCTGCAGGTGGTGTCACCCTCTCTTGCACCTGCATCCTTTTGTTCAATACTGTATTGTTCGAGGTTCGTTGACGCACGGACCAGCATTCTTGTTGGAGCCCCGCTGCCCTACTGCCCCGCACGGGAATAATGGAAGGTACCTCCCTACAAGAGCGATGTCGTCACACCCTCGGGTCCACCCGCTACCTCCAGCTGTAAATATCGAGTTTACCGTCCACGGGTATCTGCCTACCACCTTACCTCTTACATACCTACCTACCTACTTAGGCAGTCGTCAAGAAGCCTCACATTCACGTCAAGTTTCACGGGGCGCCGTCGCCGATGATCATATTTCGAGATCATCAAGATGCCGGAAACTAACCCGCTTGCGCAGTCCTCGGCGTCTGCCGAAGTTGTCTCGAAGACAACCCTGCCCATTGCCGGTCTTCAAGTCGACATCTACGGGCTCTCCGAACTACCCGCCAACGCGACATCGATATCATGTCTGTGGCTGCACCACCCTCGGTTGAGGACCAAAGACATGATGGCCTACATCGCGAACGCGAGCCTGTCGGCCTTCCATTCTTCCAGCACGGCGCCGACTACTCGGGGCCTGATCGCCGTCGCGTTCGACCAGCGGAACCACGGCTCCCGAATCATTGACCCAGTCGGAAACGAGTCGTGGAAAAAAGGGAACAAGACACATGCCCAGGATATGTTCGGCACCGTGTCTGGGACAATGCTCGATACTACACATCTCCTTGATGCACTGGAGGGTTATCTGTTCGGTGCTGGTGACGGACCGGGAGCAGCAGCTGGTGGGCAGCAGAGGCGCATTGACCAGAACATGGTGCTCGGGATCAGTCTCGGGGGACATAGCGCGTGGCAGCTGATGTTCGCGGAGCCAAGAGTCAATGCAGGCGTCATGGTCATTGGATGCCCGGATTACATGAGTACGTCGGAAGTCTCGGACCTAGGACCCAGGACCCAGAGTGGAATAGAGGTATCTAATCTAGATGGTGTCGCTGACGAACCTTTGCAGATATCATGCAATCCCGCGCAGAGCTTGAGAAACTGCAGACCTCGACGGCAGATAACAAGGCCATGTTTCTCGGCAGCAAGGACTTTCCGGACGCACTGATTGCTGCGTGTAAGAAGTATGATCCAAAGGGCATCCTATTCGGGACCAGGCCTATCTCATCGCCAGTGCCGGCCTCCGAGCAGGATAGAATACGGCCCTTGCTGGACTCGAAGATCCGTGGAAAGAGATTCCAGGTGCTCTCCGGTCGCATTGACAAGCTAGTCCCGTATTCTGCTGCCGCTCCGTTCCTAGAGTTCTTCAAGGACGCCGTAGGGACCTGGTACAAAGATGGGGGTGTCTCTGTCGAGGATATCGTCTACGACAAGACGGGACATACATTCAGTGACGACATGAAGAAGGATGCCTTGCGCTTCATCCTCGAGACAGTGGCAGTGGCTGACGACAGCGCAAAAGCCGCATCGTCGAAGATCTAGGTGAGTAGCTTCCTTGAGTTCAGCTCCTCATTCCTTTGACTGCTTCGACCATGGCTGAGCTAATCCTTCCTCAAGGTATTCCTGTCCGCCGCGAAACATTGATCGTACACCACTGCGGCCTCTGTCATCTTCGTTGGCAAACAGGTCAAGAGATATACCCCAAGGGTTTCTGTTGGCCCTCTTGCCAGCCAGGATATCGCCTTTCCCGTGAGGATCCTCCTTCCATTGCGTGACTGCCTCGCTGACGCCTTTGACTGCAGCCTCGTTGGTCCCGTCGGCCATGCCAGGTGGATCAATACCAACGAAGTCTACCTGACTCAATGGGAACCCAATGGCGCCGCAGTGACAGTCGACAAGGCGCTCACGCTTGAAAGCGTGACTGACGAAGGTAATTCTCCAGGGCCAGGTACCATAGATATGCCAGAACTGGATGAGCGAGTAGAGCACGTTCGAGTACGAGTCCAGAGCTTTCTCTTCACAGTGAATCCTCTTCGGTGCCTCGCTTGCGGATATAACACTGAAAAATGAGTTTGCCTCGGCTAGATTGCCGTAGCTGCTTGCCTCGGACAACCGCGTCCCTTTCCGTGTCGCACCTCTGGACGGCAGGACGATTAGCGAAGAGCAGAGGGGTCGTACAGAGGACACAACAAAGCAAATCTGATTGTATAGAAACGACCTAGTCTTCAACAGCCCCAGCAGGGGAATAGATCATGCCAAGGTAGAAGGCTAATACAATGAGTTCATGAACCTACCCAGAAAAGGTCAAGACAGCGTCCTGTTCATCTTTGAGCACGCGAAGGCCAGCCTTGATATGCTCAATGAAGGTCGGCGTCTCGCCAGCTTGGAATCCCGCAATGAGCCATTCCGACTCATCAAACCCTCGCTGAGGCCCGCCGAGCCAGATACCGTGGCAGCAGACGATGATCAAATGCTGAGGCGGCTTAGATGACATTCTGGACGAGCCAGGGAATCAAGAAACCGATGACTGGGCCTCGAGTGATTGGTAGAACAAAGATCGTGGTGATGGCCTCCCCGACTCCTGATTGTCGGTGTGGCAGCTGGCGGCATCAATCGTCTTTCTGACTAGTCCCACAACGAGACCCGTTCTCGAGTTCGCGAATTGCATAACCCCTATCAGCCAATACATTACGATAGATGCATTTTCGTAGCTTCAGGGGTTAGATATGTGGTCATGATGCGAATGGATTAGAACTTGGTGGCGTCGACGAGCTTCTCACCACATGTGCATGAGCTTCTTACCTTAGTGCTTACTAGACATCGGTTTTTACGTAAAGTCCCTATGCAATTCTCGCGTGTGATGTCGGGTGGTACATGTAGGAATGCAGGAATGCAGGAATGCAGGAATGCAGGAATGCATCTCAATATTGGTTCGTATCGGTGCGGTCATGGTGCCTGCATAAATCTCGCAGAGCTCACATGGCACACGGAGACAGCCTGATTATTATAATGGTCCAAAGCTCGGCTTCGGCTTTGCCCAGGCTCAGATTACGGATGAATAACATATCACGAGGCTGTGCCGCAAGGCAGAGTCGCGATAATATACAAACTTCCACCCGGAGACACGACATCAGTCGGTCATGCCCTCCTGGGCCCTCTTCTCGTTGGGCCTATATTTACGCACAAGTATCGGCCTTAACGTATTCCTATCAGGTGCTGCTCGACTAGCGGAAGATTCTTTCACATGGCAGTATTCTAGTCTTGGATCTGCAAACGCAATTTTCTAGTGGCGAAGGCCATTGCATGCAAGATTCCAGGTGAAACAGTCTTCGCGATGTTTTCGGCAAGAAGGTGGACTCAAAAGCACTACACTCAGATACCCAGCTGGCAAATCTTTGGGCTATACAGCCTCTTGCGACTCAGCTCTAAAGCGTCGACCGTCGCGACGTCGCCTCTGACGTGTAAAGTCTGACAGGGTAAAACACCACAAATCATCTTCACCCAGGAAAACTTTGACCCTGCCGTGTCAGACGACATTCCGTTAGACTATAGAGCGGGTTTGGGGGGTTTCAACAGAGCATTCGCGTGAGGACCCATAATATGTTTGCTTTGACCTTGCACCCCTATGTATAACGAGCGAGAAAGTGAAGCCCGAAGTTAACTCCTAAATGTACTGTACTAACCTCGAACCCTGATTCAATCTTAACTTGTTTGTCCGCTGTTGGTTAGAATTTTGCATTGAACATCTACCTACTTGCTGTGGTACCCTCTTTTCTCAACCCTGGGCCTGGTCGTACGCGTGGGTCACCACGCTAGTTGTGAGGATGCCACTCTATGTGCAAGCCGAATGTAAAGTTTGCAAACATCCTTAAAAAACGGATTGCATGTCAAACCTATACCAACAACAATAGATTGTGGATTGTCCAAGCAGCCAGTAACTTATTTGAATAAGTAGTAAGCCGTGATCAGTGCAATTCCAACGACCCCCTTGACTAACGTTGGACAGCTACAACGGAATTATCACCGGCAAGATCAATATTTGTACGGTATTCTAGTACTTGAGTGACCTTGTGGATGGGCCTCGCTCCTATCTTTTTTAAACATTAAGCAGACATTTTAAAAAATACAAATCGTCACCCTTATTATAACTTGCTCCTTTATTCTGCCAGCAAGCACACTAATACCTACTTATATACATATTAATAGCTGTGAATTTTTTTTTAAAACCCGAGAAGTATCTTTTAATAACTATATATAAGCGTGTTTATTGCTTTTGAAAAAGCCTTCGATTTTTTCTTCTTATTATGGCAGGGTTAAATGCGTCATTTTTGTAAAAAACAGTTATATAACCGTACTAAAACCTAGTGTTAAATAGCACGGAAAGGCGTTTAAATAAATAATTTAATTTAATTTAATATAATTCGTATATATTGTTATGTATAGAGAAAATCCTATTATAAGCTAAGTTGCTTTAAAATGCGTTATTGATATCACTACCATATTACTACCTTTAAACGCCAGGGTAGCTTATGCGTCATTGAATATTTAAAGCGGGGTGGTTTTTTAAATAATGTAAGTTAAAAATCGGTTTAATACGACTTTAAACTATATTTAAAACTTCATATCTATAAGTTAGATTTTTTATTTAATAAAATAATAAGCGATTAGTAACCTTGTTTACTTTATATGTTTTTTCGACGTAATCGCTTTATGTCGTTTTTAATTTAACTTTAATTACGCTTTTCGAATCTTTTGAATTATAGCTAAAAGTTCTCGATATAATCCGTTATAAAGCGTAATCCTATCGGTATTAAATATTTTAGTTATTAAGTTACGCTGTTATAATGATTATGCGTTTTAACGTTAATAGGTATCACGTTAAGTTATGATACGTTTCAAAAAACAAGTAGTAGTTTATACTTTAATTAATAATATAAATACCGGTTTTTTTACGAATTGTTTTTATATTACAAGATAATTTAAATACGAATTTAAATAAATGAGGCTTTTGTAAAGGTTAAAAAATCTTTAAAGAAGAAATTACATTTTGTAAGATTTTTTAAAAGCTAGGGATTTTTTAAAATCATAACGAGAGATATAATATAATATTTAACGCGTTTTAACGATATTTTATTAAAAAAATGTATCTTAAGTAAAGTTTAGTTTTATAAATAACGCTTTACGCCTAATATTAACCACCTCTTTATGGGCTAACTTATAACAGGTTATATATATTTACTTTACGCCCGTAACATGGTTTCATTATCCCAATTATTTCGCGTTTAAACAGAACTGTAAATATATATATATAATTTTTTTTAAATAGTATATATTTTTTCGCTTTCTTTTATTAAGTATCATTATGTTTTTTATAATCGTGAAAGTAAACATAAGCTGCGCTTTATAATATTAAAACCGGATTGTTAGTTTATAAAGCGTTTAATTATTAACGTATTACTTGCACTTATTTTTAACGCTATATTAATAGTGTTTCTACTTATAAAGAAGTAAATTAAAGCCGGCCGGTTTTTTGATTTTTTCTAAAATCGAAATTAATAAGATAAGTTACAAGGTAGTTTTATTCAAAATTGGCGCCGATTTTTACGAACGTTTAAATCATAAAAAAGAGAATAATTTTCAACAACGACAAAGTTAAACAACACGGCAAAAAATTGAATCTCTATATCATACTTTTATAGCTTAAAAATAAGATTATAAGGTTTGAAATTATCGACTATACTTATATTAACGACGTTACGGTTTATAATATTAACTTCTTTTAACCGTTTTAAAGCTTATAAATTTATTATATTGTAAGGGTTAAGGTAGCTGAATGCTGAAGCGAGGTGATAGCGGTGATCCCAAAAAGTAGGTGTATAAGGATACTTCATCCATCCTGGTATGTTTGTGGGAATTGAGCGATTTAAGGGGATGTGGTAGTGGAGCCTTAGGGCTACGATCGGTGACCAGTCGGCCTGACATGCCGGTGCAATACCCTTACATATATCTTAACCAGCTAATAATATAAATATAACGAAATAAGTATTACTTAAAAGGTTAAAGAGTTTTATTAAGTAATTTTTAACGCTTTTATTAACTTAATTCTTAAAAAGATAGTTAAAAAGGCAAATATATTGTTACTTTTAAGTATATAAATACTTTTAAAAACGTTTTATTACTGTTTGTCATTTTAGACGGTAAAAACGTATAAGTATAATAGTTTCTGAATTAAAAAGAAAGAAAGGTTTTATATAGAGTGCTTTTTTACGTTTATAATATAAACAAGACTATATAAGCGGTTCTAATAATTACTAATTACGATTTATAAATATACAACCCTTTCTCAAGCGTACGTTATAAATAAAATATAATTAATCTTTGTATAAAATATATTGTTTTTTACGTAGTATAAGCGTTGGATGTTAAAGGGTTCAACTTAATAAAAAAAAAAGCTTAAAAGCTTTTTGTGAGATTCTAGAACGGTCACAAGCCTTGGGGGTATGATCGGTCGCTGCAAATGTTGTTGTTATTCTCAAGTATGCTCAGCAGGGCTAATCTACAGCTAAATACCATACTGCACCATGCCAGGGTGGATCCACTGTTCCTTTGACAGCCCCCTAGTGGGTACTGCACCTAAGGGCACCATATCTGGGATCCAACATCTGACACTTTTTAACTAATACTTTAAGCAGCTATTTAGAATTACGACCTGTTAAAAAAAGGGTTTAAATTGTTATTAATACGCGCGAAATCGCATAATAACGTATATTAATATTAATATTACTTAACGTTACGTTAAAATATAGCCTTATAATGATAAAAATGTGTTAGTATTGAGTCACGCAGTATTAAAAGATAAAAAGGTAAAAAAAGCCCGTTTGAAAGATTAAAAAAAAGCTGCGCGACTTTTAATACCGGAGTTTTTACTTAAAGCTATTAAAACTTCGCTGAAATCCTTCTAAGGTTTAAATACTTTTATATAAGCGCAAAAAGGCTATTAAAAAGTATAAAGCGTTTAAAAAGCCAGCAAATCGGCTGCTTTTCAAAAATCGAATAAAGCGCTTAATAATAACGGTTTTATTATTACTTTTTAAAAAGTTTAAAATCGAGCTTCCTAAGCTTCAAATCGTAAAAGGTATATGATACGCGTAAAAATATTAAGCTAATAAGCGGGGGGAAGAAGTCGTAAAATAACAAATATTTATGACGCAAAAAAAGTGTTAACGTAGCTGACAAGCGAGTTGACATTACAAGCAAGTTGGCACTCGTCATGAACTCTCCAACTGCCATGTCAAATAACTTCACCACAACGCATTCAGTTCAATTCAATCAATCGGATTCCTCTTCCTCAGAGGTTTCTATCTCTATTGTACAAGTTTGCGCATTATGGCCAGTATTGCCGCAAACGCCATACTGTCGCCCATGCGCTGCCGCCCGCCTCGGACGACGACTACCTTCACCCATTTCCTGTTTTGCCAGCTCAGTACCATCCTTTGCAGCCTGAAGATCTACTGCATTTTTAACAGAAAGTACTCCTTCTTTTATTAGACGTTTGTTTTTTGTTCTCCGGCGTTTACTTAGTAGGTAATTGGCCTCTTCTAATTCGCGGACCCGGGAATCAACCAAAGCGACCTTATGCATAAGACCGTATGTAGCCTTCAAAAACGAGCTTAACGCATCAACTATTGATGTAGGTGAGCTTCCCTGGTGGTTTCTGACTCGGTTTTGGATATAAACCGATTGGTTTACCGCTTCGTTAATGGTGGTAGGCGTCTTTGAAGTCCAAGTAGTGGGTGGCAGATTGGGGTCTAGCGACGGTGTTCGTATGACAGCGACAGTATCCAGCTTTGAAATGACACTTTCTGGGTCAAAAGAAACAAGCCCAGTGGCACTGAAACCTGCTCGAATATTTCCTGGCGTCATAGCAGCGTTGTGTGCTTCACAAAACGCTGCAAGGAAGTCCTCCTTCGAAACGTGGGTTATATGACGCCGGATGAGATCCTCAATCATGCGACCGTAAGCTCGTTTGAGCGGGCTAAAACAGCCGACATCTAGAGGCTGGAGCCTGTGTGACGAGTGGGCAGGCATACAAAGGGTGATAATGCCGTTGTTCTGACAATAATCCTCAAAGACCTGGGAATGGTGGCTTTCGTGACCATCTAGGATGAGGAGGCGTTTACCGGCAGTCATACGCGGTCTGGTATACTTGTCGAAATGCTGAATCCATTCCAAACCAATCTCATTCGTAGTCCACCCGTTGTCGGACACGGCCACTTTCCAATCGTGTGGTAATATCGTGTCGCGATACCATGACGCGAGGTGGGTTTTGCCCTGTAGAATGATGAACGGCGGGACCACCCAACCATCAGCATTAACAGCAGAGATTGCTGTAGACCATTCCCTGTTGCCTTGCTGAGCTTGTCTAGGCCTGCCACGTCTTTCGGCGCTTGTAACGACCATGCTGGACCCAATAATGCCCATCATAAACCCAGTCTCGTCGAAGTTGTAAATATCCGCGTCTTGGATACCATGTTTCGCGACTGCCGCTGCAACTTGGCAAAACCACGCGCGGTACGCGTCTGGATCCTCGTTCAAGACCCTCTGGTAGTCTATCTTCCGATGAAAACGCGTCCAGAGGCCTGGTGTACGTTTGATGAAGTTCCGCGTCCAGTTCTTTCTAACGCGTCCAGCCCCACGCGCCGCCAACAATTGATTCGCCATATCTTCAACATAACTGTACCGGGGCGGAAATGCTCGCGCATCCAGGTCGAGAATGAAGGAACAAATGGCATTCTCTTCGGAAACCATAAGTTTCAAAGTATTGGGCATGCTGTCGCGTCGTGATGGCATTCCTTTGACTCTATTGCTCAAAGTGGAACGAGGGACGTTGAAGAGTTTCGCAAGCTGAAATATAGGAATATGAGGGTCACGTCGTTTAGCTTGAACAGCTAGCTGCAAGTCTGATTCGTTATAACGCGGTGCCATTGTTGTTGGTGGAGATATGATGGTTTGAATCGTATTGGTTGGAAAGTTCATGACGAGTGCCAACTCGCTTGTAATGTCAACTCGCTTGTCAGCTACGTTAAGTAGTTATACTTTTTATAAAAACGAAGCTTTAAATAAATCGGTATTATTAGTTACTTATTTACTCTTCGATCTGTTTAAAAGTAGGAATTTACTTAAATTTAACTATATTCGAGTTAAATATTAAAGCGGTTAATATATGTACATATATTCGTTAAAAAATAACTTTAAAATAAATATATTTTATATACGACCGTAGCGTTTTATGAAAAGGTAGCCTTTAAAACGTGGTTAATATTATATTATTTAACGTATAACTTATCGGTTTAAGCCTATAAGCGCTATTTATAATTAAAGGTTTAATAAATTGAAATAAATTATAAAGTTTCATTCCTAATAAACTTAACGTATAATTTAAAGGCTTTTCATTTCATTATCTTTTAAGGTATTTAAATTTGGCTTTTTCTTTAGGTTGAAAAGCTTAATAAATAAAAATAAATCATAACTTACGAAATAACGTAGTTATAGACTGTGACAATCAGGCCTGCAGCTGCGCTGGTCAGGGCTGATGGGTTGAAATATCTAGATTCAACGATATCTAAGGAAGAAGAGGCAAGGTCGGAAGAGAACGGGGAAGCTAGGGGTACATATGCACATAACTATGTGGAGGTATTATGTAATACCGTAACAGGTCATCGGACGACTTGGGGCATACCATTCACGTTGCACCTAAAGTCATTTGTTCCAAGGCGAAGCGATATCAAAACGCGATAGCAGGCAGTGGTAAGTTGTTGTCAATGCTAATCTTACCGTCCCCTTGAATAACAAATGGAAGACAGGGCAGTGGTGATAGCATCGTCATTAGCAAGACCGATATGGACCTCACAAGCCATCTTGTAGCCGACGGTGGCGATGCATCCATTGATCACCATCCTACTCTACGGTCCCTTACATTCCAACTGCAAATACCCGAAGGCGAGGCCGAAGGCCAACAGTGGAGTCACAAACTGTACCGCAGAAATCATGGTCAAGCCGTCGAAGTGGTGTATAGCACGACACTGAACGATTCGGAGCAACTCGCCCAGCTATTTATCGGAGAAGAAGTCCTGGGGTTTGACATGGGGTGGGTATACAAGCCAATGGAACCGAAATGGCAAGCCACCCGTCTTCAGGAGAAAGTGTCTGTCATCCAATTGGCGGCTGAAGATAAGATTGGGATTTTCGATGTCGCACGCCATGTCGGAAAAACTACCCAGCAACTGATCGCCCCGACACTTCAGAAGATCATTGAGGATCCCGGGATCGTCAAGACGGGCGTCAACATCCTGAATGCGGACTTTGCGCGTCTAGAAAAGCATTTTGACCTCAAGCCTCAAGGTGATATGGAACTCAGTCACCTTCACATGCTGGTAACTTACAGACCGGATAAACCCCACAGGCTATACACCAGCCTTGTACGATAGATTGATCAGGTCCAGTACCATTTCGGACTCGCTCTGGAGAAAGGTGCTGTGTGAACAACCAACAGGACTAGACCACTGAATGATGAGCAACTGGACTACTACGCCGCCGATGCTTATGCTGGATTTATGCTGTACCACTATATGAACGCGAAAAGACTGGCAATTACCGATAAACCACCACTGCCAGCCTTTGGGAGCACTTATTTGCCTAATACACTCGACGCCTATCGCCCATTCAAGCCCATTAGACTCAGGGCGGCGGCGAAAGGGGGCTTCCTTCACAGCGGAAGAGTTCTTCTTCGACAAGATGAGACTATCTGACAACCCACGAGATCACCAAGCTTACTCTGACTTGGAGATATACGCACAGCTCGTCCAGTACTGCAAGGCGCGAGCCACCGCTAAACAAGTTCCCATTTCTAATCTCCCGCCTGAAAAGGTTCTGAAGAAACTCGCGTACAATCGCCCGCTCAAAAAGGACGCATTGTTTGCATACGTTGACGTCAAGCGCGTAATACTCTATAAGAACGACTTGCTCAAGATACTCAGGGAGGAGGTCCCGCGCCCTTCACGAAGCCCCCGAAAAAGACTCGTCCAAAAAGGGCGTGGCTTGCCGCCAGCTTCACCACGTCCATCCCCCGCTTCGACGGAACCCCATGCCGTAGCTGCTTCGAAAGTGGCAGACACGCAAATTGCACGGGAGAGCACAGGCAAGAACGAGCTGGAAGGCAATCGTAAGATACCAAGCGCCATATACAAAGTCAGGATCCCGCTAACGACTCCAAGGGAATGCGCAGCGGCCCTGGAGAATGGGGGTACGGCTACCGTCGACGTGCTCACAAAGCCTTGATCATTCGGAATCAGGTTGAGGATGCCCGCAACAAGCTTGTCGTCTCTAGCATTGCTGTCGCCGTGCTGCCCTCTCGAAGATGGTAAAGCAACTCTGGAACCTGCTACTGCGATCGGTTTCACCAATGTGGAAGGGTTGAGGAAGATTCAGGAGATCGAACCCTTCGCCATGCCGTCCTCGGACGCTAGGCAGGCTCCTTGGCAGCATCCGAAGCGGACGATGGCACTTCATAACCCTCCTTGGCACCTGGGTCGAGCTCGTTTTGGCATTACGCTGTCGTATATGTCTAACCTTCGGTCTTGTCATTGCTGTTACGAGTGTCAGCCTCAGGATTTGTTCAGTAAAAGGGAATTCCAATCATAACGCCAGTCCAAAAGATTTATCTCAGTTTAGAAGTTTTTCTTTCGTTAGGTCTATTGGCAGTTTGACGTCACTGCTGTTCCCCTACGTTGTCTTTGACTGGAGCCAAGCCGAGTGGGTTTCTAGTCGTCGAAGGCAGCGTCGATGAATCCTAAGAACAAGGCTACCTACTCGAGACATGTGTCATCAACGTACCCAATGCTCATAGCCCCTGCGTATGTTGTTTGACGCTTGTTGCTTTGGGTGATGATGACTTGTTCCGGACTTTGGCGGACTTGGTGCCGGAGTTAGGGAGTTCTTAGGACCGAACTAAGGTTGACATGAGGCTTACCTGTTCCCACCGCCGGGATCACCGCCTCGCTTCTTCCACAACGTCGACAATACTTACTTTGGTCTCGAAACAGGTGGTCAGGTTCCGATCACTGCTCATTTGCAGGATGGAGAGTCCCGCAGCAAGATCTAGCCTGCCAGCACCAAGGCAAAAGAATTGCACCAGCTGCGTCCAGGTCAAAAGGCGATGCGACAGGCGGACGCCAGTATGCTCGCGATGTGCGGAGAGGAAGCTCGATTGCATCTATAGCAAGACCAAGCACAACACCAATGATCCACCCTCTTTGACGGAGGCATTGCCGTTCGCGACCCCGGTTGGATCTCAATTTGGCCCCGGCCTGTCCTTTGACATGGGTCGTCTAGGGGAGTTCCCGCCGGACCCTCAGCCAAATGGTGCTACAGATCCTACTTCCGCCTCCGTGATAGATGCGTTTGGCAGCGAAGATGCTCCCATGGGTAACTTCATGGACTTACTCGGCAACTGTGGCTCAGACCAATGGCTTGTCCTGCCCGAGGAGAACCCTTTCTTTGAGCGCCCAAGCACGCCAACCAACCACGAAATTGACAAGGCCTATGACAAAATGGCACCCCTTTGCGTGAGCTCAATATAGCTGTCTCCCCGCAGTAGACTCCCATCACCATCGTAGCAGTTTATCCTAACGACCTCAAGGACGATATCGAGCCATGGCACATCCACGACCCAAAGTCACCCCTGCACTACCTCACGAACCGCATCAAAAGCTTCGTCACAGACCTAGCAACGCAAAACGCCACGCCCTTCCTGCACCGCTATCTCTACCGGGACCACGCGCCGCAGTGCATCCTGACCTGCTTCTCAACTAGTGTGCTCTACGCGCACCGCACCCCGGCCAACACGGGCATGGTCATGCGCGCCATCCACAGCAGCGTGCGCGAACTCATCGACGCCGAAGGCAGTCGCGGCGTCCTAGCGACGCCCACCGAGAAGCTTGGGCGCGCGCAGGCGCTGTTTCTGTACCAGATCATCCGCCTCTTTGACGGGGATGTCATTCTGCGCGGACAGGGCGAGCGGGATATGTGGCTGCTTGAGACGTGGCTGGGGGAGCTGTGTAAGATACGCGAGAATCTGGGAGATTTCGCTCTGCTGGGCGATGGGGTGGCTAGGATGCAGTTGCCGCCGGAATGGGAGGTGCGTACCTACTACCTATCTGAATGAATGGGACACCTCGGCCTCGATTATTAACTTGCTGACTATCTGCTTGGCGGCTCCCAGAGATGGATATTCGCCGAGTCTGTGCGCAGGACCATCTTTATGGCCTACTCGGTCATTGCCCTGTATGGATTGATGAAGGACCCGGGGCGCGAAGGTTTGATCTCCCGAGTTTTACCGTTCAAGATCCGGGCTGACGCAGCGACAGACGGCCTCGGTCCGTGGGCCTACGTCCATCGCTGGACGATTTCCCGCCCTCTGTGGGAAGCCGAATCTTCGTTCGAGTTCAACCGGAAGTGGAAGGAGTCTCCGCATTTCGTCATTGCCAACTACTCGTTTGAGAGATTTCTCGAGTTCGGAAGAGGCGAGGACGTGGACGACTTTGCGGAGATTGTGTTGAGCGTGTTAGTCGAAGTGGAACCCTCTGCTGGGATATGCTAATAGGCACCAACAGATACATCGGTGTTGATGCAACGAAAGAGTTCATCGCCGCGCGGCCGACCTAAGAGACGGCGACACGCTAAAGTTCGCCAGCTGCTGGCTCGAGTTTTGAGCGAAGATCAGGTTGCTATGAATCGGCTTAAGCAGGATGAGTGGATATCTCTTGAAGGCCTTGTGAATCCCCAGCCGTGAACAGGCAACCGGATTCTCCCCAGTACAACCTACTTGATGCTCGCTGTCAAGAGGCACATGAGTTCGGGAGGGCTATGAGCCAGACTAAAGATGCTCTTGAATGCCCTCAAAATATAAGAGAAGATGGGATAAGCCATCTCGCACGTTACTGCGGCAAGTTATCCCTCCCTCTTCTGTGATCGGTTCAAACAAGAATCTATGCGGTTTTGTATACCCACAGTCAACACTGGGTAGGACTGTGTGGCATGTCATACCCACTGAGAATGCCCGAATGACCCTTCAACAAAACAAGCGCTAGGATTCCAACCCAGCTATGGTGGAGATGCCACGATATGGCATGCGTGCCGGCAGGTTTCAAGGGTTCTCTTACAGAAAGCCTACTATGCGGAGCAGCCGGGAGCCAGTGGGCTCGCCATGGTGGACGGACCAAATTTTGATCAGTGTTCATGCCAGAGTACGTGTCCAGCTTGAGGCTTCTCTAAAATTAGTGAGAATAGTCTCACGAGTATACCGAAGCCAAGGCTTCAATACCTGTACCTGTACCCGGGAAACACTTAGAGCTGCACATCATAAAGCTCTATACATGCGTATTTAAAACGAGGAACAAGTTGGCATACACGGTACCGAATGCTAGATATTTACCCAAGAGTGATGTCACCAACCGCACATGGGGAGGCATGATACCAAGGCTTATATTGCTTCATCTACAACAAGCCCCTGGATATGGCTATGCTAGTCACAAGGACCACACAAGTAGACATAGCGTTTTCCAGGTCAAAAGCACTTGGACGTACGAGGCAGCACAACATCCATATATCAGTCAGACGACTCCTCATCCTCGCTTCATCGTCGTCGTCCTCGCTCTCATCGTCATCGTCATCCTCCTCGATGTGGGCTTCGTCAGGCTCCTCAATATCAGAGTAGCCATCACCACCACGCCTTTCCATCCCATCACCGTCGTCAAACTCACCATGGCCGACCAAATCCACCGTAGCCGGCCATGCCATAGTCAGTGCCCATGCCCACCGTCTTGCCGTTGCGCCACTCAGTGAGAGTCTCACCGCCAGTCATCGACGCGACCATCTGCGCAGCAAATCCGTCGCCCACGGTGTCGCCCTCGCGGATGGTAAGAGCACGCCGCGCCCTAGACAGCGCTTTGATCTTCTTCTCCCCGACACGCTCGTCGATGAGAGACAGGGTCTGCAGGCGAGGTGCGAAATCCGGTTTGGCGATCAGCTGATCGAAGCAACTGCCCCTGATGTTGCCTTTAATCTTGTCGTTGCCACATACGTTGATGGATGTCAGCTGTGGGCAATGCTCTACTAGCGCGAGGAGCGCAGCGTCGGAAAGCGCCACAGCGGAAGTGAAGTTGACCTCTAGTAGTTGAGGGCATGCTTGAGCTAGCTGCTTGATGGCGGCATCCGAGATGCTTGAACCTATGCCCGTATCGTCGTCGCCGAATTGGACCTTTCGCAATTTCTCGCAGAACCCCGAAGACGCTATAGCAGAGATATGTACGCTGCTTTGAGTAAGTCATCGCTGTTCCCTTCCAATTTCGAACTGATGGCGCGGCCTTGGGGACATGGGTACTTACTCTCGAATGTTGAAATTGCTACCGAAGTAGACTTCCGTCACGTCATTTCGCACCTTCTCCCTGGCCCAGTCCTCATCCCAATTCGCAACCCTGGAGAATGCAGAAGGAACCCTCGGTACGTTGATATTGTCGCGCTTGAGGGCACTGGGTTATGGCTTCTTCGACTTGTCTTCGTCGTGGGCATGCTTGACGCGTGTCGATCGCGACGCGCCTCCCCTTCCGGCGATGTCGGCGCTCGAAGGACGCTTTCTTCTCCGCTGCTCGTCCCGTCTTTGCCGGCGGGCTCGCTGTTCGGGGGTGCCACCGCTCTGGTCCATCGTTTTGTGAGGTTAGAGTTGAAGTAGGAAGAATTGGTTTCGTTTGAGTAGAAGTATAAGTGGTTTCGTTTGAAGTTGGGTGTGCAATGTGTGCATGGTCCACGGCATGTGGGGTTCAATGTTGAGACTCGAGAGTGGGGTGAGCTAACGCGCTCCCTAGGTACAGTGGGTCAGCACAAATACCGAACACCCCACTCTTATAAAAGAACCCTCCTTATTATAACCACATTTAAAGCTTTACGCGAAAGAAAAAAAATACGGGATAAAGATAGATATATAAAGTTTCAAAGGTGTAATAAAGTTAATTTTTATAAAGTATTTAACTTAAATAATTATAGAGATTTTCATAAAACTACGTAAAAGTAGCTATTTTATACTTATTCTTATATCTTTTGATATAATCAATGCATTTAAATGTCCTTTTAGTGAAAGTTAAAATACTCTACTTTTTAAAGCATAGCTTAGTTATTTTCTCTATACTTAATTTTATAAAACTGTTCCAAAAGGGTAAGTTTATATAGATATAAACCTAGTTTTTAAGCGGTGTTATTAATTAAAGACAAACCGTTTATAAATAGAAAAAAAATAGTAGTTTAATATTTATGTAGTAAAATTATTTCTGATATTTTTTCCTTATTTCTAGTTAAAGAAAGGTCTTTAACAGGCGTATTTAAAAGTGTGAGAAGTAAAATTAAAAGGTGTTCGGTTTTTTTGTCTACCCACTGTATCATAGTATCCCGATCCAACTGATACTCTCTGTGGGTCCGGGAACCCCAGCCTTCGTCCCTCAGTCCGGCAGTCCTTCGGGAAGTGGTATGTTGCCGTGTCCGGGGCTGTTGGCTCTCAGGTCGTGGTGACATTACCACGGGTGTCCTTGTCAAGTTGATTCAGCGCGTCTTGCCCGTTCACGATCGAGGGAGGATGAAGTGGTTAGCTTCTCAATCCAAGCTGGGTACGCGTTACCCCATCAGAACTCTTATGCGACGTCATCGCAACCACCTCATAGTAGACTTTGAACCTCGGTTCCAAGTACAATCCCTGGATGGCCCACGAGTTGAAGGCTGCTGAAAGCTGTCACAGCAAAGAGTTTGAACAGTCGAACGAACTCGGCTGTCAGAGCCCAGTTCTCCAACCCAGCGAATCCCCAGCAGAGTCATCCTTGTCGGCCCAACGCTAGGTGACGGGATCGTACACTCTCAGAAAGAAAAGCCAACTACCGTCTTCATGGCGCCGTCTACATTTCAGCGTGACCTTGCCCATAGCGTGGTCCGGCAGAGCAATCTGGACGCCATTAAGCCGATTCGCCTCGGGCAACGGCTGCGCGCATAGTTCACGCTTTTCGGGCACACTCCCGCAGTGAAAGTCATCGTCGAGTTCCGTGCCGTCGTAAAAGTCTCTCTCCTCGATCCTCACTACTTCTCGCGCGATGGGAATAAGCAGTGCTCCATTCCAGATTCCTTCTCTATAAGGGAGAGCGCCCATAAGCTTGATGGCGTGCACCCTGAGTCGATGGTTCCGACATTTGAGAGCCGTATAGTAGAGCAGAGGTAGCCAGCCCTTGTCGGCAACGGCCCAGTATATTTTCGGAGGTAATGGGGCCATTATTCGGTCGTGCCAGACGGGGCCCTTACACGTCACCTTCCACATCTCGACCAGCTGGGTCAGTAATCTTAAGAATACGTCGGCATGGGCGTCGAATCTGGTTTCAGATGTTGGCGAGAGACACGTGCTGATCATAATAGCAGCAGCGGTGTGGTAGGCTCGCAGGATCCTGTAGGCGAATGCTTCTCGAATGGAGATCCTATCGTCTGGGCTGGATTTTGACCATTTGTATGCTTCCAGCCATGAAGCATGTTCCGCTTGAAGCAGCCGATGGCTATGGTATAAATCAGTAGACAGGGGTTGGCCATCTTGCCTCTCCTGCATACAGCACTGCTCTTGCAAATGTAAGATTCCACCCAGTACTCGATTAAGGTAGAGACTAGCTTGATAAGAAGAATGGAATCTCGACGGCAAGGGCTCGTAGGGGAAAAGCGGTAAGCCAGTGTAGAGTGACGCAGGACTCTGACCGAATAGCGCTGCCTGAACGTGTAATTTGACGAATATTTCCATGATCCAATCGTCGATGTATCCGCGCGAAGGTTTCAAGACAACAGTCTCTTTGTCACCCATTCCATAGCGCGTATGGAACTGGAGAAGCTTTAGCCCACTGTGAAGGTGAGCAATGCCGGTTTTATAATGGCGGAGGAACATCTCCAAGGATGTGAAAACTGCGCAAGTAGCCAAAGCTACGCGGACGGCACTCTGAGACTGGCTCGAGAAATGTGGCTGGAGATGCTGGATTGCCTCCGTGTATTCCAGCAACATGAACCTCTCCCGCGGGCACAAGGAGTGTGAGCTGTCCGCAGGGCTGCTGTTATGCTCATAGCTCTCTTTCTGGTGCGCTGAGCTCAAAGCCAGCACGGCGTGTAACACAGCGGGCTCAACAGCGGACGCCTGGAACAGGAGTGTGCCAGAATGGCGAGATGAAAGCGCCCGGGAAATTGATGGTGCAGCGGTTTCGGAACCACTCGAAGGACATCTGCTGCTCCGAACTGATCTTGGAGGTAGAGGGGGACAGGCACTTGCGCGGAACCTCGAAACAGGCCTTTGGGGCAGCAGCGCGACTTGCGCGATCGCGATACGTGTTCCCGCCGCCGCCCCAGATGCCGTAGCCATCGCACACACGGCCCGAAGCGATACAGCGCTGACACGCGGGCCTTCCTTCGTCACATTTGACCCGGCGTGTTCTTTGCAAGAGGTCAGTCTTGGTGACTATTGGCCGCATGTGTATTGCCACAACTCAGTGAACTCACCTGCAAGTGCCGCATCCCGACTTCACCTTCCTCTTTCCGAGAACAGGGCTGGCCAGGCTTTCTCATAAGATGGGTCCAGTCGTTCATGTCCGAGCGGTCCGCAAGAGTTCGGTTTGAAGGTACTGTGACCGATATAAAAGCTCTCACTTGTGGGCTCCCACAAGGCTCACCAGTCTCTCCAATCCTCTACATGCTGTATACAGAGCCAATCTGTGCCCGACTTGGCATGAAAAGAAGACGCTTTGGATATGCAGATGATCTAGCAACACTCTGCATTGGAAAGAACCTTAAAGAAACAGCTGTAGAGGCTTCTGAAAACCTTCATTTGCTCAACCAATGGGGACATAACAATGCTATTGAATTTGATCCCGACAAAACCGAGATCATGCACTTCTCACGGAAAAAGAACTCAGACAATCCCCCAGTTTGCCACGGAACAATGAACAAAACAGCTAAGCATTCCATGCGATGGCTAGGTGTCCTTCTGGATAGGAAACTAAACTTCAAAGACCATGTTTCTCACTGGGCCAAGAAAGCTAGTAGGGTAGCAAATCACCTTCGAGGACTATGCAACACAGTCAAAGGACTTCCAGTAAAGTCAACCAAGAGGGCTGTGAAAGCTTGTGTTATTCCTATTCTCACACATGGCCTGGAGGCCTGGTACCCAGGAATCGAGAAAACTGGGAGCTTAGGTGAGACATCAGCATGTCGCATTAAGGGGCTTCTTGGAACAATAGATGCCGTACTACGAACGGCGATCAGGGCTATCTTGCCAGTCTGGAAAACACACCCTGGACATATCTTACACTTTGAATCGCAGATTCCCCCAGCAGGAGTTCTTGCAGAGTCAATAAGACGACGTCACGGCCTCCGACTAGGACGAATAGATCAGAGACACCCTCTGGTTGGCAGGCTCCAAATACAAGCTCGCAAGGATCCAACAAGGCTACAAAGAAGCTTCCAGCTAGTCCCTGACTTCCAGAGACCAATACTTACCAGGCCATCATGGAGGAAGCGCCCAATCCGCAAAGACAAAGACAAAGAAACAGAGCTCTTCAAGCAATGGTTACAAGAGAGAAACGTGAACACTGACCTTGTCATCTACTCAGATGGATCACAGTTGGATGACCAAGGCACAATCCGCACTGGATGGGGTTATACCATCAGGAAAGGCGGCACTACACAAGAAGTATACCGGGGAAGGGGCAGACTTCTACAAGCAGAAGTAGTAGATGCTGAAGTCCATGGTGCTCTCCAAGGTCTTGCAGCAGCCAGGGCAATTGGACACGGAAAACAGCTATATGTCTGCCTGGACAACACGTCAGTGGTAGATGGGCTCAATGGGACTCCACCCGAGACATCACAAAACATTTTTCTACGATTTCAAGAACTTGCCACAGCACACACTCCTGGAGTGACCGTCAAATGGATTCCTGGACACAGAGATATTGATGGCAACGAAGCTGCCGACACACTAGCAAAAGAGGGTGCCATGCTGGAAACAGACACAATAAATCTTCCTACAATCTCTTGGGTCAAGAGAGATCTCAAAAGACAGGGCAAGAAAGAGTTCAACCAATGGTGGAAAGACCAATCAGAATCTAGGTATCAAGAAGTATACTCACATGCAGTAACTGAAAGAGACCTTATATCTTTTAAGAGGAGTACTTTACACAGACTTCTAGCGGCCAGATCTGGACATGGCGACTTTGCCAGATACCATGAACGCTTTGGGCACACAGATTCAAATGATCACTGCAGCTGTGGTGAGAAGAAAACACCACAACACATTTTCTTTTGTAAGAGGCTGGGGAAAAATCGGCTACTACCTAGGCATTCGCCTAGGACAGCTTGTTTACAATACTTAGGGGAGAGGAGCACAGAATGGGCAAAATTCGTGGAGAAGAGCAAGTTCTTTTCAACAATCTGCCCCCGATAGATAGCCTTCCTTGAAGGACCAGATGGATGACCCCAAGGTCATACCGCCGCAACAACGGGGATGGGCCCGTGAGCGGGACTGACTGTACTTATTATCTTGAGACCTCCACAACCCTGCGATGCAGAGGCTCTGGGAGGCGTGGTTTGCACTACTGAGGAGCTACCCCCACGTTAAATACAAAACAAACAAAAACAAACAAACAAACCTTCCTCTTTCCTGAGCCCAAATGTTGACCAGTAATATCACTGCATGCACCCAGGTTTTCATGGGTGCGGTCAGGCAAGACAGAACCGAGTGAGGAGTCGAGGTGTCAAGTGCTTGGTGAAGATGGAGGAAGTAGTGCCAAGCTGTTGGGCCGCTGAGCAAGTTAGACACTCCAACTGTGACCCCCGGCCATAGCCAGCACCGAGCTGATTCGTTCGCTCGGATTTTAAATACGTTGATTGGCCCCTGTGGAGACCGCTCATGGGTCTCGGTTTGGGTCAAGGGCAACGCGTGATTCAGCACCTATCCCTCTCCTCCCTCTCCCCCCCCCCCCCTCTCCCCCCTCCGCCAGGTTAATCGTCAGATTCGTAGGTTTTAGCCCTGTTCGTCTGGTACAAAACGGGCATAGACTTCATAGAGCAAAGACCCAGCCTGTACAGCGGTATTAGCTAACAATTAAATTCTTATATACGGGACGCGATCAGCAAGAATCCCTACCCACGCTCCAACCCACAACACAGCCCTATTAAAGCTACGCTCGCGCTTACAAATATCTGAAGTTTCCGCGTAACCATCGTATGCCCTACCTTATCAAGCCTATCAACCACTACTAGTTACAAACGGTCTGCCACTTTATACCGCTATTTTATGCCGCCTTTTATTACTTTAATTCTTTTAATACTTTTAATTCCGCTTTAATTTATATTTAGCTCTTCTTCTTTTTAATAATTATATGCGTAAAAAATTTATATAATAACGATCAAAAACACGTCTTATTACTTATAATAATCCGCGATTATAGATTATAATATTATTATTTTCATCCTTTATATATCATCTCGTCTTTTAAACTTATACGTTAGCCTTTATAAATATATATTTAATTGCCTTGAAGCCTCTTATTAAGTATTTATTAAAATAATTAAATATTCAAAAATTGTTTGGTATATTTACAAATATTACAATCTTTTACATAAAAATTACCGCAATCGTACGATGTTATATATTTAAAAAAAAACCATATTATCTTATAGGTAATAAAAAGTATAATGTTTAATAAAGAACATGTGACGGCCTGCACAGACCTTCCCACATGACAAGCGGATACTTCCCAATAGGGGAAGGATCTGACCAAAGGATCCCCTTAAAGGGGCAACCTCCCACTGTACCTATCTCTCTCTCTCTCTCTTCCTTTCCTCTCTAGTCTTGATATTCTCGTCAATAGAGTAATAGCTGCTTGCTGCCGGCCATGTCCCAGCTCCTCAGTACGCTCGCCGTGACAGAACAGTTGTAGGATTATTTTAAGGCTTTTATACGTTGTTTTATTCTTTTAAATAATTTTATTACTAATTCAAACTAGCTTATACTATGTAATTTACGACAGTTTTACAAGTAAAACTGAAGTTAATAAGGGCAACCTCCCGCTGTACCTATCTCTCTCTCTCTTCCTTTCCTCTCTAATCTTGATATTCTCGTCAATAGAGTAATAGCTGCTTGCTGCAGTCCATGTCCCAGCTCCCCAGTATGCTCGCTGTGACAGGCACTGGCTTCTCCACTAATGAAGTTGCCTGCGTTGTCACTAATCCATTTACAAGGGAAGCCAAATGTGTCTCCAATTCTCTGAAGGAGTGGTTTGGAGTCTTCCCATCCAGTTGTTTTTGTTATCTCAGCTTCTATCCAACCTGTTGCGTACTCAATAGCGACTAGGATAATAACACCCTTGAAAAAGGTGTGGTCTATTGCCCATCGAGTTAATGGCGGCGGAGGTTGGATTAGATGGAGATCTGGCAACGTGGGATTTGGTTTCTTCATCAGCTAGCATTGAGGGCACTTAGCAACAACTTGTTGTGAGATTAGAGTCAGTTCAGGGTGCCAGAACTGCTTTAGAAGTTCCCTTTCTGTGATTCCAACTGTTGAGTGGCCCAATTCATAGTGTACGCAGCAAGCCTGGATACACAGTTCACCGGGTTCAAGGACCTCCTGAAGTGCTATAGCACTTGTAGCAGTGCTTGTAGCATGTGGTGGATCTCCAGGAGCTCGCGTATTGCGTGAGAGTCGGTGAAGCTTGCCTTGTACCATAGTGAAGTTCTGATTTGCCCATTCTGGCTCAATATTCTTTGGCAATTGAGCCTTGAGTACCAGAAATTCATAGATTGATTACAAATCCAGCTGGTTGAGTTGATACGGTTGCTGGATCTGGTGAATCTTGGGCTCTTCCTGCGGCAGATTGACCAGATCAATCACTTCTGCAGCTGGAAATACCCAGTCCTCAGGTGGCCTGGATAGGTAATCAGTAAGGAGGTTGGCCTTTCCAGGTCGATATATAATCTTGATTTGATAATGCTCAATAATATCAAGAAAGCGTATTATTCTCGCTGGTTGTTCGGCTTTGTTCTTGATCTGGCGGAGAGATTCGTGGTCCGTGACCACTGCAATCTCGCAACCTTCAACCCAAACTCTCTAGTGTTGAAGCGTAAGGAGGATACCGAGTAGCTCTCTCTCTTGAGCAGCATACCGTACTTATGTAGGCGTCAACTTCTTTGAGAAGTACGCAGCAGGATGCAGTACTTGTTGAGCGCTGTGGGTGTGTGGCTACAACAGGGCAGCTCCAACGTATCCTCCACTGGCATCGGATTCTAACACTGAGGGTTTGGTCCAATCGTAACGCTTGACCACTGGCAGAGTGGTGATAGCATCACGAATTGTTCTCCACGCGTTGTGTGCCTCCTCTGAGAGTACCACCTTCTGGGGTTTAGGACCCGTCATGTATTCAGACAGTGGTCCTGCCAGCTTAGAGTTGTTGGCAATGAGGCTGCGAAGATAGCCAGCTCTGTTCACAAAGGCTCGTACTTTTGTGTTGGTAGTAGGCATCGGTTGCTCTCTGATCGCAGAGACCTTGGTTGGGTCTGCCTGAATACCAGTCATAGAGATCAGGAAGCCCAGGAATACTCCATGAGGTACGAATAGGACGGTCTTTAATGCATTGAGCATCAATCCATACATCACTAATCGCGCGAAGATAATCCGCAATCGTTCATGAAGCTGCTCAAGAGTGTTATCCCAGACGGCGATATCATCAAGCAGGTTGGCCAATCATTCTAGAAAGGGTTGCAATACTTCCCAGATAAACGCCTGAAACGTTCCTAGGGCATTGTAAAGCACAAATAGCATTACAAGCCATTCATATACACCAAAAGGTGTCACAAATACAGTCTTCTCCTGATCTGGTCCATACACGCCAATGTGCCAATACCCGTTGAGCATATCAAGAAAGGCATACCAGCAGTGACCTGCTGCTTTTTGGATTTGGTCAAACGCATTCGGCAGTGGATGTGCGCTCTTCTTGGTTTTCTTGTTCACTTCCCTGTAATCGCAGCAAAATCTCCAGATGACAGTGTTGTCATCTTTTCTTGTGGGCATCGTGGTTTGCCCAGGTGCCTTCTTTGGTGTCAACAGTGCTGGCGCTCCCCATGGACCTTTGCCTTTTTGTATGATCTTGCCTTCATGCTTGTTGACGAAGTCCTTCATGGCTTGTACTTGCGGAGGGCTGTATCGTCTTGGGGATAGTTTCACTGGTAGAGAGTCTCCTGTATCGATTGTGTGTACAGTCTTTGAGAGAACGTCGGTACGTCGTTTGGCAGGGTCAAATAAGCCAGGAAAATCCCTCTCGTATGACGCCAGGTATTCGTTGATCTGGCGTTGTCTGTGGGGGTGTTGTGACTCCATTTGACTTTGATCTCCTTGGCTGGTCCTTCTCTGACGGGCTCGTCTGCCTTGTACGCAGGCTCTGAAAAGAGGTGCGCTCGGTCTTGTGGTATCGGCTTGAGTATTGGAGACGATAGGTAGTTGGTCAGAGTGATTGATCCATTGCCGAATTGGAAGCACCAAGTATAGAAAACGGTCCTGCCTATCATGAGATTGGCAGGGAAGGTGCCATTGGGTACCAGGCCTGCTGAGACCTGAAATGGCTTGGTGTAGCCGGAAGGTGTGGAAATAGTTCGAAATGTAGTCTCGACGATCACATCCTGTGCGATTCGAGGCCCTTGGCCGCCAACTCCACTCATCGTGGTTGGCTTCTGACTAGGATACGGCTTCAGATGGTTAGCGATCTCGTGATCTATGTAACAGCCGGAGCAACCGTTATCAAAGAAGACCGTGAATAGGGTCTTGTTGCTCAACCTGGCGGCGTAAACCTGATGTTGTTGGCCGTAGCCTTCTTTGAGAGGTCTCAGAGGTATGGGTGGCAGATCATGTCTCTCACACACTGCCACAAAGTGTGCGCGGCTCCCCTATTGTTTATCATCTTTATCCAGTATTCTCTGAATGAAATCATTAAAGAGGGGATCGTTTTTATCTTTATCCGCCAGGGTCTCGGCCTTGCTTCTGTCATTATCCTCGGGCTGGTACAACTCCACGATGTTGGAGTAATGTACCTTCTTGGGGTTGTTGGGTCAGGCAGGGGTAGAAGGTAGAGTATTGTTGCCGGGCCTGGACACCCAGTCCCTCAATTTGCCCTTTAGTCTGTTGAAGTCAATGGGGGATTTGTCTTCCTTCGTCATCGTGCCTCTGATTGTGACCTTGTCAACCTGGCCTTGGGCCGGTGTGCGAGGTGACATGGAGCGCCAAAAGCGCGTCATCTGCGTACTTGTTTGAGGGCAGTCTCGTGCCCAATGTCCTAGTTTGCCGCAGTTGTTGCACTTGTCATGCTCTGAAGCCGGATATCCAGAATCCTCTCTGGTTGAGTTCATCTGGTTATCCTTTAGGCGAGGATCTGCGATGATCTGCTTGGGGATGTCGGTGATTCGAGCGTCAGCAGGCTCAATCTTGAGCATTCCTGGCTTCGTGGGTGTAGCTTGAGAGATATTCATGTTATAGAAAGGAGATGACTGTCCCTGTAGTTGTACTGTCACAAACGGCTTCATGTAGATATGATCTTCAATAGCGCTGCGAGCCATTATCTGGCTGCGTGTGACAGCTTGCTCAATCATCTCTGTGGTCGACCAGTTACCGCTCTTGTCCTTCATCATTATCCAGATACTCATACTCGGAGTGTACTGACAAAGGATGTTGATCACGAGCTCCCTATTCATTACACCTTGGCGGTAAGTTATTGGCAGCTTGTACCAGGCTTCTCTCATCCGTCTGGTGAAATTCAGCATACTCTTGTTCTGTATTGGCAGCAACATGGAGAATGAAATCATGGATCTATAGAGAACCTGATGATCTGCCAGGACCTGGAGGATGGCCTCCAAAAAGGTGACCCAGTTCACTGAACCAGCACGAGCAAAGATAGCGACTTGCTGAAAGTCTCCAGACATCTTGATCACCACTCTTTGTGCCCAGTGCTCATATGGTACCAATGCGGCTCTAAAACGGTCCTGGATAGCTGACAACTTGCTCAAGATTTCTTTATTTGCTCACTGGAGACGAAGTTCAGGAGGAAGTACAACTTTGTTCTTCTCTGAGGTGTTCTGGAAGGTGTCTGCTTCCTCCTGAAGCACTGCTTCGTTCCATGCCGACTTGACACGCTTCTCTTGGGGGTTCTTGAATTGTGAATTATGAGGTAATCCTTAGAGGTTCAGTCAGCCGTTGGCGAGGCGTTCGCTCTTAAAGTCTTCAGATGGTACTGTTGAGAATAGGAAGGCATCATCTTCACGGGTTGGGTTGGTTTTCTTGATCCTATTTGCAGTGAGTAGGGTAGAGATTTGACCTTGGAGGTTCATCATCTGAACAAGCTGGTTATTAATCTCTTTCTGCGAAGCCTTGTCAGCCTCAATAACGTGCTTGAGTTGATCAAATCTGGTTGAGTGCTTCTCGTCAGATGCCTCTAGGCTGTCCTTAAGAGTGGTGATCGACTCTTCAAGCTTCTGGTTCTGTTTGTCTTAAGCTTTAATAATTCGGTGCTGTCACATCGTTGATCATCTCCTCCCATAGGAGGACTTCTGACCAGTCAACCTTCTCCATGGCCTTGTTGATCATCTCGGCGATCTCCTCCTTTCGTACGCGAGCCGCTTCAGCAGCAGCTCGCTCAGGCTCTGTGGTGGATCGAGTGGCCATGGTGACAGGGCATACTTAGCTCGTTTGCTTCGGATTGGTCGATTTTCGCAGTGATTCGAAGGCGTGATACCTTCGTGGTGCTACCGTTCTTGGTGGTCTACCTGCAAAAATAGCTATTTGTGCCTTGTGGTAGCGGTATCCAGAATAAGGATTAGGGTCACGAATGGTGGCTATTGGTCTGTATTCTGAAAGTTGCTTGATTGAAAGAAGGGATGGGTGGTGTCCCCATCCCAGAAGTAGCTATCATCCCAGTGGGGTACAAATCAGGTACAAACGGGTACCCGTTGGGCTCCAAGGTACCTTGTATCCTGGTCCGTGACCCATCCGTCATTGTGGCTGGAAAATGGGTTGAGGAGCCACAATATATTGTACCAGCTCTTAGCCAGTTTACCAGCTCGCAGGAGCCAGGCGATAGGGATCAAGCTTTATTGGCTTAGAGTTAGGCATAGAGAGATACACCAAGTGACGATTGCTTTCTTGATCTATTTGGTCTTTGTCTTGGTTATTACAAAACAGAAAAACGGTATAAGCAGTCCCAATGGTGGTTATTACACTGGTTTTTCGGTGGGATAATCATGCTTTGGGGTGCTTATTCCATTTTTTGTGCTTGTGAATGATAACCATGGTTGATGGAATAATGAACTAAAGAGGTAATGATCTTTTGCAGTTCATTCACATGATGGCTGCTTGTGTAGTACTAAAATTGAGCGAGCCAGGCTCTTCATGCGTCTGGACCTGATAATCTCAAGAACCTGGATCACCTGAGCCCATCGAAGGCACAGACTAGACCGCTTTTGAATGGCTCGTGGCTTCCCCGCATTTTAGCGTTTGTGTGGCGCTGTGGCTTGACCTGTCCGCCTGTGGCTTCAGTATGCTGATGAATGCATGTGACTGTTCCGGATAGCCTCAACCTCGACACTCATCAACCACCTATCTAACAATTCGGCAGCATCGCAAGTGCTCATCACTCACAAATCCGAGAGCTGTGGTCGAAGCCAGCAAGATGCCATTTGACATGTGGTATTCCACATACTTCCCATGATCCACCCATCAGCCCGTCTTTCACTTCTCCAATCTCAACAGCAACTCTCCCTACAACCGCACCCCAACGGCGCAAATGAGCGATAGGCCATCCATACCGCAGACCCTGTGGGACCTGCAGGTCCCGGTGTACATCACGCACACCAGCGCGCCCAACACGCCCTTCGTGGCCGCCGTGCCGCGCTTCAGCTACCTGGCCCTGCTGCTGCCGCGCCTGTCGTCCTACTTCGGCCTGCCGTGCTCCAGCTTCCACCACGAGGACGTGCTACTGCGCAACCTGGCCGTCGGCCTGCTCGTCGACCTCTACCAGCCGACGCTGCCGTGGCGGTTGACCGTCGGGGATGGCATCAGCTGGGACATCGGGGATACCTTTCTGAATAGCGCCAAGGAGGTTGGTCTGCTCTGCTCGAGTGCCCGTCGGATTAGCTGGTCGTGTGGACCTGTGCTGTCCTCTCTTAGGCCCCTGATGGCACTATGGAAGCTGACGATGCATATTGCTCATAGGCGGATTTTGTACGGAATGGAAACGCGCAGCAGATCATGTCGCTATCCAAGGAGAACACGACAGCGCTCTGGAATGCCGTGCAAGACAGTAAGTCCACTTTCAGACATTGAAGGCTGCCTGACCTACGAGCGTACCGGGCTCACTGACTGGGCGATCTAGACGATTACTCATCCTACAACAAGGTGAACTCACGCCTGCTCAACACCTCACGTGAGCTCAAGAACGTCCCGATTCGCGTGTACATCCCGCACTCAACCCACGACACGGCGGCAGCGGCGACCCAGGCCGGTTCGTTCAAGGTGGTGCAGTCCCTCGTGCAGCCACGCGCCAAAGAACGTACGTTCCCAAGTATCTGAATCTCCCATCTCTACCACTCCCATCTGCTCCTCTGCATCTCACAGGGCTCCCCGAGAAATTCTACTAACCACATACGGCATACTATAGGCACCCCGCAGACCCTCGGAGCGGCCCTTCGCCTCCTGCTTCCCCGCCTGTTCCCCAGCAGCCGCGACCCGGTGCTGGCGGACGTGATCCTGCACGGCGCCCACGTGCCGTTCATCGCGCCCATCGAGGAGCTCATGCGCGAGGCTGCGTACCCGGACGGCTGGCTGTGTCTTGTTGTGGTACCGCTCGATGTGTAGCGAGCATTGCAGTGTATAGCGCGGTACTTACATGGCTTGTAGCCATCGTCGTCGTCGTCATTGTCTGTTAGCGGACGTGACCTGGGTTTGGGCGTCTTTCTTGACACTAAGTTAGCTGGGTACCTCGTGAACAGGAGGAGAGATCACTTCCGCGTCACTGGCGGGAATCCGGATTGCCTGATATGGGTATTCGGAAGAAACGACGACTGGAACGGCTCTCGCCGAAATGCTCGAGATGAAGCGCTGGGATCGTCGCGGATACCGGGAACGATCTGGCAGGCAGGCAGGCAGGGGGAGTGTATCCCCTGTCTAGAAATGCATTGGTTCTCGAATCTCACGAGCTGGACCAGTACCAGCCACGAAACACTCTGGCTCACATGTCGGCAGCCAAGCCGTTCCCCATCCTTTTCGCTCTCCCCGGCATCTCATCTCATCTCATGTCGGCTTATCTCACCGAGACCTTGCTTACCCCATGAAGTCGGAAGTACCTACGAACCAAGCCGCGTTCACAACCCAACAGTCGCGTCTACCCCAACGTATCCAGGAATCCCCAGAAAACATCACCTATGATATGAGCTCCAACCAACCAAGCCCAGTCTCACAGAAGAAAGATGACTCGATACCTACCACCCGTCCTCCCATTTCCGTCCGGACCCGGATGATGGGATGGATCCCATGAGGCTAGCCTGCCCCTGATTGGAACCCCAGCCCACTCCGAACCGGAGACGCCAGGGTGCGAACCAGAACCAGAGTTGCTTGACGAGAAGCTCGCGCTACAGTACCTACTGTACATTTCCGCTGCCCAAGTGTCAAGTGCCAAATCTCCTGTAATGAAAGTCTCAAGGGCTCTGGATCATGGTTGGATGGTAATCGCAACAGCCCACTGTGCTGCCGTGTGTACGTGCGTTCGTAGGTACTCATTACCTCGAGAAATATTCCGTAGGTCACGGGTTATGCGGAATACCCCTTGGGACACTACATAGAAAAAGCTGCAATCAATCTTTCAAGCGATAGAGCCGGCCGCGGAGGTGTCCCACACCGGTCAGGTCGAGCAGGACTCCGCGGGTTGGGGTTGAGGTCAGGTTCATCGGCAGGAATCGAGCAGCAGGGCTGACCAAGGGTGGAAATGGTCGTATCTTTCGCATGATTCTGAGGACATCTACGCAGCACGACTATGGATTGGTGATTCAGGAGGGCTTGTACGTCACCAAGGCACTCGGATAGTAGCTTGCGGGAATTCTCCCTCTCCTTGAATCTTATTGCGTCTCCCGCCAATTCGGCACCTCACAATGGAGTAGTACTGGTTGGCGCAACGTCTACTACCTAAGCCCCTCTCTCTCCTGCTCTTGACTACTCATGTAGTCATGCTGCCGTTGCCTTCGTCCTCCATGTCCACCTGGCCTCTTAGAGGTAGAGTGACCACGACCTGCTTTCCCTCCTGGACCCCTTCCAATACACCTAGTCAGGCCTCTGAGCCGGAAACAGAGACATGCATGCAACAGTTTTAAATACATATGCGCAGTTGGCCAAACCAGTCAAACCAGATGACAAAGATGGTATGATACGATGAAAAAGAAAATGGTATCTCCTCCACTCCCCCCAGATGTAGGCATCATGCGAGAAAACAAACAAGCCGCCGCCGCCAACCAATGTGAGACTGGGGGAAAAAACAAATGCTGCCGCGCCAGTAGTTGTTCCCCGTACTCCCTGGGACCGTAGCACGGCTTGTGCATGTCGGGTATAGAGGAATTTGTGCAGTGGGTACATACTCGGATGAGGGACGAGAGGCTTGCGCCGCATCCAAGAAAGGTCTTTTAGACATGGAAAACGCATAAACCAAATGCCATGGGTATCTGTAACCGCGTGTTGCTGAGCCGCGCTCCGTTGCTGCCGCTCTCAGTGTCGTTCTCCACCCATCAGTCGCCCAAAAGAGTTTCGATGTATATATAGTGGCGCCGCCAGCAACGCAGATATTGATCAAAGTAAAAACGCGCTCGCTAATGGGGTATCGTCGGCGTCGGAGATCGATCCCGTTAACCCGCATGCCCATGTATCGGGGCAGCCATTGAACCTCGGGAGGCTCTGGGTAATACCCGGGAAGGCTCGTTGTAGACACGCAGAGGACCCGAAAATTTAGTTTCGCGTTTCGCAAGCTGACCAGGGGTCTCCTGTCAACACTGTCTTCGGAGATCATCAGTAACCCTTGTCCTCCTCTTATAGGATGGCAATGCTGTGCATCACCACCGTTCACGAGTCCCTCCTCTTCGCGTACACAATCGGATGAAAGCCATATTTCATGGCATTGAGTGGGGTGGCGGAAGCTGGTGTGTCCTGAGCATCAATGGTGGAGGGCCGCCCGAGTAATTGTCGCTAGGATTATGCATAGGCGGTAGAGGCCCACCGCTCGTCATGTCCGAAAAGCTCGAGTTCGCCCGGGTATCATATTCATCGATGAAGTTGAGATCCCTAGCTAGGCCGATCAAGATGTTCATGTCGGAAGTCAGTGCGCTTGTGGGATGTACAATCAACTGGAAAAAGCCGATAGTCCGCATGAAGAGGTTCTTCAAGGTTATTGTGTCAATGAATCTGCCGAGGAGTTTGTCTCTGTAACAAGCAGCCAACGTCAGGAGATTTCCCCATTGACTGGAATTTGGAGATTAGCATTTTGACAAGGTCGCCGGACCAGTTTTGGACTTACGCATGAGCAGTTCCAAACACGTTCGTTACAATGATGCGTTGGGTGGGGTCCATTCCATGAAAAGCTCGTGTGCTCTCAACAAGAGCCTGTATAGCCAGGCGAGCATAGTTGAGGGTACGAGGGTCCACGTTCGATGGCACATTCGGACTTCCTATCTCAAGGCCTAAGGAGGCCCATGCATCAGGTGGCGGTGGCTGGCTTCGGTACGTGGATGGAGGCAGTGGTTCCCTGTTCAGCATGTTCTTCAGGAATGGCCGATAGAGAATCACCTGGGATCCCCAGTACTTGGCGCGTAGACGTGCAGATAATATGTCGGTGGCTAGAGGATCGTCGTCACTCCAACTGTAATGGGGAGGAACCCAAGTGTGCCTTGCGTGCTTGAGGGCATTCTGAATCGAGTTGATGCCATCCTCCATCGCCGGCCCATTCTGGCCGTCTTTCTCCGGATCGTAGAGTAAATTGTGCACCTTGTTCAATTGCTTACGCAGATAGAGCTGAGCCAAATAGCCCTCTACAATGTGCGACGGGAAGCCTTGGTCAATGGCAAACGCGGTGTTCGGGTATGGCATTCGTTCTTCGTACTGGAGAATTCCAGATTGAGGAAGAGGTAGCTCGGCCAAGATATCACTATGCGGAAACATCAGCGGCTGACAAGTCAGAGTTGGGAAAGCACTCTGGGAAAGTACTCACCTTTCCAATTGCAGGCAGGTCCAGAAAGCAAAAGCCAATTGATTATCCCTTCTAGAATACCCAAGCCGAGGGCCTTCGGCTGCCAGACGACCGAGGCTCCTGCTCATGATTAGTCGGCTTTTCCAGTAGGGAATAAAGGGCCGGGCTTACGGTCGGAGAATTATTTGCAACTTTTGGCTTGCTAGGCTGATAAAGGCCCAACTATCCATGACACGACCAAGCTGCCCATGATACAAGCCAGCAAGGAGATGCACATAGACGTGCTTCAGTGTGGCGCCACCAACTTCACCGCCAATGATCTCTGTTGCGAGGGCGAAATACTCGAGGCCAGGGATTACGTCGATGTTCCTCTTGTACGATTGCGGCCCTCTTGCCACGGGGACCGCTCCTTGTAGTGAGGTTCTCCTACTCGGGTGTATGCGTTCGTTATCCCTGGGAGAAGGCAACCCAGAGGAGTGAGACTGTGACAAGAGCGCAGGGGGCGACCCTTGCGGAGGTGACGATACAACTCCATTGCGAACCGAGGGAGAATTCTGAGCTATTGGTTCCGAGTCATAGACCGGGTCAGGAATTTTGTCTTTATGGAGACATATCTTACCCAAAGCCAGAACAAGCAGAATAAGAGTATTATGTATGGTTCGGAAAGGACGTCCAGGTTTCTGAAAAGAAGCCGTAGGGTACTGCTCTTCTCCACCCGGCGATCGCTTCCTTTTGGCGCCAGGCTCAGGAAACGACAAAGGTGGAATGGTAGGCTGAGTAATAAATCTGGCTATTGAGCTGACTTTGGCGGTTCGCACATCCGCTGATTTCGGTATATCACTAAGGAAGACTCTAACCATGGCATCAAGCTCCTTGTGAATAAAGATAGGGTGCATGTTAAGGATGTTGTCTTTGAAACTCTGCACGTATTTCCATACTTTGGAAGGGTCCCAGTCGGGGTTTCCTTCCGCGTTGAGAACGCCCCCTCTGTAGTCGACAGAGGGAGGTGGTGTTAGGCCGCCCACTTGACCCCAGGCTTGGCCATTGGAATTTGGCGCAGGGGATGAAGGGTTCGAAAAATCGTCTTTAATATCCATGTTGTGGTCTGGCGGAGTAACTTTGTCGTAGATACCACCATCTTGATCGAATCCCTCACCTCTCCCGAAGATTCTGAGCTGCCCTCGGGCCTGTTCCTGACGTATTGGAAATTCCTCCACGTGCTCGATTCTTTCGGCCTCCAGCAAATGCTGCACCATGGACCCAATAGCGGGCCACTTCAAGAGCAGGCCAGCCAAGGTCGTGTGGTTTTGAGGTATGGCAGGCTTGCCCGGAGTGACAGCTCTCCCCGGCCGAGCTTCCAAGTCATCATCGTCGATTTGTCTCAAGGTCTCGTGCGCCTGGTTGAGAGTCAAATCTGGTTCTACGACGGTCCCCCCGGGTGATGACAGCGCCTGTTCTGCTGGCGCTTTGTTGTTGGGCAAAGGGGATTGGCAATAGTCTGGCGGGTCGTCCTCTTCGATTGATTCGGCTTTCATGTTTGGTGCCCCTTGGTGCAGCTGCCTGTGTGACGTCTCTATGCTTGTCAGGCGGTTTTCCATCTTTCTCATCGTCGCGAAACCACTGCTCACTTCCTCCCTCAGAGATGTAAGAAGTTCCAAGATGTCGGTAGTCACCTTATCCGGCCTATGACCTTGTCAGCTGATGTCTCACATTTGTTCATATCCAGGCTTACTGCTTTGCGGGGGGGTCCCGATATTTGCATTCGACGTTCTTCTCCCGACAATTTTTGCAAGGCTTGGTCTCGTCGCACTTCGCCTTAAGTTGTCTACAACTGTCGCAAGCCTAGTGAGCTCGGTTAGTGAACGAACATCCAAACCCAGGCAGAGAGCATTTACCTGTGAGGCCCGCTGCGCTTTCCGTTTGGCGCTAGCAGCAGCCTGGATTTCCAATGTAGGGTACATGGCATGGGGGGTGGGAGGCCCGTACAGATGGGGGCTGTCATACTGATGATGCTGAGCGACGGGCGTGGGAGGGTGGTAGCTATTGTGCTGCGAGGGCCGGTATAGCGCCGGCGAGTGCGGCATCGGCGGTCCGCTTTCGAAACTCATGGGTCGTCGAGGTTCATCTGGATGCTGGTGATTCGGATGATGGCCATGGGGCAGCGGTGGTGGAAGATTGTCTGTGCCGTTGCCGGTGGAGGGTGGTCGGCGCAGCTGCGGAAGAGCCGTCTCTTCACCCGGATCGCGCTTCACGGAAGGGTCTCGCGGCCCGTAGGGAGAATAGTGTTGGTGCGCAGGCGACGGAGGAAGCTGTCGCGTATGGTCCTGGCTCGGCGCATAGGGCTCGTGCTCATGATGGTGGCGGCGTTCGTCGTGAGGGTGGTGGTGCGCCGACGATAGGGGAGGTTCGGGCGGGCGCGAGAAGGTAGGTGGAGGTTGATACGGCGGCAGCGTGGCGTGGTGAGGCACCGAGACAGGCGGATGATGTGCGACGGCGGGGTGTGGCAGGGACACACCGCGATTCGATGACCATGACGTTCCAGTCGAGAGACGTGGACGTTTGGTCTCGGGCTGCCCAGGCTCCATGCTTTTGATATTATATATGTACAGTCATGCGGCTGGCTAGACACTGACACGACTCACAGGAGCACAGGTCAGGCAACAACGGTATTGGGGGAGGTGGCCATCTGCCATGGGAAGGCGACCAGGAAGAACCTGAGGAGGGTCCCGGAACTGAGCAATCGGGCTCGAGGGGCGCCAAGAGAGGTCAAGCGGCGCGCCGGTGAGTCCGTCAGTTTGGGGTGTGGATAACGGGTTCGTGTGATGTCGCAGGTCCTATTGGTAGAGGAGGTAGGTAGAGGGATGATGGCATGAAGGGTCGGTGTACTGTACTGTACGTTGTACTCCGTACTGGAACTTGGAAGGCAGAACAAGAACAAGAACAGGCTGTCACTCGTCACTCGTCACTGTTCCCGAATCCCGTCGAGCGAGGCGCGGCACGCGTGCGCCGTGGAGGCGGTCCCAGGTTCCCAGGTTCCTGGGTGAAGGAAGCTCTAGCTCCAGAGGACCAGAGCCCCGGTGCGCCCAAGGCGACAGGCGACAGGCGAGGGGATCAGCAGTTAGGTTGGGCAGAGACGAAAGCTACGACAATGCAGTCCCGTGAAGGAGCACGAGGATCTCGGGGGTGCTCTGGTGCTCTGGTGCTCTAGGGGTGTATGGAGAGACGACCTGACGACGTTGCAGAGGTCAGGTCTCAGGTCTCAGGTCTCACACAGGCAGAGGACAGACTCTGGAGGACAGGACAGCGAGGCCTTGGGGACTCCAACTGGCAACACGGAGCCGGTGAGATAACCAGTGGCAGTGAGGATTGAGGTGGGTAAGGAAGAGAGGGTCTATCAACGACAAAGACAGCTCAGGTATTCTCAGGTATTCCTCGGCTGGTTTGCCCGGTAGGTCCACTGGGGCGGGCCTGAAATGCTGGTCATGGGCCGGTACGTACTCGACGACGAGCGACGAGCCAGGTGTGCCAGGGCTGTGATGGCGATGTGCTGCAAGTACAGTCGTATCACCAGCATGGGTTTGCGCAACATGGGGGGTCGGCGAACATGCTGATGTCGAGCTGCTGGTCGAGCTGCTGGGGGCGTCGGGTTTTGGGCCTTGCTGACAGCAGCCACCTGGCACCTGACTGTCCTGACGCCAGCCACTTCCCGTCTGTTATCTTTCGAAGGCGAAGAAGAAGAGACGACGTCGTGAGTATAGAAAAGCGGTGAATGAAAATGGAAATGTCAGGCAAGACTAAAAGACCAATCGGGGCGCGAACGAAACATTCGAAGGCACTAGCTTTTCACCAGAGCTGTCTGGCTCTCTCTAGATTCTAGACTCTGATGAGAGACCAACGGCCAAGCGGGAGTCCAATATGAAGGTCATAATAAGCGGCGCGCTATGAGTGGAGGCTCTTGAAAAGGGACACAGGCCTATTGGCGAATGAGTCGTCCCCCAATGAAGACATCCTGGAGAAGATCCAGACATCAGTTCGGAACGGTGACCGCTGCAACGGTACGGTAATAACATGAAGCATCTGAACTTCTAGAGTCGGCACAGTCACATTCACCACAGTCACCACCGGCCAACAGCCCTGGAGGTGTGGCCAGCCCCGACTTCGAGCCGGGAAGAGCAGTCAGGGATGGCGAGGGGTTGTGGTGGTGTGGTGGTAGAACGACAGGACGACACCTCTAGATCCATCCATTCTACTTGCCATGAAGAGAACCAGGGCTGCCAGGCTGCCAGGCCGCACAACTTTGTGCTCGTTGTGCTCATTGTGTATGTTGTGCTCGGAGCGGAGCGGCACCGACAACAGACCAACAGACCAACGGGACAGGGTACACCCCGCCTCCAGGGCTGGAAAGCAGATTGACAACGGAGATTGGAGCGCAACCAGAAGAAAGCGGGATTCGGGCTGCCAGCTGGAGAGAAGTTGAAATTGTGAATGGCGTTAGGTAGATTGGCTCCGGGCATGACTGGACTCTTACCTACCTAGGTAGGGTGGAGGGTCGCAGCCAAGTGACGCGCGGACTGTCACTGGGGAATCGAACTGTCGAACATGACAATAATAAAATAAAGTGGATGGCGGGTGGTGAAATGTGTCTGTCGCCTCGTGAATCATGATGAGTCGTGCTTGCCTGGCGACTGTGCTCTGTAGACTGTTGTCTTATTACCGGGTGGTTGACATAATTTGAGGTGGGGTAGACCATCTGTCGTGGAACGCTGGCGTCTATGTACTAGTATATTAGTGCAGAGGAGGTATGTACCTAGGAGTTTCGGAGACTTTACATCAAGAGGTCCAACCGCACAAGCACGCGGTACTTTGGCTGGGCCTGAAGTACCGGGCGCTCGTAGTGGCAGCCGGGTTCCTGGACTGGATGAAGGTTGCTAGTTGAGGCGGCATTCGGCATTTGCCTCAATGTCAGATGCAGTTGAGACGAATGAACGGACGACGGGAGGCTTTGACGTGCTCTCTTGGCTTGGCTAGAGTTCTGAAACGCAATTATTTCCGTCATGTTCATGATGACATTGTCTGATTATGCACTAGGTAGACGGAGTAGGATAGACCATTGAACTGCCGCCAAAGATACACATGCTCCTACACAAGGTAGCGGTACTACCCCCCGATTATACGATACCATAAGTTATAACCCATTGTAAATGTCAAGACGAACTCAATAGGGCTGAGCGACAACTGCAAGCAACATGCATGACGGTATGTGGGAGGCGTTTTCTCCGTGGGGTCTGCATGTACTTTGGCTCCTTCAACCACGGTACCGAGTGCAACTGGAGACGCAAAAGATGCAGTCATGGCGCGTTTATCATCTTCGTCCGCAGTTGGTTGGCTATGCCCTGGCCATAGGTTACGTGAACTGACCATGTGATAGCAAGTCTGATGACAATCAGCACAGGTTGGCACCAACCGCTGTTCTATGCGGTTGCCTTTCTTTACCTGCGTCTGGAAGAAGCAATAAGATGATCGATAGACCGGAGGAGCTGAGTGCGGGACAATACCATTGGTGCGCAGATTGGGTCCTAACTCCCCCTACTATGTAAACAGCCTGTGCTTGCGAGAAGGTGCTCACGTGAGATGGAGAGGACCTTGGCGGAGAGGCTGGGTGCCTGGGGTACCTCACAAGTGCTGACGGCGAAGTTGGAGATAGCTGACCGAGGGGTCGGCAACCCCCGTCTCGGCTCAGGCTGGGGGGTCAACTCCAACAATTGTCCAGTCCAGACCTCGAGATCAGCGGCGCCTAGGTAGCTTCGGGGTAATGATGAACCTCTCTGGGGTTTTGACAGGTGCCTTATTTATCCCGACATGCCCGAAACATGCAGCTTGGCTGGCTGTTGCAGCATACTGCATGTACCTACACCAGCACTGTACGATGATCTGAAATTGATTGTCTGCTTGCCGTAATACTACCTCTCTTGATTTGTCTGCTATGCTTTAAGCACGCACCAAGCGCACACGGCGAGGATTGTCGAGCCGACATGTACGAGCAGAGGATATCCATCCCTTGTGAGCCTGGTGATGTGCTTCTAATTTATTGGGACAAAGTCAGCCAGCCATCACCGACTCATCAGAAGTCCAGCTCACCGGTTCACACACCCCATGCCGCTGCAGCCAATCCCGAGAGAGTTCGCAGACATATGGGCGACCACCCCAGTTCGCTACCAGACTTCCTTCCCCCTTCGTCAAAGTCAGATCAGGGGCCTGGCATCGATGGTTGAAGGATGAGGCGCTCAACAGGGATTCCTTTATGAGGCAAGGCTATGCTCTTATTGTCATCGCATGCGGCATGAGGCCAAGTCCGATGTAACACACACGCATTGAATCCACGAGTACGATGATCTTCACACCTCGGGACGGTAATAATGGTGCCAAAGTTAGGTGGACATCTGGGTTTCCACTCCAGTCACCTATTTTGTTATTAGGTTTCGCTCCCTCGGCCCGTGGAAGTATGGCTCGCCATGTGCGTTGTGTGGCAATCCAACTTCAGACCCTTCGGACAATACAAGACTTGTAGCTTACTTTGCTTTAGCTGCATGCAACTTCCTAATAGTTACAATGATATTCGAATGGACGCACGTTCGTTGGTTCATAATTATGCTTTATTACTGCAACGCTTACCTCCGCCCAGTGAGTGAAGACTAGACAAGATGCTATCGTGAAGAGCAGACTGCGCCCGGCTGGGGCCCCTGGCGATATTGGACATGTCCCTAGCGGCGGTCGACCAGGAAGTTGTCTAACATATGGCCACAACACGGAATGCAGCTGGCGGACGGGAAAAGCGTTAGGGACACCGTTGACCACGTTTTGTGACATGCTTGTCATCTCAGCCATGCGTAGCGGTATGTATCACACACTCACAATAGTCGCAGCGATCCTTGCCCGGTGGCTGCGTCGTGGCCATCGGGAGCTTCTAGAAGCGGCGACGTGCAGAAAGGGCGTCCACCAAGACGGGAGTCCACAAGCAGTGTCAGACAATAGCGGCGGGCGACGCAGATGGATGTCCTCACATCCATGGCAAGGCGCATGGCATAGTGATCACGCGCGGGCTCAGCTGACACTTGAACGCCCCCTAGCCCGCCGTTGAACCGGAGAGAAGTGCCGGCCTGGTCGGTGCGTCCATCAGTCAGATATGTCCATTATTATGAAGCACATACCGATAGACGGGAGTACAAAACCGGGCGCACGGCATTGCGACGCGCAAGAAGCCGTGTCTCAGTCTGTACTCTGTAAAACGAGGTTGCTGACTGCAGCGCTGATCAGCAACCACAGACTATATCTTGATTGCTTTTCCGGCACCTGTTCAGAATGCCAGGCCACGTGCAGATTCAAAGCCGCACGGTTATAATCCAAGATGAAAGATCTAATTAGATTCACGTCATTAACAGAATGTCTCATCATAACAAGCATCTGTCGAGAGCTGGTTTTTTCCCACTCTCAACCTCCTCCATACTTCCTTTTCCTTCACGAAGGCTGGCGATGCCGTCACCTGCTTGACCAATTTCATCTCGCTGGCCCTCATCGCGATGGCTCCGCTCAGGATGATATCACTGCCTTTGATATCGAGAGAAGTCCAGACGCGACTATCATTTACATGAAGAACGTATGATGTCATCTTTGACCCTGTATGTCGACTTTCATCTCCCGAATTGTCATCAAACGGGGACAGTAGTGGCAGCTGAGTGGTCGCATTGCCAAGAGAGCCAACTCAGACCGGTGTGCCCCTGGAGCTATGTATAAATTTAGAAGAGATTTGTTCGAATTTCGCGCCTGGTGATGATATCCACAGAAGCTTTGTCGAACTTCCGAAGGGCTGCGATGATGAAAACATCCGACGCCAATTTGCTCTTGAGGTGATCAGCCGATCATGGTCATGGTCATGATCAAAACCTGCAAGTGAGTTCCTGGGAGATGAACAGGGACATCCTAACCTAGAGCACTCCTCCCGTTGCCAACCCGCCTTTCATTTTGATGTTCATTGCCGAAACTTCGATTCCGTCATGGCCCGGAACTAGGTTTTTCTCATTTACAGTGCTAGAGTGCACCAATACCTTCGCTTCGACTGAGCCTTGTCATGTCATCGGCAAGTTCGCTCCGAAAACCGTCGGAACAAGGAAGCTTACCTTCTAAGATACCATCACGTGACCTCGTTCATTACCGAGCGGCGAGAGATCTGTGCCTACCATGTCCAATTCGCCATCGATGCAACCTCACAATGCCTGGGCCTGGCGCTGCTTGTTGCTGATCTCAGACCCGACGGTGGGCTGGCGGATAGCACACGGGGTCCCAACCGTCCCATGCGTTGGGCATGAACAGCATGTGAAATTGAGAACGGTCCGAGGCTCTTCTCAATGCCCAATGAGCTCCTTATCCGTCCTGCCGCTCCCAGGGCAAGATTACATACGCCGCTCGATTGAAGTGGTATTAACCGGCAACGTTGTCGCCGCTTATCTGACGTCGGATGAAGGCACTGGAGAGATGCAAGGGTCCTGTAACAGAACCCTTAACTTCTATGGTTGGTTCCTACTCTCATGCTGGGGTGCCGGCCGACATGGGCCCCGAGCCGATGTTCAAAAAATACCCAGCTTGCCCATCACCCGATGAACGCAGCTGCAAGCATGCAGGCCAGGGCAGATATGCATACTGCATTATGCACAGAGTACCGACGTAAAGCCTGGTGCCGGAGTCGAGTGCGCAGCCTCGTCAACCTTCTCCGATAGATACACCACGTATCTCCAAGATAATGCTATCTCTATCCGTGAACCAAGCAAACAATCCCCGAGTCGTGTGACTTGCGGATAGTCACAGCATGCTTGCATTCAGTATCACTGTCAATACCCGACCGCCCCCTCTTCGTCGTCCTGTGACCAGCTGCGAGGGCTAGAGCTACCAAACGCATCGAGGCCGTCGACCGAGACCATGGGAATAACCCCCCTGCTGGTTGACTGCAATGTCGCACTGAGTGTTACCCAATGCGATGCATAAATTGACCGTTACCACTGTTCGGCAACGCGGCAAATCCTCTGCTTACAATCGGATATGTCGAACGAAGTACCTTCATTCTCTGCTTGTACGTCAGCCATGATTCTAATGAACTCAGACACACCCGAAGCAGACAGCTACGACTATCTTGGTTGATCCGCAGTCCAAGCCGCCAGGTGACCGCCACACGGCTCGGCTCATAGAGTCAACATGCTCTCGCACTTCGCTGGTCCGACAACTCGCTATCGCGAGTCACAGTCTCCTGACTGGTCTGGTTGCCTGCCGTCCCAATAGCGTGCTGCGCAATGCAATGCGCAAGCAGCCGCTTTGCTTGGCACTTTTGACTTGTCGTTTTCCCAGCAACCGGGCGTCGTCGATGCTGGTGGCGCGATGCCATCACGCTCATCTGGACTTTCTAGGTACTGCATCGACACCACCTGACATATTTTAGTTATTTGCCGCTGCCATCTACGGGTACGTTTGCTGCCCATGTTGTATGAGATACTGTGGCGCGAGATACGTAGCAAGATAACCAAGCTCCGTTGCTGACTGTTCGACCTGGGCATGCTGTCCATGAACCATCTGAACCATCCATGGGGCGAAGGTAATATGATACGCACCATACTATGTTGTTGATGTGAGTGCCGGCGAGAACGCCCGACAACTTTTCGATGCTTCTCCTAACGCCTCACAGGAATAACGTCTAGAACTTTTTGATGGCGCCGTGTACAAAGACCATGTCAGATACTACTCTCAGGCAATGCCGGTCTCAAGCGACAAGCTTACCGCCCGGCTTCTCAACGACGGGGCCCTTAAACGACCAAAGTTCAAACCGTTGGGTTTGAAACGCCAGATTTAGTCTCCATCTGCCCGCACGAGCAGAAAAATCGTCCCGATGTGCGCTGATCGGGTTGAGACGACAGCTTCTCTCCCACGTGGACTGTACAATATATGTGCTTCCTTCCCATAAGTTAACAACCGACGTGATGCTGCGCGGGTGTACCTGCGGACCGAAGCATCTGTCAGCAGATAGAGAAAAGCAAAAGCGGCTTCCGCGTGACCAACGCCCAGGTTAGGCTTGCCCTCATAACTTGTTGAAGCTAGTTCTACAGCTTTGCTTAGAGCATTCACCCAAGGCACTTTTACCGAGCAAAAGTAAATACCTACCATGGGTGTAGATACGTATATGACAGTACCTTCAACACCCGCCAGCCCATTGTGACGGGTCATTTGTGAGATCTCGCAATGGAAGACCAGAAAAGAAACGACATCGGTTCGCGGCTAGCTGCGGCTCACAAGATGGGAATCTAACTATTGCATGTGTATTCACAGAACTTGAGACATGCCATTAGCGGTGAGGAGAGAGCGTGTTGGCCAATTATTCGGGCCGGGAGACCATGTCGGCGCAAGGTCTTGAGCTGATCGGCATATCTACGACTGTCCCTCTTGATGAATGGGATTGTGAGACTACGACCCGACGAGAAAGAGGCTTCCGGCTAACATGGAAGTCGGAAACCTGCTTTTCTGTCATATATCACCGGTATTTTGTCATATATCATCGGCAGACCTCTTCAGTGGCTTCCACGGTGGCCAAGAAGTGGCCTGACGAGGGCCTTTCAGCCTCGCTTTATCTTAGATCTTAGATCTTGGTGTAATGCCACATGGCAGCATCTGAGATCTACGGGTTCTCCCTTGCATCAACCGTTGTGTGCTACTGCACAGCTGGGTGTAGGTAGACAATACGCCAGAAGTAAAGCAAATGGCGTCGGGCGCTTTGCGCCTCCTCGCCCGGGTAGTATTACTCCGTAGGTCACCGCTCTTTCATCTCGAAAAAGAGCCATCTTCGAGGCCGTCTACTCGTTCGTCGACCCCTGATGCGAGCGTGATCTCCCCACCCGCCCCCTATCTCTCCCCCTGAGCACATCCTTGAACCCCACAGCCTCCCCATCGCCATCCCCGTCCTCGCCCCCCAGTCCGCCCTCATCGTCCACCTCGACGCCCTCTGTGAAGACCAGATCGCCCCTCTTGCCCAGGACCTCGCGCCCGGCCTCCTCGAGCAGCACGCCCAGCGCCAGCAGCGCCGTCTCGTCCATGCTGCGCTCGTCGATGTTGCGGCCCCTGAACTTCTTGCCAGTACTGCCCGCGGCGAGCTCGCTGTAGAAGCGGCTCGCGTAGCTGTGGACTGCTTTCAGGATTTCGCTGTCGGGAAGGCTGGCGGAGGTCGAGGGGGGCAGCCGCTCGTGTGCGTGGTAGATATCCTTCTCGGCGAAGCGCATGGGGGCGCGGGCTTGCGCGAAGAGCACCTCCTCGGGCGCAAGGGTGGGGTCGCGGAGCGAGGACGGCGAGTGTCGCCTGTGGTGCGTCGGGGGCGGGTGGTCGGAGGGCGTGTTGTCGTCTATAGGCAGAGTTGTTGTGATTCGCCCTGTTCGTGTAGCTCCGGTTAGTCCGAAGATGACGGCTGGTCATCAAAGAGGGTGGCCACGGACCTACGACGGCGTTGTAGACGTTGCCGTCTCTCCTCCTGCGCTTCCGGGGTCGATGGCGGGCGAGGTACTCGCCTTCGGTCTCGGTGATGTCGCTGGTGTCAGGATGGGGTATGAAGCGCCCGTCTTTGAAGTGCTGGGACTCCATCGTCGCATGTGTGATATAATTTGTTCAACGGCCTTGCGCCTCACGTTCAACCACCAGATAGTATAGTATTGTCGGAATCGATCTTGCATATAACCGTAGCCTTCATGTGAAGCGTCAAGAATCAGATCTCGGAGCAGTTCCGTATGCGGTTGACAGGTTAGGTCGAATGTTGGAACTTCAGCTTTGAAGGGGAATTCAGGAACATGAAGTCTGGATGCACCCCAGATTCTGCAGCGCACTGCGGGGTAGTGGGCAGGCTTAGGTAAGGTTAGTGGGGTCTATTGACAGCGACACATCTTCGACGCACCTTGAGGTCTTCCACACCTCGAACTTCCAAGCACACTCTTCGTTGAACGTTGACAGCACCCAACTCTATCCTGTCTCTATATAGGCCCCGTAGCCTAGGTATCAATTAGATGAATGAATGAATCAACTGCTCTTTGAACGGTCCACCGGCAACCTCGGGCCCAATGGCTTTGCCAGACTGCAGACAACTCAGCTCTTGAGGTCGTTCCGACCAGCGCCACAGTTCCGCTTCGACGGCGGCGAGAGAGGTACCGCTGTCCACGATGGCGAGGCCGGCCCACCAGGAGCTGCCTCCTCGATATGGGCCCACCAGTCTGGCGTGAATGCCCTGGCGCTCGAGCGCTTCGACGGAAGAATGTGAGCGACCATTGCCTGTTCCCAGCTCTTGCGCGGGGGCACACAACTCACCATCGCAGCCTCGTCTCAGGCGGATCCGATGCCTCGATAAAGCTTTGGGACCTCGAGCAATGCGGCAATCCATCAAAACCGCACAAGTTCGCCCCAATAGCCCATATCCGCCGCTCCGAGAAAGCCCATAGATTCGGTATCACGCACCTCTCCTTCTACCCCTTCGACTCGGCCGCCTTCCTCTCGACGTCCTACGATAAGACATTGAAGCTCTGGTCCACTGAAGGGACCCAGCTCTCGGCTTCGTTCACTCTGGGGACAAAGATTTACACGCATGCTATATCGCCCATAGCTTCCCATCTGCTGGTAGCCTGTGGGACGCAGCACCCTGCGGTTCGTCTCGTAGACCTGCGCTCTGGGTCGAATGTTCAGTCTCTCGCCGGTCATGCAGGGGCCGTCCTAGCCACGGCCTGGTCCCCTCGTCACGAGCATATCCTGGCCACGGGCAGTGTAGATGGAACGGTGAAAATCTGGGATATACGACGGGCAGGTGGCGTTATTGGGATGCTCGATCATGAGGACAGCCTGGGCCTGCATTATAACGGAATGCTTGGCCAGGACGGCAAAGTCAGGGTTCGTGCTTCAGCAAAAGCTCACACAGCCCCTGTCAACGGTCTCACATGGACGGACGACGGTGGTTACATCATCTCGGCTGGACACGACAGGCGCATCCGTGTGTGGGATGCCGCCAACGGGAAAAATACGCTCGCGAGCTTTGGGCCCAGTATCAATAACAGCCAGCTCACCAGCGTATCCATGTTCACCTCTCCAGTGGGACTAACGCATCCTGGGAAGGAGCTCTTGTTCTGGCCAAATGAAACGGAGATACTGGTCCTGGACCTACACGATGGGCATATTATCACCAAGTTGCGAGGCACGGGTCCGGCAATTGCCGGCGTGCGATCCGGCACCGGTGCTGAGCGGTCGGTGAAGAACCGTATCACTAGCATCGTATGGAGAGGGGCCGGCGGCGGCGGAGGCTCCAGTGGCGTGGCCATGGGTGGGAGCAACATGTCTGGGGCTATCTATAGCGCACACCTCGACGGTCAGATCCGAACTTGGGCACCCCAGCTGGAAGATGAGGACAACGAAGACGAGGATGATGGTCTGGACGAGGTTGGCGAGGAGAAGGCCAAGAAGCGCAAGGCGCTGGATGACGTGTTCAAGAGCTTGATGGGCAAGAAGATCACCTTCTCTTAGGCTCAGGGTAATGACTGCAAAAGGGGGGCGCGATCTGGAATTACAGTGTTCGAACCCTGCTGCGTTACACGGCTCATTATATGTTCCGTCAATACTTAGTAACACCGGCTTGCTACAACGCTATGCCGGTGCAGGATCTCACGGTCATCCCTATTATATAATTCCCATAACACGACCTAGTCCTAGAAGGGGTTCCTCGCGTCAAGGTGCATCATCTATCCTGAGGCCACCGTAGAGCGTCGTAGCGCGAACCAGACCTAGCGAGGAGAGGAACGCCTTCGTCTCTCGCGTCTCGCTTTCTACCCCAAGACGCGAAATAGCCCTGACGAAGTCGTGCTGATACTGCCCCTGTCAACCGCCACGGGTACCCCAGAAAAGGCGGTACTAGTACGAACCGCGTCATCTTTCTCGCTGACCGGGCGGACTCTCGGCTACATATTCCAGCCCTGGCTTGGCGAACAAGGCTTCGCTCGCAGGTTCGCTTATTAGACCGAGGAGTTCGGACGCGACGTCGGGCCCCGACTGCATGGGACGTGCGAGACAAGTTGACAACCCCTGAAGAAACCGTTGCGGAGCCAAGCTGCGCAGGCTGCAGTAGCGCCTCCCAGGGCCATGGTAAGGGAACCCGTTCTAGGAAACTCTTCTTCAGCGGGGCCGGGGCGCAGTAAGTACAGGCAATCATCACAGCATGAAATATTCCTATCTATCCGTGTCACGGCCGGAGCTGACAAACAGGTGACAGGGGGGGAGGGAGGCTTGAGACGCATGACCCCGGGCGGACTGGTCTCGACGTATCAGACCCGGGCGTGTGCGCATCCTGCCTTGTTAGTAAGGCAGCGGGAGTTACTACCATCACCATCAGCGCTGCGAACCGACGCAAGCCATCACCAACAAACCCAACCCCGATCCGGCGCCCGAAACCAACTGGTTGCCCTTTTGGGTTCCCTTTGGCCAGACCGGTTTCCGGGGTAGCCTGGCCTGACCTCTGCTGACATGCTTGCTGCCAGGCTCCCAAGCAAGCCCAGTCGGGTCAGCAACTCTCTGGCAGCGAGCGGCAAGGTCCTTTTCCCGAATCCCAAAGCGTGACGGTGGCGGTGCGGAGGAGGCGATTCCCTCTCCCCGCCCAGAGTCGGCAGTTGGTATCGGATCGGATGGGAACTCCAATCCCATGGCTTTCACTCGGTATCCGTACCTACCTACTTCAAGGCACATGTATGCTATGTGGCTGGCGGGATCGTGCGGAGAAATGCTCGTAGGTAGGTATTTAGGTATGTCGGGTAGGTAGGTAGCCGGCCAGTCAGCTGACCGAGGGGCAGGATATTGCGATCAGGGCTGTCACACTGCGCGGCATCTTTTGGCGGTCACACGCCCACGTTTTGCTGTCGCAGCGGCCCATCTGCGCCTGTGCTGCCTAACCTAGTGCCCTCTTGAATGTCATGGTGGTGAGACGGTCCGGAGAGCGAAGGGTGTTGGTTCGTGCTACATTCATGTACGTCCTCGTGAGGCTGTTTCCCGGTCAGGTGGTTTGGTATGTTGGGCGTAGCCTTGCTTCGTCACGGTACCTAGGTACGCGCTCTTCCACAATTCTGGATACGAGAGCGACGCTGGCCGGTGCTCTGGCATACGTTGAGTTGTAGATAACTGTCAGGGGTTCTTGTGCGTACTCGTGTGATCATACTAAGTGCTCTGTATCCATACCTACCTACCTACTCGCGTGACCAGGAGAATTGTCGCACCAGACGCCGGCCCACGTCGTACAAGGCACCCACATGAGACCGCTGAACCGTTGTTGGTGGTACTGCCGCCTAGGTAGTACAGCTGAGTCCCATTGGCCAGCGGCAATGTGTTGGCTGCAGAGGTCCTAGCAACATGGCCATCGTGGCAGATATTTCAGTTTGTCCATGCCACTGGTGCACGATTAGATCACGTTGCGATGGGGCCGAAAACTACCAACAGGTTTCGCCTACAACATGTATGTAGGGTCGATACTTTAAGAAGGAACACTCCACTCCCCCAGGGCGGTGGTATTTATGGCAATGTCTTACGATCTCGTTACTCCAGACTCGCTCATTGGGTTCATTGACACCCGATGTGGTCCGTGGGAAAGGACCATACGTTGGTTCAACAAGGTATGTGTCGGCGAAGAGTAACTTATACTATGTTCTAGCGACAGGAGCAACGGGGCAGCATGCAATACTGCCGTATTAAAATCATGATTGCTTATTGGCAATTTCAATGTGACTCGGGGACGAGAGTGAATGGGCTATAGGGGCTCCTGATTCTGAACTTCTTATTGACAATATCATTTCTAGCCCACACCAACGATGAGTTTGCTTTTGTACCGTTCATGGGGAGACTTGTTAGCTAAACCTCACTCTACCGCCCCGTTCAAAAGGCTCAAGTTCTATCAAATTCCTACTCATGTTCATAACTCCACAATGCCTTTCCTAGGAAAGCCCTGCCTCCCATATCGAAGCGAAATAAACTTCGCGAGAACAAGCGTTCATCACCTCCGACAATACAAGTAGTAATGGCCTCATTTGCCGATATCCCTGAGAATATCCTCGACGCCTGCAAACGAGAACTCGGCGAGCGTCTCCTTCCACAGGAGTTCCCCGACGCGCCGACCCTCGGCTGTGTAGACGAACGGTGCCATACTAACGCGACTATCAGTTGGCCGAGTAAAAGTGCAGGTAAAGGATACGATATAGTTGTATCTTCGTGAACTTACGGCTTCAGCTTCTGGAGTCCCAGGTATTGTCCATGCGTTTCCTCCCCGTGGTTCACAGCGGCATCCGTGATCATGCGGGAGCCGACCCCAGCCGTATAGCCCACCCGCCGCCTGAACACTTCTTTTGCCTTGCCCAAGAGTGACTGGGCAGTCTCACGGCTGATTTGAGAGTCGTGGACCATCATTGGTGTAGCCGCACTTCGTACCTACGGGTCAGCAGAGTGCCGCCATCAACAAAACGAGTTGTTTCCGATGTATCTCTAGCAATGTGACACATGGAAGGACTTCCGCCGGCAGGAGACAAGGCCGCTGGGACATCGAAAACGGAAAACGGAAAACGGAAACTTCATTACATGACTACTTACTTGATTACAGCAACAGACGCAGGTACACGTTTCGCCAATTCAACCAGGGAAAGCTGAACCAAAAGCTTTGTAACGCAGTTGCGCTCAAATAGATCCGTCGTGCCTGTTCTGGCAAAAGAAGGTAACAGCGGGTTCTCGTCTCTCTCGTTGAACGCAGCCCAGGCACCTACGTCCGAAGACGTAATAGTGATACGGCCTGCCTTCTGCTGGATAGACCTCTTTGCTTTCATGACGGGGGGTAACAGGATCGCTAGCAGGGCGGTGGACAGGTAGTTCACCTGTACGGTCTCTTCGTGGCCTGTGTCTGGGTTGAAATCCATCTTGCCCTTCAAGATACCGGCGTTGAGAATGGCGATGTCGAGGCGATTGAGAGTCCTCGCGCGTTCCACAAAGGAGCGGATGGAGTCGTATGAGGAGTAGTCCAGTTTCCATACCTCAATCGTGTCTTCTGGCGTGTCTCTGCCTGTGGATAGCTCGACGGCTGCAGCCTGTCTCACACGTCTGGGTCAGTGTTTCTCTTCTCCGGGCAAGTCTCCCGAGATAACGTGATGTGGCAAGCCTGAGATGGGTCACCGACCTTGCCTTTGTTCTCTTTGCGGACAGCGAGGATGAGCTTGCTGAGACCGAGGTCAAGAAGCTGGCGGCTGCACTCTAGGCCGATGCCAACGTTGTATCCTGTCACGATGGCTGTTTGGCCCTCGAGGTCGACTCCTTTGACTTCAGCTGGAGTTTGCGTAAGCTGGCCATAGAAGTAGTTTACTATGCTTCCCTCCTTTTCCGGAGACACGTCGAAAGTGGCGGGCATAGTGCGTGCGTACCGGGCCGGAAGCACAATGTTGGAAGGGAGAAGATGAAGGATGCGTCGAGACAGGATGGGATGGTAGGATGGAAATAGAGGATTGTGAGGATGCAGCTGGCAAGTAAGGGGCGTACATATCCTGCCAAGAACAATATATGTTCCCTGCGCGGGCTATGTGCCAACTGCATAAGCAGTGCGGCTTTGATTGGTGCATCTAGAAAGGAGGTCGGAGAGACACTGTTACAGTTCAACTGCTAATGACTCCAGAATGTCTTTTTTTGTTGTACATGAAGAAGAGAAACTGTAAAGCTGGCTAGAAGATATGGTCAGGTATACAAAGGAGTCTGCCCTGCGGGGCTACCTAGTGCCATGACATGGTGAGATTCGCATATTGATCGACGCGCATCTCAGAAACGTGGAAACGATGGTATACCGCAGCTCAGGCTGTGCCAATGCCTGTCCAATACTGGAAGGCTACTTGTGTGCTCTCTAGTAAAACCTAAAGTGAGAAGTACCCAGTTTCGGGAACAATGATACAACGAAAAAACACCCGATCTATTTTGTTATTAAGCTCCTCGACCGCAAGGGGAGAGCCAAACCCAAATACCCTAAAATACAACAAAAAGCAGAGCCCCCGTGCTGTACGCCAAGTCTAACAGAATAGAACGCCGCAAATCATCTCAATCTCCTGAAACCTTAACCCTTCCACAATCCCATCACGCAGGGGAACCTACTCGTTTACCGAGTCGGCGTTGTACTGCGACGTGCAGAAGATCAGGGACGAGCCGAAATAATCCAGAGTTGCTCCATTGGTGCCTGGAGATGTGCATGTGTATCCTTTGGAAGTGTCTTTACCACATCTCCCTTCGACATTGTCGTGTAGATCGACCATAGCCCAATCTCGGTTGGCATACGCGGCTAGAAAAAGGAAAGTCAGGTCACTGACACGACTTTGAGGGTTGAAGGGCAGCAGATAGATGCCCTCTGGTAACTTACTGAAATGCCCCATGTCGTTGTTCCACTCGATAAGGGTAGGGTCGGACCCCGTGCTTGTTTCCGCTAACGTCGCTCTTTTGCGCTTGCACTTCCGTGATGCCGTTGACGATGCGATCACAATCGGGGGGTGCATCGAAGAAGCCAAAGCCCCACTCGGTCGAGCTTAACCCTCCAGCGTTCGTTATTTTGCTCACTTCGTAGATCCAGAAGTCTGCTGCTATGTGCGTAGCGGCCACGGCTAGCAAGATGGTAGTAATGACCGATACGGGATACATCTTGCGCGTTAATTGTTGCAGGTGTAATGGGTAGGCGGGCTAGGATCGTCGCTAGTAGGAAGTGGGTGTTCAGAGGCAGGCTGGTAGGAAGTTGGTGTTCAAAGGCTGGCTGGTAGAAAGTGGGTGTTCAGAGGCTGGTTGGTAGGAAGTGGGTGCTCAGAAGCTGGGAGGTCAAAAGACTCGCAGTTGCTCCTATTTATATTGATGCTGTCGAGCTTAGAAATATTCACCGCTCTAGCTGTTTCCCTACGAAGTGCACTTGTGAATCACTGGCCATGTTTCTCCTGACTCTCATCAACTGTAATCATCAACTATAATTTACCACTGAATCATCTAGTGAATGATATCTACGTCTATGATCGTTACTCACCGTTCCTTACTCTGGGCTTCACCATGGCGATTACTGTCCTTAGACTAACAAGAAGTACCCTTGCCTTAGCTAAGTGGCCAGGGCACCCAAGACAACCAAGCGCTATCACTTGGACACCTGAAGAGGTTCTTGAGACTATGGCTATCGCCGATCGTCATGGTCATGAAAGGGCTCCCAATCACTGGATATGAACTGGGCTTCTGGCGCGCGTTCTCCGTCGCGAATTCCTATTGCGATGGCCAGGCACCATGTAAGAAAAAACATGTGAATCAACCGAGCTGTCGGATGGTCGCTGAGCGGACAAACAGCTGAGCGACTCCACTTTTACCGGCAATCTCCGATTCCGGCCCGGACCGGCTCGGCACTGCTTGCGTCATGTTGCAGGTGCTGTTGGCAGGCGCTGTTGGCAGGGGTGGAGATTCCTATCTTCAGCCTCCTTCCCACACCCAACCAATTCAACACGTTTACTGGGCTTGCACGGAGGTTACCACCTCAACCTCGCCGAAGTTGACAGCCTGTGCAAGAGAACTTACCCTCATCACCTGATACACAACAATCAGTCATGGCTCTGTCAGCCGGTCCCACCAGACTTCCATACTTTTGCAGTCCCGAGGAGTTGCCAGCTCCCATTCCAACGACGGCGGCGATTGCAGCTGCGACCGAGAGCCTGCCCTCAATTCATGAACCTCAATACCGACGCACTGTCATTGTCAACGACTGCTTTGTCGTCAAGTATGGCACTTATGTGGCGGAAAATGAGGGACACGCGCTACTCGCCCTCGAGAAACACTAGTCCATCCCCGCGCCACGACTCTACGCCATGTACCGAGAGGACGACAAGCTCTACCTCATCATGGAGCGCAAGCCAGGAACACAGCTCAGTGAGCTGTGGCCTGCTATGACAAAGGACGAGATGCGAGACGTATCTGCGCAGCTCCGGAAGATATGGGACCACCTACGGTCTATCCCCTCGCCCGGTATATACAGCGGCATCACAGGTGGTCCATTGCAACATCGCTGGTTTCGGTGGTTGGAGCCTGATCCGAGAATCAACGGACCATTCAACACAGAAGAAGACCTCAACAAAGCCCTCATGCTGAGGTCAGAGAAGAATTGGGAAAGTACCGGCACCTGGGGATGGATGGCCGAATTTTTCGCGCGGAACTTACCAGGGGCGCTCACAGGCCACCATAGCGTGCTCACGCATGGAGACCTGCAGCGCAAGGACATAGTGGTTGTTGTGGTCCCGGCAAACAATCTAGATAAGAGACGAGTGGAGGTTTCTGCTGTGGTGGATTGGGAGAATGCGGGATGGTACCCAAACTACTGGGAGTACGCCTCGTGCTTTGTCGACTTGGAGTGGAGGGATACGTGGCCCGAGCATGTCGAGCATATCGTTGATCCTCACATTCCAGAAGCTGCAGTGCTCCGAATGATCCGACAAGATTTGGATTTCTAGACGGTACAAATGTGCTGGCTAGCCATCGTTCGGACTGGTAAGTGAATGGTAAACCCCTGTTGAGTGTTCGTCGGTCTCTGAAGTCTCGAAGACCTGTCTGCCAACTGTGCCGTTTACTGGTTTGGCTTGAGGGAGCATTGCTTGCAGATGATAGGGAAGTGTCCATCCTCTCATCTGCTCCCTTGGAGCTTGAGTACGTGCTCCAAGCAGCCCTGCCACATGCTGCGTCTTTGGCGTAGTATTCCACCGGCCCGGGGGGGGTAATAAGCTTCTTCAGGTGTCCATCCCCACTTTGTACATCAGGACCAACAATCATGCGAATTTCTCATTTTCTTATCTCTTCTCATGATTCCAGTGTTGGGTGCCTCGCAACTTGAGCTACAGAACCATCTGGCCGCGTGGCACCTCGGTTTTGAGTAAGTCTATCTAGGGGTTGTGCCCGCTGACTCTCGAGCTGGTTCTCTGAGTCAAAGTATTCAAGTACCTATAGCGCAGCTTATACCTTCACCCGATACAGTCCTATTCCCTTTGTTCTATCCGTTGCGCTTTGTTTGACATGCATGTTTTGAAGTAGTTGAAATGCCATGCAGTCACGACGCACGAAATCACTGGAAAGAACTGTGGCGAGGCAATCAATCATAAGAGTCCTGTTGTGTTTAGAGACACACAAGAATGCACGTCGCGCTCACCCAATGACGAGAGAAAGAAAAACCAGGGCGAAGTTATCAATTGACTAGATCGTGTAAAGCAGGCTTTGAAGATTGGTTAAACCCAAAGCTCAACATTGAAGAAAGATGGCCGTTAAAGTGGCTTACTGGATGAGATGAAGATGAACCTTATCGGTTAACTACAAGTTTTAGACTTTAAGGCGAGACACCCGTTAGCTGCATATGCGCTTGCTCAGCTATCGTGGGGCCGAAAAGCACCTTGAGGTCTCCATCTCCATCTCCGTATCCCACCTCCATCTATGGAATCACGATACTGCTACTAACCATCCAAACACGCAACGCCCGCTCTGGGCTTGGATCACATATTGTAGTACGGCAATTGGTTACCATTGGAAATTGCTTATGAAGCCATCATCATGTCTGTCATACTCTGCACAGGTAAAGCGACCGGCCGTCCTATGGAGCTTCCCAAGCTAATTGTGACGCAGCTGGTTACGACCACACGATCAGGTATGCGCTCGAAGTCGAGGCCCCCGCAAAGCTTCGTAGAAGCTCGAGAAGCTGTCTGGATGACTGACCAACGCTCGGCGCAGGTTCTGGGAGGCTCTCTCCGGGATATGTTCCCGCACGATCCAACACCCCGACTCGCAAGTAAACAGGCTCTGCATCTCGCCCGACAAGCGCTTCCTGGCCGCCGCGGGCCACCACACTGTGAAGCTGTTCGACATCAAGTCCACGAACCCGAACCCGCTCCTGACCTTCGAGGGCCACACCGGCAACATCACGGGTGTCGCATTCCACTGCGAGGGCAAGTGGATGGTGACGTGCTCCGAGGACAGCACCGTCAAGATCTGGGACACGCGCAGCGGCAACATCCAGCGCGAATACAACCACGGCTACCCCGTCAATGACGTTGTCATCCACCCCAACCAGGGCGAGATCATCAGCTGTGACCGCAACGGCAGCGTGCGCGTCTGGGACCTCGCCGAGAACAACTGCTCCCACCAGCTCATCCCCGAGGAGGATGTGCCCGTCTCGAGCGTCACAGTCGCCAGCGACGGGTCCCTACTTGTTGCCGCCAACAACAACGTAAGTAATATCTTCCCCCGTCCCTGCGCTAACTTCTTGTGCACCGTCGAGGCTCTTACTACACAAGCTACCTGTACTGATATGACTCCTTCTGACTCCAGGGTTACGTCTTCGTCTGGAGACTCGTCCAGACCTTGGAACGAACGCAACTGGTGCCCGTGACGCGGTTCCCCGCGCACACGGAGTACATCGCGCGGGTCATCCTCTCACCCGACGTCAAGAAGCTCGCAACCTGCTCCGCGGACCACACAGCGAAGATCTGGGCCGTTCCACTCCCCGACGCGGACGACGTCCCCGACGTACCTGCACCCGCGCCCAAACTGACCAACGGCGACACCAATGGCAGCGGACATATGATTCAACAAACCCTCATCCCGGCGCCCCTCTCCCTCCCCACGACCACGGCGATGACGAACGGAACAACCGCCAACAGCGCAGGCGAGGGCCCCGGATCGGGGGGCCCAGAGTCGAAGCCCTTCCCGCTCGAGGCGACGCTGACGGGCCACCAGCGCTGGGTGTGGGACTGCGCCTTCAGCGCCGACTCGGCCTACCTGGTGACGGCTTGCAGCGACCACTACGCGCGGCTGTGGGAGCTGTCCTCCCAGCAGGTTATTCGCCAGTACAACGGCCACCACCGCGGCGCCGTGTGCGTCGCGCTCAACGACTACTCGGAGGCTAGATAGGCTCCGTGTCCTCATGATGAGTTGGCGATTGCGGCGACACCGAGGCCACCCCAGCCACCCCAGCTACCAGAGGTGCAACTGGATGGGAAGGGGAAGGATGACGATGATGACTGGGAAATAGTCTAATCGGGCTCGGATGACGAGACATGGAAGACCGAGGAGTCGAAGAAGTACGAGGAGTCGGATTTGAACTTCGAATCGCTGATTTTGACCTTCGGTCTATGACGGGTACTCAGGACGGTCTCTTTTGCTCTTTGCAATTTGTTGCTAGGCGTCCGGATTAGAGAGGTCCAACTAAGTTGGGCTCTGGAGTTGGGCGGGCTCCGGTATAGGTGTTTGGGCATGAATGACTTCTGCTTTTTCGTATCTTCTTAGGAGACCAGCTTTCCAGACCAGGTTCTTGTCTTGGGCTTGGTGGGTGTCTGTACCTTCGTCACATACCCGGCCGCGTATGCGCAATGAATCAAGTTTGACAATCATGCTCACCCTCATGCATTTTCATGTCCGATCACCATGAAGTACGGAAGTACCGAACCAGTGATACGTGACAAGTTTTACGATTTGATATTTGATATACCCATGAAGTTGATGGTCAAGCTTGCCTGGCCGTCTTCCAATGCCGAGCAGGTCAGAGGCTATTGTTTCTACTCCAGAACGCCTTGCCATGCCATGCCCTGCTTCTAACAAACCCGTCCATCCGTACTATCTCTGGAGAACATAGATAGCCAGCAAATATATATCAAACTTTCCCTCCCAATGTGCCACTGATCGCTTATTCCCAACTACCACCCATCGCCCCAGCCGTCATCGTCAGCCTCTGTCGCCTTGGGCTTCATATCGATCTTCTTCGCCACGACCGGCTTCGGCGCCGGCTTGGCCGCCATCGGCTTCTTACCAGCAGCATTAGTAGCCGTGGTCGATTTGGTCAAACCCTTCGGCAGCGGTTTGCTCCCGGGCGTCTTCTTCTGCGCCTGCGCCGCCAACCAGCCCGCGAAGTCGGGCTCGGACCCGTCGTCGAACGGCTTGGGAGAGACGATGGGCTCCTTCTTCGTCGGCCGTACTGTAGCCGGTTCGGTGCTGGGCGCGTCGGAGAAGCCGCTGCCGTCGTCGTCGGCGTCTTCGTCGTACATGTCGTCCATGTCGCCCCAGGCGTCGCCACCGTCGTCGTCGATCGCGGGTGAAGGGTCCTTGAAGTATGCCTCTGGAGCCGTTGTCGACGAGGCGCGCGAGAGCGGGGCGGGAGATAGCGCGGGCGACGTGATGGCTTGGCGGTGCAGAGCTGATGCTGAGGAGGTGGTGGGAGTGGCTGTCGTGCGTCCGGGATCGAGACTAGCAGACGGCGAGGCGGGTCGTGGGGTTGGGGCGCCGTTGCCTGACGTCTGCATCTCGCCGGAGGCGGAGGATATCTTGTTGGTAAAGGACGAGATGGCCCATCCCGTCCACGATGACGCCTCGCTGGGCTGAGGAGTGCTCATGCGTGGGCCGGCGCCTTCGGTGGTTTGAGGGGGTGGCAGGACTGTGTCTGGCATGCTGGCTGCCGCCTTGCGAATCCTCTGTAGGTAGACGTCCATCGTCTTGTTGGCTTGGTCTCGAATCAGTTTCTCCTTATCGATCAACGAGGGGCAAATAGCCGGTAGGATTTTCGTTGCACATTCTTCTTCTGTGAAGTGATCACCGGTAGCTGCCAAGGCCATCAACGCTGCGTTCCGCGCGTGTATGAAAGGGTCGCGCAGTGATCGCGAAAACGCAGCAATGAGGACCTTGGCTCTGGTCCCCACCCCGAGATTCTTGGCGATCTTGCCCAAGCAAATAGTCGTGTTTGTCCTGATACCAGGTTGCTCGTCATTTGCCGTCTTGGCCAGGTACTTCAGCAGCTCGCCGTTGATCGTCCGATCTGATAGCTTGTGGATGATGACGAGGACTGATTTAAGCGTCTGCTCTCGAACAACAGGTGCCACATCCGTGAAGCCAGACACCATGTTGGGGAAGATTTTGTCGTTGACCACCTTCTGCGGTAGCCGGTCAATCATCAAAGGCAGGTTATCTAGTAAGCACACCCGTATAGCTCTGTCGGGGCTACTGAATAACCGCAGGACGACCGGCTGGACCCGGGCCTCGAAGTCTTCGTTCGCAAGTTTGGTCGCGATCTTCATGACGACACTGAATGCCTTGGGACCGCCGCCGCCGAACTCGACTGACTTCAGTAACTCGGGCAAAACCTTCATCTTGAAGAAATCCTCGGGAAAGTCGTCCGATAGTTGGTCCAGATCGTCCAAGAACCGCTCCCTCTCATCTTCCGATTTTACGCCCAAATTGTCGACGCCCTCGGTCAGCTTGATCAACGAGGAGTCGAAGAATCCGCCCGGTCGCCGTCCCTGTTCGAGGAATGCCCCGACTGTAATCCTGGCTTTGGGGTTCGCGTTCACAAGCCGCTTGTAACCAGAATGCATCGTAGGCGGTATGCCCTTGGTCTGCCCCGCCTGGTCGGCACCCAAGAAATCGCCATTGAACACCTCGAATATCGTCGTTCCAAAGTTGTACGCGTCGATCGCAGAGTGCGGACTTCGCTTGATGGCGTCCCAGCCCGAGCGCGCCAGTTCCGGTGGCGTGTAGCGTCCGGAGTCTGGCACCAGGCTTCCATACGTATATATTATCGCCTCGTCGTCCTTGACGTTGCTCAGGACCTCGAAGCCTCCCAGCTTCCACTCGCCGCTCTCGGACGTGTATATCGAGGCGACCCGCAGGCTGCCGTGGACCGAAGTGCCCTCGTCGTTGATGAACTTGACGGTGCGCGCGATGCTGTACAGCCCCCACTTGATGGTCTCCGGACTCAGGCTCTTCCGCTTGACGTGCCACCGCAGCGGCACGACGCGCTCGGTCGCGATGTATATGTAGCTGTCGGTCTCGACGGTGTCCAGCACCTTGATGACGCCCGGGTGGCGCATCGTGCGCAGTTTCTTGAGCGCATTCTTGGCGAGAGGCAGGCGCGACCTGTTCGCGGTCACGTCGAAGGAGAAGATGCTGCAGTTGGACCCGTTGGCGCGCCGCGTGCCGTTGTAGAGTGTCCATATGGAGGCGTCCACGTCGACCCTGTCGCCGAAGCTATAGGGGAAGGGCGGTCCCTGCGCGATGGCTGAGGCTACCGCCGACTTGAGGAAGTCCATGGCGGTGTGTAAATCATGCGAGTTCGAGCTTGGGTATCGGAGGAAACAGGTGGAGCGCGTGGCAGTACGTGTAAACAAAGGAGGAGATGTTGGTGGTACGTGAATACTATGGTGTACCGATCTTGATGATTTGTCCACTCGGCAGCGAACACATGTCCCCGAAATAGAATGCTTCTGAAGGAGTTGACCCCTCCACTGGGAGCTGCCGCTGGTGGGCACCGCTAAAGTAGCCTCTCCCCGCACTATCTCCGATGCCCACTGCCCCTATTATTATCATCATCAGACTCCGAAATCGTCGCAACATTCATTCATTATTGTCCACAGCTTCATTGGGAAGTTATAGCAAAATACCGTGCATTCATGTTCGATTACCATTAGACTACGCTACTGAATATGTGATGCAAATCTCTTCTCATATACCCCTCAACCTTCAAGCCGGGATCTTGAACCCGCCCGTCCTCTCCGTCCAGAAGCCATCCGGGTCAACCTCAGCCTGGACCTGCTGCGCCAGCGCCAACTTCTCGGGCCGCAGCCTACCAAAGTAGTTCTGCGGGTAGAAGCAGTCGTTCTGGAACAGCGGCAGGTACGCGTCGGCTGGCAGCATGCCGCTCGCCTGGTAGCCCTGCACGATGGACTGGAAGCCCCCGTACGTGTCGCGCATCGTCGTGTCGATCGTGGCGTAGTCGGCGTCGTCCAGGAAGCTGTAGTCGAGCTCGAACATGATGCGGTCGACGTCGGCGTCCAGGTCCAGCATGTCGCCGCCTTTCGAGCGGGCGATGCTGGCGAGCTGTTTTGGTATTGGCTGGAACGCGATCGACGCGACGACGCCCGGCACGAGGGCCGCCGTGTCGCTGACGTTGACCCAGTGGTCGAAGATCGCCCCCATGATCTCGGGGCCGTCGGCCGCGCTGGGGAGCGGCGTCGTCTCCGTGCCGATGGTGTACACTTGGCCCTTCAGGACCGACCAGTTGTTGCCGCTGACCAGCTCGCTGTACGTCTGCGTCTTGGTGGTGTCGGTTATGTGGGGGACGGCGGTGAAATTGTCGAATACCCCGGCCGGCACATCAGGGCCGTTGTAGTACAGAAACATGACCCAGATGTCCGCGAGGGTGGCCAGCGTGCGCTCGGCCGTCACGATGACGGCGGCCTTCTCGTCCGGGTAGTACTCGGTGAAGTCGCGGACCGCGGCCAGCAGGGCGGCCGAGTTCTCCGGCGTGGCGTCGAAGATCAGGTTGCCGCCCCAGACGTCGCCCTGGGGGTAAGCCTGCAGCAGATAGGAGGTGACGATTCCGAAGTTGTTTCCTCCGCCCTTCAAAGTCATGAAGATGTCCGGATAGCTGGTCTCGGACACCGTCAGGATCGTCGCATTTGCTAATACTAGCGTGTACTCGACGACAGAGTTGGCAGCCCAACCGTATTGCGCGCTCATGAAGCTCAAGCCGCCTGTGAGATTCCCCTGTCAGTATTATATCTGTTTCAAAGTTCTGTGGGTTGATCTCACCTCCGACGAGATAGCCGCCCACACCGACATTGCCAATTCTCCCACCGACGACAGTATAGCCAGTCCCATCAAGCGCTGCCGCAACGTCGTCCCACCGGTTACCGGGCCCAACCCTGACAGTCTCGGTAGCCGGGTCGAAGATGACCTCGTTGAGGCTCTTGGTGGAGATCTGCGACCCGCCCTCCACGCTGGCGAAGTAGTTATTCGGGTTGTGGCCGCCAGACTTGATGGCAAACGTCTCGTTGTTGTCGCGGAGGATGGAGACTATGGCCGCGACCTCGGCCGTGGTCTCCGGCTCGAGGATACATGACGGCGCCAAGTCGCTGCAGGCCGTCGACCAGTACTCGCCCTGCGACTCGGTGTACGCCAACGTCAGTGGGTTGAGGATGGTGATCGACGTCTGGCTTGCAACCGTGTCGCAGGTGTCGGCCACTGTCGTCGCCGCAAGCGCAAGGGCAGCGAGCAGAGCTCTACTCATGGTCAAGAGGGCCATAATTATATTCTGCTGCGAAACAGCTGAAACTATGAGGGCCAGAGAGGTCTCTTGCTAGAGCGGAAGATTTTCGAAAGCCCACGACGTAGGCTCCGAGGGCTATGAGACCCCATCGCGGCTGGAGCTGGCTTCTTATACACAGCTGACTCCACGATGAACCTCGCTTGCGGGGGTCAATCCTAGACTTCCAGGGGCGGAACGAACAGGTACCGTAGTTGGAGGTGGAGAAGACGAGCGAAGCAGATTGCGAACCAACAAACGCAGGGCTCCAAAAGCTGACCCCAGTCAATGCAAGCCAAAGCGTGCTCCGAATACGCGGATACAACGACGCGGGACCCTGGTCAATCTATAAATTTAGGCTCGTCCAGACGCAGTGGGATGGTCGAGTCACAATGCTTACTGTTCAAAGAAGAGGCGCTTCGGCTCCAATGCCGCCGTCTCTCGAAAAGGCACGAACCTTCTACGGCGTACACCTACCACATGGTCAATACCTTGGTCTTATTGGCTTAAGAATCCGGAGAAGCCTCGCTTATCTAGTCTGTCTTATGAAGCGGTAAAAACACTGCTGTGAATGACACGGCTTGGCAATCGGTGAGAAGTGCGTGCCATAGAAGGCTCGCTTGGAGAAGGCGGTAGTCTGTACGTATGGGCAGTGGGCGAACAGGTCAGATCTCGGATACGTGCCGAAATAGCCGTCGCGTCAAGCGAGGTCACAGCTCCTGTGGCTGGATGCGTCATTGTGTCGGAGGAAGCTCGTATCCGCCCATCAGATGGTGAATAGCCTCGGGGGTGTTCACGGTTATGGAAATAGTCACAGGCAGTGACAGGGAATCGCGGTGCGGCTGGAGCTGGCTGAAGATGCGAGTCGACCAAATCGTACACGATACCGCAGTAGGTATAATAAAAAACAAGGAAAGTGATCGTGGGAAAATAAGCAGCCTAGCCGTCCATGCATACACAGGGATATAGAATCCTACCCAGAGCTTGGGGTACCGACTTCACATGTGCGCATGCCTCGGTTCCTCTGCTGCGTTACTAAGTACTCACTGCTCATACTCGATGCAGACTGACACTGATGGTGTTGTGGCTGATAGGCTTATAATCGTAATACTATTGTAGAGGAAGTTCCAGAAGCTAGCCAGACGATGATGGCATAAGTTACGAACGAATCGAAGGACTGCCGTGTGAACTTGTAATTAGCTCGGCCGGGTACACGTGAAAAATCGGAGCCGGGGTGTGGTGGTATTTGGTATTCCCCAGGTTTGCACGGTCCACCGCTTCCTTCCCCTGCCCCTTTTCCATCCACTCAGCTGCCACTCGACCCTGTCATCATCCAAGAATCTAATTTGGTATCTTGCCCAGAATCGTCGATACTTCAATGCAGTGACGTCTGCAAACACCAAGTCCCATCAAGGTCGCCTGAACAACTTCAGCTGCAATCTTGTTCCTGCGCAGAGGATCTGTTCAGATCTCTTGACATTGGCTCGGCTCGCACGACGTCAGCGTATTGGGTTGCATTGCATCGCAGCCGGGTATCAATCTCCGGGACTTCTGTTACACGTGTCTGGTTGTGACCTTGGTTCCCTCAGCGGGCTCCAGAAGCTCCCATCTGCAGTCGATGCTATTCTTCTCAAACCTGCTCATTATCTTCTTCGCGATCTCCTCGTAGTTGCCTGTCGCAAGCGCGAGGATGGTCGGACCTGCGCCTGACAGACAGACCCCGAGAAGGCCCTCTTGCGTGCTTGGCGACATGGATTCAACAATCTCCCCCAGCCCTGGAATCAGGGTCTGCCGGTATTGCTGATGCAGCTTGTCCTGCATAGCAAGATGTATGAGTTCTGGGTCCGGCGGCGACTGTCCCAATGCTACTGGCAGAAGTGCTATACGTTGCATGTTGAAAGTCTAGTCGATTCATTCAGTCAGATACCTGTCCTTGCAAGGCAACCAGAGGACGACTTACCACATCCTGCCTGGGATAGTCTTTGGGCAATACTTCACGGGCCTTCGCCGTGGGCACCTCGAAGTTGGGAATGATGGCAATTGCCTTGATCTCCTTGGCCCATGGGAACTTGATATGATGACCGATACCATGAGGCGGCTCTGGCGGGCGCTTGCCGGTATCAAGACCTCCGGCCGGTGCTGGCAGCACCTCACTCAGAGGGATCTCGACGCGTGCCATATCCTCGGGTGCCAAGGGCTTCAAGTACGTCCCAACGAAGCCTCCAAAGAGAGCAGCTCCCACGTTGTCGGGATGACGCTCTGTAAGTCGTTGGTCAGTCACTCTCCGACGCGCTGCAAAGGCGTTGACATGGATTCGAGCATACCAATCATCAAAGCGAAGTCGAATAGCCGGGCGTCGTCTAGGTGGTGAAGACCTCCGACCTGCTTGCCAAGCATGACACCGGCCACGACAGCAGCTCCTGACGACCCCAGACCGCGGCCAAGAGGGATCGGATTCTTAATGTGCACATGCGTCTCGACGGGAAAGGCTCGCTGGTCATGACATCGCAGTACATATAGCGCAACCCGAGTGATGAGGTTGGCTGCCGGATCCAGTGGCACCTTGCCCGATTCCGCGCCCTCGCCCTCGTATGTGATTCTGCAGTTCAGGGGCAACTCGGACGATGACTTGGACCGATCAATGGTGACGGTCAGCTCGAGATATATGGACAAGGCCAAGCCAATAACATCAAAGCCAGGTCCGATATTGGCAGAGGAGCAAGGAGTCGTGATGGTGAACGACTCCATTTTGAGGTTCGCTTTCCTACCAGCCAACCCGATGAACGTGAGTTTGATGACGAAGACTCCAGCCTTGCTGATCAATGGACCGTACGCAACTCAATTTGGCAGCGTGAGTCCAGTCGGGTGGGTTAGGGAGCGGAAGCGTGAACAGATCGGGTTTTCTGTTTTTCTCTCTAACCCGCCCGATTACGGAGGCGCGGGGAGTGTGTAAAATGCCCTGGAGGCCCGAGAGGCCCGAGTATCCACTATTGCGGGGTACATCGCGGCTACCCGGCTTGATTGGCTACCCGTCGAGTGCCTTTTGTTGGATCAGGACTATGTATGGAAGGTACCTACCTACTACCTACGAATCACATGAAAGCTTGCAGCTGTTCTTCCAAGAATAGGTACGTGTATGTTGTAAGTCGTCTGGTGCTTCTCTTTAGCAGGCAATGAAAGGCTCATGGCTTGGCGCTTCAGCCATAGGTAAGGTAGGTATGGAGCTCAGATAGAGAACAGCAAGGATATCACCTTGTCTGGGGATTATGGGCCTAAAGATCTTCAAGAATCAATGGTCAACCTCCCATGTTGCCCCTGACTGTTTTGGACGGCGAGCAAAACCCAACGGACCCCTTCTATCCCTCAGCCAGCAGTACGGTATAACGAAGCCAACCCTCGCGAGGCCACTTCATGATACACCTCACGTTAGCACGTGAGACTACTGCAGCCAGCTGACTTCAAGCTGCCGCCCCATCAATGATCATGCAGCTGTGCGTTGGGCCGTGCCATCTCTCAAGCGAGGCGGGGACTATGCCCAGGTCCCACCGCCAGGCACCCTCACCACTTCGAATATTCATACATCAAACAGAACATGACTGAACCAACGAGTGCCGATGGTGTGAAGGAGCTGCATCGGGACCTTGCCCGCAAATGGAGGACCCATGGACCCCGACTCGAACAGATCTGGCGGTCGTTGGGCCAGGGCCAAAGAGCGAAGGCGATGAAGGCCGGCGCTATGGACGGCGTTGTCCTGAAGCACTCCTTGGATGCGTCGTTGGGTAATGTCTGCAAGTTCATGCCAGAATGGAATCTGCGCGACGTCACAGCACCGGGATCCGACCATCTGCTCGAGATTCTCAAGCATCGAGCGATCACCACCCTCGAAGAGCAGTACCTCAGCGGTGCTAATAGCCGCACGGGCGACCATGAACTCATCATGAACATGATGCGTACCAGAAACCTGCAACATGTCGATTCCTTCCGCGACTGTTATACCTTCTTCATGGAGGGAGAACGATACGGGCAGTCCTTCAAGCTCCTCAAAGAAAAGGAGCAAACATTGGCGGCTTTCCAACCCTCTATCGACGCCGGGCTTTGCATTCCCCAATCTGCTGGCGAATTGATCCTCACACGACAGATTTACATGCTGCAGTGTCTCAACATCGTGGTGGAGGATATCCTGGAGGCCGGTTCTACCACCAGAAACCAAAAGCAGCCGCCCAAGAAGTCCACCGATGCGGCAGCAGCCGCTCTTTCCAAACTCTCGATTCAGCCCTCGCCGCCCAAGTTGGACCTCGCCGATCTACACAACAGCGCGAAGGACCAGAAAGCAACCCTCGAAGACAACCTGAACTTGGTCTGCACAGAACCTGTGGTGCTGGCCCATGCCGTCAATATCTGGTTCTTCAGTCGACCCGAGCTTGTGGCAGATGAGAAAGGCCGCATGCTCCCTGCGCACACCGACAAGTATATCAGTGCTGCATTCTTTGAGGCCGTTCATAGCGCAGTCAAGGGGCCTGCGATATGGGACTACATGTGTCGGTTGCTGGAACTTCTCAAAAGCTCAACTGACAAGTCTCATCGAGAGATTATCCTACAGGAAGTATCCAACCTATGTCATCTGGAATACAGTCGCGTACAAGCTCTGCTTAAGCGCCACGTCGCGTCGGGTACCGGATTGAAGTGGTTCAAGCGGGTTTCTAACGTCTATGACAATGGCAATGTGCGCGTCAGCATGAAGGGCAAGCCAGAGTCTCTCATTCGAGACAACCCACAGCTTCTTTACTTGCTACGTCTGTGTCAGCCTGAGACCAATGCCTCAAAGGCTATCGATTGGATCAAGAAGCTAGACGACCATCATACTGCGCACCCTAGCGACCGAGAGGACCTGCAAGATCGAGAAGTCGATGCTCTCTGCGACCTGGCAGTCATTGTTGGATTCATACACTCCCTATCGCCGGTCATCTCCATGCCCGCCTTCAATCGCAAAAGAGGACAGTTGTTCGTCGCTAAATCGGGAGAGCTCGAAGGCGAGCTGAATCAGCTGAAGACCCAGGTTGACCTGGCCGATTTCGCTGTTCCGATTGACCACCTCCGTGAGCCGGGAATGTCAGAGGGTGCGTTGGAGGCGATCGACCAGTTCGTAGTCGAGAAGACCGGTACCAAGATGGGATTCCTTTACCAGGACCTGATTGAGGAATGTATGTTGCAGCTACAGGACAGGCTGAAAGCCAAGACAGAGCAGCAAGACAAGGCAAAGGAGCAAGACAAGGCTACTGAGTTCGTACCGTTGCCATCAGACGGCCCACAGAAACCGGAAGTACGAGTGCAGCAGAGAAGAGAGAAGGAAAAGACCCGACCCAAATACTCGTCCGTTTACGAAATCACCCCCTCCGCCCAGAAGTCTTCGGAGCTTGAGAGCCTCGAGACGACGCAGGCGCCACCATCTCTCAAGGTGAAGCCGTCCACGGCAGAGGTATTCTCCACGCTGTTCTCGAAGTCCGAGTCGCGAGGCTCTGTCAGTTGGAGCGGATTTGTGGCCGCCATGGCTGATCTGGGATTCTCGGTGCTGCCCAAGTTCGGTTCGGTCTACACCTTCTTTCCGCCTGAGGGCTCGGCCGTACAGAGACCGGTCACCTTGCACAGGCCGCACAAGTCGCGCATTGAGGGCTACCTGCTGCTCATCTTTGGGCGTCGTCTGCAACGGCTGTATGGATGGGCTAAAGAGTCGTTCCAGGCGGCCTGAATCCGCGGTCGCGATCCAATACTCGCTAGTCAGAACCATGTTCTGAGAATGTTTCTAGCTTCGCATAAGGCTATCATTCCGCTCTGGTTAAGGTAGGAAGAGCCGAAGGGGTCTTTCGATACCCAACGGCCATAGCGAGATATGATGTTTCTCGCACCCATCGGGGCAGGAGAAGGGAGGGTGATGTTGACTCAGCTCTAGAACACAAGGCCATTCAAGAATAAATATCTGACCTTGTGAGATAGGTAATCATTTTGCATTGGATTGATTGCCGCTGCCTCTAATGTGAAGGCCCACAGCTTAACTTAACTGCGTGTACTTCCTGTCCTCGTTCTCTTTCTTGGACAAGCTGTCAAACGCCGCTCATAATTGTTTCTTAAATGTGGGAAGATTATCGTCACCAAGCCAAGCTGCTTGTGCGCGTCCACCATACTGAATGATGAGTCTTCCCTAGAATGGCTTCTCTATAAATTATTTTCCCATTGCTAGTAAAAGATGCATATTCCCTTGCCATCCGCCCAGCAGGTACGTGCTCATACTTAGTACTGGCCGCTATATACATGGAATTTAGACCACCCGTTTCGTCCAACTAACGTTATATTGGGGACGTTACAAGAACCTTTATCTCTGTAGAGTACTGGGTGCTTGTACCAACAACTAACTACCGGCCACCACCTCGGAACTGCTCCAATGCGACACTTACCACGGACCCTTAAAGATTCGCATTTAGCACATCAGAGTTCATCGACAGAACAGACTTTGTGTTTCCAGCCCAGCAGATCGAGAGATGGATACCACTGGCCATCGTCGGCCGGTCGTCTTGGTCGGGTTTGGAGAAAATTGTTTCGGTCCGGTTATCATGCGATGCGAGTCGTACAAAGAGGCCGAGATACTGGCGTACTGGGATCTTGCCCTGTATAAAACCTTACAGAATCACCTGGGGATTACGTAGCTCCCCTCCTCCCAACCGGAGATATGCGAGACCAAGCTCAGCAGTCCACTGAGCGCCTACAAAACATCATCCGATACAACGCAGTGGAGGGGCTTGGTACTGGCTGCGTAATTTACGTAGTAGACGTTTTTATAAAGTACTCACAAGTTAAGCAAAACCTACACTTCAATGCGCCCTGTAGAGAAGTACATCCCAGAGGTCCTTCCTCTCGCAGAGTCGCCAACCTCTCGGATTGCGCCACACTGCGAATAGCATTGACATTACTGTCAATGCCGGAAACCAGGCAGCCCTCACCCTGGAACTCCTTACCGGCTTTGCATTGGTCTCGGAAGAACAGCCCAGAACCTGGGATGAATGGGGACTTGACAGCTCTGCTCGACTCCCTGGGCGCACAAGCGACCATGGCTCGGATATACCACCGCATCGGCGAGTCTCCCCCGTCAGATGCTAGGACGGTATTCACGATTCCGAACCGATCTGAGGAAGAAATTTATCGCCACTAAGGAGTGAAATACCTACAACGTCTATGGGGATATAAACGAGAAAGAAAGACTTGATAGATTTTCCGTCCCTGTTGGAAGAATCTGCCAAGCTGCACGTCTGATTTCGTACATGACTGCTTTCGTGATATTTCGGTAATCTGCCCTTGGTCAACGGGTATATTATTGCTACACTGAGGCCTCATAAGTCTTTATGCGCGCCATGTTGGGTGGATTCTAGATCACAGTGGGAATTTGGAACCATTGGAATAAGCAGACGAGAAAGCTCAGCTTGGGCTTGATACGTCACCTCCAATGCTTATTCCAGTGTGCTTATTCCGATTCGATGAATATATTGTTGGTTGCTAGACGGGTGGTGCACGGAGACTAGGTAATGGGGGTTCAGTGTACCTGAGCATATACATCAAGATGAACCCAAGGTGCCAAGAAGCAGTGAATCATCATATATGTCCTGGTGGCAGTTGCCCGTGGAGACTACCCGTGTACAGACATTGTATCTGAGTTAGGGGCTAAGTACCTAGGTAGACCAACGGCCCTGATGTTATCATGTTCCTTCCTTCAGCCTACCATATCAACGGCAACCTCGACCCATCTCGGAAAGGGGATGAGGGTTTACGATCTTGGCGATTCTGGATCGCGAGGGCCCCGAATACCTGCTCGAATCTGCGCAACTTCTGTTGCTGTATTACTCAGATAACAACGGGCAGGTGCCGTGGTTTTGGTGAAGACTTTGACACCGGGCGACAAGGTGACTCCGGTCTCCATTTCTCATCCATCATTCATCAACAACAACAACAACAACAACACTGCATCTTCAATATCGTACACATCCACATTCGCTGCAGCAACCATACTACTGTACGATTATCGATATGTCGCCAATCACCTTTGATTTGACCTCGACCACCATGGACATGACATCAATGATCACGATCACGACCACTATGGACTTGACATCAGTGATCACGGGTATGTGCTCGACCACTACCGGCATACCATCATGCACCATGCATAACTCGTCCTCGACCACTACCGGCATGTCATCCATGACCACGGGAATATCCTCGACCACTACGGACATGCCATCAGTGACCGTGACTATCTCCTCGACCTGCGTGGACATGTCGCCCACCTCGAAGGCGTGCGAAGCCCCGACTACTTCGGCCTGCATGCCGATGGACTGCAAGGTTTCGGTATTGTACACCGTACCAGTCTCTTCATAAAGCTATCTGCTAACCTTCCGGCACAGATGCTCTGGAACTGGAACACAATCGATACCTGCTTCCTCTCGAGCTCATGGCACGTCAAGTCGTCCAGCATGTTCGCCGGATCCTGCATCGGCGTCGTCCTCTTGACCCTGTTGCTCGAGTTCCTACGCTGCGCTGTCAAGGAGTTCGACCGATACCTCATCCGCAAGCATTCCGCTGCACCTGTAGCTAGTAGCGCGCGATCCAATCCTGGCGACACCAAGGGCAAGGAGGTCCCTACGATCTCAGCCAGGGCAGATAAGGGCAAGGAGATTGCTACGAAATCAGGCACCGCAGTCGAGGAAAAGGAGGTCGCTCCGACCTCAGCCAGCGCAGATATGCCGATCTTAGGGAGGGAGATCGCTACGACGTCAGGCACCGCAGTCGAGGACTAGGAAACTGCTGCGGGATTAGGGTATCCCCTAAAGACGTCATGCACCGCAAACGAGGAAATTAAGGTCGTTTACACGTCAGGCACCGCAGACGAGGACAAGAAGGCCGTCAGGGTTTCGTCCACAATAGATCAACACGTCACGACCTCAGCCACTGGACATGAGAAGAAGGGGGGCGTTACGACATCAGCTACAGCAAGTTTGCCTGCGTACTCGCGGGGGAGTTGGTCTACGACCTCAGCCATCGCAGGTAAGGACAAGGAGGTTGCTACGAGGTCAGGCACCGCAGACGAGGACAAGGAGGCCGTCAGGGTTTCGTCCACAATAGATCAACGCATCACCTCAGCCACCGGATATGCGAAGAAGGAGGGCGTTACGACTTCAGCTACCGCACATATGCCTGCGAACTCGCGGAGCGGGGGGCCTATGACCTCAGCCACCGCAGATAAGGACAAGGAGGTCTTTACGACATCAGCCCCCGCACATATGCCTACGAACCTTCGTAAGGGGTTCCGCCCGAATCTTCTCGAACAGGTCATTCGAGCACTCCTGCACACGCTCCAGTTCGCCTTGGCGTACTTCGTTATGCTGTACGCCGACGTACCCTGATACCTACCTACTACATCAAGAAACCAGAACTCCCCTGAATCGCCATCTCAACAACACGATCTGATTTTGAGGCTGACATTGTTATAGGCTTGCCATGTATTACAACGGATATATCATCATCAGCATATTCATCGGTGCCTACCTCGGTGCTTTCCTTTTTCACTGGGAGATCTTGAACGAAGGGTGAGTATATTCCAGAAGGTAGCGCAACCTTTGGACCGTCGCCCCTGACATTTGTTTCACAGCGCCACTGAGCAAGCGACAGTACACTGTGGATAGGGTCCCACTGGGACAAGCAGTGTGTGATCACGAGTTCCAATCCAAGTGTCTACATCTTTATCAGAGCGTGTGTTTGTTTATTTGAGGAAGGATTATTGAGTTGGGCTAGGGGCATGCTGGATGGGGGAAAATGTCTTCCTGTCTTTGCCTAATTACAGGTGTGTAGTGAACAGAAAGTAGGAAACAGATTCAATAATAGTGAAGCGCTTGACGACCTTGTATAGCCAGTGCAAAATTTCCTAGCAGTGATGACAGTGACTATGACGCATCGGCTGAACAGCAGCACTGTTCTTGGTGACCCAGCCCCTATCCGGTAATACATCGGCATAAGGGGTACTGTTTCCCGAGAAGCATTCAGCTCCTGAGCACGCCCCTCAGGCGACGCAAGCGTGCATCCACCCTGTTTTTGTGCGATAAAACACCGTTGTATTTTGCGACCGGCCAGGACTGTTATTCCACCAGGGTTGGCTGGGACAACCATCAGATTCACGACCATCCGACCATGGCATCACCTGACCTTCATGCACTTGCCGGTGTGTCTGCAGCTGTCACCATGGACGATCCTTTTTAAGGTCCTGTCGCATTGTTTGTTCACGCTGTTCTCATAATAGATTTTCCTGTACTCACATAGGATGCACAAGGTTCCCTCTCATCCGATTTCCCCGAGAGCTATATATATTAATAAAATTTAATCAGGACTTTTAACATTTATATTTACGTTTATTAGTAGTAAAAAGGTAATAAAATGATTAAAAATAGTTAATATATTTTGTTAGTTTTTTAAAAAATAATCCTATATTTTATATTATAACAGTTGTCACGAAGCATAGATATGGAGTGGATGTAACAGTCCTGCTTTCACTATGTACGTGTAAGAATCTCTCTGTGAAGAGGGAAAGAAGAATCTGGCCCACCAGCTAATCTAGTAGCAGTTAAGGCAACACGTCCTGTGCGCCAGGTCACCTGATGCAGCGCACTGACCACTGCAGATGGGGTGTCAGACCTGATGGGAGGTCAGACCATCACAACCCCCCGCGCACAAAAAGACTCGCCTCAAGTCTGGATCGAACCCCTCCTCTCCTGCTGCGGAGGCAAATGCACATACAAAATCTCCTGACACTGCTATGAACAACACATTGCTCGTGATAGCCTCAACCTGTGATACACATACAATGCTAAATTTGACGTATTTTTTATCGTGAAGTCAGCTGTGTCGAAACATGGGATAGACCACGGGATCTTTGACGACCGGTCGATAACAACAAACAAGTTGTTGTATCCATTCTTGTCTTTTGGCATGGTCTTGAAATCGATCGTTAGGTCTTACCAAGTTCCTTCCGGAACCAGAAGAGGTGTCAACAGCCCTGGAGTCTTGTCACGAGGGTTCTTCAACGGCTTGCATGTATAGTTCTCGACGTATTGGATAACAAAGCCATTGAGGTTCGGCCACCAGTATCGCTCAGCAACCATCTGACGAGTCTTGTTGATCTCGGGGTGGGCCGTCGCCAGCGATGCGTGGGCTTCTGCAACGACGTGAGTACAAAGGTTGTTCGAGTTAGGGACAATGAGATGACCACAGAAGAGCACAAGCTCTCTGGACATAGTCCAGTCAATGCTTGAGCTGTTGCCTGTCTTCCCTCGATATTCATTAAGGGACGCATCTTCTTTATTGGCATGCAGTAGTTCATCTATCAGCATAATACCTGAGAATTCATGGGGACTGGTGTCGTCGAGAACAAAGATCTCTGTTGCTTGTATAGGGAGATCGTCAAAAGGCTGGTCGTGGCGCACTGAGGTAGCTGGGGTATTGAACGCGTGGATGTATGATACTGACGTAACAGGTTTGAACAGGGTCATCGTCCGTTGATTGTCTCGTATCTGTTTCTGTGTCTTGATGTCGCTCTGTGGACGAGATAGCGCGTTAGCCACGGTGTTCTTTGATCCTGGCCTGTAAGTAATCACGAAGTTGTATTGTGAGACCAACTCCTGCCAGTTGGCTTGTCGGAGGTTGAGTACACGTTTAGTACTAAAGTATTCTAAGGCTGAGTGATCTGTAACGACAGTGAACGGGCGATCCGTCTGTAATCCGATCAATTCGGGTCTCCAGATCCTCAGTGCCTTGATCACTATAAGCAGTTCCTTGTCGTGTATGCCGTAATTAAGCTCCGTGCCTTGTAACGTGTCCGAGAAGAAGGCCAAAGGATGACACGGCTCATCGGGGAATGCTCGCTGGAACATCGTTCCGGCGACGATACCATCAGAGGCGTCAGTCTCAACCAGCGTCTCGTGATCGTATGAGAAGTGCTTCAGTACTGGGGCCGTCAGCAAGGCCTGCTTTAGGTCATTAAAAGCGGCTTGGCACCCCCCGTCCACATAAGGTCAGAATCACTTCGGATAAGTTCAGTAAGTGGTTTTGCGATTCGGCCGTAGTCTTTAATAAACTTATAATAAAAGTTACAGAACCCAAGGAAGGAACATACACCCTTGATCGATGTCTTTTTGTTAGCCACAGGGATGTCCCAATTGCGTACGACCTCGATCTTGTCGGGGTCACAAGTGAGTCCGTTAATACCGATAATAAAGCCAAGGAACTTGATTTTAGTGACATAAAATTCGCACTTATCCAGGTCGGCCTGTAGTCCGGCTTCACGAAGTCGATCAAGGACCTTACGAACGTGTTCCGTATGATCCTCTTCGTTGTCAGAGAAGATCAGGATATTATTAATATAAGCTGTGCAGAACTCGTCAAGATATCCGCAGAAGGTGTCGTTGATATATTGCTGAAAGGTCGATAGACCATTGGGAAGACCAAAAGATAACACCTTATATCAGTACGCACCGTACCGGGTACAAAAGATCGTGATACCTTCGTCGCCTTTGACGATTCAGATCTTATGAAAGGCCTGGCGGATGTCTATCTTGGTGAAGACCTTAGCCTGGCCGAGTCGGGAGATGGTCTCCTCAATGAGGGGGAGCGGATAGCGATCCTTCTGAGTGATAGCATTCAGCTTGCAGTAGTCAACGCAGAGTCAGAGGCCTCCATTAGCTTTCCGCGTAAAGAGGATAAGGGCAGCCCATAGAGCAGACAATGGCTCAATAAAGCCTTTCTTTAGGTTATCAATAATGTACTTTGGCACGCTTACATCTCTTCCAGAGATATCTTGTATAGTGGCAAATAACCCAAACTCTCAGGGTCGGCAGTAAGGTCAATCTTGTGGTCTATTCTAGGCCAATGAGGAGAGAGCTTGTTAGATTGGACCTTGCTAAAGACGTCAAGGTGTTCATAGTGCTGCTTTGGTACCAGCTCGTGCGCCTGGCGTCTGAGATCATCATCATCTTCTGCCAGCATTATTTGCTTGTGATTAATGACACGATCGATCTCGAATAAAGTAGTGACACCATCCTTAATACCCTTTTCAGCCTTAACTCGGTCAAAGAGCACGGAACCGACCATGGCCACCTCAAGGGGGCGATGACGGTACCAGCCGATTCTGTCTCTTCTCATTACATATAGACCCTGAGCGTCATGTTGAACTTGTTCCGATATGGATGGCTCATGATGATCTCAGACAGGTATGTACGGTGTTGTTGGTGAGCTGATCAGAATGTCGTGTCTGTCAAAGAACTTCTTGCCGACTTTCATGTTGTGCTTCATATTAACTACCAGCAAGAGTACATCGTATATCATCCGACCTTGTATACGGAAATGGGCTCAGAGGGCCACGTCGATGGTTTGTGTGGACCTGCCATTGTATCCAGTTACTGGAGCGGGTTCGAATCCCTGGATCTTCTCCGCACGGAGGTGCTTAGAGACTTTAGAAGTAAATGGCAAGTTTATCAGTATATATACACCCGTACCTGTGTCAGCAAGACATTATGTTGTTAGGGAAACTCCATTATTAACTATGGTACAATCCAGTAGTAAAGGGTCTCCCCCCAGAATCTAGGAGAGGAAATCAGTGGATATCTTCCTACAAGTATCATTGTCCAGCGTCAAAATCAGATATGGTCCCCTGGGACGGGTGTCAGGTTGACCCAGGGTTAGACTTTTCCCTCCGCGGCAGCCAGGGCAGCAGCGGTGGAACCTCCAGTCATAGGATCAAACAATTTTGCGGAGATAGTGTTAATATGAGCCTTATTTTGCTTCTCGAAGTCGTCCTTGACGGGATACTCAGAGATCTGGTGGCCGTGTTCATGACAAATAAAGCACTGTCCCTTCACGATCAGAGCCTTGATTTGCTCGAGCTGAGGCTTCTTGTACATCTTGCGGCCATCAGAAGCAGTACCAAGGACTGGGAGGTTATAATGCTCGACCGTTTTAGAGGCAGGGCGACGATCAGAGAAACCTCCAGGGGCAGGGTTCAGAGTCTGGTTGCGAGAGGGATACGAATTGCCTCCTTTGCCACTGTTGTTCTGTGGGGGATTGGTGTTCTGCGATTGACCTTGAGAGGTGTCGTTCTTTTGCATTTAGGCAATCAGGAAGTTCTTGCATTGTTGACAATTGTGTCGCTGGACATACGAACAGAGGTCGTTGTAGCTGACCGTCTCGTCATGATACTTGTCCAGGCAAGCGGTGTTGAGACGACCCGGGAGTCGCTTGAACAACTCCTCCTTCCAAATTAACTTCTCTTTCTTGGCCATCCCAGCCAGTCTCACGAACTCAAATTGGAAGTCTTTAAAGTCCATGCTGGTAGTCATCTCGAGCTTGTTGAACTTCTTCTTAGCTTTGTCTTGTTTGTTGAGATCTTTGTACTGCTTATATAGGTGATCCAGAACCTCCTTGCTGGTCTTGAAGACGGATTCTTTAGTGACGTCGTCTGGGTTGACAAAGGGCATCAAGCGGGACAACGCAGTGCCACCCAGATGAGTGAGGATATACATGATCTTGTCATTATCAGTAGGGAAATGGTCAGCGTTGCTCACGAGCTTCTTTCTAAGGATCAAGAACCACTGATCAAACTTAACAACAGGCTTGTCCTTCTCGATAAGGAGGTCACCAGTAAAAATGGAGGGATCTTTCTGTTCAGGCAAAAGGCGAGGACCTCCTCCAGGTTGAGTCGAGTCAGGGGTTCCTTCTCGACCGGCCATGTTAATGACTTTGCTTTGGAGAACTTGTATCATTTCGTCCTTCTCCTGGATCACGCTGTTCCATTGGTCATTGATTGAGTCGGTCAGCTGCTGATCCTCTGCCTGACGAGCGGCAAAACAAATAGGGACTCTTCCATCCTTATCCGTGTCGTCTCTATTGGAGCGAAGAGTAGCGATCGTGTCATTGGCCTTGGTCAGAGCATCAGCAAAAGCCATAATATGCTTGCTAACAACGGTGAGGTTGAGATCGTTGTTCATAAGGATCTTATGAAGCTCTCCGATGAGATCCTTACATCCCATCGTGAGGAAAGTACAGAGTTTTATCTCCTGAAAGAGGGCCTTGAAGTTCTGCTCGCACATTCTCTTGAAGTCGTCAAGGGTGATTTCGACGCCAGCCGACATGTCAGGCCATTCCTTCTGGGAGTCGTGGGTAAGGGGAACGAAGGGCATAGCAGGTCCAGATTCTTTAGCAAAGTATGCTCCATGGTAGTTAACCAGTTCATGCACTTCGTTGTTCATATCCTTCATGGTGAAGCGGTAGCGATACTGCTCGAAGTTGTCATCGGATGCCCAGTTAAGGAAGACACTGCGATCAAACAGATGATCAACATCGATAGCATCAGGGACGATGTGGTCATCAGTTGCGTCAACAGCGTTCGCGATCATACTCTCTCTCTTTTTGGGGTTGGGGTTTTCGGGGTAGTGACTGAGGAGCTGGGACATGGCCGGCAGCAAGCAGCTATTACTCTATTGACGAGAATATCAAGACTAGAGAGGAAAGGAAGAGAGAGAGAGATAGGTACAGCGGGAGGTTGCCCCTTTAAGGGGATCCTCTGGTCAGATCCTTCCCTTATTGGGAAGTATCGGCTTGTCATGTGGGAAGGTCTGTGCAGGCCGTCACAGAGCCTGGCACGAGAAGCACGGTTCTGTGGTCATGCCAACCACACCACTTCGACCACAAGGAAACGGCAAGGTTGAGAAGGCAAACGGAAATATCAAGAGGCAAATCTATCGAGATTTCAAGCTGATCCATCTACACAAACCTCCTTGCTACTCCAGAGAGCACTTACAACACTCAGACGTGTACCAAGACCTTCTGGATACAGCACTTACTTCTTGATGTTTGGAACACAACCGCCAATGCACCTGCCACCAAACGAAGTGACCAAATACGTGCGCGAGCCAACAGACAAGGAAACAAACGAAGCCCCTCTTGTTGGCAGGCTCCAAATACAAGCTCGCAAGAATCCAACAAGGCTACAAAGGAGCTTCCAGCTAGTCCCTGACTTCCAGAGACCAACACTTACCAGGCCATCACGGAAGAAGCCCCCAGTCCGCAAAGACAAAGACAAAGAAATAGAGCTCTTTAAGCAATGGCTACAGGAGAGAAATGTGAACACTAACCTTGTCATCTATTCAGATGGATCACAATTGGACGACCAAGGCACAACCCGTACTGGATGGGGTTATACCATCAAGAAAGGCGGCATTACACAAGAAGTATACCGGGGAAAGGGCAGACTTCTCCAAGCAGAAGTAGTAGATGCTGAAGTTCATGGTGCTCTCCAAGGTCTTGCAGCAGCCAGGGCAATTAGACACAGAAAACAGCTATATGTCTGCCTGGACAACACGTCAGTGGTAGATGGGCTCAATGGGACTCCACCCGAAACATCACAGAACATTTTTCTACGATTTCAAGAACTTGCCACAATACACACTCCTGGAGTGACCGTCAAGTGGATTCCTGGACACAGAGATATTAATAGCAACGAAGCTGCCAACACACTAACAAAAGAGGGTACCATACTAGAAACAGACACGACAAATCTTCTTATAATCTCTTGGGTCAAGAGAGATCTCAAAAGAAAGGGCAAGAAAGAGTTCAACTAATAATAAAAAGACCAATCAGAACCTAAATATCAAGAAGTATACTCACATACAGTAACTAAAAGAGACCTTATCTCTTTTAAGAGGAGTACTTTATACAGATTTTTAGCAGCCAGATCTGGACATGGCGACTTTGCCAGATACCATGAACGCTTTGGGCATACAGACTCGAATGATCACTGCAGCTGTGGTGAGAAGAAAACACCACAACACATTTTCTTTTGCAAGAGGCTGGGGAAAAACCGGTTACTGCCTAGGTACTCGCCTAGGACAGCTTGTTTATAATACTTAGGGGAGAGGAGCACAGAATGGGCAAAATTCGTGGAGAAAAGCAAGTTCTTTTCAACAATCTGCCCCTGATAGATAGCTTTTTTTTTGAAGGACCAGATGGATGACCCCAAGGTCATACCGCCGCAACAACGGGGATGGGCCCGTGAGCGGGACTGACTGTACTTATTATCTTGAGACCTCCACAACCCTGCGATATAGAGGCTCTGGGAGGCGTGGTTTGCACTACTGAGGAGCTACCCCCACGTTAAATACAAAACAAACAAACAAACAAACAAGCGAAGCCGAACAATTTCTTGCGATCAACCACGAAGCACCAATAGCCAGAGGGCACGCCACTGGTCTGAAGACATCTCGAGCCCAGATCCGCGCGTATCTACAAGAAAAGAAGGGACTATTGCGAGTGTATGCACCAGGGGATTGGGTACTGCGAGTACGCCAACGCAGCGCCAAAAACGAGCCATATTATGATGGACCGTGGGCTATTCTGAGCTGCCATGCTGGCAACACTTACAAGCTGCGAAGCCCTGGAGGAATACACCTTCAGAATAAGTACAACGGTACTAATCTTTTCCCTGCGTATGTGGATGATGGCCATCCAGTACGTTCCTTGTGGTACGCGAGCAAAATGATGCTAGAGAAGGATCAGAAGGAGCTCGAAAAGATGCTTTTGGTGCAAGAGGAATAGAAAACCCAGAAAATATCGTCAGATTAGCAGGCTGCTGTAATTTTGGGAGAATCGGGACGATTCTGAGCGAGGAGAGGGATGATGTGGCTCCTCAACCCATTTTCCAGCCACAATGACGGATGGGTCACGGACCAGGATACAAGGTACCTTGGAGCCCAACGGGTACCCGTTTGTACCTGATTTGTACCCAACTGGGATGATAGCTACTTCTGGGATGGGGACACCACTCATCCCTTCTTTCAATCAAGCAACTTCCAGAATACAGACCAATAGCCACCATTCGTGACCCTGGTCCTTATTCTGGATACCGCTACCACAAGGCACAATATACAACAATTCATCGTCCCGATGTGCTTAAGCATTCTCCCATGCCGGGTTGAAGCCCGCAAAGCCTTTGCGGGAAGAAGAGGAGGACTTCTTGGAGGAAGATCTCTTTGAAGAGGATCTCTTTGAGGAGGAGAAACCCTTGTCAGAATCATCATCCAGGTCGATGACCTCTGGGGCGACGCGCTTCTTCTTCTGATTCGCGAGGATGGGCTTCTCCTCCTCCTCCTTCTTCTTCTCCTCCTCCCCCTCCTCCTTCGTCTTCTTCTCCCGCTTCATGACGACGGGATTCTCGTGCTTCACGATGACGGGCTTCTTCTTTTCCGTGAAGGAAAGGATGATCTCAAGATCACTGTCAACATCATTGTCCGCAACGTTGTCGGCAGCGTTTTCAATGACCTTGTCGGCGATCTTTTCGGTGACCTTGTCAATAATAGTGTCGTCAATCATCTCAGCCTCATCAATTTCGTCACCTTGGTCCTCATCGTCTTCCTCATACCCCTGGTCGGCATCAGGGATACCTCCCATGAGGATTTCCTCGCCATCATCATCCGAGACTTCCTCCCCAGCAAGTCTTCTGACATGCTTTTCCATTGCAGTCTTGGCCTTCGCACTCGATCCTCCGTACAGAGTTTCAGCCTCTTGTCGAAACTCAATACGATCGAGAGAGGCCTTGTGGTCCGCGCCATTCTCTCTTTCCAACAGACTCTTCTTGACGGTCGGCTCGGCCGCGGCATGAAAGTCCTGGTCTGTGTTGGTAGCTCGGGCGAGGAGACGTTGCAGCTTCTTGCGCTTCTCCTCCGGAACGAGCGAGAGATCAATCTGTGGATGGGGAAGCATGGCGATGTCATCCGCAGCTCCCAGCTTGACTTTCATGGTCAGCTCGAGAGCGCGTTCGAGAACGGCGTGCTCTTTGAGGTCGTCAGCGGTCCAGACGCGGGTTTCCGCGTTCTTATTTGGACTACCATATGACAGGAGTCGGCGCAGGGCGTTCTTCTTGTGTTCGAAGAAGCTCTTCGCCATTCTAGGAAGGCGCTTGATTTCGTCGTAGTATTCCTCGCGCGTTCGCAGGACCAGGAAGGCGGCGTCCTCGTCGTTTTCGTCAAAGTCGTTGAACCAACCTGCATGGCCATCTAGTTCTTCGGGGATGTCTTCGGGCTCGTCTCGCTTACGCTTTGCAGCAACGACTTTGGAGTTCGTGGAAGAACCGGGATGTGAATCTTCTTCAGCCTGAGGCGCACCATCGGAATCGTCGTCTGATGCTTCTTCGTCATCATCCGGATCTTCTGCGCTATCATCTGGTTCTTCATGTTTGATACGGACAGTACTCTCGCCCTCTAGCTTCACCCTCTTCTTGTCGCGTTCTTCGTCGGCTTGCTCCTCTTGATCTTCCAGCATATTATCAGGCCGGTCTGAGAGCAGGTTCTTGTCCTCCATCAACTGCTTTGCCTCTGGAGATAGCCACGCCTTGTCGACCTCGGGCTGGAAGAGATTCAGCAGCTTGACCAGGACGGGTGTTTCGGCTCGAGAGGCTAATTCGGGAAGGAGCTTTTCCAACTGTCGGCTCTCGCGGAAGGCGTGGTAGGTGTTGTTGACTTTGATACGGTAGACCTTGACATCGGACATTTGGCCCACCTGGGACGGTTAGCAAGCAATACACAGTAAAGGGATGAAATTTTGGGGAAGGTGGTTCTCACTCTGATGACGCGATGGATCGTTTGCCACTGAACAGCGAAGGCATGGGCTTGAGCTGCGATCAATACCAAATGGCAGTTCTTATGCAAGTTCGTGCCAGCAAATCCGACCGTATACATCTGGATAAGTAGCTGAGTGGAATCGACTTTATCGCTGTTGAAGCTCTCGATCAGCTCCTGTCTTGATTCATTGCTCAAGTCGGAGTGCAGAACACGGCAGTTGAAGCCGAGCAGTTGAAGAACAAGCTCGTAATAGAAGGCGAGAATGGGGACGTTCTCGATGATGAGGAGTTTCTTGATCTTGGCGTTCTTGGGTCTGTCGAGGATGTTCTCCTTAATGTAGTAGAGTATATACCACAAGATAGGAGAGTTCTGTACGGCAAGGCTGATAAAGTCAACACACTTCTCTGGCTTTGGACCGCCTCGCTCTTGCAGGAACTGGGCCAACCGAAGGAAGTTCACTCCTTTGTGGCGCATCGTGGCAACGTGCTCTGCCTTGGTTCCGAAGTCATTGGCAGACAATAGCTCTTCAAGCCGATCCACATCCATTGAGGATGCCGCGATTTGGAAATGTCGATGCGTGGTGACGGCCGACTGGAGTATCTTCTTGTCTACTGAGCCCTTTTTCTTGTTCTGCTTGGAAGACCACTCGTTCATGACTTCCATATACTTTATGAAGAGGTCTACGTGTCTTTCCTGATACAATCGCTCGAAGGTGGCACCCGGCTGAATGTCTACCGTGTAGTGGTCTACGTGGGGGAAAAGTCCCTCAAGGGATACTGACATCTTCTTGTCCCAGCCGTAGTATAGGAATGAGCTGGATGATCGTCTCAGCATTGCTAGGGTCTCAAGATACTTCAGATATTCGCGTGTCAACTGGATGTTGTGGTTTCTGGCACCTCTTTCTTTGTGGAGCATCTTGGATAGTATGGCAGGTCTTCCTGCAACGAGTTGAAAGTCATCCCATGAATCAAGCCCTTCAAGTTCCGCTAGATCTTGCAAACTTGTTATCTCCGCTTTGATTCTTTCCCATGTGCCTTGTTGTTTCAGATGTGCCAATGCTCCAGGCCAAAGAAGCCTTGTAGGGCCGAGCAAATCTGTTAGGCTATTCATGCATGGTGTTGCCGTTATGAGGAGGGTGGACTCCCGTTTCAAGAGCTGGACCGATCTCCAGTTTCGCGTGGCAGAGTTCTTGATCTTGTATGCTTCATCCACGACAACAACAGAAAAGCCGCGTCTGCAGTCAGTGAAGCTCGAGTGCCACATGGCATCAGCATCAGTGTCTTGGCTGCATGTCCTACCTGACCAGGTGTCAATTGTCATGACAAGCACAGCTTGAGCGGCTTGAGGGTCCATCTCGTCCCAAATGTACTTCAAGTCCGCAGGCCAGTTTTTGTTGAACTGCCTGCCCTCAACACTGACAATCCTGTTCTGGTCCCTTGGTACTTGTACTCCCTTCCCGGATACCACGATATGACGAATAGTGAAATCGTCAATAACGTCATTGATTTCCTGAACCCACTGGGCAGCAACTGCTGGGGTGGGTGCCAGAATAAGTATTGGGTGGTACCTTGAAGACCCATCCTCTGCACGACGTACATTGAGCTGCTGGTCGACTACCAGTCCTAGACAGCTGATGGTAGTCAATGTCTTGCCCAAGCCCATTGAATCAGCATAGATTCCGCCAGAGTACTTGGGACCCCTTAGTCTCTCTCGGTTCTCTGTTTCATGGGCTGTCTCAGGATTGGGATCTTCTTCGCCGGTGTCGGGGTCTGTGAATCGAAGTCGTGGGAGTTCACCGAAAAGTCTCTGCATGATCCACACAATTCCTGTGACCTGGTGATCAAGCAAGCCCCGTCTCCCATCCTCATTGTCCAGATTTGTGAACAAGGGGGACTTCCAGACATTCGACTTGTTGCGTCCATATTCGCCGCACTTGGTCATCCGCAGGTATGTCGCGCAAGGAGTAATCGGAGGGCCCAGGCTGTTGGGGCTTGCGGAGAGCACCGCTTGTGCCGCTGCACCGACCGTCTGTGTTACTTCATCGTCGCCATTTGTTGCTTTCGCATCTTTTCCTTCCTATTAGGAACATTAGTTATGGCCACAAGCTACTCTCATCATCCATACCTCTGCGTCCACATCCTGCTGGCCATCTGTGAGGACCGCATGGTATATGTCTCTGGGGACCTGTTGGACGCCAGTTTGACGAGTAACGGTCTTATCTTGCATTACCATGCCTGTGAGTCGGATGTTCGCCTCCGGGTTTGGGCCAAGGGCCTGCTCGATAAGCCAGGCAGCGGCCCGTTCGCGGTCGTGAATGTTATGAGCTCGCATTCTCTGTCCGGAGTAGAATGCATTGATCTCTGTACCTGCAAGTCAGTATATGAGAAAGAGATATAATGTGAACACCTTACCCTGCTGGCTTGAGAACCTTCCACTCTCAAAGGGGTCCCATCGTGCTTGCTGTTCTGATCCATGGAAGGTGACGAGCTCGGACTGAATGCGAGCTCTCCAGTTCACGGATCGGTGGCGATCGGACGACATCGTGACGGTATGTGACCGCCCCAGTTAGCAATGGATGTTTAGAGGTTTCGGAGGTTGAGTCCAAATAACAATCGCAGAAATCACTTATATGCCAACCCGGGAGGACCGTGCATCAGGCCGTGCACCGGGACGCAATAATGTGGGTCGCCCCCCTATTCCTGATCACTACCGTGGCAGGTGGGTCCACCGGTATCAGCCCAAGCCGGAGGCAGTCCGTGAAGACCTAGGCCTGTGCTGGACGTAGATGCGCTTGTAGATGTCAGTCCACATCCGTCAGAGAGCCGCTGCGGATACGGACCTGGTACCTTGATCCAAGTGTCGGTGCTGGTGTCGGTCTGCGTTGGTTGGCGATCAGGTCGCAGATGTCGGTCCTGATGTCCACGTTAGCCGTCTGTCTCCTTCCTGGTGAACCTGTCGGGACAGTATGCAGTGATTCAGTACAGTAGATGAACTTTGATCAGGTGTCTCCAAAGTGGCACCAATGCCCTCCCAGACGTAGTGCTTGCGATTGGTGGTTCGGTGCAGGCGTTTCACAGCCCACGGATAGGTGTACGCAATCTATGCATGCGTATCAGCAAGATGGATGAGGGTCTGGGCAGAATGCGCTGTCTCAGAGATGAATGTAAAGTATAGAGGCGCGTGAATAAATAGTCACAGGATGACCAAATGCCATGGGACGGGGTATAGGCTGAGTTACAGAGCGGGATGGGTGTCGGAGCGGGATATATGGAGCCGCTAGGGCAAGGCTGGGCCGTGCCTATGGGTAGGGCTTAGCGGGTCTAGGCAAAAGCTCCACACGGAACGGGCCGAGCTGCAGGATGGGGCGCAGTAGCGCGGTTCTGGGAGACGACTCACTCTGGTCGATGCAGTGGTCGAGGGATGACGAGGAGGACAGAGAGGCTCGCAACACAAAGTTTTGAGAATGAAGATATCGAGTACTGACGAAGATGATGTGGAAAAGGTAGATGAGTGATAATCGGGTAGGTTTACCGGAAGTAGACCAAATGAAGTGATCAAGGTCTACCGAGTGCCGAGAGGTAGTCGTAGGTAGAGCCGTTGGATCGAGAGGTGACGGAGGCCCAGTGGGAAAGGTGGAATATAGGTGTGTAGAGTGGCCACTGATAGCTCAGAACGAACGGGTCGAAGGATAGAGGGGCTCGAGAAGTAACTGGGAGACGATGATCCAGTGGTCAAGATAAAGGAGGATGACTCGCGAGCGGGAAGGTTGGAAGATGGGGGGAAAAATTACAGCCAGTGACCAGGATAGAGAAACACTTAGGCTAACGAAATCGAGGAAGAATATGGGGCTTACCCTGATGATCAATCTAGGCCGCTGCCAATAATCAACCGAAGGAACCGCTAACCTATGCATGAAACAGGGCTGAACGCTACCGCCAGGCCTATCTGCTACCATCTTCAAGCAGCTTGATTCGTGGAAAACTGGGGGTCTGAGCGGGCGAACAGTCTCATATAGCATCTTGTCAGATTACTCACCCCTATCAGCGTCCCCCATTGGACTTTTTGCCTTCTAATCACTGTCAACCAGACCACACTCATTCCAGTCTATCCGCATTTGAAGGCTTGCCGGAGGTAGGCAAGTCTATCTGATCCCAAATGCCTCATCCAAACGTGGGCATTCCTTCAAGTTCTGGCCTTCCGCTTCTGCTCACCACTGCCCAAACCCCTCGGAACACACGATGCCACCACGCCTCAACGACCTCATATTCCACTCTTCAGAACAAACCGACCACCTACTTCGACATCTTCATCAAGACATCAATTGTGAGCGAGACGGGCGACTGCGAGTCTGACACCAGCTGACTTCGTACGAACAGGCATCTTCGCCGCATGATACCCGGCAGACCGAAGAGCAATCGATTCTCTGGTCTGCCAGCTGCAGAAACCGCAATCCCCTGATATTATCAGAAACCCATCTACGAGAAACGCGAACCTCCCGAGGAATCTACGAGGAAGACTGCCAGCGGGTGTAAGGAGAAGGTCGACACGGTATATGCCCCCCGCAAGAAACATAAGACATACCGGTAGCTGTAGTTTGGAAGCTCACGTCCCGAGTAGTATGACATAGAGCCTCGGGGCTTCTTCTCCCACGTTCAACATTCCATACCCAATGATACTGTCATACGACTTCTGCCCGCGCGGCACTGCGCGCTCGCTCGCTTGCTTTTATTGGAATAAATCGTCACTTTGGCAATGGCCTCTGTCTGCAGTTCTCAGCAACAAGCGAGCGCATCGGTAGCTTGCGCGGGACTCTGAGGCGATGTGTCTGTTGAAGAGTCATGGGTTGGATCATCATCCTTCGGCGGGCGAGGAACGTCACCTAGCCGAATATTACACAACAAACGGTTGCCCATCCCAGGATCTACCAGTGACTGTATCTTATCGGAAAGGTAGTTGCAACCGAAAGGAACGAATGCAATCATTCTAAGAAAGTTCCATCTCGAGAAAGTCCATCGGCGGGACAGCATATGGGACGCGGTCATGCTGTCTTCATATCATGTCCACCGCCGACCGCCGACCGCCGACCTACTAGTATACCAACCGCTCGTCAGATGATAAAGTTAGGACCTTCAAGGCGCTGTCGACGTTTCCCTCGAGGTACTGGCTCCTACGGTCACCTGTGCTTCCTGTGGGCCATTTGTGCCTCCTGTGGGCCACCCGTGCCACATCAACACGGCGACAAGTTCTCACACATGCTATAATTACCTGTTCAATCTACTAACGGCACAGGCGGCGAGCAAAAATGGCTACGTAGGTTACATTCCAAAAATAGAACTGTAGGTGTCTTCTTCAATAGCTGGCCAGTGACATGAATGACATACTGTTACGGTATTACATAATACCTCCACATATTTATGTACATATATATCCCTAGCTTCCCCTTTCTCTTCCGACATTGCCTCTTCTTCCTTAGATATCGTTGAATCTAGATATTTCAACCCATCAGCCCTGACCCGCGCAGCTGCAGGCCTGATTGTCACACATACGTCAATGACATGTAGGCTCTCCCCTTTTCAGAAGCCAGATGTCTAATTCGGTATGAATTTCTTATAAAACCACCTCCGACTGCAATATCGAGATAGCTAATTCCGCGCCGCATAGTCTTACACACACCATCGAACATAAGAACGAGTACCAACCTCACACTTTAGCCTTGCCACCACGACAGCCCAAGCACCATCGAACACAGGAACGAGTACCAACCTCACATCGAGCCAACCACCCGTCATGGCCCTTCACGTTCCTTTCGGTCTCGCTGTCATGGCCTCACAGGCGCAGGCCTGGACGCTTCCTCCCGGACGCTTGCTCCCGGACGATTCATCCGACTTTCAGATACGAGAAATGGCACCAGACCCGCAAGTATTGGACTCCCACGGCATTTGCACAGAAACCTGCCCCGACAACCTCCAGACGAGGGATTTGGATCTCGAGGGGAAAAAAGAAAAAGAATATAGTCAAATACGAAGGGAAACATATACGCCGCTACTGCAACCACGACCCGAACTTGGAGGGCGTCACAAGAGAGTCGCCACACTACATAGAAGTCATCCGGGTCAATGCAAAAATGACTCATATAGGATGCGTGACAACCCGTGTACGTTTAACTACAAATTGAATGAAAATGAAGGAGGAAGGAGAAGCGGACTGCCCAGAGTCCTCTTAGTCGGGAAGGTGTAGCGGTGTTCAGTAGAAAGGGGAAATGCTTTTGAAGAACTTAAATGCTCTAGTTGCGTGGCTAAGTTGATAGCTGAACTGTGCGGTGCTGTATGTCGTCTATAAGAGCTCTTCTTGACTACTCTGTGCTGTTCCTTTCCCGCACCACCTGTCTTCGTCCACTTGCTCCAGTTGCATCCTGAATAGCCCCGTAGCACAAGTTTCCCTATCATCAAGCTTTCAGCCGGAGATACGTAGACGTTCTCATGTCACATTCGGACGCTGACTGGCCAAGAGCACTCGACTGGCCAAGAGAATGTAGAGCTGCAAAGATGAAAGACCACCCTGTGCAACAGTTGGCCCCTAGAAGGGTCGTCCATCACGTGGCAGCCCTGTTAATTCTCACTATCGACGTTGTCTCAATAAATTGTGTCTTGGTCTAATACTGAGGTTCTCTCAGCGGTGTTTATCTTCTAAGGGGGCAGGTGCCTATCCATCCTAGTACTCATACTGAAAGACGCTATGAGGCATTACTGTGCAACCCCATCCCCGCAAGACGCCGCTCCGCGACTTGCTTCTCTCTACCATACATCCACCCCAAACAACGCTGCTGAGCTTGCAGCTGTACATTTCTCGGCCGCCACTGCAAATAAATTGTACTCTATCACGACGGCGCACCTAGCACACCGAGATGTCACAGGGGCGGGTCGCGGAGGCCTGTGGCCATCCTGGCCCAATACCCGCGTACTTGCACAAATTAATCGAGGAGCTGTGCATCGAGCGCAAGTCCGAGCCGGAGCCCAACAACGCAGAACGCCCTCGAGACCGCTCAGCTGGAACAGACCAAACGTACTCGCATGGCATGTTCGCCAGATTCGCGTCCCTTGTCAAGGCTTAGACGAACAAAGATTGGCCGGTGGGTAGATTGACACTGATATTGCTATCCTATGTACTAGTGGTAGAGTACAAGACGAGAGACGAAGAGAAAAAAGAAGAAACAAGCAAAGAGACGTTCCACGAGCCAACTATATAGAATCTCGGACAGAGATTCCGTCTCGTTCCACGATGTTCTACGCGTGCTTCCAAACTATTCCAGATCGTTCCATGACATCCCTCCCCATCAGAAGCCTCGGATAATCAGCGAAGCTGATGTGAGGATGCAAGCACGGCCAATGATCGATCACGTTTGGCAGAATTTCGCACGACTACAAGTCATCGTCGAGCGGCACGAAGGCCTGATTCAACACCGGTGGGAGAATACGTCAAAGACCAAGAGACGTGCGACTCTGCAGCGAGCTTGGGGTTCCTCACCACCCATGGCTACCGAGCACCGGCCTGACGCAACTTACTTGAGACAACGTAGTAGTGGTCACATTAGCCGAGCTTTTGATCCAGCAGATCCAACGAAGTGGCACTACTTCATGTGGACAAACATGAACCTCGAAGATCTCTGCGAGGTAGAGCCTGTCCTACTGCTTCTCAACGCTCGCGGAAGGAACGCACCGTCTACCTTCGCCTTTTCCGACCTCGAACCCGCCAAGTTCGGAATCGAGAGCTTTGCGTTACCAATCCCTTCTTTCTTGGACCGGTGGAATATGCGCTTTCTAGGTCGACACAGCCCTGGTACATATGGAGAGCTTGTTTGCTGGGACACCGACCACGAAGCATACCAACGCTTGCATCGCTGCCGAGATGTGAGCCCTGGCGAAGGACTCTGGATTCTGGAAATACAGGACCGCCTGTACCAATTCCTCGTCGACATGTGCGAACTAATCCTCCATGACTTAGATCTTCGCCACGATCAGCTCCAGACACTACCCTTACAGCCAGAACCTGATCTCCCGACTACTAAGGGCAACTACGATGGTGGTGCAGCATCTTTGCTGGCGTCCCAGTACGAGCGCAACTACCACGTCCCCGCGAAAATGGATATGCGGCGGCTTCAAAACATTGTTGGCGCTAAGCTTTCCGAAACACAAGACGCGGTATGGGAACTACGAGAAGATGCAGCTCTGTTCACATCCAATATCTTGGAATTGAACCAACATAGTGCGGCTTATCTCCTTCACACCGACGGCAACCGTCTAATAGATACAGCGGAAGCAGCTGACCACGAAGATATCACCGCTGTTTCTGTCTGCTGTATGCTGATGTTTCGTCTGCCTGCAGTTGAGGCTTGGGGCGTCTTGTATGCAAAGGTCAGCCGCCTGGCTGAGCTGAAAGAAAAGCTGTTCGACGGCGTCGATACCTGACCATCCAAAAAACAACTATTTTTCTTGGCGCCCCGCTGTTAAGGCGCAACCTTAATATTTGCACTAAAGCAGGCACTTCTCTCAGTAACTGACTATCTCTGCCAAGGCACAAGAGAATTTTTCTCACAAGCCGGATGGCACCCTTCCACGACGGCCCCCAAACACGCCCGTGGCCGTCCCAAAGACGACCACTGGCAGCATGCTCAAATCCCCGGCCCCTAGAAAGACATACGGCCCGGCAACTCCGAGCAGGCTCCGCCAGGCGCTGCTTGACGACATCAGCAGCAGCCCGTCACAGGTCTCTGAGGCTGATTTCACCATTATTTCCCCTCTGAAAGGAAAATCTCGAAATATTAATGACAGTAGCACCACTGGAATGAAACGACCTCAATTAAACAAAATCTCGACAGACCAAGCCATTATACGCGATATAGGGAATAAAGCCTCCTCCTTAGAGTGCCAGGACCAAGTTGCCAGAATACTGGCTAAAGACAAGTACCTTTATAAAGCCAGGATAACAATGTTTCAAGAGTGTGCTGCAGCGGTTGATAAGACACTTGAGAAAGCTGGAACCAAACTATACTCTCATGCCAAAGAATTCAGTGCTTTTTTCTCTAAATGTCTGAGCGAGTGGCTGGAAACCCAAGATCCGCCTAAAAGGAAGACCATCCCTGGGGAGATAGGGATGGTAAAGCCCACCATGACCTTTGCCCAAGCTGTCTCCTCTAGCCAACAACAGCATCCACAGACAGTCAACACTACCATAAAGAAAACACAGCCTGGCGCCCTTATCACTGCCAATCAACTAAAGAAGAAGCAGGATGATCTCCGGGTCTTTGTCCGCATGGATAATAACTACTTAGAGCCTTATGGAATAAAGTCTACACTAAATAAAAGACTTTAAGCTCCACCCTTAAGAACTTAGAGAAGTGACCCAGTGCCCCTCCGGATTTACCTTACACCCAAGGGACAAGCCAACTCAGGCTAAGCTCCTGGCCTTCCAAGAAGAAATCACTGATATTCTCAAAACAAAAAAGATCGAGACCCACACGGTCTGACATCACTACAAGGTCAATAGATGCCCAAGAAAGGTCATCAGTACAGAAGGGTTGATAATCAATATTACTGATATTGTTGTTGCTGATGAAGTTGAAGCCTAAACAGGTGACAGACCTTTAAGGTGCATACTCTCAAGGAACACAGTTGATTCTGATCCAGAGACCACATGGATGATCTCTCTGCCCCGTACAGCAAAGAAACCATTCACGCTTTTTGCTCACTCAATGACCTCAAGGCACATTCAATACTCCCCCAAGGTTCACCAGTGTGCAAGCTGCTTCAGATACCATGGTAGGAATTACCGATGCGAAAAGCAAGTATGTGCACACTGCGCCAACACAGTACACCAGGGAGAGTGCGAAAAACCAATCCCAAAGTGTGTCAACTGCAAAGGACCTCATGCTGCCAACTTCGACAAATGCCCTGCCCGCCCCAAGGTTGTGAAAGGTACCATCCATAAGCACACATGGGAGCAAATCCAGGAAATAAGGCTAGCCGGAGAAAGAGCCAGATCCAAGGCCTTCAACGAAGCAGGCAGAAACCAAGCTGGGTCAACACCTAGCAATAATAACAAAGACACCACAATGCAAATCGACACAACAGATACAACTCATCCCAGAGATGCCGATACCATTGTTGTCAGTCAATGTTAGGTACATCAAACGAAACACATCGACACGGGCATCTAGTCATCCATTCTGTGAATACAGCAGGGGGACAAAAGAGTGCAGGCCCTACAGAGTTAGCCATCAACCTGGCTGACTATAAAGGAGAACAAGCAGACATCATTCTGATGCAAGAGCCCTGGGTTGGCATACCACCAGGCAGGAGAATGGGAGTAAAGACACACCCCAATTACGATATATACTCCCCAGTGGATTCCTGGGACAGCGACAGTACACGGCCCAGATCTCTCATCTATGTGAGAAAATACCTTCAAGCGGATCAACTTCGGCCCTATGCTACACGAGACATCACCTGGGTCAAGGTACAAGGCATTACATTTGCCAGTGTCTACCGGCCATGTGACAACCCACAGGAAGTGGATGACATTCTGGAAGTATGGACTCCACCTTTTGGCTGCGTTATAGCTGGAGATTTCAATGCTGGCGACACATCCTGGGACTCAAGCAATCCAGGATATCATGGTGGTACTATACTTGCACAAACTATGGCAGACCACGGACTGGATCTGATTTCTGAACCAGATGTCCCGACACATGATGACGGAAATGTACTAGATCTGGTGTTCTCTGATGTCCCCATGGCTGAAGCCTCAGTCAATGATGCACTTCAGTGCACCTCAGATCATGAGACATTACGAATAGTCATTCCAATCCAGGGAGATCTGGACCGAGTACCCAAGGCCAATCATTGGATAGTACCGGACGATAAACTACAGGAGCTGGCAGATAATGTCCAAACCAGGATTCATGAACTCCCCCGGCTGGGTGTATCCCCTGGCCAGGTGGACACCTTTACACAAAGCCTGATCAACATGATCCAAGGCTGTATCAGGACAGTGGGCAAGAGGCCCCGTCAATCTAGGCCCACTGCTTGGTGGAATGATGACTGCAAAGCAGCTGTTCAGACATACAGGGCCCTTTCCAAACAGACTACAAGCCAAGAAGGACGGAATTCAGCCCGACGGGAATTTCGCGGCGTGGTTCGGAAAGCTAGGAGAGAGTACTGGCAGACTCTAATCAATTCAGCAACTGAGCCAAAGGACCTATACAGAATCGTCTCTTGGCACAAGTTATCAGCAGGAATGCGTTCCCCTCCAATCATCATAGGAGACCAAATATTCGAGTCACAAGAGAGCAAGGCAAATGCATTACGCTCAGCCACGCTTGAACGAAGTACCTCAGACAACGATATCATCGACCCCTGGTCCGCTCAGATCATACAACCCAAGCCACACATCCCCCTTGAATACCACGTCGGACTGGAAGAGGCTGAAGGGTGCACTTTAGGAACCAAGAGCAACTCCCCGGGAGTAGATACCCTCACAGTACGGATTCTGAAAGCTTGCTGGCCAGTCATTGGTGAACATATCAGAGCCCTTTTCCAGACCTGCCTACTGATTGGACACCACCCTAAACCATTCAAAGTAGCTGAGGTGGTGATGATCCCAAAACCAGGAAAGAAAGACTACTCCAATCCCAGGGCCTACAGACCAATATCGCTACTGTCATGTCTTGGCAAGGGCCTAGAACGACTCATTGCGAAAAGAATTACCTGGTTTGTTGTCAAACTTGGAATTCTAGCCCCACAACATTTTGGAGCTCTACCAAAGCGCTCTGCCACTGACCTGGTAGCTGCACTCATACACGATATTGAGCAGGCCCTTGACCAAGGCCTCGTTGCAACGGTAGTCACATCAGATGTGAAAGGGGCCTTTGATGCTGCCCTAATGGGACGGCTGGTGGTTCGCATGAGAGAACAGGGCTGGCCAGGCTTTCTCATAAGATGGGTCCAGTCGTTCATGTCCGAGCGGTCCGCAAGAGTTCGGTTTGAAGGTACTGTGACCGATATAAAAGCTCTCACTTGTGGGCTCCCACAAGGCTCACCAGTCTCTCCAATCCTCTACATGCTGTATACAGAGCCAATCTGTGCCCGACTTGGCATGAAAAGAAGACGCTTTGGATATGCAGATGATCTAGCAACACTCTGCATTGGAAAGAACCTTAAAGAAACAGCTGCAGAGGCTTCTGAAAACCTTCATTTGCTCAACCAATGGGGACATAACAATGCTATTGAATTTGATCCCGACAAAACCGAGATCATGCACTTCTCACGGAAAAAGAACTCAGACAATCCCCCAGTTTGCCACGGAACAATGAACAAAACAGCTAAGCATTCCATGCGATGGCTAGGTGTCCTTCTGGATAGGAAACTAAACTTCAAAGACCATGTTTCTCACTGGGCCAAGAAAGCTAGTAGGGTAGCAAATCACCTTCGAGGACTATGCAACACAGTCAAAGGACTTCCAGTAAAGTCAACCAAGAGGGCTGTGAAAGCTTGTGTTATTCCTATTCTCACACATGGCCTGGAGGCCTGGTACCCAGGAATCGAGAAAACTGGGAGCTTAGGTGAGACATCAGCATGTCGCATTAAGGGGCTTCTTGGAACAATAGATGCCGTACTACGAACGGCGATCAGGGCTATCTTGCCAGTCTGGAAAACACACCCTGGACATATCTTACACTTTGAATCGCAGATTCCCCCAGCAGGAGTTCTTGCAGAGTCAATAAGACGACGTCACGGCCTCCGACTAGGACGAATAGATCAGAGACACCCTCTGGTTGGCAGGCTCCAAATACAAGCTCGCAAGGATCCAACAAGGCTACAAAGAAGCTTCCAGCTAGTCCCTGACTTCCAGAGACCAATACTTACCAGGCCATCATGGAGGAAGCGCCCAATCCGCAAAGACAAAGACAAAGAAACAGAGCTCTTCAAGCAATGGTTACAAGAGAGAAACGTGAACACTGACCTTGTCATCTACTCAGATGGATCACAGTTGGATGACCAAGGCACAATCCGCACTGGATGGGGTTATACCATCAGGAAAGGCGGCACTACACAAGAAGTATACCGGGGAAGGGGCAGACTTCTACAAGCAGAAGTAATAGATGCTAAAGTCCATGGTGCTCTCCAAGGTCTTGCAGCAGCCAGGGCAATTGGACACGGAAAACAGCTATATGTCTGCCTGGACAACACAGCAATGGTAGATGGGCTCAATGGGACTCCATCCGAGACATCACAGAACATTTTTCTACGATTCTAGGAACTTGTTACAGCACATATTCTTGGAGTGACTGTCAAATGGATTCCTGGACACAGAGATATTAATGGCAACAAAGCTGCTGACATACTAATAAAAAAAGATGCCATGCTAGAAACAGACACAACAAACCTTCTTATAATCTCTTAAATAAAAAGAGATCTCAAAAAAAAAAAAAGCAAGAGAGAATTCAATTAATAATGGAAAGACCAATCAGAACCTAGATATCAAGAAGTATAATTATATGCAGTAACTAAAAAGGTCCTTATATCTTTTGAAAGGAGTACTTTATACAGACTTCTAGCGGCCAGATCTGGACATAGCGGCTTTGCTAGATATTATAAACGTTTTGGGCATACAGACTCGAATGATCACTGCAGCTACGGTGAGAAGAAAACATCACAACACATTTTCTTTTGTAAGAGGCTTGGGAAAAACTGGCTACTGCCCAGGTACTCGCCTAGGGCAGCCTGTTTACAGTACTTGGGGGAGAGGAGCAAGTTCTTCTCATCAATCTGTCCCTGATAAATCGCTGTTCTTGAAGGACCAGATAGATGACCCTAAAGTCATACCGCCGCAACAACGGGGATGGGCTCGTGAGCGGGACTGACTGTACTTATTATCTTGAGACCTCCACAACCCTGCGATGCAGAGGCTCTGGGAGGCGTGGTTTGCACTACTGAGGAGCGATCCCCCACGTTAAATACAATCAATCAATCAATCAATCAATCAATCATGCAACAACAGGGCCTGCTTGTACTCATCGATCTCAATGGCAACTTCCTCGTGTCGACGCCACACATGCCCACTGGTAGGAACAAGAGGACCAAGTTTTCTTGCCGGCGTTTTCTTGTCTTTGGCGTAGATAGTACGGTACATGGCTCGTATGGCGTTGGTCTCGTCAACCTCGTAGACGAAGGCATTCGGTTGGCAGTAGTCGGTGATGATTACATGCACCTTGTAGCGAATGATACTCATCAACTGGTAAGTTGTTAGCGCGCAGTTATCACCTGTGATCAATTTCACAGCTTACCTCCTTGTTCTTTGCGTCCTGTTCATTGACCAGACTCGGCTGCTCGAAGTCGGCCTCGTCGGAAGGTCTAGCCCTCTTAGTCTGCGAGCATGTCTTCATGTTGTCAGTGTTTAGGATGTGGACGGCATTGAGTAGAAGGTGCGATGAAGAAGGTGGTCTGGTGTCGGGATCTGAAAGTGCACGACTGGAAACGTTTGAGGAAGAAGGTGGTAGGTATCGTGCCGGAATCTGCGGGTGCACAATGGAAAAGGTGGGAGGAAGCACTGGCCGGAGCAGAAAAATGGAATGCTGGTGTGGGTGGTAGCCTGGATTTCCACAGGTTGCCCGGCACCAGTCAACCGCTCGGGGGAAAACTCGCTTAACGGCCTGGAATAAGTATTTTTCCCAGGTTCAACCGCCTGGAATAACCGCCAAGTCGCTGCTTATTCCACTGCAGTTTTCTGGCCGTTGCCAGTCAGTCAATTGAGACAATCCAAACCAGTAAACTCCCTGCCGATATCCGGAAGAGCCCTGCTACTCACACCTTCTCTAGACCCCCAACTGCTAGCCAGCTCGCACAGGCTCAGCATAAAGCTATCTGCGAGCGACTTGATGATCCGTATCAGTATGTTATCTACATAGAAAACCTGATCCTGGTGGCCATCTGGCCTGGGAAGCTCCCATTCCGACTCTTCGAAAATCTCAGGGGCGCTCAGCACGTGCTGCAGAATCTTTGACCGACAATAACTCGAAGTCTCTTCATCCTACGAACTGATAATTCAAGCATACCTTAACTATATATGCTGGAATGATAGCGTGTTGGTAGGAAACCGTTGTTGTTGCACTGCGTTATCTTCTACGCAGCAAGGACGGCGGTGTCGTGGCGGCAACCTATACCCCTGAGATCCTCGTCTATATCAATGACATAACTAGGAGAGAGAATACATGCGACCACCATACCGACAAGACACATATATGGGAGGAGATTCCAATCTTACCATCGCTTGCTTTTCTGCTTGAGCTTCCATGTCTCTGTTTGTCCATCTCTCCTGATATATCCATATTAATGAGTCATGTTTGATGCTTGTTACAGAGTGCTACAACGTCCATAACAAAGTACCCCTTTCGGTTGCTGCAAAGGGGGTATACACAGACTTTCAGAGGTTCGGTGTACCTCAAGCCGCGTATCCCGCCCATCACTCACGTCTGTTATGATACACCAAGTCTTAGTGCTTATACTGAGATTTAGTAACGGGGAATCAATTCGTCGCGTAATCTAACTCGCTTTGGGGAGGAAGCTCATTCCTAGGGCACATGAGGATCTCACGGGGACATGCAATAAAGGTTCATTATGTAATTCACTGCTTAATTCGATGATATGGCTTCTTTCCACCATCAGGCAACTAGTCGGCTTTCGTTTTGGATATGAACAACGAGATTCCCGTACCAGCTTGCACAGCCCAGGTGATCAAGACCTATGCGGGAAGTCCAGGCCATTGGGCGAGGATAGGGGCGAAGGGCTCGCTATAGGCCGCAACGGATACGCGTCGTCGTTGACTTCCGTCCACCGGTCGACGCCCTGCTGATACGTAACCTCAGGCGCCTTCGGAGCGCTTGCGATGATGTCTTCGGTACTGGCGCGCCTGGTTGAAGTGCCCGAGGAGAGACCCGTCGGCGACGAGGCCAAGGTCTTGTGTTGTGTTTGGACGATGGTGGTCTTGACGCCGATGAAGTTGCCCTTGGGCATCTGATCATCGTCGGGGGCCACATACGACACGGCGGCCGTGCGCTGCGAGTCGGACCCGGGCTGTATCTCCTCCCACGCCTTGGCGTAGTGCGCTGTGGTGCGTGTGCGAGACGTCGCGTCCTGGCCGAAGCTGTAGCTGCCAAAGTGAGCCATCTTCCACGCCCGCAGCTTATCAAGGGCCGTTTTGAAGTCGTCGAGGATGACGGTGTCGGTAAGGCACTTGAAGACGAAGGCGAGCTTCCAGAACGGGTTGATGCCGACGGGCAGCGAGGACTGGAAGGCGTCGAGCACCGAGCAGATGTCGACGATGAGGAAGATGATGCTGATGATCATGGCGAGCAGCATGATGCCGAAGCGCGGGGAGATGCGCATGATCTCAGAGAAGGATATCTCGTAGCGGGTCTTGATACTGTAGAAAAGAGTGAAGGTGGTGAAGATCCACCAGGGATCCCTGCGAAGATGGGTCAGCTCTGGTCTCTTTCCGGATGGAGTGTAGATGCGACTGAAACATACCGACAAAGCGCCTCGAACGGCCGAGTGCGGAGGAAGAGATCGTTGATGTTGTGGAAGTAGGCGAAATTCGCGTAGATCTCGACGACCCAGTAGGGAAGGCTCACCGCTACCGTGACGATATAAACAATTCTTACTCTCTTGGAAAGGAAAGGCTTGATCTTGAGGAAGGCCACGACGTTGTGCAGGACCCAAGATATGTTGAGAGGAATGGCGCTGACGGAGAGCCACCAGGCGTAGACAGGATTGTGGAAGAATATGAAGAAGCCTTGCCAGACTCCGAGGAGCAGCTACCAGGGATTAGTCGGGAACTTGGAACCGAAGTCTGAAGTAGCGGGAATTTACCTCGAGAAGGATAAGCTGTGGGAGCGTCGGGTTAGTAGATGGTCTGAGACGGAAAGACCGTGGAGGTGTACCTACCTTGTGCAGCAGAACACCCTTGCGCATGTTTGACATGGTAATGAATGCCATGATCACCAGAGAACCGACCATGAAGCCCTGGGCCCAAGCCTCGAGAACGAGCGCGTCGGGGTCGGTGGGCCGTCCTTCATCGCCGCGCTTCATGAGGAGGTGAACCTCGTGCGTGATGGGAGCCATGGCGTTGGGAAGTCGAGGAAGTGATGCCGGGTGATGCCAACGGAGCCGAAGTGCGGGCTTAAATATAATGTAGCATGGGGCACGACAAGAGCAGCCTGGGGATTTGGGAATCTGGGGGAGGGTCTGCGATATTATATACGTGCAATATGAGTCACTGTTCTCCGCACATTGTGAGAGTGCACGAGACCCCCTTATTCCTCAATTAGATCGATAAGGACGCATTTCCTCCCTCATTGGGGAGCAAACACAAGAATAAGCCGCGCTTGATGAATGGAGGGATGACTCTAGGCAATGCTCTTATGACCGCCCGAATCCACCCTAGCTGATTGCACTTAGGCGCGCAGCCTATGAGGACAATGCTGGCACGACGAGATATTGAATTGGGCGGCAGCGGAATCAGTAGCAAACGAAGCCCACAAGTCGCTGTCGCCATTAGTAGCGACTTGTGTGACGCGGGTGACTCGAGGTAGCTAGGTATTATGAGGCGCTTGCTGTGCCTGATGAGGCATCTTATCAGACCATGTCGACACTAGAAACTAGATGGGCGGATAGACATGTGGTCAAGGATTCAGACCCTGATCCCTGGTTCGAATCAATGCATGATTGGTCCCAAGTCCGCCCTTTGAGTCAGGGACTCAGGGCAGGATCTCGCGGATTGTTTGCTCTAGCCTCTGAATAGAGACGAATCGCATCTGGTGATCTAGAGCGGGCACGTATTAGTGGCATCTTAGCGGGTTCTCGAAGGGCGGGTGTAAGGGATGGATCCCTTCATCGAATCCTGCCCTCGTGGGTTCTGTTCCCTCCGATCAGGAACCAGACACTTCGAACAGATCGAACTCAATGGCCGTGCGCCACTAACCTTTTAGTCGGGTAAGAATTATTCCCATTCAGGGCGAAGGCTATGGTCAATGACTTCGGGTCCACAACCGGGGTCCTTTCTCGATTGGAGGATTGAAGCGCAAGAGGTCCGAAATAGTTTGTGATCAACTGATGTCGTCCAGACTGCTGGGCTGATGCTGGGGAAGCATGAAGAGGTATTCGGTCCGATTTCCCCATACCTAACGCATTGCCCATGGGGATTCTCCCGTCTTCCTCCATCGTGGGGAGGAGTAGAGCGGAAAAGGGGCCCCGAGGGATAGCGCAAGCCTAAGCGTTTAGTAGGTCAGTAGTCCTGGGCTAGTCCCTACAGCTATTCAGCAGCTCCCACTATCGTAGATGGTAACGATATCAAAAACACCAGAATCACTAGGATACAAGACACAAGGCTAAGTCAGCCTGGACCTCCCCCTCATGCGCATCGGCAAGACCTCCCCGGATTTTAGGCACTTTTGGCTTGAGGCTATCGTGAACAGATAGATACCGCCTAACCAACCTGCAGTAGAACAGCAAACGGTGTTGGCGATTGGGGCTAGTACAGGCTATCCTCTGGTATTTGTCGTAACAAAGAATCTCACATAGCTTATTAGTAGACTGCCCTTACGGTCCCGAGGATCCGGAACCGGGAGGCCAGCTAGCGGCTTGTGGCAGGCAATGGATGGGCGTCCGGTGCGAACTACACGACTATATCGTCCTATTATCTCAATAATTCCCAACTCATGTCGTTGAGAGCGGCTTGTGAAGGGAGAGAAGTGACGACGAGCAGGAAAAGGGGGGACCCCAGAAAGGAAGGAACCCAGCCTAGATGCTGCAGCAGTACTTCGGCTGGGCGTCTATGCCATATCGGCTGACTCTGACGAGGAGCAGTTGGAAGAGTACCAGACGGTGGGAGAAGTCAGAAGCACACCAATCGCGAGGAAGCTTCCAGACCATCAAAGCCCACGGCCGCGCCAAAATAGACATCCCCCTTACTTCGAACTTATCAAGACAGCACTAGTGTACATGTTGTCCACCTCCTCTCCTGAATGGCACTCACGGTACCCCTCTTCAGCCAGCAATCACCAGACTACTTCTCAACGTCTCAAGACGTATCAAAGGGTCTCGAGCCGTCGACAGAGATACTCATCATTAGCCGCAGGGAGTGCGGCCAGGGCAGAACTTGATCTGCGTCGGGACTATGCCTACTTTTGCCCCTTCCGACGTTACATATAGGAGGTTTTAGAACTTTACTGTGCCACCCCCTTGGGAGCGATACAAGTTTTACTCAAAGTGCCTGCCAGATACGACGCTGAACCCACGAGGCTCTTTGGCATCTTTAGTAAGATGGATCATGGCACCCAAACGTTATAAGTTGTATGGGTAGTTGCAAGTCATTGTATATTACATAGCCGCGGCCGTTCTCCTCGCCTCTTTACCTCCTACATAGCTACCTTATATAAAGTCTAGCCTACGCGGCCTACAAGCCTCGCGCAAGGTACGGGTGGAACACGATCACGAATAGCATGTCAACGGCCCCCTTGACGCCGCAGTAAGTGCACATAACAGCCAACCTGCCGTGACCAAGGCTCAGCTCGTAGGTATATGTTGTCAGCTGACCAGCCAACACCCAGCGAAGAGCCAGCCGATCAGGATACTGTTTCTGCTTCGCCCCTACGCCCGAGGCGGTACATCACCGCTTGTGCGCCAATCAGAACTAGCAGTTCGACGTCACACACGGCGCAGTGTGTAGACGCCGCTGAGCACCCCCCGATGCGTTTCTGTAATTCGAGATTCTGTGGTACCGCGAGTCTTCTAAGGATGCAAAGCCACACCGACCGAGAAAGACGAACCCAACCATATCGCAGCCGATGCGCAATGCGACATGCTTCACAAGAAGCACCTCAAGTATTCTATCTCGAAGCTTGTGCGATAACGGCGGGGGCATAGATGTGGGACAGCCCTAGATGTGGGACAGTTTTCACACCCAACATCACAATGTTCACTTACACATATCTCTACCGGCAATGAAGCCCTAGATATCGTAAATACTGCATTGAAATCGTCTTTTCTTGTTGTTTTCAGCAGTGCTGGTTTCATCAGGTTTACCACTGCGGGATGGGCCGCTGTGGGGGTCGGAAGTTAGCACTCCCGGCCCTAATCTGAGGGGTAATGGGACCCGTGCCCCCTATCCCCTTCACTGTAACAGAAGTTCTGTTGTTCTTTTTTTTCTTTTTTTTCTGTCAGCATCATAGGCTTCAGTACGTTGAAATGCCTCCTTTGTACACTCCAGAAGACCTCGCAGAGGCAATTGCCGCTGTGAACAATGGCATATCCCTCCGCAAGGCGCATCAGCGCTGGGGAGTACCGAAATCAACTCTCGCGCCGAAGGTAGACGGCACCACAATGTGCCCAATGCTGACTAGCCGTGAGGGGGCTCTTAAGAGCCAAAAGTTAAGCCCTGCGCAAGAAACTCGGGTTGTATTATGGATCCTCTATCAAGAGAAGGCTGGCCACGCGCCAACTCACGGCAATGTAAGGTACATCATCCGGAAGATCCTACAGTCTGAGGGCAGGGCAGATCATTTAGGGGGCAAATACATGCGAAATTTCATCTGCAGGCACCCAGAGATAAAGACCAAGATGGGCAGAAAGCTGGACTACAAGCGTATCAACGCCGCCACGCCCAAGAACATCAATGGCTTCTATGATCTCTATAAGGAGTTCGCCTTTATCAAACCCACGAACTGGACAAATGTCGATAAGTACGGCATTATGCAGGGCTGGCAGTACGTAAGCGCCCAATCCAAGTGCTTTTCGGACGGCTGACCGGGCCGATAATAGGTCTAATGGCCTTGTAATAAGTAGTTCTGGCTCAAAAAGGACCAACGTCAAGTCTAACGACGACCGCACGTGGACTACAGTGGTCGAATCGATCACCGCCACTGGAAAGAAGCTCCGGCTGCTCGTTATTTTTAAGGCGAAGTTGATACAGACTCAGTGGTTTAAAGAGCAGCTTATTATAAAGCATCCCGCGATGGCAGAGTGGATAGTGACGTACTCCATTAACGGCTGGTCCTCGAACGAGATCGCATTGGAGTGGCTTGAAAAGGCGAGTAAATAACGAGTACTACTCGTTAACTACGTGCTAATAAGCCTCAGGTATATCTCCCTGATACAGCTCCTGAAGATCCCGATGATTCTCGCCTCCTAATATTAGATGGCCATGGCAGCCACTGCTCGGATGAGTTTATATATCTTTGCTACATTAACAACGTATATATGTGCTTTTTCCAGCTCACATAGTAAGTTAGGTGATCAGTTAGTAGTTATTTTGCTAATAGGGATAGTCTCATATCTTCCAGCTGCTGGATTTGACAGTATTCTCTGTTATTAAAGCCGCCTACTGCCGCTTGATCAATCAGCTTGGCCAGCTCAACGATTCGGCCCCTATTAGCAAGATTAAGTTCCTCAGTTGCCTAGCGAAAGCTCGCGATGAAGCTACGCCGGCTATCGTGCGTTCAGGGTGGCGTACTGCTGGGCTTTGGCCTGTAAATCGACTAAAAACGTTGACGAACGAGCATGTGGTGAAGGCGGCGGAGATCCGAGCAGCAGCAGCTGCTATAATGGACCCCGAGACCACCCACAAGGCCCTAGAAGCCCCTAAATCAGGGCAGAACATAGCCCTGATGCTATCACCAGTTGTTGAGACCCCTGAGCAGCGAGCAGCAGTACGCTCGGTTGCAAAGCCGTACGATGAGATGGTGGTTGAGCTAGCCCTCACAAAGGAACTGCTGGAGGCAAAAGACGCCGAAATGGAGCGTCTATAGCCAAAAAAGCGCCGTAAGGTACCTCAAGAAGAGCCTAATCAACGGCTATAGAGAGTTGGGGACGTTATTCAGGAGCAGATCGAGCAAACGGAGGCTGCGCGAGTCTTGATCGAGCAGCGGGCCGAGAGATGACGAATTGTGGCCGAATTGCAGAACCTGCACACGAATGAATCAGAGAGACCACTCTCTGATAACTCTCTCTCGCCTGAATCATCAGATTCAAAAGAATTTGAGCCCTTAGAGGGTGTTGAGGATAAAGGGGTTATTGTTGATGAAAGGGACGAAAGCGAGGATGAGGAAGATCAGAGCCCATTGTGGTTTGATCTTCGCGTCGCGCAATCCGCCAGCCTGCACGGTACCGCGACGAAAATTAGTATTGCTGAAAACTCCAAGAAAAGGCGATTCTTTTGCTGTTTTTATATTATCTAGAGCCTCAATCCAGATGGAGTTATGTGTGGGTGCAAGTGTGGTCTTTTGGTGTGAAAACTGTCCCCCATCTAGGGCTGTCCCACATCTATACCCCCGCCGTTATAGCTTCGGCTTCAGCATTAAGCTCTGCAGGATATGCGGGGCTATTGATGACGAGCGTCGTGTTTTGAGTTGAGTTTCGATGTTAGAGGTCTAGGTGACTTGATAGAACGGCATTCATGTCCATTCTACAACGTCATCCTGAGGGCGACGCGGGACGAAGGGATCGTTTTCGGGCCCGCGCATGGACTACTACTAGATCCACGAGATGCGAGCTGGACGCTACATTGATCGTGACGGCCGTAAATTCTTCAAGCTGTAAACGTTATCGGCCTTGTGAGCCGTCGCGGTCCTTCTTTTCGGTTGGGCGTGAAAGGTTTCGAGGATGTCGTGTCGGCGAAACTGTTGGACCCGGTCCCGGAACGGGCTGACCGGATATATATCAAGAGGAATATGAGAAGTGCGATCCCTCAACTTCCTGGATCCAACGTCAGCTGGAGACTCTTCTGATGTATCGACATGTTAGAGACGAGCATAGTTGAGCTTTCCATCAGAATAACAGAGGGTATTTCAGATATAACTTGACGAGATACTTGCAGCTGCCCGAGGCACAATACTCTTGTCAGGACGACATAGAAGACGTGAAAGGGGTTTAATGGTACGGACTTCGTCTGCGAGCTCGCCCTCTTCACGCTAGTGGCTGGCAGACTCGACGACGTCAGCTCTTAACCGAGCCGTGTGAGGAGAAGTCGGAGACCTCGTCCGGACAGGTTACAGGCGAGTCGGAGCCAGGAGTCAATCCGGTCCTGCGCCACGCGTTGGTAGACCCCCTCGACAAAGCCAAGTGCCATTACAGAGGACGGACGTAAGGTCATGAATAGACAAGGACGCGAGTATAGTGTCGAAGAATACTGAATATCGCCAAGAAAAGCCCATCTTCATGGACGACGTGGTGTACTTTGAGCGCCTCGAGGCGACCTGGCAAGAGCTAGGAGATGGACTGCTTGGACAACAGGTCTAAATGCAGCCCAACGGCAAAGCCTGCACTGCAAGGCCCGAGTGGCGAGTTGCATCGTTTGACCTGCTTGGGCAGCTGCTTGTCAGGAATAGTGGGCGTGATGGGAAAGGCGATGACGGGCATCTGCCGACGCCTGGCCGGTTTCGCCGGATACGATCGGGGTACTTGGATAGCTACGGCTCCGGGGCCGCGTCCAAGTGGACATCGAATGATACGTGGATTAAATCGTATTAAAAAGAGCCGCGCGCTCGAGGCTGTTGGAAGGAGGCTGAAGAGAAGAGCCCAGGCGAGAGCGCTCTTTGGGATACCATCTGTTACTTTACCCTCAAGCCGTTCAAGGATTGCGGATCAGACTTACTTGATGTTGCAAATCCGGACCATGCCAGCCGAGGATTATATTGGATGTACGCTTGATCGTGTCGAAGGAGCGTGTCAGTCTCCACGATTTACTGAGAAAGAAGGGAGTAACGTAGTCCTGGGTACGTCAACTTGGGTGTTCAGCGCGCGGTTCATTCAAGGTACGATGGCTTAGAGCTGATCTTACTGTCCGATCCGTCGTGCGATTGAAGTATTGTGGCTGTGGAACGACTCCCTACTACGTGCTGTCTGAGTCTTCTGGATGCTGGTCATCGAGACGAAGAACGGCATCGTCAGGGGCAGTGGCCTTGGCAAGATTGAGCAGGAGGCGCTCTTGGGTGCGCAACAACCTGTTGTCAAATGGAAGGAAACCACCCTAGGCTAATCCGTGTTCGATGGGAGCGTATTTCTCCTATAGGATGTTGAATTCAGCGTCCTATCAACGATTACATTTCCCATGTTACCTTTAGTGGGAGGGACTTTTCCCTTTACCATACTGGGACAGTCCCTCGAACCGCCTATGGAGGTATCGATGAAGGCCTATATTCCATGCTGGTCAAAAAAGCCTATGGAGAACGAGACACAGAGGCCTGGAAGCACCAGGGACTTCTGGCAACCCCACGTGAATTCTTATAGAGACACCTTCGTAGTGGGAACCGTCGTATGCATGCCGTCAAAGGAGGGAAAGTCAGTTCGTGCGACTTACACTGCTAACTCATTGGAATCCCTTCGTTTTTTGGTTTATAACGATGTGAGTATTCAAACTTGAGTCTTCTTACTCAGAGTTCTCGCTTGCGAGACGGCGGCTTCAAAGGAGCACAAACCGTTACCGCGATGTATGTCCTAGACCGAACCCAGTGCAGTTCCAGATCCAATGCATCAGACGAACCTAGCGCCAGTATAATATGTATAACACAGCGAAACTCGTCTCTAGCTTTGTGATGAACCAGGTGCCACAGTCCGTTGAGCCTCAGACCCCCGGCCGAAAGGGGCAGAGGGGATATCAAAAGAAAAAAAGCCAGCTGGCACCAGCTGGCGGGCGGGTGCAGCGGGCGCAGTGGCTGAGCGGATGACCCCATGACCCGACAGATGGTCAGCCCCACAGGCTTGAAACACGGCCAAGAAGACCCCTAATAACCTTAACCTTCATCAATCTCACCACAGACCACCCACTTCCAATCAATCAAACCACCGGCACCGGCCGCGAACACCTTCGCATGCGTGGTGGCACTGCTTAGTCTGGCAGACCTGCCACCGCAGCGCAAATCAGAGTGCAGCACGTACGAGAGATACGAGAGACACATTGATCTCTGCCACAGTCTGCTTCTGCGGTGATACCACACCTTTTAGGTGTCATTTGGAGCTGTCGTGGCTGTACACCCGGACCTCAGACACCGCAACACGCGCGGAAGCAGACAGACTCCACAGCCACATCTGGGGGAGATGAAGGGGCCGACCGGAGGTTTCTGCTATCAATCCACCGGCTGCCTTTCACCCATCGGACCGCCCGCGCGGTAGAGGTCGGGCCACCAGTTCACACTCACAGCACGTTCTCTAGGTTAGTGTGGTGTGTGGTGTGAAACGCGCTGGCAGAGTTCTAGAGAGCACCAGCCCGCAGTCATTAAATGATTAACGACGCCGTCCACCCGAACACAGGAGTCATCCCCCATCCCAGGCAGGAGGAGACTTGGGCACTCAGCACTGTCACCGTGGTCCGCGGGTGAGGCGAGGGAGGGAATAAGGTACGCGACCCAGCATTCGGGGACATTCCGACCGCTCCCACCTCAACGCATGAATGATCACCACGACCCAGCCAGTGAGTATACGATTTGATACATAGAGGGAAGGCTCGCCTAGGGTTGACCGATTGAGGCGACCTTACTATTGCTGTCAGTACAGTACACTTCCCGCGCAACGGCCAACTCTGCCCGGCCGGTCGATCCAGATCTACACTGCATGGTTCGGGAATACAATTGTGATTGTAGACGGGTGCGTCATAGAGATCGTGCTGGCCATCGTTCCCAGATAGGCTGCAGGTATGCCGGTGCAACGGTGCGAGGAATTATCTGCGACCAGCTACCGGTACCGAATCTACCGATCCCACCTCCGCCGCCCGCCGAGCTTCTTTTGGCTTTCTTTCAGGTTTTCGCGCCGCTAATACCACGCGCCGCCGTGCTATCATTTCCAGCGGCAATCGATCATTTCCTATCTTCGAAGGTCGGGGGTTTCTTTTGGCAACCCATGCGCCTGGATCGAAGCCCCGAAAAAGCCTACAGGCCTTGACCCTGTACACATCTCTCTATTTCATTCCGAGGGAAGCTGTCGGAACCAATCAGGCATTTCGGTTTCAAGGACTAGCATCTGCATCGGGCGTCGCATGAATAAATTCAGGGTGTCCTCTGCCGGCCCTTGTCCAGCTTGGTGGCACATCCTGGAGTCGCTCGTCTGAGCCTCTGAGACTCTATCCCACCCTGCTCACGCATAATGGACAGGGTACGGTCCATTATGGCGACGAGTGGCGTAGCTCGCGTCTGTCTCAGTCGCTGTCCTACAAGATTACAGAGCTCCCCTGCATCTTGCCGGCTTGCCTACGACGATCTTCCACCCGGACTGCCTTTCTCTCAGTCGCTGCTGTCCTCTGCCGTCTATTGTTTCCCAGTCTCTCGTTCAGTGTACTTGTTTCGTCTTTATATGTCTCTAATCTGTGACAGCACAATCGACCAACCTTCGGGATGGAGGCTATAATACCGTCTAGGGAATGGCAGTATAATGTCAAATATATGTATGATGATGATGATGGCACCATACGAACTGGCGAGCCCTTGGAGAGGTACACCACAGACAGCACAGCCTTATCACCTCATGCCCCAGCATCTAATATCTGATAGAATCCAAGAAGAGACCGAATACACATCGTCAAGGTCGCGGCTCCCGTCCAGAGGAACGTTAACGCCTTCAATGGGATGGCCTTTTCACCACCGCAACACTTCCGAGGTGCCTTCGAGCACATGGTCTAGTCATATGAACCTGTCAGGCCTGTTTCGTCCGACTAACGGGCAACGTCGGTCATTTTTCCACTCTCACGCAGCGAATCAGGACGACGCCATTAGCATTGCCAGAAGTATCGTACCCGACTACATTGTGAACTTCCTCAGAGGAGAGACGCCCGAGACTTTGGCACGGAAGAAGGAGTCACAGCAATGGGGGCGGCGTGGCATTGAGATCATCCCAAACCATCGGGACACTCTCGCGTCGTGTCCCGTCGAGTTCGGACACTACTATTCGTCTACTACCGACTTGACCGACCCGAACGAACACAGCTCCAGAAGCCAAAACGGTCTAAGGAGGCACTTCACCGGCTGGCGAGGTGGCGTCGTCTTCAACACAGTCTTAACATTCATAATCTTGGTGGCCGGAATAGTTTGCTTAATACTGGCCTTCACCAAATCGAAAGCACAGTCAGGCGAGTCGTCAATCTACTCGGGCGATTGCACCAAGGCCCACAATCTCAACATCGGCTTACATGTCGTCATCAACGTCTTCACCGTCGTTCTCCTAGCTGGAGCCAACTACGTCTTTCATGTTCTCTCAAGCCCCACGAGGCGAGAAGTCACCACAGCGCACGAGAAGAGGCGGTGGCTCGACATTGGTATCCCCTCTCTACGCAACTTCGCTCACATCTCGAGCTTCCGAGCGACGCTGACGATCATCATCATGCTCGCCGCCGTCGCAAACCAAGTAATGTAAAGCTCTGACTTCACCCAGATAGAGATTCCAGCTGACGATGAGCAGATATAATGCAGTAATTTTCACTTCTCAGAGTACTCAGGAGACCTGCAGTGTGAACGTCAGCGGTTCTATGCTCGGCGTCGCCGCGTTGCTTAATCTCGTCACGTTCCTCAGCCTGACCGTCGTTCTCACGAGGTCTTCTTTCAAGCCGCTCGCCACCCTTGGCGATGCCATCCGCTCCTTCCTAGAAAACCCAGACGAGACGACGACAGGTGTCTGTCTGCTATCCAAAGACGATGTACGGCAAGGCCGGTGGGAATCTACCAAAGCCAAGTACTTCCCCCAGCCAACCGATCACCACTGGATCCAGAGCCCGTCGCTCGCCCGATGGGCCGTCACGATACTCTCCTGGCTCGCTGCCAGCGTCCCCACCGCCGTCGCATTGGCGCTCATGATCCGCGCAAACAACGACAATTCACTCACCCCGTTCGGCACCGCGACAGCCAATGCCACCTTCCTTCTCCCGAGCTCCTTTACCGCCCCGCAGATGGCAATCATCGCCTCGCTCCCGCAGCTCCTCCTCGCCATCCTGTATCTGACCATCAACTCGCTCCTGACGACCTACTTTCTATCACAAGAGATCGCACTCTTCGCCGTGGGCCCGCGCGCCCTCCGCGTCTCTTCCAATCCGTCCGGGAGGCAATCCACGAGTCTGTATCTCACGCTGCCGCGGCCCGTATCCTGGATGCTCCTGGCCGTCTTTGCGGCCCTAGGCCTAGTGCTAAGCCAGGCCGTCTTCCCTGCCGCTCTCGACGCCGCCACCGCCACAGCCTTCGCGCCCTCCTCGTCCCCTGACCACGCCGCATCCGCCGTTGTACCAGCAATCGCCTTCAGCACGCAGGCGCTACTGACCCTCATCGTTATCCTCATAGTTATCCTCGTCGCCCTCCTCATCGCCGTCCTGGGCCTCGGTCTCCGCCTCACGCCCGCTGCCCGGCTCGCCGACGGCACCGCCAAGGGGAACCCGATTGCGCTGCAGGGCGGGTCCTGCTCCGCGGCGCTGAGCGCAAAGTGCCACCCTGCTGCCGGCGAGGGCGAGATATGGCTCGGTCGCGCAACCTGGGGCGTCGTGCAGCCCGCGACGGGGGTGCGGGTCGGACGGTGCGCGTTCTCGGGCGAGGGGGCGGGCTGTGTGGATGTGGGCAGGAGCTATGCTTGAGGCAGATCTCGTCTACATTAAGAGCAAGCAATAAGAACGAAAAAAGGCAGATGGAAATTTGCGAGCATTTAGTTGGACGACGACTGTCTCGAGCGGTGTTTTTCTGGGTTCGGGTTTGGTTCGGTTTTGCATGGATGGATGGGATGGCCTGCATCGATAGATCGGGCGGGCTGGGCTGACTGCGTGGTGACGATACCCCATATACACGCGTACAGGCGTTGACCGCGTTCGCATTTTAGTTTTCCCTTTACTGTTCATGGAGCTGGAACTACCAATCTGGATCATTCATCGGTCATATCTGGGCTGGTTCTCGTCGATGAAAGAGAAGAGGAAGAGGAGGGGTGTTCAAGGGCAAGCGGAAGGGGGAAGGGCCCGAGCACTGGATGGAAAAGAGAGAGGGGAAATGAATCAAGAGAACGATGACGGGGTGGAGGAGCTGGGATCTCCTGCTATATGCCAGTCCATATACTACCAATGAAGCATAAAGACATCACAACATCAACATCAGCCATCGATCGAAATACTTTCATCCTTCACCAAGTACGAGTAGATATTGCTTGTTTATTCTCATATCACGTGCGTAAGCCTGGTCACCAATGGCGGCAATACTCCGCAGTGCGTGCTTGACTCCTGGATTCTCCAAATGCTGTACGCAAAAGAGCGCCGCGTGCGCGACCTAGTCGACGGACCTCTAGGCGAAGAGGGCAGCGTTCTCGCGCTCGAGACGGGTCTTGCACACTAGTAACTGTGACCGTCCTTTCCCGGCCATGAATGCCGTGGCCGGTGATGGGTTTGTTTTACGAGCTTTCTACTGGTAGCTCTATTGGCGAACACTGCGCAAGGTATCGAAGAATCTCTCCTATTCTACAGAGCCTACCTAGCGCTGCACTTGCCAAAAGTACTTGCGTCCTACAAGAACCCCCTGATACTATGAGATATTCACGACCTCTGGTCAAGTCATCAGCTTCATCCAGATAGGCATGTGCCCTAGCGAGACCAGCTCACGACGAGCATCTGATCGCGTTGGGGGGCTGTGTCTAACTGGTTGGTCTCTTGCTCGCTTGTTTGCGCAGGACTACAATCAGGTACTTGCTCGCTTTCGCTTCGTCGTATGGCAATGATACGGCCCGACTTCAAGGTAAGTCTATCCTCTTAACCTACCTAGTTAGTCTTGGTGGCAGTCCAGTCCTGTCCGCCTACCCTTGCGCTTCTCACCATGTCCAAGTGCCACAACTGCGCTCTCGCCCTTGGCAAGTTGTCCGTCTGTGTTATCCATACTCCGTCCTCCGCAGTGGCGAGCCTGTCGGTACAACCGGCTAATCCTCACCTGTGCTCCCTTTTCCTCCTTTACGTCCATTCTTATCTCTTTAAAAGGCGTTTATTCCCTCCATTCCGAAACCCAGAGTCGACACCACCAGGTTTGTCTGGGTCGTTACCACCCCATCTCCAACATTCCAGGCCCGCCTTCATCTCCATCTCCATCTCCATCTCCATCTCCATCTCCATCTCCATCTCCATCTCCATCTCCATCTCCATCTCCATCTTCATCGTCCCTCTCCGCCACGACCCAAATACTTCGATATTACCCCCCTGAGCAATAATCGCTTCCAGTCAAGCCTGAACTCCTCCCCTCCCTCTTTCCTCGCCGCCACCATGGCCTCGTGTCCTGTCCCGAACTCCAATGCCAGAACAGAGGAGCAAGCATGCCTGCCTTACCTAACCTCCTACCTCCTACCTCCTACCACCTGCTTCCGATCTACGCCCCTATGGCCTCCACCTCTCGCACCGTGATAAATTCTAACACGACCCTAACCCAGAGCACCTCCGCCTCCCAACGCATAATGATAACTGCCACCGCAGCAAGCGACGCACACGCATATGCAAAGGCTCAGACTTGGGGGCAGCAACAGCTTTGCTTCGCGGTCAACGGAACGGACTCGTGGTCGTCGAAACGGTGAGCGGGGATGTCTGCTTCGTTTCAGCTTGGGTCGGATGAGCTGACGAGAAGTGGCGGAGGAGGAAGAGGAAGCAGGCGAGGCAGACGACCTAGGCTGGCTGTAAGTTGTAAGCAGTGTCAGTTGGGCCAGGCTGTAGTATGTTGAAGATCACGTTCGATCAACGAACTAAAAAGGGAGAGCTATAAGGATAGGTCACCAAGACGGGAGCTTACTACAGCCTGTTTGGCGTCCAGTGAAATGGTATTTTTCATCACTTTCTAGTTGCCTAGAACACTATCTGGCACTGCGGCCTTCCCAATGAACCAATCACAAAACTCCAGGCACCTATGCTGTGAGAATTGGAGTGCCAATTGAATATACAAACATTCGAGCTCACTGACTTCCAAATCGTCTTACGCGACGACATCTGGCCTTACCTCTCTTGGCAGGCGCCTTGAAAGCCATCAGCGTCTAGGCGACTAGTAGAGAGTTCATTTCTTCATCCCAGCCAACTTCGCTCAGAACTATGGCTGTGTGAATGCTCGACGAATCCAAGGGTCGCAGACCCATCAGATCCTCTCGATATACAGCTCAAGAAAGTCACCCCTTCCTGAGCGGTCGTCGATCTCTAATCTGCGATGGCAGCTTCGTCGACGACGCCCGTGTGCAACGTGGGGTCGTTTCTCGTAGCGTTCGGGTCGACCTTGATATTAGCCTGGGCTTTCTCCTGACTCTCGAGAAATCTATCCCAGTACTGCGGGTCCTTATCGCGCAGACGTTTCCATACACCGTCTTTGTCTTCTTCGAAGGCTCTCACTGGTCCAACCTCTTCGACACGCTTCCTAATATGTTCATCGTCTTCCATGAGGTCATCCATGACTCCGGTTATCATGCGTACGTGGCTTGGGTCATTCCCAAGAGTGTCAAAACTGTTGAGGATGTTGAACTGTTCCTGCGTGAGGAAGCTTCGGCGGAATTTGTGGCCCGCACGGAGCGCGCGACCCTCTTCTTCGGCAAAAGCTTTCGAGGTGTGAGACATGGTGGAATTGGAACGGGCTGGGGGTGGTGGGCGTAGTTCCGTTTCTATATCCTCGGTATCTGACAAGTGAAGGTGATCTGCCTCGACCGATGAAAGAGAAGTGCCAAGATTGGGGACTGCGGGAGGTGCACGATCCGGGCGATCCGGCACAGGCAAGGGTTTTGACGCCGTCTCCCGAGTGTCCGGAAATTCGTCCTCGAAACGTTTGATCATACCCTCAATTGTCTGGTCCAGGAATAACAGGCGATCTAGAGCAGAGTTAGCGAGACTGTTGGCCATTGAAGGGACAGGAGATACGTACAATAGTTGTTCATGTCCTCATTGGCAGAAGCCTTGGCCTTGACCAGCGCTGGTTGCAGCCGTATACGAATCTTCCTCGCCGTAGCCAGCAAGTGTTTGGACACGTCTTTCGCCTTTCCAGGGGGTAAACGCGTTCGAGAGCGCGTTCGAGGTGTTGTCGTCCCACTTGCGAGTTCTCTCGTGAAATCGCCCGACTGTCGCCGGAAATCGTCACCTCGGTTCTTAAGGACACAAGCCAGCGCCTTGGCAACGCCCGTGCCGCCAATGACATAGTCCTCGTCGGGTGCTGGCTCAGAACCGTCATCCATTTCCACCACAGGCCAGTCGTCATCGTCTTGTCCAACCAGATGGCGAAGCACGTCCGGTAACTTCTCGAGCTTCTGCACCGACTCGCCGGTAGTCGAGTCCCGAATGTCCGGCACTCCCTGCAGGTTTCGCATGCAAAACGCGACGATGCGATTCGCCATTGCCTTCATGATTTCGCCTGACTCAGTAGTTGGATCATCAATGTCGATCTTGATCAAAGTCTTCGACACCCTAACAGCTGCTAGTAAAGAGGCATATAATGCACAGGATTCTTCTTGCATGTCCTCAGTCCTGGCATCAGCAAGAGCAACAAGGTCAGGGTTCTCAAGTAGGTGGATGTGAGCAAGCGTCTTGACTTCCGGCAAGATTTCGGCCAGCGCAATGGCCTGCTCAGAGGACAACGAGACATCAGCAAGATGGAGCCTCTTCAGATTGTCCATCTTAGGAAGATATCTAGCAAGACTTTGTTAATTGTGAAGACATATATCCGGCATGGGTTTGAGACTGACCTGCGGAGCAATTTGATGGCACTGGGTTCTGATGCGAAGAGTTCGTGGTTGTGTGAAAGATCCAGAAACTTGAAACTGGGCAACTTTACCAATTTCGGGAGCAGCTTGCACAATGAGGCTGGTTTGAGATTGCAGCCTGCCAGGCTCATTGCCCAAAGTTGTTCTTCGTCATGAATAGCCCCAGCAATGGTCTCGAGATGGTCTCTCAGGTCATTTCCCCCGAGATCTATACCTTGACAATTTGCACTCCCAAGGTACTTCGCAACATGTTGCACTCCCTGGGCATCAATGTTGTTATGAGAAAGCCCGAACCTTGATACGCCCGATTTGAGAACTCCATCGACTATGGCTCCAAGCTGGTTTGCAGACAATCCAGTAGAGCCGAGGTTGAGGAGTTCCAGTTCCGAGCCAGCTAGACGTTCTCCAATAGACTTGGAAAGTAGTAGTGACATGTCGAGAGGAGCTAGCGCATTGGGTCCGTGGTGATGAAGGTGAAATTGGTGGTGGTTCAGCGGTGTCTTGGGCTGTTCCGCTGGAGTTGGGAACGGTAAGCTCGATAGATCAAGACATTTGATAGACCGACACATGTGAATAAAGAGGCAGACATGTTTCCATCCTTCGGTCCCAATCTTATTGTTTTTGAGGACGAGTGTCTCGATGACCCCACCTTGTGGCGCCAAATCCACTGGCCTCGTCAAGGACTTGCGTTGTCTGGCATTGGACTTCCTCACAGCAAGTAAGCCGGCGAGAACAACGCGTATCCCTTCGTCTGTCAACCCGCAGTCTGCCAAATTGACTTCTTTCACTGGAACAACAGCCAAGAAGTCTCCCAGCGTTATGAGGTCAGGGAGTGACAGATAGTATCCAGAGAGGTCCAACTTCTCGACAATACCATCCGCCCGAATCCCAGTCGTCTTCGGTAATTGAAGTGTGACCTTGGTCAGAATATCCGTTTCGCGCAACTGGCAACATCTGCGATATATTCTGCCGGGGTTTATCGTGGGCGTGAACCGTGCATGGGATGCTGCTGTCGGTGACGACTCGTCTTCTGCAGAGGAATCGCTATCCAAGTGAATCTCCATGGGAATAGCTCCTTTCTCGAGGGCTTCCTTCCGCTTTTGCTCTTTCTTGGCTTTTCGTTCAGCTTCACTCTTCTTCTTCTTTTCCTTTTTCCGCGATGTCTCCTTCTCCGACTTGGGCTCTTCGCATTGCGCTGTACTGTTCTCCTTCTTGTGTGCGTTTGTCTGCTCTGTCTCTGTGCCTTCTCTTTCAGGCTCCTTTGGAAGCACCTCACCAGTGGCCTTCACCACCCCGTTACCCTCTTTCTGCTCTTCCAAAGCCTTTGGGTCTTTTAAAGCCAATCCTTCACTCTTCTCGGTAAGCTTTCGCTTCTGCGTCTTGTCGGCAGGCTTCTTGCAGGGAGTCTCTTCGTCTCCATATTTTGGCGGTGGCGCAATCTCGACATCAACACAGAAAGCAACTCGACGGAGTTTTGCTTGGCTAAGTTCGGTCACACGACACCGCTCCCGGTGCTTATCAACATTCAACACCTTTCGCTCGACAAGGCCATGGCTAGCCTTCGAGCCTAGCGTAGCAGTTCCGTTCGATGAAGATAAGCGACGGAATACTCCCAGGAAGCCCGGCTGAGCGCTCCTTGGGGGTGCAGGGGTGTACGGGGCATCGCCTGTTTGCCGCGATGCGTGCGGAAGGACAGCATTCTTGTTCGGAGTGATTTTGGGCAAAGGGGTTACATCGTCCGCGTCGGCATCCGATTCGGGTACAGAGCTTGGGTTTGGCGGAGGAGCTACTGGGTTCGCAGGGGAGCCGGAGAACTTGGAAGATATATTAGAGAACCATGATCCTTTCCTTTGCAGTGGCGGGCCGTTGGCGCTTGTCGATGACTCGTTTGACTGACTCCTCGTTCTGCCGGGCCGTTGTGGTATAGGCTTGGCAGCGCTGGGTGATGCGGGCGCGGTCTGGGCAGCTGGTGAAGGGGCAGGCGAAGGCGATGACGAGGAAGCCTTTCCGTTAATCTTGCTCGGGGTTGCGGATTCTAACGGCTGGCTGGACGAGGTGGTATCGGTGGCATCGGTGGCAGGAAGGGGGTCCGATGACGACTTGCCATTCTGACCATGCTTGCCGAGTTTGTCTGTATTGAAAAGTGTCTGGTCAGCCGGGCAATACAGGAGAAGCGGATAACTTTGTCGGTGCAAATAAGAACATATTTGTTGGAGGCCATGCTCGAGGTTATGATGTGCATACCTTTCCCATGTGTCATCCAACTCACATCCATATCTTGCTCCATAGTAGCGATGCAGTGAAACCCTGGCGTAGGGTTTGCGCTTCGTGATATTCTGTATTTTGCAGAGTATTCTACTACCAAGCGGAGTGGGCCTGTCGCAAAGCTGATATGGGACAGAACAGACACGGTAAGAAGTGTTGTTGGTTGATCAAGCAATCACCAGCTTCAAAGTTCACCATTCTCCGTCCGACCTGATGCCAATCTCCGGGCGGTTGGTCAGGGCGGTTCAAGTAAGGGCTCACTAAAGCAGACCTTGAATTGTGGGGTTTCCGATTGACGTCGGGATGGTTTAAAGGGAGAGCCGACTCGAGATTCAGATAGGAGCGGACGCCATGTCCATACCGAGAGATGTAAGGTTAGGAAGTAGGTGAAAGAGGCGGTCGGTCCCCGGCAATGTGGAATCGATGTGCCAAACGATATGAGAATTCCCACAGCTGCTGAAGGCGGTCTGGCAGTCTGGATAGTGTTGTAAGGTAGTATCGTGTTCAAGATGGGTGTATTCTTAGGTAAGTAGCACAGCACAGTGCTGAACTCAGACGAGGGATGTGGTGCCCGTTCGAGTGGTTGAGGCGTACAGGAAATATGACGACGGACGAGCTGGCAAAGCGTCCCGTCCTTTTCGGGACATGACAAGCGGGGATCCGTGACTTTATGAAAATCAGTCACGGAACATACCTTACGAAATCAGTCCGTGCACGATCACTCGGCTGCTGATAACGATAACGATAGCGATACAAGGCCCTCCAATTGCTCCGGTCGGCTCCCCCACTTGAGCTCCTACAACGTAACCCGGACTGCCCGGCTGCTTTGTGTCAAACACTCCTAACTTCCAAGCATTCACAATTGTGAAGGATGAGATGCAATATCAAACCAAGTGCAACTATCATTCATCAAACGGCAAGCACAGGACATGACCATGAAGAATCTCCCAGAACATGGTCAGCTTACCAACGAGTGCCAGCCAGACTACCACTATGATGGCCACGTCGAGGTTCGCGCCACAGTGGCGTCATGAGTAGATCAGCAGACCTGGACTGTCGACTGTCCGAATATCTCGATTCTCGGCTAGACTATCCATCTAGGAGTCAAGAACGAAAGCCACGACCGCCACGACTCAAGCTGTCAAGAGAGCACGCAGATCGCACGACGTCAGATGTTTCCCAGCCCATGGCAGGCCTGCAGAAGCCAACCACCTTCTGTGCATTACAAGTCGATCCTATCAGACATCAATTCAGACCATCACTTGACTGCATGCAGATCTGCGCATCGTTACTCAATTCCACAAACCTGTCGGGCAGGGCCGAGCACTGTTCCATCGCATCCTTACTGTGTGGGCATATGCTTTTTGAAGGGTCGGATGATGCATGTGCTGCAAGTCTATCACAACTCGTTTATGGCCCATGTATACCTAGATATACCGCATACTGGAAAGTGAGTAATTGGCAGAACCCCGGATCTCCAAAAACCAGCTTTCTGTTTGGTCTTCCGAGAATGATCGTCTGAAGATCAATGTGGAGAGAGCAACCAAGAATCAGACTTTGGTATATTATTGGTTCTGCGAACTTCTCCCTTTCCCAAAAGTATTCAGGAACAATGTCGAGGCCATAAGCCAGGTTAGCGCCCATGTGGTAATTCGTTCATTCTTACAGGGGGCATGGTGTCTGAGTGTCAACCAAAATAGTTACGAGTTCAATCAGATCTCCCATGATGTCTTGAATAATCATCTTTTCAATCACTTCCCACCTAGTAGTCTCATGAACTGAGCCTCACAAGCGCGTGCAGGACATCGAGTGTGCGGACCGAAGTGTACAATCTGGCCGGGTTGAAAGCACGCATCAAAGCTTGTGAGTGATTATCAAGAGCACTGACTAAGATTGAAGGCCGGCCATTCATGATTGTCGGCTGCATAGGACGCTTGTGAGTTGTGGCTGCTATGCAATCCCTGTGAGTTGTTACCGTGGTCGTATCCTGGACAAGGGGCTTACCAGTGACGATGGAGGCTGCCACAAACCAGGTGTTTGAGCCTACCCGGTCCCTGCATCACAACTCACATTGTCCATGAAAGGGTCATGAAGTACACACCTATTCCAAGGGTTCCCTGCCAGGTAAGTAGCCTGCCCGATTTTGCCATCTGCAGGTACAGAGCCATAGCCCGACTGCCTGTCTGCACGTGGCTTATTTAAGCTCATGATGCGTCAGAGGCGTCTAGGATCAGATGACTACACTAGGCGTTGATGGGAGCTTCGTACATCTTGAGGCTCCTAATGTCCAGCTTATGGAATACAGAAAGAGGACATGCCCTTCAGACACCCCAAGTGGCCTGCAGCAAGAGGTGCACATATGGTCACTAGAAGTGGTATCATCATTATGCATCATGGACGTTTCTCAGTCAAGTACATGTAGGCAGCGGGCAAACAAGTAGATTGAGAAGACTCGAGGATCTAATCCAATGCATTGCCTCCCGCATATCCGCCCCTTTACCCTCACTGCCGAGCGCTGTGTTGTATTATCAAGGCGTGGGGACATGGAGTTAGAGAAGCAGTTATTGGTATCGTAAAATAAGGGGCAGAGTGAAAGGACACAGTTGAAACCTGGCCTTTCTTCTGAATGTGGCCATCTCGTAGATCCTAACAACTTATGCCCTTGTCGGCGCCGCAAGATCGTGTGGGTTTCCCAATCGCTATTTTCTATTCTTGCATAGCTAGCCTTAAGTTGCCTCTCGTGACTTTTGGTCGATTACCGGGCAATGGCAACACTGCCCCAGGTGCCAAGCTTCGGGTTCACGCCCGCGATTCCGCCCAGAAGGAAGTATATCTGCGTCAAGTCGAACTTGTCCGAAAGCATGAGGACCAAGACTCTTGTCATGTATCCCTGGGAGTGTTGATGTTTGCTCCCCGATAAGCCACATCACCATGTAGCTTCGCCCTCCTATTGCGTGATCTGGTACCTCGGGTTTGCCGGCAACGAGACTATGTGCAAAGGCCCTTGCGGCCAGTAGGCAATCTGCGGAAGAGGCTGCTGCGCGGCGATCGGGAAGCCGGGAGGGTGATACGTTTGGGGTCCAAAAGGGTACATCCGGGGCTCTGCCGGTCGCAAGGTCGTCGAGTTGGTGCTCCAATATTCGTTCAGGTACTGATTCTGATATGGGCCCGGGTGCTGGTACTGGACTGGGTATTGGTACTGGACTGGGTATTGGTACTGGATTGGATATTGGTACTGCATCGGTTGCTGGTACTGCGTCGGTTGCGAATACAGCATCGGGTGCTGGTACTGGGTCGGGTACTGGTGCTGGTACGGGTACGAGTACGGGTTGGCGGCGGCACAGTCGTGCGGGCCCTGATAGATGAATGGATGAGGGTGCCTGCCGTCGCAGCGCTCCGGGTTTCGGCGGGAAGAGCGGTACTCCTTGTCTTGGTAGTAGCGCGGCATCGTAAAGACTTGCTGCTTGGAGGTGGTGGAGTATTGACGTGGTGCGCAGCTGCTGCAGATGGCTTCTTTTGAGTGGTCAGACGGGTTGTGATGGTGAGAAGTAAGCGTGGGAAGTAAGCGTGGTGCTTGCAGAAGAAGAGCTGCAGAAACAAAGGAAAGGGAAGCTGTGGTATATGTATGAATTCCTACTGTTGCTGACTCGGAGGCTTTAACTTCATCTGCATTCACCAAGATGCGGTGAGCCACTGGTTACTGGTGACTGGGAACCCGTTTCGCCGAGGTCCCCCATGGTGATGTGGCTTTCTCTCCTTTCATATGTTTCTTTTATGCGTCGACGATGTCTTATGCACCCGGTTTTGTGGTGTATTCGGATGAAAGGTAAGACATCATTATGGCAAGGTGATCCAGACTTTGTTCATTACAGACACGGAGATACTCCCCTACCCTTCTGCGGTCAGGTTATTGTGTAGGTCCCTTTCTTTGCCCGGTAAGTCACACGGTCCCTGTCCATTCACCTACGAGGCAAAGCCCTTACAGAGTTGGCGATATGTCGCTATCGATGCACACTTTACTCTCTTTTCCTTCTCTGAATAATTCTCTTTTTCCGCGCAGTTCACCCAGACTTTAGCGACCTTTCGGGAACCGAAGTATCAAACAGCTTGGAGGTCGAACGTAGTGCCTACTTTGAGATATCCAGAAGCCCCTATACCTCAGTTTCTTCACCAATACTTGGCCGTCGAAGGTCATATCCAGCCCGCTTGGCGTATATACAAGACATCTAAGAGGAACTATTTATACGTATATCCCGAGAGACGAGTACGATGAAGAAGGAGCTACTGCTCAGGATGAGCATTTCCAACATTGTAGCTCAGCGATGGAAGGCACCTCGGCCTTTACTATGCTCGCCGTGGGCCATGAGTAGCGTTGTATCACAAGTATTTCAGGTTGTGCAGTCCATGGTTCGACCTCGAGCAGCGCCTGTTGCAACCAAATTGCTGATAGAAGTTCAATATATTGCAAGATGTCCAGTAAAGCTGTGATAGTTCCGTAGATACAGAGTGCAAAGCCTTCAAACCCTCACACTCACATTTCCCATAAAGCATTCAGATCGCTTGGTCATAGCCCGTGCCGCCATTGCAGTGCCCCTCTGTATGCAGATTGAGCTTCCAAAGCACCACCTGAGTTCATCAGACCGTTATCGCCTCAGTCCCCTAGGTTGCTGAGCAGCCAGGCATTCGCTTTTCTCTAGGCGTAAACGCTTGGATCACGTGTGTGATTGCAGTTCCAAACTTCCTTTTGGTATAGCTTTCCCCAGTCCCGCCCGGAGCAACCCTTTCTGCTCGACGTTCAGAGCAACATACGAGCTACTGTGCAATCCGGCTGTTACCCTCCCACCCGCGACCGCGTCCACTTCCAGGTACGCCAGAACTCACGTGCCTATAGGAACACTGTTTATTATCTCTGTTGAAGCATTGGATACTGACAATCTTTGCATCGACAGACTCTGCATCCTTGCCACTGTGCTGTACCATCATGGCTCATCGACTATACCGTTTCGACGGCCAGGATGAAGACCCTCGATTGTGAGCACACCAACATATCTTTCTTCACCCTCTTGAACAACATGTACACCATGCATTAGTCTTGGGGCATACTAACCAATGTGCACAGGGAGGTCCTGTACCGCAACCTCCGCATCATCGACAATGATATCATAGACAACTCCAAATCGCAGGACGCGCAGGAGACCCGCGCCGAGGAGACCAACGAGAAGATGCGCCAACTTGAGGTATCAGTAGACGAAAGCAACACCCTCGTCCACGCGAACACGGCGGCAGCCAAGGACCATGCGAACAATCTACGAGTTGTCGCGGGAATGGTCGAAGACGCGATGGCCAAGACCAGAGCCATCGAGGAAACGGTCAACAACAGTGCTGCCAGCATCGACGAGCTATCACTGCACGTCGAATCCATGGGCGGGGGAATGGCCCACGTCTCAGCTGAGGTCATGGCTCTCAAGGAAACGACTGCCGACAATGGCAAGATGATGACCGAGCATGGCAAGATGCTGAGCGAGATCCTCTCCCACTTGCGCAGGTAGGTCTTCTCTCCTTCTACTGACACCGTTGGTTGCTCGATACTCAAGCTCCTATTCCTCGGCTATACCAGCTTGATGCATCGCTTACTCTATGGGCTCGGTCTCGGTTGCTAATACGGTACGTACGCAGCAATGCCCAGGGTGGCAACTCATCTACTCATATCCCGCCTACCACGGCCTCGAATGCCAAGAGCGCAGAGGAAGTGCGCAATGAGTTCAAGCAGAAGATGTTGCAAGCGGCTGGTGGCGAGAATGGTAACTCTGCCAACTCTGCACCGGCGGTCGAGGCGAACACCAACAACCAGGGCAATTCTCATCTGCGTGCCATTGACGTGATCAATAAGCATGGAAATTTCCTCCACGATGCTGCAAACACCTATTTCCGCGAGCAAGGCAGAGGAAGTATGAACATCCCGACGCATTTGCCAACTGACAGATTTATCTACTGGTTGCGCGAAGGTGAGTGAGTACCCAAGTCACCTAATAACCAACCCTTCCGCCTGACGCGCAAATAACGACTCAGTATTAACCTTTTGGCTGTCCAGACTACCTCTCGAAGGCCGACTATTCCAGAATCGCGGTACGCGAGCTGTACGCCATCATCTACACTCTGACTTTCCAGGAGAAGGAGAACCTCTTCCGTATGGCCTGGTATGGACCAGCGGCGACATACTTCCAATGAGACTGCTGCCAAGGCTGACTATCCGACCTCTCGAGATGGTCGCCATCGGACTCTTCTGACAAGCTGAGCTTGCCTGTATTGCTGGAGGAATCATATCTTGTGCCTGTCTAGTGGTTCGTGTCTCTTCGAGAGACGACGTCTAGGGAGGACGCTGCCATCGTACATGGAGGGCCACTCAGTGGTGCTCCTGAAGTACTGTTGCAGTGGTACAACCGTCTGCTACTAAGCATGCACTCACCCGTAGGATAGACACGGATAGCCATAGATTCTCACCACGAGGGAATATAGGGAATCCACGAAATGACCAGAAGTACCAACGAAGCATGAACGTGACATTTAAACCCCCTCAATATGTACTCCTTTCCCACTTACCACTCCGCCCCGAGTCCGTCAAGGACGCAGTCATTCTGGCCTCATCGGAGAGCAAGCCCTCTCGGTCCCTAACCCCATGGTCGAAACCTCATTCCCCATGCTTGACCATGTGTTATTTCCAGCAGCACCCTCTTGTACACAATTGGGGTTCTTTGACCATGTATTCTCACGCCCACCGTGTTGCTGGAGGTGCTGTATCATATAAGCGTCTGGGGAGAAGACGCTACCATCGCATACAGAGGCGGCTCCATGGTGGTTGTTAAGTACTGCTGCGAAACGAGTATCATGGTTACTCTAAGCATCACAGCGCAAGGGCGTAAGTCGACATAGTAAACATAATCCAGTTGTTATCATCAATTGCCACTCCGCCTTGCCTCGCATCAATGATATGGGCGGGCAAGAGGAGATTGGGAGGACAGTGACGAATTTGCTAGTAATCAAACTTTCAGACAGCCGAGGATTACACTGGCAAGACAGATTGACAGAGCATAAACTTCATTGATTCGTTTAGTGGCCTGTCAGAGAAAGTGCCTTTCCTATGAACTCCCCATGCCGGAAGACAACCGTAAATGCGGATTGAGGTGGTATCCTTTTTCCATACCCAGCAAAGTCATCTATTCGTCACGGAGCTCAGCAATCTTAGCCTTGACTCTCTCCTCCTTCTCCGCCTTGGTGGACTTGGGTTTCATGTGCTTCTTGGTAATGGCCTTCCATTCTTCCTTGCTCTTCTTGGGGCCCTCGCCGTCGGCCTTCTTGAAGGGGTCCTCGCGGATGGCAGCGTGTGCCTCGGTGTACATCTCCTCAAGACCATCAGCCTCGATATCGTCATCGAGGTACTTCTGGAACTGGGACTTGTATCGCTCCTCATCGTCGTCGGCCAGAGTCTCCATGTACTCAGCAACATGACCAGCGTAGATGTACTTCTTCAGGGTCTCGGCGTCCAGCTCCTTGGACTCCATGTCGTAACCGGGGAATCGGTTCTCGGAGTGAGGGATCAAGATGCCACCATCGGAAGCACCCTTCATGGCGCCGAAGACACGGGCACCAGTAGAGGTACGGGCCAGACCGACGTCGAGAAAGCACTTGAAGGGTCGGCGCTCCTCGCCGTCCTCCTCAGCGGCTTCGGTCAGAGTGTACTCTCCATCGGGCTCCTCGACACCGGTGAAGGTCTCGTCGAGGCCGAGCTTCTTGAGGGCACGGCGGGCGATCAGCAGACCAGTGGAGTAGGCAGCGGCCCAGTTGGTCAGACCATGCTCGATACCGTAGGCGCGGAGCTCGTGGGCGTAGGCGGCGCAGAAGACCTTGTCGCCAGAGATCTCGGAGGTGACGATCTGCATGATGATGTCGCGGTTGGTGAAGCGAACCACCAGGCGGTACTTGGGCGCATTGTACTTGTTCTTGGCCTGGGTGATCAGTCGCTTGCGGGCGTAGTAGTCGGTCTTTCCGGATCTTCTGCGCTTGTACTTGGTCTGGTAGCGACTGCGCCGGGAAGTCAGCAACGAGGACCTCGGTGTCTTTGGACGGGTGGCTCTGGAGTATACTCACCTGTAGTACGCGCTGTTCTTGACTAACTTGTGGAAGACCTGTCAAGAATCCCTCTCGAGTCAGCAATTTGCGCTTCAGAGATGATTCAACATTCCGAAGCATCTTGCATGGACTCTCATGATCAATTGCAGGTTTGCCGTTTCTGGCATTGCAATGATTTGATTTGACAAGGCACCCCGTGATCATCCGTTGTTACTCACCATCTTGACTGATTTGGCTGATTGGCGAAGGGGATCAGCTCGGTGGTCGAAATGTCGTGGTTGAGGAAGGAATAGTGTAGATGCAGAGCCGCACACAAAATGGTGGTTGCTTTAATTTTTCAAAATGTGGGCGGAAATTCGCTTGACCAACCCTGGATTGGGCCGGGGACTCTGGTGGGGTACGAGCGACGCAGCGAGCACCGCGGTGGGCGACGACCTCTCTGCCTCTCGAATCTAAGGACAGGCACAGGGCACAGACCACCTATATCGCTTCAAGTTACAATGGGTCTACATCTCTCAACTCCAAGCCAGCCGAGGCTCCTCGCCTGAATCTGAATCAGTATACTCGTCCGCACCGCTGATTCTTGGGTTTGCGTTATACTCTCCCAAGGTCCTCTGATATAAAGAATACGATGCGTCGATCTAAAACGCGCGAGAGTAATTCCAGATGATAACCAAGATCTCGTGCCGAGTCGAATATCGTCAAGTAGTAGCCCCTGTCGGGACGAGAGACATCTCATCATGGCCGCTCAAAAGCCACCGAAAGTACTCCTCTTCGATATCGGGGGCGTCTGTGTAAGTCAACGAGAGTGCTTGGGATAAAATTGGTGACCATATGTTCCTATCTGTTCTTATTGAGGCCCTTCGTGGTGTCAGTAGATAGTACTCTGTTTTCTCAAACAAGACGGCGATGACTACTACTTGCTGTGCTCCGATGCTAACATAATTATAGGTAGTCTCCCCTTTCCAGTCAATCTTGGACTACGAACTGAGTCTGGGCATCCCGCCAGGCTGGATCAACTACTCCCTCTCCAAGACGGCCCCTGATGGCTTCTGGCACAAGTTAGAGCGGGGCGACATTCCCATGGACGACGCCTTCTTCGCCGGGTTCACAAACGACCTGCACGACCCGGGAAGGTGGACAGCCTTCTACAAGGCCCATCAGGCGAAGAACCCGAAGCTGCCGCGTGATGTTCCTCGTCTACCAAGCTTGGATGCTAAATGGCTCTTCAACGACATGATGACGGCGTCCAACGCCCCAGATCCCTGGATGTACCCAGCGCTGAAGCGACTGAGGGAAAGTGAAAAGTTCATACTCGCTGCAGTCAGCAACACCGTCATCTTCCCGCCCGGCCACGCGCTGCACCGACCCGACTTCTTCAGCGAGCCGATCCGCAGCCTCTTTGACGTCTTCGTCTCATCGGCGCACGTAGGGATGAGGAAGCCGGATCCTAGGATATACGAGTACACCCTCAGGGAGGTGGACAAGTATGCAAAGGATCATGCCGACGATGACAAGGGACGACGGCTAGGGTGGGAAGCTGGTGTTGGTGTGAAGCCTGATGAGATTGTGTTCCTGGACGACATTGGTGAGAATCTGAAGGGCGGAAAGAAGATTGGGTTCCGTACGATCAAAGTACCCCTGGGCAAGGCGTACGAGGCTGTGGACGAGCTGGAGGCCATCACTGGCCTTAAGCTGGCTGGCGATCACCCCCGTGTACCTATCGAGCCTAAGATTGGCAGTACAAAGGCCAAGATATAGACGACGTATTGATTATGAGGGTGACCTACATACCTCCGTTTCGAAGAGCAGTACGATATAGCGGACCGTTTCTCAAGCAGAAGAAAAACAACGTGGAATTTGTTCTCCCCTCACTCGGACTGATCAGCCTTAAGCCGGCGTACCAAGCAGAATCAGATAAAGGCTTTCCAAACTTCCACCGCAATAGCCTCCACCTCCTTCCTAAACATGCTTCTCGACATCTCCACATCCTGGCCTTCCCACAGCCACTTCACGGACGCCGCATTGACAAATGCAGTCAGTTGCTCATCCAGAATATCAGGCTCGGCCCCCAGGCGAAATCGCCGGACCTCGCAACCAGCTTCAAGGTCTCAACCGTCACCAACTCATAGCCCTCCGCTTCTAGCTTCTAAGATATGCCGGAAGGAGTCTTCATTCTTGACCCATAGCCGGTTGTATGGTCACTTAATACCGAACGATCGCGCAACCCCCTCAATAGCTACGCCCAGCACGAGATGCCGCTCAGGCATGATGTCGACAGTGAGCCTGCCGCCAGCCTCTGCCTCACCAGTGCCAGCCAGTGCTTCAGCCACTTCTTCCAGGTATTGACAACCCAGCCGCGGCCGGGTTCTTGAATAGTACGAACGCACAACTCCAGACTAGCGGCACATCGAGTCGTTAGACCAAGACGAGTAGGAGCTGGTAGATTATAGACCACGGTTATGCTCAATGCCCAATTACGAACTTCACCTTTCGACAAGACCATTTGGCTTCTTCCACCTCTGGGCCCGCCTCCTATTCCCGATGGCAACGACGGGCTCTCGTCGAGGCCTCGATTCGAGGCCGCCGGCGCAATTCGGCTGGCTTCGGGGGATGCCCCGCTATAACCTCTTGCGGGGCCCCCTTATCGTAGGGCATCGCCGTATTCCAGCCCCGAAACCGCTCTGAGTTGAATCGGAAGCAGATAAAGTCGACAATAGCAATCATGACTTGAGTCACTGGCTTTTAGATCAACAGCAAACCACGACGAAACAGGTTCAGAAACAGGAGCTCCAGTGTTGCATCCGCTCCCACCTCAACCTCACAACCACGATGGCCTCTACCGACCCCGGCACGGCCGCCGCCCTGATCCCGAGCCTCTTCCCGGAGCGCAAGCCGATGACGCCGGAGCAGATCGCAGCAGGCGTGCAGGCAGCACTGACGGTGCAGCGCCGGGCCGTGACGTTCGGCAAGCGACCGTTCGCCGGCGCGCTGGTGGGACCGGACAACGAGACGGTACTACTCACACACCAGTCGATCGACCAGGTGAACCATGCCGAGAGCTCGCTTGCTCGGCTGGCGTATTCACATTATACGAAGGAGTTCCTCTGGCAGTGTACCCTGTTCAGCACGTGGGAGCCGTGCGGCATGTGCACGGCCACAATCTACGTAAGTCTGGTCCATTGGAAGTCGGACCCTCTACTTCGCCCAGCCGCAGCGTCGTACGGCCCCCAACCGGTCGGGCCCTGGTTCCGTGAGAGGAGGTGGTCGTGACGGGCATATGCTGATTTGCAGCACAGTGGGCGCATATCGGACGGATCGTGTTCGCGGGCAGCAACGATCAACTGTACGAATTGACCGGCCCGGGTAACAAGGAGAATTTCACCATGGATTGGCACACCAAGGACTTCCTGAAGGGGTGCCCGCAGAAGGATGTCGAGGTCATCGGGCCACTGGAGGCGGAGGGTAAGGTGGTGATGGAGGAGAGTGACAAGTACTGGAGCAAGACGAGGATTGCGAGTCGATGAGGATCTTTCTCTAGGACTTTCTCAAGCATGGAATGGCGTGAACAGAGAAACACAGTAATGTTCGATTTCTGATCGTGATTCCTGCATGTCATTTGTCAACTTGCCTCGCTTGGTTGAATGGTACTCCAACGTGCTGCTGCTGCGTCTGCAGATTCTGGGCACATGTCTCAACCACACCCTGGAAGTGCCTAATAAAGGGAAAGTGGGCAATCTGCAATCAAGACCACCGTGGATTATCGACAGAGACATGAACCTGCTGCGTTTGGGGCAGGCCTCGTCATTCTGAAGGTGATTGAATTTCAGCTCGTGAATATGTCATCATCTGCCCGCTCAAGAGAAGTCTCTCAACGGCGTCGTGCTTTAGTAGCAGATGTTCCCACCAATTTATACAACGATGGAGCTTGCCCGTAGAAATACCGCAGCAGGATCGGATTCAATCGTGGAACCGGGTTGTGGCATTGTCCACGGGGTTAATGACCAGTCCGCCTGTCTGTCATCCCATCGTTGGGGCAGAAAAGGCCGTCTTTGGTGGCTCATGCTAATTCCTCAACGTGGTCCAACATGAAATAGCGCATTCAATGTTGACATGTTGAGCCATACAACAACTTTAATGTTCTGTAAACTTTATTAGGCAAGTATGCCCTTTCATGATGTGCAGCTTTTGAAAGCAGTCGCGGGTCTCATCAATTAAGGTACGTCGGGAGCTGGCGAGGCGTGATTTGGCCCGTGCTCACGCGTGGAACTTGATGGGGAAGCGGATGCATCCATCCATGCGACTGCCTCGATGTCAGATGTCCACTTGGTCGCTTGTTCCTTCCTCCCTGCCATTGTCAGCCCCAGCATTCAGGTACAGTTGGAGTTTGGAGGTTGGCCGGATTTGCTTGACTTGACTTCAGCTTCAATTGACTCGGCTCGTGTTTGCTCGTCATCTCCCTCCCTACCTACCTACTTTATCTTCTACTGGGTGCTTACATTGGATGGCTGAAGTCCCCCCTAACGGCTAAAAGCGAAACATAATCGAAAGACCTGAATCATCCCGACTCTTACGACCTTTCCATCTCCCTTCACGCCAATCAGCCTTTGGCCCAACGAGGAACGACCAGCGTAGAATGATGCGCCATCATTCCTCGTCCCATGTTCTCGTCAAAGGGCGGGCTCTGGGTGCCCCACTGGCGCAAGACGCTTTCGTTCGTCCTCGTACTCATACCAGCTTCGCTCTACCTCTATGACACCTACCACACTGCTCGCCAACGCGATGCCGTCAAGGCAAGCTCGCACCAAAAGATCAATTTTAACCAGTCAACCGTCGACGACTACCCCACCGTAAACCTCGTCGTTGCCTCGCTTCTCAAGGACGACATCTCGTGGACCCAAAATGTACCCATTCCTAACCTCAACATCATCCGCTACGTCAGCGACTACCTCGACGCCGAATTCCACCCGCCCGTCGCCAAGAAAGGCCGCGAAGCTCTCATATATCACACATACATGCACGACTTCTACGACGATCTCCCGGACATTTCCATCATGATCCACGCAGACGAGACTTCATGGCACGTCGAGGACGTGCTCAATGCGTCCATGACGTTCGCCCTGTCGCACTTGGATCTGGATCAAGTTCTTGAGAGACAGTATTTCAATTTGCGCGTCAGCTGGGAAGGTGCTTGTCCGGATTGGATCAATACTACCTTTCTGGACGAGCAGGATGACGTACACAAATTAGAGGAACCCTATATGCACGAGGCTTTCAGCGAGAACTTCGCCACCAACAAGGTCCCGGAGATCTTGGGAGGCCCGTGCTGTTCCCAGTTCGCAGTCACGAAAGATGCCGTGAAGCGACACCCGCAATCGCAATACCGACAGAACATGGACTGGCTGGTGCAGACTGACTGGAACGACTACATTGCGGGCAGGGTTTGGGAGCACATGTGGCCGTTCCTCTTCAGGGGCGAAGCCGTCGACTGCGCCATCGAATGGAAGGCATACTGCAGGATGTACCACATTTGCTTCAACGTGAGGAGCAGAGAGCTGGTCGACAGCATGGCCAAGGAAAAGAAAGAGCTCGAAGCTAAAATCCACATCCTGAAAGAGGTCTTGGATCCTCAGGGAGGTCTGGCGGCCAGGAAGCGCATGGAAGAGATCGCCGTCACCCTACAAATCGAGCTTGAAAGAGCGCTAGAGAGAGGCCGAAACCAGACATTACGGATGGAAATCCTCTCAGATCTCGACACCAGTTGATATGGACATGTGCTTTTTGGAAGGCCATTTGCTTTATACGAAAGATACCCTAATGATAAGAGAATTATCTAAGACGGACGCTTCGAAAACTGCGGCAGGACAGTGTTTGTTTACTACCTCCCGGTTCCGCCTCTGGACATTGGCTGGCTAGTGCGCCATCGACTCCGTGGCCCGATCTTACACGCGTCTGCCGTTTGAGATAGCTGAATGGTGATGAGGCTTGATATATTTAGACTGGCCAAGCAACGTGTAGGGTCAGAGGGCTGGGGTATACTTCTTATGTACATCCTTCCTTGTTGTGTTATAGGGAGAAGTTGGTCATGCCTCTTTCCCTGCTCTTCGACCACTGCCGAGACGTGGATGACCTTGCTCACCTCAGCATGGCTGCCAGCAGATGACAAAGATTACAAGAAAGGCAGTCGTCGAAGAGCAGTACTTCTCACTCATGGGAAATCGCATAACCAGCCCACGATCTTCCAGATTGGCTGGTATGACCAAGGTGTTATCCATGCTCCCGAGATCCTTGGGGCAGGATTCAATTGTTGTGCCCAATGAATAATATCAAGGTTTTATGGGAAGGGACGTCTTCTGCAAAACAGAAGGGAAGGGCAATTTCACGAACACTTGGAGCGGAGACCAGAATTCTAGTATGCTCCGAGTTCGTTCTGAAAGGGGCCGAAGAGGCCGACTTGCAGACACGGGCGTGTCGAAGATCGTGCGAGAGGGTCGTGAATTACGCCGGGTTGTGTGGCGAGGCCGTCATTTGCGCGATGTGGACAGTGAGGCCCCGGCCTTGCGAGTGAGTTCGATGCCTCTCCTGAAAGACAACCGGGTGCCAGGCCCACCGGAAACCGTGGAGACTCACCATGGACGGAGCCTTCTTGGAGTCTTGGAGGGTTATGGAGGCCATCGTTTAGACACCTGTCGAAAGTCTGCTGTCGATCTTGGTCAGCTGCTGTCGATGCGTCGACCCAATGTTGAGGGGGGCAGCAGTACTCATCTCCATCTTCATTGCCGCTTCTTGGCGGTGGCAATACGTAAGTCCCTGCTGCGGAGAGAGGCAAGTTGCCCAGAAAACGCTGATGTCGCTTCCGGAAGACCAGCAAGCTTGGACTCGTGACGGCCATGAGGGGTGTTAACGGCGTCCGAAGACCACTCTCCACCCTCGTTGCTAGCAACACCTGAATCTCGCTTTCGCGAGAAGAGGTTGCCTTGGCGTCTTACAAATCGAAGAAGTTCAGTCAGCTCCAGGAAGTGGTCGAGCCCGTGGCAGGCAGCCGAGCCTCGGGCTCGAGGAACCATGCCGGGAGACAGTCATGCAGCATCCTTGGAGGCACAGCAGATATAGCTCATGCTTTTCAGGCATGAGCAGCGCGTAGAGATTGGACTGCCGGCGGTCCCGAGGTGCAGCGGCGTCAAGCTCGGCGATATTTTTGCTGCTGGCAGGCTCGGGGGGCCTGTGGTTGGTAAAGGGGGCTTTGGTGATGATTTGGTAATCGGAGAAGGGCTCATGATACGCCGCAACGAGGTGACTCAACATAAAGATGGCGCTGCCGAGGCTCTGACCGCCGTTAACCGCGAAGCAAGGTGGGTACTTAATATGCGTAGGGAGGGGTGAAGAGCACGACGTGAGCCAGCCCCTGCGAATATGCTTCCTGCAAGTACGCTCGCGCAGCGCACGGTAGGATGCTCGATAGATGACTCGCATTCGTTTACTAATAAGCTTCCCTCTAGCACTGCGTGCTGCTGAGTTATCGGAACGCTTCCTATTTGCTGCACCTCACCTCGAGCCTGCAGTCACGAATGCAGTCACGAAAGGACAGTCTGACGGGCTGAGCATTACCAGGACGCCTCTCGGCTTGGTTACCCACGATCTCCGGCCAGTTGGTTCTACCGCTACGCATGCTATGCAGGCTGCGGGACGCCCTCGCTCACCAGACCAGCCGCAGGATTATCGATATTCATGTTCGACATCCATGCGCTCGAATCGGTTGATGTGTGGCTTTGAGGAGCGTTGCTAACACTTGCTATTGGCGGTACAGGCAAACCGCCACGAAATGGTGTGAAGATTTTTACGGTTTCGGGCTTACATAGTTCTGTCACAATGACAGGCACAGGCTGACAAGGCGGCCTGCAAGTGACGCTCTGGTGAACCAATGACTATACCATGGCTCCCGAATAAAAGCTGCCAACCCGAGCGTCTACGCCGCCGCCATGGTCAAATTCGACTTCAGCATGGTTTCTGCGCTCAACCTGCCCGGGTGCTGGATCATCCCAAATACGAACGAGGTGCACGAGACGCCGAAGCTACGTATACTTGTTATCGTGACTTGATATCACCACCTCCGCTCGGATATTGCAATGCAGGCCAGAGCGGGTCGACAAGGTGACGAATACCCCCCGGGTTGGGCATCCCGTGTGGGACCCCAGTCAGGACTAATAAGTCTCGGCCGGGACGGATGCCACTGCACGAATGGGTCACAATATGACGAACCAAGGGCTTGGCGGAACATCAGCTTTCGAAGTTTGGAACTCGGCTTGCCGGATCGCATCAACTTTCCTTGGAGCACATGGACTTTCCTTGGAACAGATCCCTGTCTGCCATACCTCGACTAGGATCAGTGACAGCTCCCTTGACACGCACCGGAGGCTCGGGAGGTCTAGCCCATAACGGGTGCAGAAGTGTCTAACCCGACGCGGGTAGATCCTGCTCTCTCGTGCGATGATTTTGACGACACGGGACGCGGGACGCGGGACCGAAGCTGGTCAACGTCAAGGAAGCGTTATTCAACCGCCGACCTTGCGTGTGTACCTGGCACGAAGTCCCTGCCTCTTTCTCTTACTCTTCTTGCCCTTGTCCTTACCCCCTGTCTCGACTGTCTCATGGTGCTGCAATAGCGCTGCTTCAATACCGTGTTCCACTGCAACAGTGTGACGCAAAGGTGTACTCTACTATCACCGCCACAACCTCGATGTCTGGAGAGCCGGAAGGTGTGGCAGGAAGTCAGACCATACAGGATACGCCTAATCGTAAGCTGCCATGCGGCGAGTCGGTGGGCAGAGAGCCGTCCTCGCACCGCGCACAACGGCTCAATTCCGCGTTGCTGCAATGGGATAGACGCCAAGACAGCTTTGTCCTCCAACATTCGACCGGTCGCCAAGCCTTTGGGCTGGGTTGCGCCCAACGAACGTTGATTGGAAAACAACATATTGTCTTCCGTGTCACACACGCCAAGCAATGTAATTACTATTCCTATCTACTCTCATGCACGTCCCGCTACTTGTCAGCCATCAGTGCGGTAGAAGGGCCTGGAGGATAGGGGGTCAACGTGGCTTGGCTGCAGGGTCCATACTACCACTGCACTTCAGGGGCCTGTGGGAGGACGACGAGGCTTGCGCGTCCTCTCTAATAAACTGCCCTATCAGTACCTGCATTATGCATAGCGGCAGATCCTATGCGATGCCAGACGAATCGGCTGCCGCGACGACTGCTTGCCTTACCGATAGTGGAGACCGCCGCAACCCGGCTGCGTTACTACCCTGCCCACGTACCGCGCTCGGTAATAATGAATTCTCTTCATAAAATGTGCAATGAAGGCTCCTGTGCTGGCACTTGAATCATTGTAGCGGCGATTATGGGTGGCCTGGTCGGTACCTGACCAGGGATTTTTTCCTTTGCCTGATACCGCAGTACATACTCGGCGCTTGAGCCGCATTGTGCGAAACTCTTGAGCATCAGGGAAGGCTCCCGAACCCGTACTTACTTCCCTAGGGACTCCAAGGCACCTATTTTTATACAGTCATCAGTACCCACGCTGTCACTCGTCCGCTAAACGATTTGCCTGTGGGAGGATCACCATGCCGAACTTTGGTAGCGAATGCAGTGCAGGCACGTTCACCACCGGCTGTCACATCATTTAAACGAGCATGTACTCGAAGCGGAACTTTTCTTACTATGAGCATTGCGTCGCGGAGATCGAGGCTCCCGACGTTTTCGGCATCAACAGCGTCCCCCGAGCATATCGTGTGGGAAGCTGAGGTATGCCGCCCCATGTTAGCCTACGGCACATGCCACATGGTCCAAGGACATTTCTTGCATTTCTTGTTATCCTCAAGGACCCTAATTCTTTCAGCTGCCTCGGATATCTGAAGCGGGCGTGAGACCGAATGGAATCAAGGCCGGCCGGCGATGCAACCAAAGTGACTTCACCGTGGCTACGACCTCATAGGCATGGGACCGTGAAGCATCCCGGTTCAAATTTTCTCCTCTGGTCAAACTCCAACGGTTTCCATGACGAGCTAGCGTATGTCGATGTCGAGCTGCCGAGAAGGAATGGTGTTCTCACTGTGAGCATCAAGTAGTACAGACCGACTGCAGTCAGCTTCTCTCATGTGTCCTCGAGGAATAAGTGGTTGGATGGATGGATGAGTAAGGTCTGAACAAGCATTTTACCTGTTCCAGGTCAGCAATAGGACCCTTGGACCCTCCTCGAGAATCTCACACTCGCACTTTTCCCATAGGTCGGGCCTGGAGAAGATAAGAAGCTTGTTGGCGCTAGACCCCAATATTCGATGATTAATGTGGCACAACGTCAGGCCACAACCGCAAGCTTGACCAGTCGCCTTGCAAAGGAAATGCAGGTACGCACATGGGATCTCCTAGGATATGCCATCTGCTCCTATGCCCTTGACTCGTGGCTGATGCTGGCTTAGGATATCTGACGCTGGACGGTGCCGCCAACCAACAGACGGACTGATTAAGCAAGAACAGACGGGCGATATCACAACAGCTGGGCCTTGTTGCCATCTTGGTCGAGCGCCTTGAGCGGCTGTAGTACGCGTTCACCTGCTCGTGTCTGCAGAGCCCGTTAGATGTAGCGCTTAAGTAAGGCGAGATTTGGCGAGATTTGGAATACAAATCCTTGCGTACACAGTACATACGCGGCCTTACGATCGTGACATGAATCCGTGCAGTCGGGCGGAGATATCGCCAAACCGGAACGAGTATACTCTTCACGGGCAACACAGCAGCTCATGACAGCCGCTATTGGTCTTGATGAAAGCGTCTCGCCCCTGGCCCAGCTCAGTTCGATGCCATCCCCGAGGGTCACGGCTACTCAGTTTGTGATGCGGTTATTGGAAGATGCTGACAGGTGCGTGCTACAGGATCACGCTCCTAGCGACCTCGGTCAAAGCTGTGATGGAAATGCTTCCAATGCACGAAATGAAAGGGGCCCAGCACGCGCTGTTGACTCCTTCCGGCGATGGCCTCGTACCAATCCTTGACAATATTGCTTCGGAGGGGTCGAGAACTTCTGCAGTCCCCTTGCTTCACACCCTCTAGGCTGTCGGATCTCACGATGCTGGGCGGCGGCTGCTCCTGAATAAGCCCTAGACTTGACGAGGTCGGCATCGCTTGGGCCTGCTTCCCCTTGCATGTGCGTTGTGAACGTTGCAACTTCGGTGGGGATCGTGAAGAAGTGTGTGCCAACCTCACCGTCCGACCTGCCGATGCATACGGACGAGTCTTGCAGATGGTCATCATGAACATCTCTCGCTTGGAGTCATTGGGCGGGATCCCACAAGTCTTGAAGGCGTCGTCGAGTATATAACTACGGCTGTCCTTCCAAATATCGATCCAGAGAACATAGTAAGCATCACTCAGCCTTCCTCGCCTCCTCGACTCCTCGCTTCGACGCACTCTCTTATATTTCACACATTCACTTCTTCGCTCTTGGTTTCGCTACCATCCTTCAACATGCGCACTTCATCCCTTCTTTCCGGCCTGAGTGCCTTGGGCTCTCTGGCTCTCGTTGCTGCCGCCCCCTTTGCGGAGTCCAACGTCCTCAGCAAGAGATGTGACTTCGACTCTGCTGCCTCCCCCGACTGCTGGGGTGACTACTCGCTCTCTACCAACTGGTACGACGATGCACCTGACACGGGTGTCATTCGTGAGTACTGGCTTCAACTCGTCAACACCACGCTTGCTCCCGATGGCGTCGAGCGCATGGTCTTGACCGTCAACGGAACCATTCCCGGGCCTACCATCACGGCTGACTGGGGTGACACTGTCGGTAAGTTGCTGAGGAATATCCGGTTGATCTTGTCTTGTTCATGATCGCTGACGGTCGTGCAGTCGTCCATGTCCACAACGGGCTGCAAGATAACGGCACCAGTATCCACTGGCATGGTATCCGCCAGTTCGGCACGAATGAGGCAGATGGCGTGGCTTCGATCACCCAGTGCCCTGCCGCCCCAGGCGAGGACCTCACATATACGTGGAAGGCTACTCAAGTATATCAGAGATTTACTCGAGCCCCCGTGACTGTACTGACAGCTCGTTAGTATGGAACAACTTGGTACCACAGCCACTTTTCTCTTCAAGCCTGGTGAGCAATATTTCCGTCCACTCGTGCATTCTGCGGCTAACAACTGCAAAGGAACGGAGTCTTTGGCGGCATCATCATCAACGGACCTGCTTCTGCCCCCTATGACGAGGACAAGGGCCTCATCATAATCAACGACTGGTACCACCAGACCTCGGACCAGCTGTACGCGGCGGCTTCAACCTCCGGACCACCCACGCCCGAGAACGGTCTGATCAACGGTCTCAACGTCTACGGCGACGGCGGCAGCCGCTTCGAGACCTCGTTCACCAGCGGGACCTCATACCGTCTGCGCATCGTCAACACTGCCATGGACAACATGTTCAAGTTCACGATCGACAATCACACCATGACGGTCATCTCCTCCGACCTGGTGCCCATCGTGCCCTACGAGACGGACACGATCTTTATCGGCATCGGCCAGCGCTACGACGTCGTCGTCAAGGCCGACCAGGCGGCCGGCAACTACTGGATGCGGTCGATTCCGCAACTGAGCTGCGGTTCCAACGGCATGACGCTCAACATCAAGGCCATCGTCACCTACGACGGCGTAGATGTCGCCGAACCCGAGTCCGAGGCCTGGGATTCTGCCAGCGTTGATGACTGCTTGGACGAGCTGTCGTCGAACCTGGTCCCCTTCGTGGCGCTCGACGCTGGCGACGCCGTGGTCGAGGAGGTGCTGGATATCGGCATCTCGATCGTCAACAGCTTCTTCAAGTGGACCGTTAACTCGAACACCTTCCTGTCGGACTGGGGAACGCCCAGTAAGTAGCCTGGAACCCATTCGCTCAGTTGTCCAACAAACAAGCGAGCAAGCAAGCTAACCGTCCGCCCTCCAGCTCTCCAGAAGGTCATCTCTGACGGCTCGACCTACACGGCTGAAGAGAACATCATCACGCTGAACGAGACCAACAAATGGGTCTACCTCGTCATCGAGTCGCAACTCGGTCTCGTAAGTTCTGGCTCCTCCCTATCTAGTCTCCGCACCACTTGAAGCATAGAGAGAGAGAGGCAGAGACAGAGACAGAAACAGTAAAAGGTAGCTGACCAAGCAACACAGACCCACCCCATCCACCTGCATGGCCACGACTTTTTCGTGTTAGGCAAGGAGTCGGGGGCGACATTCACGACGGACGCGTCGCTGAACCTGGTCAACCCGCCGCGGCGCGACGTGGTGATGCTGCCGGCCAGCGGCTACGTGGCCATCGCGTTCGTCAGCGACAACCCGGGCGTGTGGCTGGCGCACTGCCACATCGGCTGGCACACGAGCCAGGGCTTCGCGCTGCAGCTCGTCGAGCGCGCATCCGAGATCGCGGCCACGGTCGACTCGAAGGTCGTGGACGACACTTGCGCGGCGTGGAACGCGTACGCGTCTGCTGGTGCGGTTGTGCAGGAGGACTCGGGGGTCTGATCTGTCTGATCCGTTGACTAAGGTAACTGACTTATCGACTTATCGGGCTCGACAACTGCTTTTCGGAATGGCCTGTTCTGGTTCTCGTTTTAATACGCCTGAACCAACGACTTCTCGACTCTCGTTCATCACACTTTCAAATCCAAAACACAAACTCGTTCATTTGCCTTCTTGTTCGATTCACCCTTTGAGCACTTCTTGCTATACTTCTAATTTCTTGTCATTGTTTGCTACCTCTTACTGTCAAATCTTACTGTCTAATCCTTGGAGATGCGGGAGGTAGGGGAAAAGGGGGGAGAGTTGGGGATGGAGAGGGGGAGTTTGGGTGGAATCTGGCAACACTGGTTCGCAGGCGGAGGGCTTACGATGGATACGAAGTTTCATGAAGATGACGGTGGAAACTATAATTTGCTTGCTTGCTTGCTTGACCCGACGTGGTGGTGATTGGGTTTCCTATAAAAGTCGAACTCCTTCTCTACTTAATAACAAATCTTCTGTCACTCAAAAGTTCCAACTTCAGCACTGAGGTCGTTTGCTTTCGGTCACCACTCACCAGCCACAGCAGCCGGCCGCATACATGGCCGGGCGGCCCGGGCAGCCGGGTCGGTCGAGTCCAGGGTATTGCCGATCCTTCGGCAGCGCGGCGCCGATGTTCAAGGGGGATATTCAAGTTGCCTGCGTCCATGCCCTGTACCCGGACATCGGTGCTATTTGCTATCTCCGAAACATGAACGTAAGGGGATTGGGAATGGGGTGGCGGCTTTGGAGAAGCCGAACGTCCCCGAGCTGCTACTTTCTGTCTTGGCGGATAGTAAGTCATTAACAAGCTTCAGCACTGTCTCTTGGCAGGTTCAAATCTGGGACTTTCGTCGAGGGAGCTTTTAACTGCGTGCCTTCTGGGCGGCGAAGGATTCGAGAGAGGCCACACTTATATATACCGTAGTAAGCTTTGAAGTGTTGGTGGTGTTGTCCTGGTGGGAGTCTGAGCAAGCAGCCAGGCAGCCAGCCTGGTGTCGCTAATAGTCCATCTGACCATATGATATCGTCTTTTCTCCAATCAGCGGGAGTGTGCCACGATGCCTTTACTGTTCCGTACCTAGACGTTGTTCTTCTCTGCCGTGTACGATCTGATCATGTTACCAATATCCACTCTCCCTGGCAGAGGCTGGAAAAAACCATACATAAGGTAGCCACCAGCTACCAGCCACCCCTCCACTAACAATTATTAGTAGGATTCTACTACCTTTAATTCTTAACGCCTTATAATTAAAGAAAAGAAAATTAGACAAATATCAACACGCACATATGCTTATAGAGAATTGCGTGCTCATTTAATTGGTATTAGTACTTAGCGACGCATCGATGTTATGTGCTGAGGCATCTATATTGTAGGCTATGTATGGTTTTCTCCAACCTCTGCCAGTCTCCCCAGCCTCCCCAGAGATCCAATTAATAAGAAGTTCTGGAACTTTTATTGTGGGATCCCTAGCGAGCTTAACGTGGCGGAACAACCGCCATCCCCACTTCCCCGCATGTTCGCAGCGTTAGCCCGATTCTTCAACGTCCAGGCGTTCCACCCAAGCGGCCCAAGCTATCACTGAATCGGCTTCGAAACTGGGGACCCCAGATGCCCAATTCACCCGGTAGCCAATGGCTCTTCCTCGTCTCCTCACCAGAGTCATGACCAGTCTGGCCCCATCGTCATCGATAGCACAGTCGGTGTGGTCACATTGCACCAGTTCTGCGCCGTCCCTTGGTACAATCACGCTGGTTTCCATTCCCCGATATACTACTTGGCTTCACCTATGATCTACTCCGTATCTCGGGGTATAGGTACCGTATCGCTAAGGTAACATGTAGTACATGTAAGCATCTACCGGTAGGTCGTGTCTTTCGGGCCTATAACCTGGCGCTGATCGCGCCTCCCTGCTGTCTCACCACGTCGCTGGTATCTCATAAAGCTGGGATGGTCCCCTTCTTTCATTGGTAACGTACTACTTCCCCCTCCGACTTGTAGGTAACCACACACGAGCGTCACCAATCGCCAGCCCGTTCGGACTTTGGGTGAGCACATACAGGCTGAGGACAAGACTGAGCATACACAAGGAAATCAAGACGAGAGCGACAGCAAGACAACATGTCGCGTCCCGCAAGCCAGATCAGCGACGCGGAGCGCGACTCGGCGAACGAAGATGTGCATATGTCCAAAGACCTCAAGGCCTCTTCCAGTGATCTGCCCGGCGTAGCCCACCTCGACCAGGCCCAGGCCCGAGGACTGCGCATCCCCGAGATCCTCGCCAAACTCTCGCCCGCCGAGCGCCTCGAGCTCGAGAGGAAGCTGCGCAAGAAGATCGATTGGCGATTGCTCCCCATGGTCATCCTGATGTGTGCGTGACTCTATTACCCGTTTCTTGGAGTCATTTCCTTCTGTGTTGTGCTCTTTTGCTTTGTTGCGTTTCTGCAGCTTCTGTCACTATGTGAAGCTCATGAGACGCCCCTTTTGGATATGCTAACGTAGCGCTTACTCAGATATTCTGAACTACATCGACCGGTTAGTCACAGCAAGGTGCATCTTCGTATGGACTGTCCTGACACGTCGATAGCAACAACATCGCCGCGGCGAAGCTGGCTGGATTACCCGGTGACTTGCACCTCAAGTCGAGCGAGTTCCAGGTCAGAGACGTGCTCCATCTGCAAGTAGAATGCTAATATGTCTTCAGACGGCCGTCAGCATCCTCTTCGTCGGGTAAGCTGAGTTTTCCGTACTATAAACGAGTTGTTCTGTCTGCTGATGGTCGTGGGTGACAGGTACCTTATGATGCAAATCCCTTCCAATTTGTTCCTGAATAAAATCGGCAAGCCAGCCCTTTACCTGCCAACATGTGTATGTGCTACCTTGAGGACGCGGAGGGACTGCCCCACGTCAAATTGAGACGCTTCAGTATCTGATAACAGGGCTAGATGATCATTTGGGGGATCATTTCTGCAGCAACTGCCGGAGTGAAGGTATGAGATCCGCGTATCCCGCACGAGACAAGCACGAACTCACCAAAGACAGAACTTCGGCGGGCTTATCGCGGTTCGATTCTTCCTGGGTTTCATAGAAGCAGCTTACTTCGTGAGTATGCCAGTCTTAGTACACTCCATCAATATCTGACGCCACTGTAGCCAGGATGCCTCTACTACCTGAGTTGCTGGTACACACGACAAGAGCTGGGTCTTCGCACAGCGATGCTGTATTCCGGAGCCCTCATCTCCGGCGCCTTCTCGGGACTTATCAGCGCTGGGATTACAGCTAACATGGACGGCGCTCAAGGCATCGCTGCATGGCAGTGGCTATTCATAATCGAGGGCGTGATCACCGTGGGAATTGCGTTTGGAGCAAATTTCGTGCTGCCCAACTTTCCTCGCACAACTTCGTGGCTGACTGAGGAGGAGAGAGCCCTGGCTGTCTGGCGACTGGAAGAGGATATTGGTGAAGACGATTGGATAGACAGTAAGCAGCAGACCCTGTGGTATGGGGCGCGACTGGCCTTTGCCGATGTGAAAACCTACGTGCTAGTGAGTTGTACCACTGCGACACTGTCTGGAGGCTACGCTGACTGGGCTGGTGCGGCATAGTTGGTCTTACTCTTCGGCATTGTCGCGAGCGGCTCCGTCACCAACTTCTTCCCGGCTGTGGTGAAGACACTGGGCTACAACAACGTGGACACACTCCTGCTGACCAGCCCTCCATACGTTCTCACCGTCATTGCGTCCGCTATCAACGCCTGGCATGCCGATCGTACCGGCGAGAGGTTCTGGCACATCAGCCTCCCTCTTGTGGTCGCACTGGTAGCGTTCATCATCGCGGCCACGACTACGGCCACTGGCCCCCGGTATCTGTCTATGATGCTCATGGTGAGTAAAGCCTTTTGCGTCTCCCTCTTGTACTTCCACGCCTGGCATATCTGACATGAACAGGTGCCCGGAATTTACTCCAGTTTTGTTGTCGCGCTGGCTTGGATCAGCAACACCCTCCCTCGTCCACCAGCGAAGCGCGCCGCCGCTCTTGCGTTCATCAACGCCGTGTCCAACTCTTCGAGTATCTACGCTAGTTACATGTGAGTCCGAGCAGCCAATACAGAGAGGACACCGTGGGTCTATGGACACAGTGTATCTATCTATCCTCTTGACCGATTAATCACTGACGCTCAGACAGGTATCAAGACAGCATGGCGCCTCGCTACGTCATTGCCATGTCGGTCAACTGCGTGACCACCACCATGGCCATCGTGGCCGCTACGGTCATGTACCTCATGCTCGTCCGGCTGAACAAGAAGCTCGACCAGGGCGTCTTCGTCGAGGGCGCTGTCAATGCCCTGCCGGGAGAGGCGGCTCGTCATGGGTTCAGGTTCAAGGTTTGAGGCGTCATCCGTTCTGCTGTGTGCTCGGGGTCAGTCTCGGGCGGAGACGTAAGGTGGTGCATGTGGGCATGTCATATTGCGTCGAGATTAGTTAGTGCTTGTATCATGGTCGATGTGGTGAGCTACACTTCATATATTGGAATAAGATCAGAAATGTCGGCTGCACTGGGTTAATGATACCATTCACCTCACTCTTTCATGTGAGCTCTCATGCCCAACTCGACCGGCCGATCACTTGCGCAGCTGCGATGGGATACATGACTTCTCTTCCCTTCTCACAAGTTGATCGGCGTCGCCCCCCGCCCCGCCCCCCCCCCCCCCCCCCCGTGCCTGACGGATAGTCCTTGGCTCACTGTTTAGATAGGAGGTAACTCGTCTATCCTTGATGGTGGTCAGCCCACTCTAACAATGCCTGGATTGACTTTCGTCATAATCATTGCCCACCCCACTGCACGTTCCGGGTGAACTTTCCACGGGCGAACAGACGGACTCTTACGCCGCCATCTCGATCCGCCCTGCGCGTCGATTTCTCGACGACGAATAGTCGCCGTCCATCCCTTATTACTTCATCGACCGCCGTTACTGCCCCACCAGTGTCAGTCCGCCTCCATCACGCCCCGTCTGTCCATCTACTCGCCCTAAAGACGAATAAGGGGTCCAATTCAGCCTCAGCCTCAGCACCGAACAGCGGGTCATTCATGCGCTTCTCTGCGCGCTGAGTCGTGCCGTGGACTCCGTCTCTCGTAGCACCGACTTGGCAGCCGAGAGGCTGATGTTGCCCCCCCCCGCCCCGCCCCCGTGTCGTCTGCCACGGCCGTGATGTAGTCGTCCAGTGGGCCGACTGCAGGCGCGCAAGGTAGAAGATGTGCTAGTTTGACGCTGCTGCCTTGCAACCAGGGGTCTATCCTGCCCTCTCGAGAGTAACTGTAGACGCTTTGTGCGTCAGAGTTGTTACGTTTTCGTTTAGGTGCAGTAGTAGTCTAGTAGAGTGGCCTCGGGTCTGCGCTCTGGGATAGCACGGTCTGGTCGGCGACCACGAGGGTCTCTGGCTGTGTTGGTACGTGCCTGGATAATTGGGGGCATCGTGGAGGGTGGAGGCCGCTACAATCAGGGGACATAAGTCTCCGTACAGCCCCATTTCTGGACCCCTGACCTGCTACACCTCACAACTCAATTGAACCACAACACACTCAATTCTAGTCAGAAATTTCTCAAATAAATTGCATTCGATAGCCTGTTCAGTAATGTGTGTACCATCCACCAGCGCGCCTGCATGCGGCGATGCGATCGCGAACAGACTCGATCAGCACGCGTACCTGATCAGGATCGATCTCGGACCACGCCCTCTCAATTAAATCGTGTGCGTACTGGTAACGAGGGATATTGTCCTTCAATTCGGAGAATTCAGGCTCGATAGCACGTATCTGCCTCTTCAGAAGTCGCCAGACGTGCTCGATGGGTTGAGATCGGGGCTGTGAGGAGGCCAGTCGATACAGTGAATCCTGTGCTCTTCTAGCCACTCCGGAACACCTCCTGAGAAGTGAATTTTCGCGTTATCTTGAACAAAAGGATCTCCAGCCTCGTAGAAGGGAAGGAGGCCGTTCTCAAGGACCTGTTTATATGACTCTGCGGATACTCCTCCGCGCGGAGCATCCGGATCGAGTGGGCAGAAGATCAACTTGCCCAGTCCTCCTTCTCCATCGCGTAGCCAGATCTGAGACCACACCATTATCAAAATACGAGGCTTTTCGTGACTCGTGGGGTTCACGAGATCGTAACGGTACCGCTCTGACGAGTATCGGATGACCCAATCGCCTGGATTATCCGATTCATTTTGGACCGTATACTCGTCAGAGAACAGTGCCTTCAAGAGCTCAAGAATACGCTCCGGATGGTCGTAATATTCGGCAAATTCGCGCCTTATCTGAGCCGTCTCCTCGTTCAGCTCGATCCTCTTGGCTGCTCGCCACTTCTCAAGCCCTCTGGCGTGGCAGAGGCGCTTGATAGTCTTCGCGCAGCAGAGAACGCGGGCCTTGTTTCGGATCTTCTGCCACGAGGCCCTGGGGAAGTCCCTTGCTGCCTGAATAACACGGGCGCGTTCGCGAGTGTTCAGAGAACTTGGTCGACCACTTCTGGGAGCAGATTTCGTGGTGGTGGTGGTCTCAAAGCGCTTGACAGTCTCAGTGATGGTGGCAGGGCGCGTGGTTTTGAACGCGTCGGCAACCTCCTTGCGGCTCTGCCCCAGCACTCTCGCCACCACAATCGCAGAGCGAGCATCGCGAGTAAACTTCCCGTTCGGCGCGCGACTGCCGCTCAATTCGTCTCCAAAAGATCGAAATATCATCGTGATTTGCGTTGTTGAGAGAGTGTTGAAGTTGAAGGGTGGTTGACGCGTTGTTTTGATGGTCGGAGATTAGTGGTGGGGTGTACGGAGACTTTTGTCCACCCAGTTTAACACATACCATCTCGAGGTGGTCCCCGACATCTGAAGAAAGGGGGGGTTGCTGAGGGGCCCCCAAGCTTTTGGGGTCCATACTGATATTTGGTGGTACAGGGAGGTCCTGGCGAATCTAATAAGATTACTAGGTAAGTAAGGTCAAGGTGTTGACGGCATTGGAGGAGTGCAGTATCCTGCAGCTGTGGACATGCAGTTTACTGCTTTCTCAAAATTTGTTCTCCAGCTACGGCTGCGAGTGCGAGTGCGAGTCTGAGGCGAGGCCGTCGTTGCTTACGAAGTGATGAAAGCCAAGAGGAATGGTTTGTCGCAGTTGCTTGCGAAATGATGCAAGTCAAGATATGGCTTATCCTCAGGTATTACTCAAACCGCGGCGTCCACCAGCCAAGGCTGCCCAAGATTGACTTCTCCAGATGCTGCCCATGCAAGTGCTGTCAGCGATCGAGTGGTTGTGGTATCGATGATGGAAAGAGGAAGGATCCGTAGGGCTAGGTAAGAACCCGAGTCAGCGCCATCGCCGCGTAGCGCAGAACAATCTCTCAGCTTCAATGCGGCCGTCCGTCATATAATAATTATGAAGCATCTAGACAAGCCTCGGTGTTTGACGATGGCCGCTGGCGGTGTTGGGGTCCCGGATGTTTGGACACTAGACGCTACTAATAAGCGCCAGTTCTGATTTTATAGAGACATCAGACCATATGGAGGAAGTAAGCTTGTTTTTAGTGCGGCTCAAGAGTCAAGACTGGATCAGCCAAGGGGGGTCCCGCCCCATCTAGGGCTGAAGCCTCGACGTGGGCTGAAGCTTCATAGCCATAACGGCTCACGACCGTGTGTAAACCACTTGCGTATAACATCTCGAATATGGTGCATGTTGAGTTCCATACCATAAGTACAGCACATGACGTATCGTACCTGCATGCACACACCGTATCTACATGCATCTATGTTTCTGGTCTCCGGTTACATTGTCCTCTTATACGTTAAGTACTTTGCATGCTGTGGACCTGAGGTTAAGAAGGGACATGAGGTACTCTTGGCGATGGACGGATGTGGGCATCGAGGAAGAAACCCTCCAAGGATCATATCGATGTCGGGAAATACCTTAATGCTAATACAGTGGACTACCTTGGGTCTCTAAGCGCATCCCCAGTGGAACGTACCCGTTTTTTGACCACCCCTTTCTTTCGCTTTCGTTTTCGTGATCATTGGCTGACCCGACCCAAATATAAACGCTGGGCTAGGCCGCACAATGGCCTTGCTATTGCCAATAAGCTCTGTCGAATACGGGTCAGTATTGCAAGCCGCCCACGCAAGCCATCTCTAGCTTGAGCCTCTTGAACTGGACCCGAGAACATGGACCCGAGGACTTGGACAGACCAGTCGAATATATAAGGTCGACAGAGAGACATTTCAGTTCTCATGATCCAGATCATCATCCACCCTCATCAGCAACTCACAGCATCTACCTCCCCCTCTACAACCAGCCTTCTTCACTTCGTCCACTCCAGACAGCCAATCACACACCAACTTCAAGATGAAGACCTCAGCCGTCACCCTGTTCCTCGCCACCGCCGGCTACGTCTCCGCCGCGGCCATCATCACCCCCCGCCAGGATGCGCAGGCCGACTACGACCGGGAGACGGACGACCTGAAGAGCCGCGGCCTCTGCCGCGCCTACAAGGGCGCCGAGCCGAGCTACTCCCACTGGCAAGACTTCTGCGACCCCGTGTGCGCCGGCGCCAAGGGCATCGCCGCGCAGAACGACGGCACCTTCAGCGAAACCTGCGACGCCTCCCAGGCCACCGCCTCGCCCTACTTCCCCGACCCAACCGACGACGGCCTGACCTACACCTTCGGCACGTGCAAGTGCAACATGCCCATCATCAACTGGGCCGGCGACGCCTTCGTGGCGGCCCTGCCTGCCATCGGCCAGGTGACCTGCGCCGTGGTACGTACACACATTACCCCAAAACCCCAAGGGTTCACCTTAGCCATCCCAAAAGCTTCTAATGCTAACATGTTCGGCCAGTGGATCGAGGCAGCCAAATCCGCGGCCGCCATCCTCTCCGGCGTCAACGGCGCCAGCGCCGCCAAGACCGGCCTCCAGACGCTGTGGAAGGTCGCCAAGCTGCTGGCGAAGCAGGGCAAGAAGGCCTCCGACTGGGAGGACTACGTCAAGAAGCACGTCGCGGCCGGCGACGCCTGCGACCAGCTCGACATCGGCAAGCTGTGGGACGATGCTCAGCAGCTCTCTGACGACGTCTTCGCCAACGTTTCTTGAATTCAGGAAGCGAGGTTTGTTGGGTAGATCCCGACTCGCCCGGAACCCCCACATCTGTACATAGCTATGCCGCGAATGGCTGTCACTTCGACATATAGGCTCGCAAGTTGCTGCTCACGAAGTCGCGTAGCTTGCCGACATCACAGCCCACAGAGTTAGTCAAAGCTAGGTGAGGTGATACCTGCGAAAGACGGACTGTAGATCGCGAGGCAAGCAAATTCTTGACACAAGTGGTTGGGCCAGTGAAGCGGCAAGTTGCAAGGTGCTTCTTGAAGCGCTAGTATTCGTATCAAGCTCTATGGAGGACGTGTTAGCAACGGAGGGCTGTGAGCGAAGGGAACCATTACCTTTGCGAACATTTCACCTTGCTTCCTGCTTCTACCGGGAAGAGAGCCTCACCGGGCATGATAGGGAAGACAGGACACCCAGAGCCCAACGCTGGTTGACGCACGTGATGGAGGGTAGCAGCGAGTGAAGATGCAGAGCTCCGAGCTCAGTTGGTCAAGAGCTGATGCCCAGACAGTCCCAGGCCACGGATGAGAAACGGACATCTATTTGGGTCTTGGGTGTGACTGTCCTACGAGGAACACAAGTAGACCATATCGGCTATACAGATGACTGATGGCCGGCCACCAAGAAGCGAACGCCCAGCCAGACGGCCCCAGTGGCGAGTAGCTAGGGGAGCATCGCCGACTAGCATTCAAGATGGAGTTCTGGGCGGGTCCACTTCCACACATTGTAGATTTTAAGCAAGCCGCGGTACGCGCTGAAACTAAGAGCCGGACTAGGAGAAAGATGGGATGGTTGACAAACTAAGCGAAGTGTCAAATAACGACACTGCCGATGATCGTGGGCCGGCAACCCATCACCTTTACTGTGTAAAAAGAAAACGGCAAAAGTAACGACATCTCTATGGAAATCATGACCGCAGCAACATGTGATGAGTTGCTCTGCGGCAAGAGCAGAGCCAGTCAACCTACCGCGACCAGTCCGCCAAGAGACACAGCCGACATGACAGGGTCTGAAGATGTGATCTGCTGTGCGATGTCCATCCGTCTGCAAGCAACAGAATAGCCACTCAGGCCAACGGGGAGGTGGCTAACCATGTTCACCTGAAGGAGACCACGCCATACCCGAACCAGCCGGGTTCACAATGCGATTGATGGCCAGATGGGAAGTGGCGATATTCAGGGTGATGCTGATTCGACAATGGGCAGCATCGACATCCTGCAGCATGGCCATACACGATGCGGAATGCCTCCATGTGGGAAGCGTATGGAAAAGAGGGGTCCCTGAAAAGAGGGGGCGAGCTAGTAATCAGGGGTCCTCGGAGCCAAGCGAAGTCGTTTCGAAACATGATCATCCGGGAGTCCCAAAGACGCGGTATCCCCAGGTGCCGGTGGGTCGGTGTGATCTGTTGACTTCCAGTCGACGAGGTGACGCGCGAAACGAGTGCTCCAGGGAACATCGAATTCCTCCGTCAAGGCGCGTGGCAGAGCATTTCTCCCATCATCCATCATATCCACCAGGGTATTCCAACTTGCTTCGATCTGCCATCTCTGGGTTGTGACAGATAGTTGGGGAGGTTTCCAGATCATAGCCAGGTAGAGTGTTGGTATTTCCATTGCCAACCGTCGTCCGGGAGTATAGAGTCCCAGAGCCCAATGTTTTGAGGGGAGAGCTTAAGGTTCTTATAAGGATGGAGATCTGGTGGCAGATTCGCGCCTGTTTCGTGTGCGTGTCGCGTGCATTTCTGCAGGTCTGACGCGACTCCACAGCGGCTGCCAGCCACTGGATTTTCGTGCGCTGCAGCTGCCATTGGCTCAGCAAGTTAGCTGATGCTCTAGCGGGCTCGGCACCCCCGCTTCCTCATCCTCTGGGCCCCGGCCTGGACCCCTGCCGACATGCGCTTCTGTCCGCCTCGGTTCGACTCCTCCCTCGTCCTCCCACTGGCTGTGAGAACAAGACCGTGAGACGGTTGCATCTTGGCTGCATCGGCCTGCATCGCTGGCCATGCAAGCGGTCTTCCAGCCGGCCACTCAGCGCGCATATCGCGCTTTCGGTATGCCGGCGCGTCTGTCACTTGTGGCTCTCTGCGCTCCTCTGTCCGCCGACTTGCATGGCGACTTGCAGGTGCGCTATAGTAAGTAGACAGAATGACTCACTCAGTCGCCAACCATTCTCGACAAGTTCGACTCTTCTGAGGTCGAGCGACCATCAAGGGCAGACACTATGCTGCAGAGTGCGGGAGGCGGGACACGAGTGGACGGAAGTGGACAGCAAGGTGATTGTGAATGGGTATAACATGGTCCTCGGTCATTGGGGGCCCCATCGGCCTGCGACCGACTCTCTTTCGTTTCCAAACATCAGTCGAGATACTCAAAACAATCACTCGATCAGTCAATCGCATTGTTTATACTGCAGGTCCCGAGCGACCCAGCGCTTGAACTGCGAATAACCTCACATAAGCGCCCTTCGCCTGCAGTGCCGCTCGTCGATCCCAGATTCACCCGCCTTATTCTGAACCATACTACCACAATACTTGTCAACACATCTTATTGATCCATCTTGTCTATTTTGATGCTGTGAAGGGCTAGTCAGATTCAAACACGCCGCATTGGGATATACGCGCCCAGGTCTTCGGACAAGCACCACACACCCCCACGAAACCCTGCCTCAGCGATATGCGAAAGCTATGGCAACAGGACCGCAAGCATTCTTCTGCCTGTGGCAGGACGGTCGGATCCGTGACACGCTCTTCGAACTACTACCAAAGGAGGATATATGCAATGTGCGACTCGCATCTTCAGCATGCTGCAACCTCGTTACCAAACGCCTGTTCTTGCGAACCAATGTGACCTTCACAGCCAACACCTTCACACGACAAAGCCGGATACAGGCCTTGTCGAGAATAGGTCACCACATACATCACCTCACTTTCAACTTTCCACACACAGATGCCACATTCTTACCGCCGCTCATCCACCCCGAGAGCGGGCGTGAGATCAGCTTCTTGTATACGCCTCACACCTCCATGGCCTCGGTATTGGAGAGGCCCAAATTCGCCAACACGGGGCTTGGTGAGATCCTCACAGCACAGTACCCGCCTCTGTTCCACGCGGCTTCAAACGTGCCTTCCTTCATCAATGCGATGAAACACATTCCGAATATGAGGCATCTGACCATCAAGACCCCTGGTCAGGCTCCCAAGGAACGGTATCGGAGAGACATTGTTGACTACGCTCTCATCAGCCTTCGGATATCCATGGAAAGGGCGCCGATGAAGAAGCTCACAAAGCTGACTCTGTCGTCTGTTCATCCGTCGGCGTTCATCTACCTGCGCCACGTGAGCGGCTTCGGATGCCTGCCATCAGCAGGGCGGCGGTGGAAACAGATCCGGAAGATGCACATCACCGCCGAGTCTTGGGACTTCTACGGGCCATCACCGGGTCTCGACCACCTCAAGATGATCGAAGACTACATCTGCAACTTCTCGACCAGCCTGGAGAAGTTGACGTTTACCTGGCTTGGTCGCAAAGGACCCTGCCCCATCGCACTCGCAGCTGACCCCCTATTCGCGCCGCCGCGCAGCTCGCAGAAGCTTTTCCACGAGGTCACATCACCCATGTCGCCATTGCCACCAGCGCCGGCCAGGAAGCCTGTCGTCTTCCAGAAGCTGCGGTTCCTAGCCGTGCGTAATGCAGTTATGAGAGCACCGCAGGTGGCTGATCTAGTCGCCTCGCATCAACATAGCGTGCGCGAGTTCGACTTTGAGAACACGTTTCTCCTCGATGACGGCAGCTGGGATGACGCACTGGCGCCATTGATGGACAACGGCTCTCACAGCGGCTACTGGTCTCGGCACTCGACTGCCACTATCACCGAGGAGGTCGCCGACATCCAACCCGAGTACTTATCGGAGGACTTGCCAGAGCCTTCGCCAGCTGTCGAGGCAGTCTCGCAAGAGCTGTGCAACATTGACCTGGACGACGATGACGAAGAGCTCGAGATCGAAGTCGAGGAGGAGCAGGAAGACGAGGTGGTGCTCGACTTGGACTCAGACGTCGAGGCCGCCCGCATAGCGAGTCTCTCGTTCAGCAACAAGTTCAAGAAGCGGTGCATCACTAAACGACGTCGCAGGCGCAAGCCCGGCCACGAGCACCAGGAGGGACACGAAGAGGAGCGACATCATCGTCGCCAACCCTCCAATGACACCCTCGACGAGTCACGCGATGGACACCATCGCCAGCACCACCACCATCACCGGCACCAGAGATCACTAGACTCCCTAGACGAGCACCCCGCGCCCGTCCGCCCCAACCACAGCCGGCAGCCCTCGAACGACTCGCTCTACCGCCCGCAAGAACATCCCCGCTTCTCCATCGCTTGCCAGTCCTCGCGTCCGCGTTTGTTCGGCGAAGTCGACAGCGTGTACTCGACCGCATCCTCGTCGCACCGCCTGTTCGGCGAAGTGACCAGCCAGCTCTCCGGGTCCGAGCCGGACCTCACGCACTCGCCTACAGACGAGGAGGGCGACTCGCTCATCGACGAGTACTTCCGTCCGCGCACCCCAACGTCTCCTCCCACGCATCACCGCCCGTCGCCAGGCAGAAGCAAGACCGCCCCCACCCCAACTACCATTACCGCTACCACGACGGCGCTCGTCCTGCAGCCCACGGTCTACGACCCCACCGCCGAGCTGTGCTCCGAGATCTCGGCCGTGCAGCGCGACATCGCGGCCGAGGAGAAGCACCGCCTCATCGCCGAGGACCCGGACGTCCAGGTCAGCGCGCTGCGGCGGGCCAAGGAGCTTGTGCTGAGTCGGTTGGGGCGCGAGTTTTGTGGTACCTCGTCCTCTTCTGGCACCAACTCCGGCGTGGTCGGCGGCGTTGGTGGTTTTAAGGGGCACGGTGGCGGTGGCGGAGGGTCGTCGGGGTTCTTGGGCAGTGCGCGGTTCCGCGAGGGCTTGTTTGGGGGGAAGAGCACGCCTGTTGTTAGTGGGACGCCGCACTTGACGACCGGGTCTGTCCAGGACCATCGGAGTATGGATGTGCCGATCTTGTTTAGTCGGGGGTGAGATAGATTTGTAGATGGCTTATGACTTGTAATGACAATTGATGACAACATGAATATCTTTGAATGTTGACTGAATGACTACGCACATACTTTCTTTCGGTTATCTAATCATCTTGCTGTGATCATCGTGTAGTCCCCGTCGGCTATGGCCTCCTGCTTCATGTCGGTAGTGTCTCCTCCTTCAGCGCCTTCATACGCCCTACCTCAAAACAGCTCGCACGGTTACCTATCACCCGGCTAGGGAAAGGGACTGTTGTTATTACCTACCAGTAGGAGGTAGTGTTATGCGGCAGGAGAGGGCGCGGCGAGATTCTATGTACCCAGGAAGGCGGAATACCTTGGTTTGGTCATACGAAGCACCTGGTACCTTACGGTGCAGTTGCAGAGTCGCACCTGGGTCTCGAAACCCGCGCGGCCCCTCCTTCCTTCGAGGGTGTGCCTTCCTGTCTAATGAGGTACCTACTAAATGACAGCGTGAAGGCAGCGAGCTTCTCAACTTTTCGCCTTGGTCTTCAAGCACAGTATTCAATTCTGCTGAATGCTGTATCGCGTGCTAATTTGACACGGCACAAGTCTACTTGAGTACATGTACGTAGGTAGTAGGTATGCACGACGTATATCTTTTATGTAAGTTGGTACTTCGTTTCACGTTTCCATTCGTGTTCTCCCCCCACCCACACCCCCCCCTTTAGCTGGCTGTCAGCTGCCATTAGGTTATGGGCCCCATTGTCCCGTGACCAGCTGGCGTTGCGCCGTGGGAGGACCACTGTATCTCGCATCAGAGGGAACTTAGACCTCGGGACAGTCAGAACTCTGGGACACTTACTTCCCATACATTTCTTTTACGTGCTCCGTGGCGTATTTAGCCTTGTTGTGAGCAATATTAGGTTGTCATCCTTTGGGATCACATGGGATCACATGTAGCTGTCAGAGGTACCTTTCCCACCTATTTAAGTACTAAAGTAGGACGGTATATATCCTTCTTCCCTTCCAATACAGAGCATTCCTCAATTTCACACATAGTTATCCCGTCATTACATCCACCAAACCTAACAGTCTGCCAAGATTGCGAAGTACCCTTGGTCGCAAACGAGTTCAAGATGGTCCCAAACAACCTTCCGTTAGACGCCAAGATGGTATCCCTCCTCGAACTCCCTGTGGAACTCGTCAAAGCGATTGTGGACTTCGTGGACCCTGCCGACAAGCAGACCCTTTTCAACTTGACTCTCGTGTGCACAGCACTCAATTCCCTGGCTACACCGGTCTTGTATGACAGAGTGGTCTTCGACAGCTCGCATTACGGCAACGCAGGCACTGCTCCAGTACCGACCTTTATCCGCTCTGTTCTCTCTTCCCAATATCGAGCTTCACTGGTCAAGTCCTTTGCGATCACGAACAAAGTTTGCGCAAACGCGGAAGGCGCCGGTTCTTTGGATATATTCACGGCCATCTGAGCGGCGTTGGAGCTGGTCATGCGGTGTTGAATAAATGGCTCAAGTGCTTGCCAGACAAGCCCTTCGAATGACCCCCGTACCTCGAACATTTTGCTGAATGTATCGAGCTGCTTGCGGCCCTCTGCCTTCCGAATATCAGGACCTTGGTCTTCGATGGCTCTTTCCAAATGACCTTCTGTCGCCTCCTCCAGAGTGTACAAGAGGAGTTGAAGAATACCAGTAAGAGCGACGAGGGATATACCGGTAGTATCTGGCCTGTTCTAGAAAATGTCTTCATAGAAGGTCAGTAAATTGGACATTCTGCTGCAGGTTCCACAGAGCTGAATTCATAATATAGGTCACAGAGGTGATTACGGCGTACAAACAACGCCCCTTGCTATTTTCGCTCAGATGCCTCGGGTCAAATGTCTGTTTGCGGGTGAGTCGGCGAACTTTTACGACCTATCAGAAGAAGAAGAAGGAGGAGGCTCGCCCTTCCGATCTCTGCACAGCCAAACAGTTCTGGCCTTGAAGCGCTCGCAATACAGCCCTATAGCAAGCTAATCGCTACCATTTGGAGAAACTCCTGAAAGCCCCTAAAGCTCTTAGGATCTTTCGGTATAACATCGGGCATAGGTGGTCAGTTTCCCCCCTCCTCCCCTTTTCATATACTCGCCAGGTCGCGCTGCCCGTCCATCGCAGCATCGCCCAAGCAAGCGGTTGGAATGGTAATTTGCACAAGCAGTTGGCATAATCAGCTTACCCCAGCCGCGATTGACTGAAATAAGTAACCAACCGCTGCTCATTCCACACAACTTTTCTTAACTGCTTGGCCAGGTTATATCAACCAAGCCGGCGCTAATCATGACGCAGCACTCGTACGTCCTTCAGGACGAGATGGCTGCAGGCCTCGCTGCACCACCAGACTCACGCTTTGCAAGAACTGTCGCTGACGCACAACGTAAACAACAAGATGGACCCCATGGCATTCTCCGACTTCACTGCCCTGAAAACACTTGAGATATCGCTGCCGTTCGTATTCGGACACGGAGCGCTCCTGTTTTACGCGTGGGATAGCAGCAGACATCGCGACGCCCCAGACCCGACGGATGCCGACATCGAGGCCACGAAGCGGTACCTGGTGGATATGCTGCCCAGCTCGATAGAGACTGTGCGCTTCGCACACTGTGGCGACATCTGGGCAGCCAGGTGATTGAACCGCTCCCTGATGGAGCTGATGGAATACCGCGATGAGCGTTTCGCTAGTCTAACCACCATTGAGATCCACGCGTATCATTCCGCGCGAAACTCCTGGCTCGCCGAAATGCAACAAAGCGCCGTGGAGGTGAAGGCACGAGGAATTCAACTGAAGGCCATTCATGGGGGTCCTCTTGGAACTGACGACGTCGGGAGCGATCGTCCCACCATTGCTCGACGCGTGTATAACCTTGTGGCGGCTGTAGAATTGGATACCTAGCAAGACCAGGGCAAAGTAGACTTGCTCACTTGGCGCGATAACATCATGGGAACCTCACGATCCCGATATCACTCATCTCTTGGCCTCTATGCACACGTTCCAGTCACAGGCTGCCAGACCTGGTGATTCGATCGCTCTTCACGGAAGCCGGCATACCTCTCTTTTTACAGACAATGGTCTAAGGCGAATACTGCGTCCGAAACCCAAGTCCGATGCCGCACTCCTCTTATCCTCGGGCCGAGAGATTTCTTTCACTTGCCCCATGCCCGCCTCTCGCAGGGCAATAACTTACCATCCCTCCCATACGGCAATGGCATCGGCAATGTGCAGTTTCCGCTCACGTGGTCTAAGACAGTCAGCATGGGTCCTCTCACTCAATCGTCGGGTGTAGAGAGTGATTCCACTGCCGGAGACGCCTTCCCGGGGTGGTTTATCTACCTGCGGTCATCCAAAGTCACCCATCACATGCCAGCAGTAGAGTAGCCCGGGACGAGTGCATGATGTGCCATCTTGCTGTGTCTGATTTCTCTATGGACATTCGTCGCGTAGAAGGCTGGAGTTCCGGGGTGCGCTGACTGTCAAATTGGCTGTTACTCTGCGCTGTTCCGTGCAGGCAAACCTTGCTCTGCGATGGGAGCACCTGCAGTCAACAGGGCAAGTCACTGGATCAAGTTCTGCCAGCTAGTGTCAAAGTCGCTTTTATCTGTACAGATGTTGAGAAGAGAGGGCAGAGTGGAGTTTAGGTGGAATGATGTTACACAGGTGTCAGCTCTCGAACCCCTTTAGCGTTTCGCCCCATAACCGCCTCCGCCAATACTCATCGACCTCATTCATACACCAGCTCAAGGAGTATGATGTGCCAGTGAGCTGCTGTGTGCACACGCTACTTCCTCTGCGCCCTCTCTCTCGGCTCCTCCCAAGCATCCTTCTGTTTCTCTGATGACGTGGACTCAGCAGTGCCACCTTTATATACCTCAGCCAAAGCTGCTTTGATCGCCTCCCAGGCACGACCAGGTTCTTGATCTGCCCCCGTCGCCTCCTCCCGAATGCCATTTTCCTCCGCGTGCTCATCATGGCCTCCAAATTGGGGGGCGGAAGCAGGTTCCTGCCGATCCACACCGATTCCCTCTGGCAGCTCTTGCACTGGAGTCTGCTCGGCGGGAGACGGCCAATTCCATCTCCATTTGCTAGGAGACACTGACAAGGAGAAGTCCTTCTTCCGGGGTCTTACTTCTTGTCGCCATTGTTCAAGTGCCGGATGTGCGGTCATCCCGCGTCTATATTCTTGCTTGGCTCCATGTTTCATTGCCGAGGCGCCGACCCCAGCTGAGGCCATCAGGATGAGACCAGCGACCGGCGATCTTACAGCAAAACGAGCGAGGACCGTCGTCAAGCCCTTTGAGCGTCTAAGCTCGACGAGATCTGACAGTTTCGAGAACACCGCCTTCCTAGCGCGTGGAATACAGAAAATCAGCGGTACAAGGAGATATGAGCACCGTGAGAAATGGTTCGGAATCTTTGGAGTTGTGCTTCATACTGGGCCCCCAAGGGGGTAATGGCATCAACCTCTCTCTGGCTGAGCCGTAGACCGACGGGCACGCTTTGCGAGGCGACCAACCGGAGGACGTTCTTTCGGTACCGCTGTTCAGACCAGAACATCAAGCCCCAAGCCGGTAAGCTGGCCATTTTGTCATCAGGGACTTGCACTCCGGGTGCGAAATATCGCTTCTCGATGGAATCTGCAGTTGCAAGTTCTGGTATCCCAAGGACCAGTAAGTCCTCCAGTACCTCTGAGGGTGATGGTCGGTCGCTGGGTTTCGGCATACTCGAGACGACGATGATGATATATCGGGGTGCGCTGGTTTTATAATGGCGGAAGCGTCAACGTCCCAACGAGTATTCCGGTGAAAGAAAAATGTCATGCTCTTCAGCCCAAGGGAGGTTGCGCCAGCACATCATACCGCCAACACGCGGCGCCCATTCCGCAAGTGGCGTATTGAGACAGCCCCAAGGCTGGGAGGCCTGCCCTGTGGTCACTCGCGTCGCATGTTGCAAACGCAGGCTTCCAGCTCCCCACTACTAAAGAATGGCGATGTAGTCGCCCAGGTATATCAGTACCTCTTTTGCCGCTGATGGCCGTGAAAGTTTCGTCCAGCGCCCTTCAATTTGGTGCCATTCACAGACATACAAGCTAGCAAGTCTCGGATGGGACGAGATGTTTGAAGTTTGACCAGCATCTTCTTCCGTGGACAGCCAAATGTCTCGTACAATATGTCTTGGTTTCGAGGCTTGTGTGGCCGTTCAGCACATTCCTGTGAGACAACGGGCCGCGGCGCAGGCCGGCCCCAGCATAGCCATCCGAAGAGTGCAGCATGACCTTTACCTCATCATTTCGATCTGGGTATATCCTGCGTATTCCATCTTCGTTATGGGTTTTGCGATCCTGTATAGGTATGATTGTAAAGCGGGCTCAAGGGGCTCAGAGATTGGGCCCAGGGAGGGCTCAGAAACGTCACATCTCACACGCCCGGCCACGATTCCAAACATGATCAAGGCTAGACTCTAAAACTGTCAGCTGATCAAAAAACATTGACAGTCTTGGAACATTCGTCCGAAGGTGATTGCTACTCTGTCCGCCTGCGACGGGTCGTCGCGCTGTGCCCGTGGGTGTGTTTGCTGCAGTTAGCCCAGCCACCGGCCGAACGCGCCGTTTCCATCGCACCGCTCGCCAGTCTCGTCGACGTTGAAGCTTGATTGATGCGGCTCCCCTTGAACAATCAAGCTTCCCGACTGGCCCCGTCGCATCACCGCAGCTCTTCAATGTTCACGGTTGCATCGAGCAACCGAGCTATGCGGGGGTGCTCCAAAGAGGCAGTTGATGCAGAACACCAGAAGTTGGCTTCGGGACCTGACGAGCACGCCAGACAGCACGTTCCCGTATGGCTCGATAAGCTACGCGCATCTCTTGGCGAGCCAGACGTGGCAGGCAGCTAATGCGTCATGAATCACTGAATAGGTCGGGACTGTCCCAAGGTTGTTGGTCGGTAAGATACGGTAGGTGTCATGCAGCCGAGAGCTTTATGTATCCTGTGGTGAAGCTTGATTCGGGGGAGCTTCAACCCGGGTACGACCATGGAGGTATAAGAGCCGGCGAGCTCCAAGCTCCAAGATCTGATGTTTCCTCTCAAGCGAGTGAGCAACCTTCCTCTCAGCAGCTGTCGAGGGATTCCCATCAGGTCAAGCACTGGTCATCATGTATACTCCAACACGCATCGTGGCTCGAGCAGCCTTGCTGCTCTTCTCTCTCCAATGTGCCCTCACAACCGCCCGTGCACCGCCTGAGTATCTGGAGAGGCTGCTCAAGAAACAGGTACCAGCTGAACCTACGGGCGTAAAGACGATCACGTCGCCAGGTGGCGCCACGATCAGGTACAAGGAGCCAGAGCTGGAGGGCGTCTGCGAGACCACGCCAGGGGTCAAATCTTACTCTGGTTATGTCGACCTCGACCCAGACACGCACATGTTCTTCTGGTTCTTCGAGGCAAGGACCAAACCTGACGAGGCGCCTCTAACTCTCTGGCTCAATGGAGGGCCTGGGTCCGATTCGATGATCGGCCTGTTTGAAGGTGAGTTGATTATCTCGACATAGACTTGACTACTGTTTGCTCATGTCTTGAAAATAGAACTTGGTCCTTGCAACGTGACGGCAAACGGGACGGCAGTGGTGAACCCTTACGCCTGGAACGAAGTCAGCAACCTCCTGTTCCTCTCCCAGCCCATCGGCGTCGGGTTTTCATACGACGACAAAGTCGTGGGCGTGATCAACGAGACGACCGGCCTACCACAGAACTCATCAACGCCCGATGGCCGCTACAGCGATATCGACCCGTACAAGATCGATACCACGCAGCTGGCCGCAATGGGGACCTGGGAGATCCTGCAGGGCTTCATCGAGAACCTGCCCGTCCTCGACGCCAGCGTCAAGTCGCGGAGCTTCAACCTCTGGACCGAGAGCTACGGCGGCCACTACGGGCCCGCCTTCTACCGGTATTTCTACGAGCAGAACGAGCTCGTCAAGAACGGCACCGTGCCGGGCGTCGAGCTCGAGATGCACACGCTGGGTATTATTAATGGAGTCGTCTCGGGGCGCCTGCAGATGCCGTACTATCCCGAGTTCGCGTACCGGAACACCTACGGCATCGAGGCGGTCAATGAGACCATCTACAACTACATGAAGATGAACTACTACTTCAACAGCGGATGTCGAGATTCTATCGACTACTGCTTCGAGCAGGATCGGTCTACCCCCGATGGCAAGGCTGTCTGCTCGCAGGCCGTGGCGATATGCAGAGGTCTGGTCGAAGGACCATACTAGTAAGTTACCTCTACGTCTTTCATCACCCACCGTCCTTCCCGGGCTGATCCAGAACGCCGCAGTAATGTAAGTGGGCGAAACCCCTACGATATCCGCGCCATGGCCGATGCCGATATCCCACCGGGGCATTGGGTCGACTACCTGAACACGCCCGAGGTGCAGAACGCCCTTGGTGTCGACATCAACTACACTTCCACGAGCAGCAATGCCGTATATATCGGGTTTGACTACACCGGCGACTGGGTGTACCCGGAGTTGATGGAGGACCTGGAGGCTGTTCTGGGTTATGGGGTCCGGGTTGCTTTGATCTATGGAGATGCTGTGAGTCCCGTGCCCCCCTGAGTGATCAGAGGCAAGGTACTGACGGGGGACCTACCAGGACTACATCTGCAACTGGTTTGGCGGAGAAGCCGTCAGTCTGACGCTGAATTACACGCACTCTGCCGAGTTTGCCGCCTCGGGGTACACGCCGTTCGTGGTCGACGACGTAGAGTACGGCGAGGGTCGTCAATACGGCAACTTCAGTTTCACGCGTATTTGTGAGTGAAGCCACGAATCATTGATACCCCTTTTATCGGCCTTGAATACGTTACTGATTTCTGATCTCAAAAAGATGATAGCGGACATGAGATACCGTACTATCAGCCAAAGGCAGCGCTGGAGTTCTTCAGACGGATTTTGGGCGACATGATCATCTCGGATGGAAGCGAGAAGGTGACGCCCACGTATGAGAGCGAGGGCACCGTCAATGCTACGCATACGAATAGCTATACCACGTGGTATACGGGACGCCCTGGGGACTGGAAATAGAGGTCAAGTACGGCCAGTCGCGATGGACGGTTTCTGAGCTCCTTTTCTAGGGCGGCAAGGGACGAGCTTGAAGCCGTAGAACACAGACCCTCGCAATACGAGTATAGGTCCCAGATGAAAACGGAATATACCGATATATCAGTAACGACTTAACGCAATGTAACGGGGAGGTCCTTCTGACGCGATCGACTAAGTAATGACGAACTACCTCCTACTCCACGCTCTTCTCCATCTGTTCTTCACGAACCCCGCATGCCCAGCCAACATCTCCCCACGACCTCCACCCACCGGCACCGGCCGGCAGTTGGCGTCACCGCTCCCTACCGCAGACGGCTTGACGATACCTACCTAAGTAGTTATATGCGTGCGGGGTAGCTTGTAAGTTGTTGGAGTTCGTTCTGCCAAGGCGTCGTCGACCTGACTTTCTTCCTGGCAAGCGGGCGCGGGTGGCCCCCGACGACAAGGGGACGCTGAGTCAGTCGAGTCAGTCGAGTCTTTCCCTTGGAACCAGGTAGGCACCGGGACGTACCGGTGTTTATGCCGAGTGGTGATGATCCCGGACAGACACCACCGGCCCGTAGTTCTATAAATGCTCGGCCTCGGTGAGCTATGTCACGAGCTGGGCGAGCTCTGTCCACTCGACCTCACACATCTGTGGGATCTCAAGATGAATTCACTGCTGTCACTCGCGTCCTCTGCACTCTTCTTGCAGGGCGCTTCTGCCCTGGGCTACGGGTTCAATGGATCGGATTCGCAGTTTTACGGCCAGAGCCCGCCTGTGTACCCATCGTGTAAGCTTGCCTTCTATAGGTAGTTTATACTAACGTGGTTTCATAAGTTGCTGACAGTCACTCCTAGCAATTGGCCATGGTACCAGTAATGCACGATGGGTGTCTGCATACCAGCGTGCTACGGCCCTGGCTGACCAGATGACGATAGAGCAGAAAGTCAACATGACCAGAGGCTACACGGGTCAGGATCCCCAAAATTGGAAAATTCCCTGAGAAGGTCCTTTTGGTTTAACTACTTCCACAGGAACCTGCACCGGCAACAGCGGTGCCGTGCCCCGATTCGGCGTACCACCTCTATGCCTTTCCGACGCCCCAGACGGCATCCGGGGGCAGGAATTCGTGTCCGCCTTCCCAGCCGGCATCCACGTAGCCGCGACCTGGGACCGGACCCTCATGTACCAGTACGGCAAGGCCCTGGGGTCCGAATACCGCGGAAAGGGCATCAACGTCGCCCTAGGACCCGTGGCAGGCCCTCTCGGACGCGTAGTCCGCGGGGGCCGCAACTGGGAAGGCCTCAGCAACGATCCCTATCTGGCGGGCGCCGGCATGGGCGAGATCACGCGCGGCATTCAAGATGCGGGTGTCATGGCCACGTCCAAGCACTTCCTCCTCAACGAGCAGGAGTACCGACGGCGGCCGTCTAGTATTGGCGAGGCGTTCAGCTCCAACGTCGGCGACCGCGCCCTGCACGAGTTGTACGTGTTCCCGTTCATGGACGCGTTGCGCGCTGATGCGGCCGCGGTCATGTGCTCGTACCAGCGCGCCAACAACTCGTACAGCTGCCAGAACTCCAAGCTGCTGAACGGGCTGCTGAAGACCGAGCTGGGCTTCGAGGGCTTCGTCGTCAGCGACTGGGGCGCACAGTACACCGGCATCGCATCAGCGAATGCTGGATTGGACCCTCGTCATGCCCGACGGGGGGTACTGGGGCCAAAACCTGACGGACGCCGTGAAGAACGGCTCCGTGAGCGCTGAGCGCGTCACGGACATGGCGACGCGCATCTTGGCCAGTTGGTATTACATGGGCCACGACAACGGCTTCCCGGCGCCGAGCATCTACCCCGGGACGACCAAGCACGAGCCCGTCGACGTGCAAGCCGACCACGCGGCCCTCATCCGCGAGATCGGCGCCGCCAGCACCGTCCTAGTCAAGAACGTGAACAACACGCTCCCGCTGCAGCGCCCGACCTTCCTGTGCGTTTACGGGTACGACGCCACGGTCCCGTCGATGCCGTGGCAGGACGCATCGCGGTACGGCGGCGGGTACGCCGTCAACTTCGGCTGGCAGACCTTCGCGGGCACGCTGATCACGGGCGGCGGCTCGGGCAGCAACGCGCCGCCCTACGTCGTCAGCCCCTTCCAGGCGATTCAGGAGCGGCTGCGCCAGGATCGCGGGATCGTGCGTGGGACTTCGAGTCGGAGAACCCGACGTATACGCCCTATGTGAACGCGGATGCTTGTCTTGTGTTCATCAATGCGTATGCGTCGGAGAGCTTTGATCGGCTGAGCTTGACGGACGAGTCGAGTGATCGGCTGGTTGGTAATGTGGCGGCGAATTGCTCGAATACTGTTGTTGTTATTCATTCGACTGGTAAGCACCCCCCCTTTTTATCTGTTCATCTGATACTCTTGTTGTTCGCTGATAGAGGTACTAGGTATCCGCAACGTCGACGCCTGGATCGACAACCCCAACATCACAGCCGTCCTCTACGCCGGCCTACCCGGCCAAGAGAGCGGCAACAGCCTAGCCGACGTGCTCTGGGGCGACGTGAGCCCCAGCGGCAAACTGCCCTACACAGTCGCGAAGGAAGAGGCAGACTACGGCGCCGTGCTGAGCTCCAGCTTGTCCTTCGACCAGTTTCCCCAGGACGACTTCACCGAGGGTCTATTCATCGACTGCCGGGCCTTCGACCGAGACGAGATCGAGCCGCGCTTCGAGTTCGGGTTCGGACTGACCTACACGACATTCGAGTATGCCAAGTTGAACGTCCAGATGGACATGGGAGCCAACACGGATCCCCTTCCCGACCCGGAGGTGGCAGTGATCTCCGGCGGACACCCGGCGCTCTGGGAGACCGTGGCAACGGTCACATGCGCGCTGTCCAACACCGGCCGCGTGACCGCCTCGGAGGTGGCCCAGCTGTACCTCGGGATCCCGAGCAGCGCCGAGTTCGACACGCCGGCCCGCCAACTGCGAGGCTTCCAGCGCACGCCCGTTCGGCCGGGCGAGACGCGGACGGTGTCGTTCGCGCTGACGAGGCGGGATCTGAGTGTGTGGGATACGACAGTGGCGCAGTGGAGGCTGCAGGCGGGCACGTACAAGATCCATGTCGGGGCCAGCAGTCAGGATCTGCGGCTCGAGGGGAATCTGGAGATTTCTTCTTCATGAGACGATGAGTAGATACTCTGCGTCCCTCGTCTATTCCACGGGGTGGAAAGCATACTATGACGACCATTACGACATAATTTACGAAGATAGATAACCATGATGACTCACGAACAAACGAACGAATCAGTAGATACTCTCGATTGTCTTGATTCAGAAGGTTGGCGCGTCTGGCCCGCCAGTATTATTAGCCAGGTGACTATTACAAGATGGAATATACTCCCGGTTATACCCCAACCGACCATTCAGTCAGTCCCTTCTAGAAGCAAAAACACAACACCTTGGATGCCCGCCAGTTCCCGCCCCTTTCTCATGCAGCCTTGGTTGTTCATGGTCTACCGTACATGACTCCATTCTACAATGCAGTACACCTCCTCTTCATCTTCCTAGCAACAGCCTTGCTGAAATATTCTGGCACCTCCCACAGCCAGAGCGATGCTTTACACGTCCCAGCCCAGGAAGGACGGACAGAACACGGTACAAAGGAAAAGAATGCAAAAAAATAGTACAGTAAAGGGGCAGCATGGCCCCCATTCCCCCAGCGATCTCCAACTGGTCATCAGAGTAAGGCAGACCAACATACCTACCTCCAGAGTAGGGAAATGAAGACCAGACAGGGTAATGAAGACCAGCGTGGGTCACGCAAGGTCAGTCAGCACAGCCCATGCCAGCTCACATCACATAACAAACCCCTCCTCAACAAGCCTATCAATATCCCCGCCCGCAGCCTGCACAGCCTTAAGCGCCGCCTCGCTCATCCGCCTCCTCTTCTCTAGCGCCTCCTTCTCGCGGCGCGCCTTGGTCTTGGACGACCCGCTCGGTGCCACCCCCGTCATCAGCACGTTCTTGTCCGACGGGGTGAAGTTGACAAAATCTATACCCCCACCGCTTCTGCTTACGTTCATGCTCATCCCGCTCATGTTCATCCCGCTAATGTCGGTCCCTCCGCCTGCTGCTCCGTTGTTAAGGGACCCAAAACTGGTTGATGTAGACGAGGTCGGCGTCCGCGGTTCCCGCCTGCACCACGATCGTCGCTTGCGCACGGATATCGAGTGGCTGCGCTGCTGCTGTGGGTGCGAACCGGAGGACCCAGACAAAGCCCGCGCCCGATGCGGCGGCGTCGGCGACGTCGATTCCTCCCGCAGGTACGGCCGGCTGCCGCTGTGGTGCAGCTTGCGCGGCGAGGTCAGGGAGCAGTGGTGGCGGGCGCCCGAGGACGGGGCGCGCGGGCGGGGGCGGCGCTGTTCGCTGTGGCCGCCGTTGTGGCCGTTGTAGCCATTATGGTGGGACTGATGTTGCGGGGGAGGAGGCGCGAGCGAGAAGCTTGACGCCCGCGCTGAGAGCGTGTCGTTGAGACTGGCGCTTAGCACGGCGGCTTGCGGGGGCTGCGGTTGGGGCATGTGGATCATGAGGCCGGAGAGCTCTGGGTTGGTGTTGGCGTTGTTGGTGGTGGTGCTGAACTCGTAGGGCAGGTCGGCGTGCTGCTGCTGCTGGGTGTGGAGCGAAAGGTTGAGGGCGGGGTTCTTGTTGGTGCCGTTACTGTTGTTGGTTTGCTCGTGGCTGTAGTGGTGGTTATGGTCCGACGAGAGGGCCGGCTCGCCGTTGATACCGGCGGTATTGGCGTCCCACCAGCCCGGACTCGCCATGAGGCCGCGGTCGGGGATGTACGCCGCCGACGAGGACGACGAGGACCACAGGTTGGCAGCATCGTCGCCGTAGTTGCCGTCGAGCAGGCCCTCCATGGGCCACTCGGCCGAACTGGCGCTCCGCTGCGCCTTCGGCTGCTGTTGTCGATGGGGGTTTGTGTTCAGCTCCAGGGACGCCATGGGATGTTGATAGAATGAGTCCCCGTTGAGTACCGGTGTGCTCATGGGCGTGTCGACGTTGTGGTTCTTGGCCGGGTTGATAACTGTGGATGGTGCCAGCATGCCCTCGCCAAAGGGGTCGTCGAGGTGGCCGCTCACGAAGCGCATGCTATCGGAGTGGTGGTCATTGGGGATCCTACCCGTCAATGGCGGTGACTGGGGCAGCCCGCTGTTATCAATTGGCTCTTGCTTCACCTCCCCCAACAAGTCCCTGGTGTAATCATTGATATCGGAGCTTCCAAATTCGTGATGTGGTCCCATATCACCCTTAAACGCATCCATCGCCGTTATATTCGTCTGACCCGATCGTCGCGGCTTTGAGCGGTGGGTGGCACGCCGTATCGTTGCATACACCGATTCGACGAACCGACTATGTTTGCGTGGACTCAAGGATTCCGTGTTATCGAAAGGTGGACTCGATGGTGCTGTGAGTGTCCCTTTGGGCGACTTCAACGAGATCCCCTCGAGGCGGAGGAGCTCCGAGTCGGATATCGAACCAACACTCAATATTGGGTCTGCCGCCAAAGCTGTCAGTACTGCCGGGGTGGAGTTGGGCTGCTCGGCCCTGGTACGGGAAGGTAGCATGAGGAAGTTTGTCTTAGCCGCGCTCTCTCCCTCGGCATTGGAACGCCCAGTGTGCAGGTCCTGGTCATTGGAGGACGAATTGGTCAAGCTGTCGTCGAGGGAGTCGAGAAGAAGGGACGGACTGGGCGGATCCTCGAGAAAGTCGCCGCCCAGTGCTGACGGATCCCCAGAGTCAAAGGTGACGAACTGGTCAAAGAAGTTGTCGCCCGTCACTGCCAGCTCGTCATTGTCCGGCCAGTACGAGAGCTGGTTCTGCTCTTTGTCCATTGGGTAATGCACCGCCGTGAAGGCCATGATGTCGAAGAGGAGCAAAGGAAGAACAATTGTGACTTCAATGCGAGTTGGTTGGAGGGGACCCCCTTGTTGTCCAGGAAAGTGTAAGTAAAAACTCGCCGACGCAGGCTCGAAAGTGAGAAATAGGCCCTTGTATCTAGTATCGGCATGTAAGTCAACAAAACATGAGCAAAGTCTGCCACAGCAACAGCAGCAATGAGACCAATGTGAGCCACGTCGAGGCTGAGAAGGCTAGAGATCGATCATGGCAGGTGCCCGTGGCAACGAGATGAACAATTGCAGGTTGTTCAGAGGAATGTGAATGGAGGCATCGAGCAGCAGTGACCGAACTTCGAGAGGAAGACCATTCCACGGCGGGTCTTCTTTTAAAGGATATCAGCAGCAAAGTAGACCTCCCTCCACGCCGTCAGCAAGAGGCCGAAGCCACCCACTTGGGGGCTTCTGCGCGCCATGTCGAGACGGCCCTCGAAGAAGGGAACAAAGAAGATGCTCAAAGGAAGTAACCACGGCGTTGTTGTCGAGGCCGAGTTATACGGAGGAACCTTGCTCTGCGGCGCACAAACTTCTGCGGGGTGCATCATGTGTGGTAGGGAGACAAAGGAGCCCTGGAATGTAAACTTATCTGACCGAGGAACGGCTGGTATCCCATTTTGGGATTCTCCAACAGGCTGAGACCTTTACCAGCTCCTGGTCTTGCCGACCGTGCGACCGGGAAGCAACGCCACCTTGTGCCTGGCCTAGTAGCATCTATAATTGACAACGTCGAGCCTAGACGGTGGGTTCGAACATGCGGCAACCTCCCTGGATTCTATTGGGGATTAGCAAATGCATGCGTCGTATTCCTCCCACAGACGGGCCTACTCTTCACGTTCCCTACGATCCCACCAGATTGCCCTGGCGCGGCAATCACATCTGGACCTTGGCCTTCGCTCCAGCATGCAGCAGATTCCACATAAAGCGCCTTTGTCGCTAACTACACAATCACTTGATGGATGGCATTCTGAGCACAAAGCACGAATGCCTCGAGGCAACCGACTTCCGAAAACAATAGGAATGAGACGTCAAGCTTTGTGCGCTTCGCAGCGATCGATAGCTCGATTGATGATGCATAGAGCTAGCTTCGATGCGATACATGGTGTGGTAGTGAGGCTGTCCTTTGGTGCGATCGCAGTCCCATCCAATCTTTCGTGGTCATCGCCGATTGGCATCCTGTTGCAGCCTCTCGAGTGGCCAATCAATGCGACCTTCCAATCCCCGTGAAAGACAGCATCTGGAGTGGCGACACTTCTTCCTTCCGGTAACGTTCGCCTTCCAGTTTGCGTCGGGTCCCAAATATAGCTGCTCGCTGCGGCTCAGGTCGAACAAATACAGCCCCGTCTCCGAACTCCAAAGCCAAATGCTGCCGAAACGCCCCAGATGAGCCATATGGTCCTTGGTATCCTCAAATAGGCCGGCCCAAAGTGGTATTGGAATGATCCTGGCCATAGCCCTTCCACCGGAAACGCCCGTTCTCCAGCCCTGGGTATATGCGAAAAGATTCAAGCAACCTATACAAAGAAAACATGGAACAGACAACTGAATTAAACCGTCATTCAAGTCGGGGCCGTCGTCGTAGGCGTTAATCGGTAGTCTTCTTTCGCCGCCGCATACGAACCACGTTCCTCTTCATGTTCTTACAAGCAGCAGCAGCTTCGGATGCTGATCGGTGTCGTTGGAACCCGTATTTACTGATTCCTGCCGGCGCACTCGCATATCGGAGGCCAAGAGTGTCGTGGAGTAGAGCCTCGTGGTCTTGTTCAGAGCATTCCGGGTCGATTTCCAACGCGGGCGTGTTGTTGCGCATGTGATAGATCGGGTTACTGTCGGGTTTGATGTACGTCGTTCGGCATGGTAAATATATCGGTGGTATCGTGGTTGGCGTGGCCGATGCCGGCGCCTGCACGTTGCATTGCACACCGTTTTCAATCATGCCCGTAACAAGACTCAGTGTGCGAAGATTCGAAGCGCTCTTGTTGGGCCTGGTCTCTGTCTGCCGCCGCAGTTTCTTGTGTTCGGGGTGTTTACAGAGAGCAGCGTCCTCCGTTTGAGGCTTTCCGAGCTGTGACTCCGACTCCTGCACCTGTTGTGTTGAGTGGTTGCCGACTCGAGGTTGCGGCGGTTGGCTGCTGTCGACCTGCATGGGCGACTCTGGTATTGGACCCAATGCCGATATAGGCGCTTGGAGTTGTGTCCAAGTCGAGTCCGCACTCTCTACTGGCTCTTCTGCTTCCATGTGCAGACTGCGTTGTGAGTCTTGTTGTGAAATCTGCCTCAGAGTCTGCCTGCTCAACTTGTGAACAAGAACATCCATGGCCCCAGAGTTTCGCGAAGAACTGGCTGAGTCGACTGGCAGTGGCGTCACTGGGAGAGGCGTGTGCGGCGGGTCGGCTTCTAAGGGGGTGGCTCCCGGGGATATTTGAGCATCGTAGCCAGACACCATGCTCGAGTCCACCTCCGTCCTGAAGGCGAAGTCCTCGGGCATGTTGGCGGCATGGGATTGAGTTGGGAGGGAAGCGAAGGAGGCGAAGAGAAGGGGGATTGATCAAAATGGAAGGGACCCAGGGCTGGGGATACTGGGGTTCAGTAGGTGGTACCAGGCCAGACAGAGCCCAGAGTCCAGACAGATAGATGGGATCGCCAGCATTAAAAGTAGTAGCGCGGGCGCCATATGCTCCGAGGTGGAGTATATCTCTACCAAAAACACTTGATCTTGGGTTCGGCTTCATAACATCCATTGTTATGTTTTCTTACTTTAGAAGTATCGTTGCATATAGATCAATAGGGGAATTACCTCTCAGGACCGCCCTGCTTAGCGTTTGCGCTACTACTTCTTAATGCTGGCAACTTCCAAATGTACCAGCTACCAGCTACTAGCTACCCGAATCCCACATCCAGTGGCAGCCCGCACCGGTGGGCTGTCAGCCTGTGGCAAGGCCTCTGGCTGATCTGGGTCGCGGTTGTGGGTGGTGACTTTGTGGATGTGTGGGCCGGCTAGTCGGCTGGTCGTCGCGCTAATGCAGATCGGTTGGAACCTCCCCCCTTGGAGCGCCATGGCGTCCCTGAGGGCTGGGTGCACGAGGCGGCACGGTACTTCATGTTGCTTCTGCGACACTGTCTGATAGTCGAGGCCAGCATGTGGAAGCCACCACGTCGGGTGTATCTACATATATACCTCACATTTGATGGCCCATACAGCCAGCTTCAAAAGGTACACGTATGTATAAAAGAGAAGGTGACTAACTCATAACATGCACGTCTCCAAGGTAAATAGCTCTATGTGTTGTCCCGAGCTGCTGGAGTCGGGTCGAGTAAGGTAGTAACTTCAAACCTCGGAGTGTCATCTACAGTGCCAGTCCGTACGCCACACGTGGGCAGCGTACATGTAGTCTGGCGTCAATCAAAGTTGGTGACGGCATCCTCTGGCGCATGTCTCTCTTTTCCAATCTGATCATAGGTTCGGATGGGTATTATGTGCAACCCACACAGGCTCGACAGGTCCTGGCGGGGAATGGGGGCTGTCCCAGGAGAACAGGCAGATTGCTTCGGTGTACTACCTGTGGTCACCGACCAGCCGCCACGATGCTGCAATCAGGCCCAAGCCTACCAAGGAAACATCATGATAAGATGACCCCGGGACACAGACACACACAAATTGGAAGTTTTCAACGGCGTCGTAACGACGCACAAGAGTGCCTTGGCGCACTCATGGGCTGTCGCCTGCTGGATCTGTGCAAGCATGCATGTTGGCCAAGTGTACTAACACACACACAGTGTCGAGCGACTGTGGTGACTGGTCTGGTAGACCGTCCGCCGAAGCCTGCATGCTGCAGTCCCGTTGGGCCGGTAAAAGTGCTGCTGTGCTAGTACTCCGTACGGAGTAAAGCGGCAATTGTTAATTGATCGCCTGAGAGGGCTTGGAGGGATGGGATGGTTCCACCCGCTCTGTGACAGAGCCCTGGGAAACAGGATGCCCTGCGACTGGAGGCTGCCAGGCTGCGCGTGCCAGCCCTTTCATATTTATTATGGTAAAGTGGCATTGCCGTCAGGCTGAGTGACGAGAATTATAATCCGGGTGATACGTCAATAGTCGACCAAACATTGTTCTTTGACGGCGCCGCCATGGTTGTCGATAATGCGTTGAGATGAGGCCGCTTGCGATAACGAATTGATGCTTGTTTGAGGTTGGTGCCTTTCGGCCCTGGTACCGCAGGCACCTTGTGCAAGATACCTATCAGTTGGTTAAGGTTACTTGGCGCCAAACCAGCAGCGGTCGTATTCCTCTCCCTGGCCTTGAGTTCGCGGAATCTTAGCGCAGAGTGGGTGGAGCAGCGCTTCGGGAATTGTGAAGACTGGGGGATTTCCGCACCTGGGCTCTCCTGGCCTGCAAGCCAGTGGGTATTTTAAGCCGTGCGTTGCAACAGGAGCAGCAAGCTTGCCACTGACGACATGTGTACACACGTTTTAACTTGTTACCGCTCAGCGAGTGGCAGTGCTCACCGACACAGCGGTTGAGGTGATCCAACAACCACAATTACAGTTTCCTGTCACCCCAACGAAAGCGAGCGCGAAAAATAGACGCGATGGTGGCGGCAGGGAGCTTGAGCCTTGAGGATGTTACCAAGAGACCGACCTACCTAGGTACCTAGAGTACCTATCCGAGTTGCCGGTACGAACACGCCATTTTGGGAGGAAAAAGAAAACACAACTCCCTCGTGGCTTCTCGTGGCTTTCTGCTAGCAACGCTTGACCGTCCAACGGACACGTGTTTGACAGACCGCTAGTCGACTCTTGACTTCAGCTGCGACTCTAGTGCGTCTGGGTCTGAGACCAGGTAAACTTACCTTAGGTACAGACTAACTGAGGTAGGCAACTCTAAGCATCTGGCATCGGAAGGCTTCCGTCATTCAGTGATGAGTATTTACATGAGCCTCCTCATCAGCTGTGTGTACGAAGGGGGCGCAAGTGGCCTACTTGACGGCGAAGTCCTCACGAATCGCAACCCGGAGATGGCCAAGGCCCACCACTATAGTCGAACAATGTTTCCAATTCGCTCATTTAGTACCATCTAGCTGCGTGTTGAAGCCCCGTGAAGCGTGGGGGGCGACTGTTGGGTTGCACTCTCGAAGACTACATAGCATATTACGAGACAGCTGTTACGCACTGTACGTTCCGCATCGCGGGCGTCTTCCATGTCCCGTCTGGTCTGGAGAGCATGCAAGGATGACAGCCGGACCGATGGTACATCCAAACCTGGGGTGCCTATCGATTCCCATTCCCTCTGACCCGACGACGGGTTACATCAAGAGCCTACGCTCTGCTATCGGTGTCCAGAAAGAGAGAGACCCTGCGTTCGAGTAATCCTTCGATGATTCCTTCGATGATAGAGACCATCAGGCTTCAGCTCATGCTACAGGAAAGCGAAGTCGGCAGGTCTATCCATCCCAAGGCTTCTAGAAGAGTCCTTGACGCGCAATCAGATCATCCGAAAGACCTGGGACGAGCCACCACCACGGACTCAGCCGATGAGAATGTCACCCCATCACGATCTCGAAACAGAAGCAAGATCCTCCGGAATCCGAGACGCACAATCCTCCCGTTCCTTCGTGGAAGCACATAGTGCCGCTCGGCGAGTCCTTCTAGAAGTTGAGGAATGAATCCTACGTCCCACCACATATGTATCCAGTTCAAATTGAATGCGGTATGATAAGCTGAAATCGGTACATGAGCCGGATCACCGGGGTACCTAGTTATTCCAGTTCGACCGTGGCCACTGTTACATCGGCCACAGAGAGTTCTGCAGGAGTCAGGGCACCGAGAATCCAAGGAAGCACATTTGAGAGGGATGACGTTGTGGCCGCCCGAGCTACAGGGTAGATCTGAACTCACTCGCCCTCGCACTGTTCCGTAACATCTGAACAGACTTCGGACTTGAGCATAGACTTTAGCCTGTTCCAGTCCGCCGGAATTTCCTAACCTACCGTAGTTGTTAGTTTTTAGCCGGGTGTATGATTTGAAGGACTTTGACACCTGACATTGGATGGATGTCATTATGAGGGCGCTCCTATCATATTACCGAACGCCTGGGTGCGCTGAGACGCGATGAACGTTGATTCATGAAACCTCCAATGCCCAATGCAACCACCACAACAGAGGAAAGGCACAGTACCGTAGGAATGGGACTGATGATTGGCTCACACAGACACTTAGCAGAGGTCCGTTCGCCGACCTAGATACCCTTCTCGAATGCGCCAGTGGATTAAGGCTCGTGACAGGCCGGCTGGACAGGCAGGCAGGAGAGCGCCCTTTCGGAGTCTTTCCGAATTAGATGGGCACATGCCATATCCTTCACGCAGAACCAGCCGGTCAGTCGCTCATGTCGAGCCAAGCGCAGCCCTCTAACCCTGGTTTGTTCCGTGGTCGTGTCTGCACGGTACATCGCCGTCTGTCTCTGACCTGACTCGTCCGTCACGTCAAGCGGTCGCCGGTGATCCAGCAACATGACAGCGGGGATACCGGGACACTGGGACCCCGGGGGAGAGGTTCGCGGCGCAGCGCAGTCCAATGGCTGCCGTTTCATAAGAGGCTAATTCTACCGCGCGGCAGTGCTGCGCCGCCTCCTTCCTCTGCGGATGCTTCGCCGACGACCGTGGTGCCGGGTTTCGTCGTTTCGGGTGGTGTGGCGATGGGACGCTGCTGCTGCTCCTCGCACTGCAGTGCAACGGTGACGGGAGATCTTGTCAGAGCGCGGTCGGTAATGGTAGGTCGATCGCCCCGCGACTGGCTTGTCGGATGGCGAATCGCGTTCTCGAAGCTGGTCAAATGACCCTTATTTGCAGAGCCGGACGTTCGTGGTTTTGTCTTCACTGCTGGCTCTGGCTCGACGGCAGCGAATGGACCGGTGAATGGATGCCTTCGCTACATACGGTGTGTGGCTTGGGAGCAAGGCAGACATAGGTGGCCCAATATGCGAGGCTCCTACAACTTCTAACTCTTCTTCCTCATTGGATTATGTACCCGGAGCGACTGGTCCGTATCGCACGCAAGCAGCAAGCCGCAGACCGGTTGCATACTCCCTACGGGTAGCAACGACCGCATCGGTAAGGGGAACGGAGACGACCTGGGAAGTAGGTCAGTCATAACAGGTTCTCTCACAATCATTGCTGCTACCGTTTCCTATTGCCCTTGAGAGGACTCGCGTGAGTACGATGCACCCAACGACTGGCTTCTCGTCTCCACCACATCCAGGGTATCTGATTGTTTCCGTCCCGGCTATCAAGGCTTTTGACAACAGATATGGCGGGTGTCCCGCCTTCATCCGGGTCTTCTTGAGATGAAGACTCGTCCGATGGCTGGGAGGTTTTGTTTCAGTATCTTTGTGTTCATATCCCCACCAGTATCGAAGCAAATGAACCCACCTATAGATACCTCTGTATCGACAACTTGAGCTCAGTCGACGACTGCGACCGGCTCGTCGTGTACGAGACCTTCGAGACACTACTTCACTGCAAATACATCCGCCCAGATTATAGGTGATGGGAGAGATGCAGTTGTAGAAGCAAGTTCGTGACTCGCGTCTCAGAGTAATCAAGGTGAACTTGGAGTGCTCAGACTATGCCGCCATGGGGTCACCATGTCCTCGGCAGGGCAGGAGAGCAAGATCTAGGATATATACAGGGACGCGGTTCTAACACCGGTTGGGCCCTTCCATCAGCAGAGGAAGATACAGGTTACACCGGCCCCCGCAAAGAGCCGCTATGAGAGTCTCCGCGAGAACATCTCCCAGACAGAGCCTAGTATTGGATTGGCCCCAGCAACCACCCGCGACAGGCAACGGGAACTGTCCCCTCATATGCAAGAACCAGTCCGATATCCGGGGAGCAGACCCGCATCTCTATACGTCTTCGGTACATCATTCACGGACTTGGTGTATGTGGACGGCAAAGCGAGGGTTTCTCAAGGACTGGAGCGTGAGAAAGGGGCCCGAAACCCTCACGTTGAGGAGCAGGATGCGGAATAATAGGGGTATACGTGCTTGGATCCCTGTGGTCCATCACCGCCGCCTGGCAGTGGTGCGAAGGAGGCCAGGAGATTGTAATGGATTAGAGGAAGGCTGTGGCGGCTGCGCGGCTCAAGGTCAGGCTCTGGACTCATCAAGTTGCGTTGCTCGTCATGTATCGAGCTCCCACATCACACATGTGGCAACTCGCATGTTAGGGATGTTCTGCTGCATAGACACGCCCGGGTGGTCAATTTGAACGGAACGTGTGTTAATCAGGCTTGGCAAGGACCCTCGATACTTCTCAACATCGCCGGAGAACATGGGCCCCACGGTGAGAAACGTCTCGTACTATCAAGGAGCACCTATCCTAGACAATCCAGAATCCGAACCTCCCGTTCCGCTATGTCACGCTGGGTTTTACGGCATGATGGTCCAATATCACTTCGGAAGACGCGCGAACTTTTCCTCTCCTCTTTTCTCTTCTCTCACTAGCTAACGCACATATACCCCAGAGGAGGCTCTGTCGAGCTGGAACGAGATGGGCTTGTAAGAAGCGATGATCTACGCTTCACGGTCGATATTGCGAGTTACACAAATGTGATGGCAATAAGGAATGGTTTGGACGTCCCTGGTGTACCTGTGATTATTACCTGCGGACCAAGCAGAGGTTGACACCATCGTCCACGTGGGACACAGCCGGACTCGGCCAGTATTTACGCGACTCAGAGTCCAAGCCGCCAGCACCTATTCGTTGGGCTCATGTTCTTGCCGTGAGTGGTGCCTTCGCTGTCGCTATGAATAGCGAATCTCAGCAGGCGGCCGCGGCTCCCAGCAGCTCAAACCCGGCCCCGGTCCGTCGTGTTCCAGTCTCAAGTTGCAACGCGTCTTCCACTACCTCAGATAGCCGTGTTGCTTGTCCGTGTCGTAAAGCCTTTTGCCGGTCATCAGCAATCAATAATGCACTGTCGATCCCGCTCAACGAGCTCAGAGGGGACCTGGTCAGGTATCGGAATCCCCCAGTGGCCTAAAGAGAAGAAGCACGGAGTCTGGATAGAGCTTCAGCCATTCTCAGCGACGTCCCCCGCAGCGGCAGGCGGTCTTGTGAGATATGCACATCCTTGGTCTGAAAGAGCAGCACGTTGCTGGAAAGCTTCGAACAAGAAAGGAGTCGAAAGCCAGGCGCTTGCCTCGTTGGAGATGGGTGGGCCGAAAGCAGATGGCTGGCAGCTGGGAAGGGCATCCACCAGCCGGCGCTATCGAAAAGCTGCATCCCTTATCGTTAAGGTTCCGTCTTGAATTATCCAGACACCCAGACTGCCCATGGCATCCGCCATATCCAAAAGGCTCATGGCGCGGCAAGATGTCGAGCACTGCATCGGCGTTCGCCCGATTGAAACCCCACTCCCTCAGCTCCCGTACGGTCTTTGTCAAGTGTATCCCAGCTCCAGTAAGCTTCTCCGAACGGAGGGCCGTCTACACAGCCCTCCAAAAGGTCTCGTTTGAGACCATCGAGACCTTTAAGAAGCTCGAGGTATGCGGCATTGCTCTCCCACTCAAGCTTCCAAGCTTCCAAGCTGACATTGTTCGACAGGACAACTCCTGCTTCATCGCCGTTACCACCAAGCCGGGCACTGCTGCAGCCCTCGTTAACGATTCGCCTTTGACCCGCACCATCATTTCGCACCAGCAAGATGCAGATGCCGCTGCATCACCTGGCCGTGCTTCCTGGGGCTCCGAGTTCGATCTACGAGGCTCCATAACCGAACCAGTCAGCCCGCTCCCAGCAAACAAAGCGACCCAAGCGACGGCAGCCTCGGCTGATTTGGGACTGTCACATAAGACTTTTACACTACGCATATTCCCCGCGAATACGTCCTACAACCACGTCGAAGAAGTCAAAAAGTCTCCTCTCCACGGACCATGGCCAGACAACGATGTCAGTGAGACATTCGTGTCCGCCGCCCTCAACAGGATCATACCGGCTGGCGCGATGGCCCCCGCCCTGCGAGATTGGCAGACTGCGAACCAGCTGACGCGCGAGTCTACGAGCTTTGCTGGGGAAGGCCGCGAAGGGGCCGCTCACGCCTTGATGGGGAAAAAGCGACTCTCGGAACGCGAGCACTTCCTTCTGGAACGCATTCGACGCAGACAACAAGCGGAGGGAATACCCACTGTCATGAAGAGCTTGGCTCTCTTTGCAGATTTGAGCGCCGCCAGATCTAGGCCTTCCAAGACGTCACGAGAATCACCACAGCACTACATGGCACCCGAAGAGTCAGTCGAGAGACCCGTGGAGTTGCCGTCGAATGAGGTCAGTTCAGCACAGCATGGAACCCTGCTCGACGACGATGCATTCAAGGAGCTTCTCATGAAAGCTGAGGAAAATTCACATCACGACGGGACTCAGCCACAACTTTCGCGTCACAACACAGTGTCTAACGGATCGCATACTACACTTGATTCCCAAACCCCTACTTCGGGCGGCCTGGCAAAAGAAGAACCTCTGCTTGACAACGCTGAGTCCAAGAAGCTACTTAAAGAGGACGAAGAAACGGCACCACAATTACCTAAAGAGTCCAAGAACTCGTTCTCCGACCAGGCGAATTCTGCAAAACGCGGACCTTTGTTGGACGGAGCCGCGTTTAATAAGCTTCTCGAGCAAGAAGACTGAGATTCCGGGCTTGATAGGCCAAGGAATACGAAAGACTGAAGGCCAGCTAAGAGGCGACAGTCACAAATAGATACGCCGCATCCTGGGAGTAGTGCAATCGGATTGCTCCCACCACAGCGACGCGGTTCCGCCGTTGAAGAAGAGCACAATCTTGGTAAAGCACAAAGCCAACTTCGAAAGCGCATCCAGATGCCGCGGAATCATATATCGGAGTCGGCTGACGACAACGATTGACTACTTGAGACTAATGAACCAGTTAATAACGGTCAATATCGAAGGGTGAGGTCCTTCAGAGATTTCCCCAAACGTGTCGAGATTAGCCAGGCACATGTCAGGCCCAGTTGACGAATCACAATGCATGTTGTATGGCCGTTGTCAAGGGGCCGCACGCTTATTACACGCTATCAAGATTCACGACTCGCAAGCATCGTTCCAAGCGCCGGCACACGGCAACATGAGTTCCTGCTGCTATACGCGGGCTTTCGCGTCCTCCTTACCTGACCCGGCTGGTGGCCAGGCCACCGGAAGTAGATGTGACGAGGTGTCGTGGGCGGTGGCTCGCAGGGATCCGTCATTCCCATCGTTGTGTCGCATCTGGACGTCAAAACAAGGAACACAGCCAAGACATCCCCACAACCCATCTATTCAGCAACCAATAAACTCGGCCTGTCAGCGTGCAAGGCCACCACGTCACAGCTGGACAGCTACATTACGCGCATCTGGATGACAATTTCCTGCTGGCGCATGTCATGGGGTTTCACACACCGCAGATGCTTCGTCCAAGGGGAGAAGACAGGAACGCCAGTTCCTGCCGATTTGCCGTCGCTGGGCCTTGTGAGTTACGAACCGGTTCAACACAATGACGTCGCAAGATCAGATCGGTCTATAGCCAAGTGCCACTTCACACGCGTCGGCCTGCAAGCCCGTCCATTGTGTGACGAACCTCGGATCGTCACATATTCTTGCTTGGAGCCTTTGATCAATCCCTTGGAGATCTCTGACAGATCCCTGCCAAGGAAATTACAATAGCATGATCTTGACCGCACACCTGAAACCTTTATATTTATAACCTGTGTCCCGCCTCTTTCATGATTGCTTCTCCTTCTGTGTTCGTAACATTTGACTGCAGCTCTTTCGCCACGCGTTATCCTCTCCAAGCCGAGTACCCTCGTTCTCGGCCACTCCTCTGCATAGAGCGTATCGTTCCGCCATAGCTAGACACACCACCAAGCCGACAAGATGGCTCGCACAGGCTTCTTTCACCATATCGGCTCGTTCCTTCTTTTCGCAGCCACCGTGCTGCTCATTATAACAGACATTTCCGCTCCTGTTGTCAATGATCTCTCTCTGCTAAAGGTCGACCTGGCAAACTCCAACGACCGCCAACCTACCATAACCTTTGGCACCTTTGGCTACTGCACCAAAGGCACTACGGTGTAAGTCCATCTACAATAAGCCGCGCCATCACGACTAACAAGATCATTGTAGCTCTGCATGCAGCAAGTCCCATATCGGCTATGACCCCATCTCGGTGGTTGAGAACACGGTGCAAGGCGTCAGCTACCACGTGTATGCCGCCGACACGTCCAAAGGCCTGACAAGGGTCATGGTCCTTCACCCTATCGCCACGGGGCTGGCCTTCATCTCGTTCCTCCTGGCCCTCGGTGCCGGCATCGTCGGCAGCTTCCTCGCGTCGCTGGGCGCGCTCGTCACCTTCATCGTCACGCTCGTCGCCCTCGTTTGCGACTTCGTCTCGTTCAGCATCATCATGCACGAGGTCAACAGCTCCAACAATGGCAGTCGCGCCCACTGGGGCGCCGCGATCTGGACTATCCTCGTGTCCGCCGTCTGCTCGCTGCTGGCTACCATCATCCTGTTCTTCACGTGCTGTAGCGCGCGCATGCACCGCCGTCGCGAGGCCCGCCGAGTCAAGTACTAAGCCGGAGGACTACCACACAAACTGCCGAGGCGGCGCCGGTTCCTCTGAGCTTGCCCCACGACGGTTTCTCGCCGGAGTGGAAGAATGGCGAAAGCGAGGACTGCTTCCTGTCAAGGGCTTAATACCTAATTACGACAACTCTTACGAATGGATGGACGGTGTGCGAGAAGAAGCACTTGAGAGCGCGGTATAATGGCGCATTTGGAGCGCTTGTTTGATGATACTCGGTGGCTTTACTTGTTTATAGCATACCGGCGTGGCCGCCCTTATCTAGGTCATATACCCCCTTTGATACCACCATCTTCCTAGGCTTGTGGTGTTTCTAGCGTTGTTGGTCTTCATCTAGTTCATTCATAGGGGAACATACTTCAAATATGGCTTTGATGTGTGCCATCCACACTGGTCCTGCAGTGCTGTGCTCGAGATTTGAAGTAGTGGTTCCATGCTTCCATTCTTACGGGTCATATGCTCCGCGTTGGGGATCATTCTCATACTTGTGTCTGTCTCGTTACACGTATTTTGTTCGTCATCTCGTGCCAGGTCTTCAGTGCTATCAGTATCAGACAATGGAACGGAGTCTTCAGCGGCCGAAACCATACGCGACCCGCGACCCGCGACCAGAGCTCAGCGAGCAAACTGCTTCCTGCCGTGACAGAGATGACCGACTGGGATAATCAGCGCCTGCTGGATGTTTTTATTGTCCATACCCGTGCTCGGCGCTACTCTTGTATTCCAGTGATGAAGTCCACAGGACCGTCAAGATCACAGCAACAAGGACACAGGCCGCCGAGGTCCAAAGCGTTCCAGGGGTAAGCTTTGTCAGGTAACTCAACCAGGTACTAAATCGATCCTGATTCAAGGCGATGAAGATGAAGGGTACGGATAACCCGGTAGAAATGCCCACTACTCGCCGTTAGTAGGCAGGCTCCCCAGATTGTGAATGAACATGCGTTGGGGAAGAATTACACATATACTTGAGAACGTAGCCAAGGCCAAGCTTCCCATTATTATTAACGGAAAATGACTCGATGTTTATGGCAAAGAATGCCGCCATGAACGAGAGAGGTAGCTATTTCGTCCCTAGTCAGTACCGGCGGAGAACATGACCACAGTGCTCTTGGAAATCGTACAAACACAATAGTCACAACCGTGAAGAGCGTGAGTGTCCTGCCTTGTCTCGCGTTCTCCGCGGCTTGCTCAGCCTCTTGTTTCGCGTAAGCAACTGAGGACAGTGCTTCGGCTATGCTTGCTTGTTTCTGCTTAAGGTCAAGTAATGACAGGAGCTGCTTGGTACTCGCAATCAGAGCCATAACGCAGAGATGGGACAAAGGGTTCGACGCACCGTTTGGGTTGTCTTCCGAGTCATATTCTCCATTGTCTCTATTCTCTGCAATTGGCCCACCGCGGACTTGTCATCACCTAAAGTCGGGGAGTAGGCAATATCCCTGGGGTGCCTCTGGGTGCCATATTCCAGAGGATCAACGGTTTTGCCCAGGTCTCGCAGCACGGCTTGTAGATCCTTCAAAACCATCTTCAGAATGATCAGCTCGTCGTGAATATCTTCAATCTCGACCAAGAGGTCAATTTCTTCCTGGATGCTCAGCTGCTTCTGAATATCCATGTTGCTGACAACCTCAAAGCCACGAAATCTTCGTAGTAGGCTGGCAGCGCGGTCGGCCTATCCTCGTCAGTCTGGTTTGCAAGCGAGAATAAGGTTGATGAAGAACAGGAACTGACCACTTGTCCTATTGAACGCTCGAAGGAGTCGAAGAAATGGAATTCTGGTGGCGTTTCATGATGGTCGATATATTTACACAACGATCGACAATAAGGCTTGCTAGATCGTAAGGAGACTGAATCTGCATTCTGGTGGCTAGATGTAGATGACGAAGTATGCTTTGCTGGACATCCATGGGGTGATACTTCAGGTTGAGAGTATGCCCATCGCCGCCGTCATCATGGTCGTGTTCTCTGGTTCCAGCAGGGTCGTTCATTCCTGGCTGCTGTCTCCACTCTTGCCCCTGTTGGTGGAATGGAAAGGTCAATTCGGTAACCCACCTCTTCGTTCTCCGTATGTCTTTGCTTCGGGCCCAGGCATTGTCATTCCTACGCATTATCCGTCCCGGACTGTGCCCTACCATTGCTAATGGCACCGCTACAGCTGACGCCGGGCTGGGTACCGGATTTGTTGTTGTAGCATTTAACGCCGGGGGGACTGCCGCGTAGCGGCGTCAACCAGGGGCTCCAAGAGGCCGCTCAGGCGTGCTAGGCTAGGTCTTCTATGTACATACACTGCCCATCTAGCAGGTCAAGTCCGTAGACAGCCACCACGCTTAAGCGGCGGATCACACCGTGTCCCCCCTCCTCCGGGTGAGGGGAAGTATCGGCTGAGGTCACACATGTTAGTTTCAAGGCGCACCGCCAGGTTCAGTGCTCTTAGAGCTACAGTAGGTGCCGCGGCATGCCGCAGTGGTTCTCACGCGCCCCGTGAGACGTTAAAAAGGAAAGATGAAAAGATAAAGCCCCCAGACGCCGTAACAGAAGGAAAGAGTGAGTGTGTCCTCAGCGAGGAGGGCAGATACTGCCGTAGAAATCGGTAGCCACGAGTAGGTCCAGGCTGGGCACCGGAGTGTCGACCACCAGCAGATTACCCACACCCGCAGCGGCGCAGCTAATGATGGTATCTGGGATGATATTAGCAAAGGGCGCAGGCGGAAATTAGTTCCATCACCACTGCTCATTTGGCACACTCACCTCCATTGAGTATCCAGAGCCATAGTTGGTCGACCATGAACATCTTGGGCTCCTTTGAGCGAGCGCTATACCGATAGACCACCTGGTCTTTGTCACGGGCGGAGGTATCGATATGGGTATAGAAATACCGATCAAGATTGCGCCGTGGTTGTAATGGTCCTGCGACACCGGGGGATTCCGAAACCAAGTAACCTCTTACCAAGTGTTCGTACAGCACTACAGGATTCTCGGCTATCCGTTGGCTTTGGCGTTCCATTCGGATTTGTGTTTCATCTCGCAGACGTTGTGGGTTCTGCCTGTCCTTCGACTTCCACTTGTTCATTGACTGTAGAACAGTCTTCGTTGAGTTTGATATTGCCTCGAAATGGACCTGGGTCTCAAAATGCAAGTAGGGCACCTAAGTCATATGAGCTGAACGTTCTATCGGCCTTAGGGTAGTGGTTTCGCACAAACGCTGCAATCTGGTGATGTGCCGATTCTTGGCCATTTGGGTCGACCTGAGTACCGCATAAGCCGATCTCCCAGAGAGACGTGATCAACGAACACTACCTTGAAAGAACGACATGTGGGTCTCATGAATGCTAAAGAGCTTGTCGCTGTGAATTGATGCCTATCGTGACTCCCAGCCAGGCCAGCTGCCGAAGTGAACTCATCTGAAAGCACATGATAATGTAGATAGACCAGACGCCTTCGTGCAAGGTGCTATGGGTTGTTAGCATGGAGGTAATGGGGTATGAGCAAGAGAGCTCCGCTGATAAAGAAATGTATAGGCGTCGCGTACCTCAACCCATTCCATCTGATTAGACATATCAGCATCGCAATTCGCACGCCTGTGTTACACTTGGAAACTTACATTGTTTGCTGGTATGTGATACCATCGGAAATCTCGCTTCCTCCCACGAAACGGATCTCGTTGCGGGGCTTCCATGATAACCTCAGGCCCATATAGGAGTTCGTACATCGACAAGGACTTTTCCGTCCGGTGTTCCGATCCGTCTCCAACAAAGAAATCAACAACTGGCGCTTGAAATCTGTGGCATGCAATCATCTTGTCTATGTTGTGTCTTGGGCATATTGAGGGTTCGAGATGAAATTGCGAGCTCGAGACTTCATTGTCTAGTATCATCGCCATCGCGCTGGTTTTGAGAGCCACTCTGCTACTAAGCACGTTCCCAGGTTGGTGTGCTGAAGAGGATGATGGAGACTCAACGGTAGAGATCAAACCGTTTCCGTCGCGGCAGGTCTCGTCAATCGCCTTAACATTGATGTCTGTGGCATCGGCGTTGGGGTTCGCTTCTGCTTTCTGGCAGCACATCGGCAGCGCCGGCGCGTCGACCCTCGCGAGACTACTGACTTATGATGCGGTGGAATCCAAGCTAGGAGCATTAGCCATAGCCTTAGGATGGCTTGGTGTTGGTGCCGTTGCCATTGTGACGTTGCTCCTAATCATCATGATCCTCTCGATACGCGTGCTCACACAATTGGCTGAAGCCTGAGTAAAAGGCTACGCTGCCCTGTGACACCGTTTGAAGGGAGCTTACCGGTTTCGTCAAGAGCTGGAAGAGTTGATTGGATGAGGCCTTACGCCAATCCCGACTATTCGTTTGATCGCCGTTGGATGGTGGCTTCCCGTCTTTCTCGAAAGTTGCACCGATGTTTCTATGGTACCCGACTTTGGATGCCCTTTGCCCGCAGGAGCTTGAGAACATCGGAAATCAAGTAGAGACTTCCAGCAATAACCAAGGGGCCCCCTTCGGCTGTTCTGCTTGCCCAATCGAGTGCAGATGATAGACTTTTGAGTGCACTGTGCTGCGTCGAGACTGCAACGCCTGACTCTCTCACTCGCTGGAGGATGGTGCCTGAGTTCATTGGCCTCACCCAGGGCATGCCGTCGACAGGGCCGAATTCGACGGCTACAACGTTGTCACCTGGTCGGAGTATCAAACGTAGGATTTCGCCAATATCTTTTCCCTCAGACGCAGCGAGAACCCATGTGACTGGTTCGGCCCCGACACGAAGCCGTTTCTCAACAAAAGCTGAGAGAACATCGGCTGACTGGGGGTTGTGCGCACCATCCAATAGCACATCCTCCGTCCTGCCGGTAAGGCGTTTGATGTTGAGCGGTTGTAGCCGACCAGGCCATACCGCCGCTTTGATGGCGGAAACAAGACCCCCAGTGGAGCCAGCGTAGTGTGGATATACCAGGCGGAAAGCCTCATAAGCACAAGCAAGATTCTGGCACTGGTGTGGCTCGAATTCGTCTCCTATCTCAACCATGATCTTGCTGGACCCCGGATCCGCGAAATGGAGACTGGCGCCAGTTTCGTTGGCATGTTGCTGGACGACATCCAGAACCGATTTTGGGTTGCGGGCATCCACCACACACGGCACCCCTTTCTGCATGATTCCAGCTTTCTGAAGGGTGATCTCTTCGAGAGTATTGCCTAAGAACGACTGATGGTCGAGGCCTATCTTGGAGATGACGGTGACAGATTTTTGCTTCAACACATTGGTTGCATCCAGTCGTCCGCCAAGGCCAACCTCGATCACACCGACCTCGACCTTTTCGGCCTCGAAGATCTCGAAGGCCGTGGCCGTAAGCAGCTCAAACTCGCTTGCGCCCAGCTTGTGGTCTTGATTCCTCTTCTTGACTAGCTCCCCAAAGTAGCGGAACTTGTTCTCAGATACAGCGCTATCGTTGATGGTGATGCAGTCCCACCTGTCGATGAGATGTGGTGAATTGAACCTGCCGCAGGATATGCGGTTGGCTCGGAGCATGGCTGTCAGGTAGGCACATATCGACCCCTTTCCATTTGTTCCAGCTACGTGGATGGCCTTCCATGTCTGTGGTGTATGCCGCAACAGAGCCGCGACGCGGGCCAAACCTAGATCGATCATGATGCCGGCTGACTGGACATCTGGAATGCCTTGGACGATTGTGATAGGGGTTTGATGTTTGCTTGGTGGTGATGTTTACCGTAACCTGTGAGTCACCAGATCGTAGGGTTCTCAAGTTCAGAATAGGACATGGCCCCAGTCGCAGAGTCGAGCAATCTCAGCCTGTCAATTTGGGAAAGGTCGTTGACCGGCTGACATAATTGGCCCAGTCAGGCGGTCAGCGTGGCTTTGCCGGGTGTGGCTAGTTGCCCTGACAGCCCGAGAAAAGGTGTCCGAGATGCCGGCTGTTTGAGCAGTACTTCTATCTTCGCCTCAACTACCGGCCAAAGCCCTCAATTCCCCTTCCAGCCTCCAGCCTCCAGCCTCCAGCCCAGGTCGGTCTCCAGCATTATCCAGGATTTCGTCGTCTGTTTTGGATCTGTTCAATACCCTGTGTCAGATGTTGGATCCCAGATATGGTGCCCTTAGGTGCAGTACCCGCTAGGGGGCTGCCAGAGGACCAGTGGATCCACCCTGGCATGGTGCAGTATGGTATTTAGCTGTAGATTAGCCCTGCCGAGCATACTTGAGAATGACAACAACATTTGCAGCAACCACTCGCACCCCCAAGGCTTGTGACCCTTCTAGAATCTCACACCCTGCCATAATATTCCATCATCATCTTGGCCTGTTCTCTTCATTTCACCCACTTGACCCCACGAAACGGGTTCCATCATCCAGTCGCCTAAGAACACAACTTGCGCAATCGCCTCGCACTCTTCATCCACCACCGTCGCGTCAAAGACACTTCGTCTGCTATCTTCCAACTTCCGTCGCTTAACCTACCTAGCTTGCGCACTTCAAGGTTGAGTGTTTGCGACGCGGCTATTGTGTCCCATCCTCCCATCGAACCGCTCCTTAGCCTCACCTTGTCGCTTGTTGCCACGCGTGCGCACCAGCCAACTGGGTGCTAAAATGGGTCTACCGTAAGCTCACCACTGTTCGCGACGCGCTCGCGCGTCGCATTATCACTGTCATCCCCCTTCTCGTCTAGCTGCACGTAGGAGTCATCGTAGATATCCTGCAAATTGTCTTGACTACCTAGTTGCATCTGTTGAACTGCCCCCGTTTTTATGTCACAAACAATAGTGCATTCACGATTGCTGACATATCTGGCTGCGCTTGCAGACTGTTCATTGCCCCTGTCGAGTCGGACATCCCGTCCAAACCGGCCGCGAAGAGCTCTGCCGACCCGGTCCATGCACGATCCCCAATCCGCCGTCGTTCTGACCCGCGCCGTCAGCCCAGCGGAATCGAACGACACCGGCAACGCTTGCTTGCCGCTCTGCAGAATCAAGATGGCCTCCCTGCACCTCTTGCCGCTGCGAGAGCCGATGCAGTTGCAGCTCAAGCTCATCAGGAACGACGTAGTCCTCTCGACGACTCGGAGGCATTGAGTGATCTTCTTTTTGTTGCTCGTGGGCATGAGAGCGAGCGAGAGCCCGAACGTGTACGGCCGAGACGCGCCCACAACCTATATGAACCAGAATCCGACGAGCTCATACCTTGGACATATCGAGCAGCCGATATGGTTCCACCTCTTGCTGTGCCACTGGCAAATCCAGCTCGATCAGTATGCATCCCATGTCGCTACACCATTGCTCCTCGAGTCCCCTACTAACTTCAAACCACAGTCAAGGGCTGCAACCTCTGCCTTTGCTCGCTTGGACCCACCCGGCTACTCCTCTGTCCGAGTAGCTGCACGACCATCCTTACACCGCGAACAGGATGACCAGCGCCGCCGGATGATGACACAACTTGAGACTGAGCGCATGCGTCGCAGGTCGCACCGCCACATTCAACGGAATGGCCAGCGCGTCCGTTATGTTGACGGGCTAGGAGACCGAGATCGTAGCCTTAGCCCTGAGGGTGATGGTGTGTGGGATACACTCCAGTCGACTCTGACCCCCGACCCTCAACCACCCAGCGTCGGTTCCTCTTTCGCATCGGCAAATGCTTCTACAGCAGCGTCTCAAAGCAACATGGCCAACTCATCCAACACTTCTATAACAAGCCCAGAGGATATGGAGCCACCTTGCGATCCTGTCGACACGCAGGGAGATGATAACGGCGAAGCAGATGACATCGAGGGACGGCATGCTGGATCCTCCCTGCGACCCACACCTCGTGAGCGACGGTCCTACGCTAACGTCGCAGCTGAGTTGGACTCGTGGCAGTCGGCCGAGGATTCCGAAAACCCAGAAGCGGATAGAGAGTGGTTATCCGGCATGCACCGGATTGTGAGCGGACTGGCCACCCGAGAGGACATCCCAGATGAGTGGTGGGCGCAAGCTGGTCTTAGTCGCTCGATGTCGTGGGAGGAGTCCAATTAGAAGGCATGCCAGAGCAGCAGCATGGCGTCAGGGGAGGAAAAGGCAGGTCATGATGAGGATTGATAACCCGTTTTCGAGTACGAAAAAGGACTCTGGCGTTTGGTGTGACAGGACAAAAAGGTCACGTTTGAATTGTGGGATTATACGCTCTATGGCTTATAGCTCTTGTCCGGTAACATTGTATCATGATTGTACATCTAGTTGTCCCTGGCCAGCGGTACCGGCTGGTCGAAGCTGGCTGGTGGTTATATACCCATTGTTGATCTGTGAGGGCTGAGCTGATACCAACTTGCCAGCTTCTTTGCAAAGGCGGTGTGATGTGTGCTGCGATCTGTGAAGCGCAGCACACACAAGTCGGACTGCATTGTCCCACGGTTATGCCCACTAGGCATTTCTAGAGTGTCCTGTCCCGGTGTACGTTTTCCATCGACTGTCAGAGATGAGTCTGATGTTATCGCAGAATCACAGGCAAGCACATTGTTTACCAACCAGCAGACACACTGGCACATGGCCCTTGTGTCGATATGCAAGACAGATGTGCATGTACGTCGAGCTCGTGCTCAAGGGTAACATTGGACCAACCGACGAAACAAAACGGACAGACAAACTGACGATGGACTCTCTGACTCTGCCCTCTCTGCCTCTTTGAGCAGCGTAGAAGTTACCGACAACTGGGAATAAGCGACCCACTGCGGGAGAAGAATGGGCATTGATTGCCATGGCGCTAGAGAGCCCTAAATTCAAGGCAGGTCGCAGTAGCCCCAACATGAGACAGGGCGGTCTGCCAGTGGGATCGCGTGCCTGACTGCACCGATGGTCCGCTGTGGCCAAGTCGATTCGGGTAGGTGTCACCAATCAAGGCTCTTCCACAGATGGAAGCTCCAGCATGCCCAGTGACCAGGCCCCAGGACAGCGAATTGGAAGAAACTCACACACTGGAACCAACATTGGTCCTACCGGTACAACCCCGCGATGGTGCTAGGGGCGATTGACATTGACCGACACCCTCACCACAACATCCGGATCAGCGATTCACAGATTCACAGGAACAGGTGCCCACACTGCCACAACAACTGGTGGTGAATCAGCAATCAGCAAAGCATGTCCAGATGACATAGTCAGATTGCACGTCCTTCCACACCTGCGCCTTACCTACTGCACGGTTTCCCAACCGGCCTCCGCCTTTGAGCCGGTAATGAAGTTCAAGTTGGTTATTGGAACTTTGACGGCTTCGGAGCTACACCACACCTACTACCGGACATAAGGCACGCACTTATTGGGCACTCCTACGCCTTGAGAAGGCAGGCATCTAGTAGGTAAGTTAGGTCGACGTGGAATTGAAGCTTGGGTTTAGCCTGACTGACTTGGCCAGTTCTCTCCCCGACCCACCACCACGACAGCTGGGAGGCAGATATTTATGATACCCGACGAACAACAAGACAGCTTTCAGCCCGTCTACCAAGCTACCTCCCTAGTTCGGCGAGACGACCTGACGACGAACCGTGCCACCCTCTACGAAATTTCCCAGAAACAGGCTGTTGGTGTCCAAGGAAGAGCAGAGTAACTCTCAGCTGGAATGAAAGACTTTGCTTTGCGCCGCCAGCGACGCGTGCTTCCCGTACCGCACCAACATCCCGTCTTCTTCTTCCACCAGCGCCGCAAGCCTGACTCGACGCCTAACCATCGAGCCGCAGTATAGCGAGGAGGGCGAACGATTCGACCGCCGCCGGCCATGGCGCCCAGCTCGGGGCACAACTCCGATCCACCTAATGGTGCATTGTCGAATGACCGCCGTTTCCATGTCGCGAACGCAAAGTCTGCCGCCGCAGCCTCGAGGCACGAGCGAACACCCAATACACCCAGGAAGGAGAGCAGTGGGCGAGAGAAGGCGCTGCAGGACCCGGGTCTGAAGGACTACGTACGTTGATATCCTTCGAGAAGCTGTAGACAAAGGAGCTCGGTTGTGCTGTGAGACATGGGGCTGACTGGGCTTGCTATAGCGTCTAGGAGAGTGTCTGGGCAAGGGCGCATTCGGCTCCGTCTATAAGGCCATCCATTGGGGCACCGGCGAGGCGGTCGCTGTGAAGCAGATCAAGCTGGGCAACCTGCCAAAGAGCGAGCTACGGATGATAGAGGTAGGCTGGTGCAATCTGGATGGACGAGAATATCACTGACAGGGAAACAGGCAGAAATCGATCTGCTGAAGAACTTGAATGTGGGAGAACCCCGGGTCTATCGAAGCTCTTGCTTCATGACATACGTGCGCGGCTAACCTCTCTCAGCATGACAATATTGTCAAGTACATTGGTTTTGTCAAATCAATCGACTGTCTCAACATCATACTTGAGTTGGTCCACCACCTCCGCATGCTAACGATTTCGCACAGGCTGACAGACACGTTAGATACTGTGAAAACGGCTCTTTACATTCTGTATGCAAGGCATATGGCAAGTTTCCTGAGAATCTCGTTGGTGTCTACATGACACAGGTTCTGCAAGGGCTTCAGTATCTCCATGATCAGGGTGTCATTCATCGAGACATCAAAGGAGCGAACATCTTGACAACCAAGGATGGTAAAGTAAAACTGGCAGATTTTGGTGTGTCAACCAGCACACTTGCTGGCCCTGACAAAGAGGCTCAAGTGGTCGGCACTCCTTATTGGATGGCCCCTGAGATCATCGAACTCTCTGGAGCGAGCCCGGCTTCCGATATATGGAGTTTGGGCTGTACTGTGATTGAGTTGCTGCAAGGCAGACCTCCATATCATCACCTGCAAGCCATGCCTGCTCTCTTCGCCATTGTCAATGATGACCATCCCCCGCTGCCCGAGGGAGTTTCTTCGGTTAGTGCCTCGCCTGTGGATGCCGTTGAAGATACCTGTAGTACGTGAGTCGCTAACGAAGTCTTAGGCTGCGCGCGATTTTCTTATCCAATGCTTCCAGAAAGATCCCAACTTGCGGGTATCGGCAAAGAAACTGTTGAAACACAATTGGATAGTAGGCTGTAGAAGGAGCGATGCCCCTGTATCAAAGGTACCGGCAGATTACAGCCAAGCCGTTGAGGAGGTCAAGCAGTGGAACAAGGCTCTCACATCCTCCGACAGCAATCTTCGAGCGTCTACAGGTTCAGACTCTGGCGGCCCTCCGCAACAAGCTCACCAGATGTCACGACTCACTTCGCAGGAATCATCAAGGTCTAATATGCCCACTCCAGCAAAGCTTCCGTTCTCATTGGCGAAGACGAGGCCCTCAGCAGAAGACTTTCGCTCTCCCGAGCTTGCTGGTAAGCCTTCATTGATAGCATGCTTCTGTGAGTCATGTATCTTATACACTACTAACATGCTTGCCAGATGATGATAACTGGGACGATGACTTTGCCACAGCCATCTCACCTAGTGCCTTACAACTGCCGCATATCAAGCCACAAGATCACTTTGGTGGCATGCTTTCGTCTGAACGCCTCAAAGCTTTCGCGTCTATAGATCATTCGCGTGATGTCTCTGGTGGCTGGGATCAGGATCTTGGCGGCGAGCCGATTACAGTGAAGAAACTGGTGCCGGTGGTGGATGAGGATCCCCAAGAGAAGACCATACGGCCCAATTGGAGCATGTTCGCAAAACCCGAGAAGGCTCCGGAAACGACGGCTCAGACATCGAAGTCCTCGCCTCGTAAGGGTTCAGGCAGCAGTCACCGCCGTCAGAAATCCCGTGCGAAGGTCAATAACGGCAACAGATTCGAGTTGCCAGCCCGGCCTGATTTGGGTTACAGAGAGCAAACGATAGAGGACTACTCGGATCTCTTCGATGACAACGACAACGACAGTGTCTTCAGCCAGAAACTGGGTTTGATAAAGAAGCCTGATGCTCCTCAACTATTTCACCCCTCAGATCTCACATCTCTTCCGCGTTTCACGCAATCACCTGAGACAGGCAGCACCCGGCGGAAACCGACCTCGCGGCCTTCAGTACTTCCTAGTCGCCCAATGGTAAGAACGAAATCATCGATTGAGATTCAAAGGTTCGCCGAAGGGGAAGATGACGAGGACTTCTCTGACGTCTTTGGCCCTGGTGAACAATTCACCGATCAAGACGAGAGTGATCGGGGATCTGAGAACGGCAACCTTATGATACTATCACGCCTGTCTAACAACTCCTGGCTTGGTGACGACGAAGACGAGGAAGACCCTTTTGCTTCTATGGACCCAGGTTGGGACGAAATGGATCTGGAGGCAAACATTGCACGCGACAGACATGCCAGACTTGCTGAGAAGGTCGAGGCGCTAGTCCGTTCCCTTAAAACTACCGAAGGTGAAGAGAAGCTCATGGAGCTTTCTGAAGACCTAGTAAGTCTACCATATCTTGGACAGTACGCGATCTTTTGCTTACTAACATGGCTCAGCTTGCCTTGCTCTGGGAGAGCAGCGAAGTCAAGGATCTCATCATCAGCGCACACGGGTTACTCCCTATCCTTGAAATACTGGAGCCGTGTACCGTAAAGAGCAGGCAGCACATGATACTGCAGTTTCTCAAGGTCGTCAATACGGTTTGTAATGCAAGATAGCCCTGCGCTGCCAGAGTGCTGACTGGCTTTAGATCATCTTGGACGATGTGGAGCTCCAAGAGAACCTGTGCTTCGTGGGTGGTATTCCGATCATCACCAAGTTCGCAGCACGCCAGTACTCGAACGAGATCCGACTAGAAGCGGCTGCTTTTGTGAGACAGATGTACCAGACATCCACTCTGACTCTCCAGATGTTTGTCAGTGCCGGTGGTCTAAACGTGCTTGTCGAGTTCTTGGATGAGGACTACGACAGCGCGAGAGATCTAGTGCTCATTGGCGTCAACGGCATCTGGAATGTCTTTGAGCTCCAGGTTCGTCGCCCAGATGAATCTTGCTTCCAGGTACTGCAACTAATCTGCTCTTTAGGGCCCTACTCCCAAGAACGACTTCTGCCGAATATTCTCGAGAAGCAAGATTCTTGACCCACTTGCTCTAGTGCTACATCGAGTACTGGACGAAGATGTTGAGACCGAGCTGGCAGAGTTGATCGAGGGTCGCATTGTCAACATATTCTACCTCTTTTCGCAGGCTGAAAACTACGTCAAGGAGATGGTGGCGGATCGGCAAGTGTTGAAGAGTAAGGCTCGCCCCCACTACGGGGAAAACCAGGCTGACATGTTCGCTAGGCGTTCTGAAGGACCTTCGGCGCATGACACCCGCACATCAGATCACGATGCTCAAATTCATCAAGAACCTATCAATGCTGACAACGACACTCGACGTGCTTCATTCTGCCGATGCGATTGACCTACTGATCGATCTGCTTGGCAGTAGCATGAAGAGAGGACATCCCCACTTCCGCGAGATCTGCAATCAAGTGCTCAACACAATGTTCAACTTATGTCGACTCAGCAAGGATCGCCAGGAGTACGCTGCTGTCAATGGAATCATTCCTCTTCTTCTCAAGATCATGAAGACCGATCGTCCACCGAAGGAGTTTGCACTTCCCATTCTTTGCGACATGGCCCACTCGGGAAGCAAAGGGCGCAGGTTCTTGTGGCAGAATAAGGGCTTGGACTTTTACGTCTCCCTTCTTGCGGATCAGTATTGGCAGGTCACCGCACTTGATGCTATCTTTGTTTGGTAAGAGCTTGAGCCCAAGGACGTGTTGCAGGAAGCCAGCTAACATCTCTCAAGGTTGCAGGAAGAGACCGCCAAGGTAGAGGGCCACCTGTTGAATGGCAAATTCACGGAAGCAATCAGGTCGTGCTTCAATAACCAAAAGATCAATGCTTTCGACCCCAATCTACTCGAGCCCCTGCTCAAACTCCTGCGTCTCTCGCCATCTCTGGCAGCGTCTTTGGCCAAGTCAGACATGTATGGTGGTGTGGCTCAAAAGCTGACACATAAGAAAGCTGTCGTGCGGCTCAACCTCCTCCGTCTTGTGCGAATCATACTTGAATCGCGGGAGAACGACTACTTTAGTAGCCCTATGAATCGGCAGCTTCGGCAGCTACAGGACTCTATTCGAACCCTTGCAGAGAAGGATACCGCAGTGCTTGTACGGAATCTAGCGTCCGACCTTGTCGTCTCGCATATCGACGGCAACACGGACCAGCTTGGACCGCCCATGCCCCTTCAATCTGGGTCGACAGCGGGCACCGGTCGTAGCCGGTCCAATCCGAGACAGATATACACCCCGCCTTCACATCAGTCTACACCCTCTATGCCTCAGACACCAACGCATGCTTCGCGTCCATTTCAGTCGGCCGCATACATGGAGATTGCTTCCAGCCCGAAGCGCTCGGCCATATCGCTGGCGCACGAGCGTGATGCTGCTATCAATCGTCCCAGAAGCCGAGACGGGTCTTCGGGAGTTCCCTACAGCTCGATTCCACGTCGAGTGAGTGGTGATGCTGCTAGCAGCTCTGGTGGAGGCAAGCACCGCTTGTCAAGAAACTCGCCCTTGTATTCACGCCCGAGCCTAAGTGGGTTGGCGGCTTCGCGCAGCGAGAGCGTATCTTCGAATAAGGAGAATCTCACGAATACTACGGCTGATTCTCCACGATACCCGACGAGACAACCACCGCCTGGTTTTAGTAGTAGTTCGGGGCCAAGCTCGTCGTCTTATCCGGCGAAGCAGAGACGAAGCAGAGCACCCAGTGACGGGAAGAATAAATGGAGCGCGTAGTGGCGCTTCGTGCTATGATGTAACGAGTGTCATGCATCTGAAAAGACCCTCTTCCTATACGTAGGGGGTCTCTTCAACTTTTCATACAAGCATACTGCATGGCAAAGGAGCATCGGCGTCTTGTTTTCATTGGAGGATGTTTGCAAGCTTCTGTTTCGTCTGCATAGAGGCATTTACACGGGTTGGCATTGGTCGATTGTGAGACGGGAAAACACAGGGCATGATGGGATGGACTCATTCGAAAACTCCGATGCACGTTTCGTTGACCAACGTGTCTTGGATGAGAGATGAGTGATGGCTGTCAGTTAGTATATGCGTCTGCTATATTCGTGTGGGAGTAGGTCAGACCGACCGACACGGGGGGCTGCGGTGTTGTAGTGTGTGGTATATAATAGAACAATATTGTTGTTCAGCTGCGATCTCCTTTGAAGGTTTGGATGTTGGACTTCGTTTGACCTTGGTGATTAGTCGGGTGATTAGTCGGAACGTCGTGGCCATCAAGGTGTCTGATTTTGACATTTTGATGAAGACTCGGCTCAGGACTACTTGTACTGCGATGAATTCGTATCAGTCAAGGACTTCGAAAATCGGTCAAGTGGCCTTTAGCTATGCTCGTTTATACCATGAGCGAAGCGCTCGTGCTGAATACTTCGTCGATCATCTTCGCTGCATACAACATGTCCTGAAGCTGGAGCGCATGTTATTGCAGCATTGCCGACACTTCTTGATGCGACAGCATAGCGTGCCCTGAACTATTGATGTTAGATGGGAAGGTCCGCGACAAGTCCTGGTAAGTTATCTAATCGATGATTAACTATCAAGGATTGCTAAGCGTAACAGAGGTTTGTGCGAGACATGACTCTCTCGTCACATAGCAGTCTTGACCTTGCTACTTCCGACTCGAGATATTAGACCTTCGCAACAAAACCGCAGCGACGAACTCCATGACCGCAGACCGGCGGCGATATCCAAATTCAACAGGGGGTCGGTCGACCCTTAAATCAGAATCAGAATCAGAATCAGTGATTATAAGCAATCTTCGCCTTCTTGGCCTTCCTCTCGCACTCCTTCACGACATCGACCAGGATCCGGACGGTGCAGTCTCTGAAGACGCACTCGCGACAGTAGTGGTCCTTCTTGTCCTTGTCCTCCGGGTGGGCGTTGCCGCCCAGCGGAATCATCATCATGTAGGAACTCGCATCGGCGGTGGCATTCGCTGTTCCGTTGATGTTGGTGCTGGCGCTGGCGCTGGCGTTGGCACTCCCATTCCCATTAATTTTCGCGCTGGCTTTGGCTCTCGGTTTCGCACTCTTCTTCTTCGCCCTCCTGGTCTTCCTCCGCAGGCAATCCCAGAAGAAACCCGACGGCTGTAACGCCGCCCGCCTCCTCGCGATATCTCCTTGGCCACCCAAGCCCGATAGCCCCAAAGCGCGTCCTCGAGGACCAAGCAGTCCGCCAAGCGAATGCAGAAGTCTTCTACGGAACCTGAGTTCCAGGGCCGGAAGCGGTTGTGGCCCCAGCCGCAGTCGGCGTAGACGGCGCTGTCGTGCGCGCGGTCCCGCGAGCCGGGCAGGTGGATGGCCTCGATGCGGGAGGTCGTTTTGTAGGTCTTCGTGTCGCGCTTGCGCCATGCGTTAGCGGGGGATAGCGCGGCGTTGAGGGTGTGGATTTTTTGTTGGATTATGGGATGGACCGACGATGTTAGGATGAAGGGGGCGCGGACGCAGAGGGGGGGTTGGGTGGGTTTGTTCTGGTGTTGGTGGTGGTGAAGAGCCACCCACATCTTTGCGGTTTGGGTTGTGGGCTTTGGTTGATTTGGTGGTTGAGGGGTGTAGTCGCGAGGAGCTGGTGGTATTTTGGCTATACGTGCTTTGAGCGTGTATGTGTTTCTGGACTTCGTGGGTCGCGAGGTTGGGTTGGACAGGTGCAGGTTGTTGGGTTAGTTATTGAGGACTACGAGCAACTAGAGAAGGTCTTTTATCTTTTGTTCTCTCCGGCGTCCATGTCTGGTAGTTTGACATGATTGGTTACTCAAACGAGAGTTTCGAAGACTGATAAGCTTTATGGTGTATTGAGTTTTTGTTAGAATACGTGCTCAGTGGCGTATTTAGCCTTGTTATAAGCAGTATATATGTCACCCTATGGGATCACCTGGTAGCTGTCAGAGGTCTCTTTCCCACCTGTTTGAGTGGGATGGTACCCTCATTGCTATCCTTCTTCCCTTCCAATATAGACCATGTCTAAATCTCACAGTTTACCCCAGCTAAGAATTTCACATGTCGACGCTCTCCACGATGCCAACTTGGTACCATGTCTTGTACTAACCTTCGATTTGTCTAATATCTAAAGCTTTCGAGGTGCGCGCATTCAATCGCAGATGGGACATTCAGCTATATTCAATATTGAAGATACATACATGACGAGCGACCTGTTGCGCCTGTCGTCCCCATCAGTCGGTGGTTACCGTGAACAAATCGCAAAACGTTGTTCTTTTAGCCATTGGCCCGTATATTGGTTTGAGCTCATGATAACTCACCCTCCGTCTTTGTAGTCTCGCCAAACGCAGGGAAAGAGAAGAATAGTGGGCGTATCCGGAGTCTCACTTCGACGAGCGTCAAGACGCGATTCTAACTGGGCCATGTACTCTGGACAGTCTAGTCAAAACATTGGTACAACATACCCAGGAGCCGAACTTCCTGAGTGTCCAGTCTTTGTTATCTGATGAACAGCCTCGCTGGCACTTGCGAGTCCCGGTCGGCTTATCCATCGCCAACCATGGTTTCTCGTAATGCGATCAGTGGAAGAGAGTTCAGTCTGATCTTGGAATTTTCTGGCATCTGCTTCTCGCCAGCAATGATTGGGTGACATCCAAGAGCTGTTCTTCACCTCAAGGAAAGGTTCGCCAATGCAGTGTCAGAACTGAACCTAGGATTGTTCCGAGGCACTACATAGGATCGTGGTGACCTTGACGTGTATTACTTGCCTCCAGCTGATGTCGCTTCGTTGTAACATGAACATGTACCCAGAGCTAAGGAGCGGCTGCCACATTAATGTTGTCTGTGCAAGAAGGCGACTTCCAATCACAGCTTTTTTGGAAGTTCCTTCCTCAACACAGCAGTCACGGTGGCGGGCCTGCACTTACACTTCCCCCTCTTCCAGACTGCCCGGGCGCACAACTCTCAACCTACCTGTAACATCAACAAACTGCTCTGTCGCTCCAGCAGCACCATGATTCCATCTCGTCCAACTCGAAACTCAAGTCATCAAGTGCTTTATTTGTCTCGCTGAGCTCCGGAGAGGCCGACTTCGACTTCACACCCAACAAGAACGCCCTGCGCAGCCTACACCATGGACAGCCACAAGGATGAGACCCCCAGCCGCACGCAAACTACAATCGAAGAGGACCCCGCGAGTCAGAGCTACACAGGAAACGACCTGGATTCTTCTTTGGACTCGGCAAAGGATGAGCCGTGTGAATTAGCCCTCACACCCGAAGACTCGACGCAGGCGCCACCTTCAACCTCAGGGACCAGTGGTGGTGCGCCCATCGTCAAGCCAAAGACCCAAGTCAAAGAGGAACCGGCGGTCACTCTCAATGTTCCAGTCAAGCACAGGCTCGAAGATGACGATGAGCCTGTCCGGCTCAGCGACATCCCCCCCTTCAAAGCCGAAACGAAACAGGAGGACGAGCCTGACTTCGGGCTTAGTGACATTCCCCCTTTCAAACCTTACCTTCGGTTCAGTGATAGATCTTCTCGAGACCACGACGAGGTCGACACGAAGTCTACCACGTACAGCACTTTTCGACAGCGGGTTAACAATGGCGCTCAGGCAAAGATGTTGGAGATCATCCAGGATATGAAGCTGAAGGCTAACGCTCTCGAGGGGTGGATGAGGTTGGTGCTTAAGATGCATTTGCCCCATTCCCTACGCGGTTCCGGTATGTTTTCCGAGCAAAGCGAAGCCAATAGCGAAGAGAACGACGAAGAAGAGGACAACGAAGAAGAGCACGACGAAGAGGCTCAGGGAATACCTCGACCGTTGGAGGAACATGGAGAATCTCCGGGCGCCAGTCACCAAAAACCGAAGGATCCGCAGCAATTACATGTAGTGCAACTTGTGGTTGGATTAAAGGATGCCGCAGAAACCATTCTGGAAGGCTCCGGCTTATATGATTGGGTAGCGCTTGCTGCCCAGGGAGTTACGAACATCCAGCGTTAGGCTACTTGTACAGTGTCATTTCTTCCAACAGGATTGCCGGGATGGGGCAGATGGGTGGTTCCAAGTGTCAGCAGTATCGAGAATCCTGGCCTCTCCATTGTCATACTCCAATACAGACACTCATCACTAAATGCTCATAGTACATGATCAATTCGTGACGGCACCCTGGCTTGTGTGAGTCTTACTAGGCTTCCACGCTGAACCTCTGAAAGTCTTTGTACATCCCTCGTCCAGCCAGTGAAAAGTGCATTGATCATCAATGGGTTGAGCACCCTGGAACAAGCATCGAATTTGGCTTCTTGGTTCAAATCTGCTTATTCCAATGATAGCATCAATGTCCCAAGGTGAACAGAGGCGTCTCGAACGGAGACATATGGGGGGTGACTGTACCTAAGTACACGCACGCCGGTGAGCGTGAGGTCGGAGGGAATGCCGGCCTCTGTGTCTTGCCTGAAGATGTCCACTTTCCTTGACCCAGGCTACAAAGTAACATCTCACCCCCCCCTGCGGACCACCCCCCCACGGACCACTCCACACCACACCACTCTCATTCAGATGAAGCCATCTACAACCACCACAGTTGCTAAATACACTAAGGTCGTGGTGTTCTAACCATAATACAGCTCCCAGAATCCGATTCCGACCCTAAATCTTCACCAGGGACCTCTTATGGGACCTCTTCGCCTGCAGCGGAGTCCTTATAGACCCTCCTGTTCCTCAGCTTCATTTTGGCCTCCCTTATGTTAGCCATTGTGACGAATCGTTCCCCTGGTGTTAGTTTGACTGCTTTTCGAGTGGTATTAGCCTTTTTAGCCACTTGAGCCTCAAGCAGCTCATATTTGGCCCGTAGATTTTTAATGGTAGCAGCCTAAATATCCATGGCCTTGCCAGCCTTCCGCACCAACAAGCGCTCAGAGGGCCCCCCAAAGGAAGGGTCCTTTTTTTCGAGCTTTTGAGCACTCTCCCGCAAAGCCCGGCTTCCAGAGGGTGTTGTAACAATGGTTTTAGCTACCATCTCGAGAAAATCTGGTGTTGTGGCTCGCTCGGAAGCCTTAGGGTCCCTTTGGCGTGCCCTGGCCACCCCCTTGTCCTCCAGAATCACATATTTTGACTTCAATGCCTCCGCTTTATTGCAAGGAACAATCCCAGTCTTTTTCCAGGCAATTCTGATGTTAAGGAGCGTCATTGTGTCCTTCCGGGCCTGTTCGTAGCACTCCAAAACCTCCTCCTTAGATGGCCTGAGTCCCAGACGGCCGCTGGGCGTCTCCTGGAGTAAGGTCTTTAACCTCTTCTTCACCAAATTAAAGACTCCCACATCTAACACCTGGACTACATGGGAGCAGTGAGGTTCATAAAAGATCAACCATACTTTGTTTCTCAAGCAGGTGGCTAGGAACTCGTTATTCGTGTGGGAGTCGTGGCCATCACACACCAAAACCACCCATATGTTGCCGTGAACCTCCCGAATGTAAGGAATAAAGATACGTTGAAGCCATTCTAACGCAATGGGATTCGAGGTCTATTCATTGGGCGACGTAATAAACCTCCAGTCAGTGAATTTGCCCTCGTTTTGGTTGCTAAACCACTGGGTTTGTATGTTAACCCCCTTGAGAATCACCAGCGGCGGCAAGGTCTCACCAGATCCGCTCACACACTCTAGGGCAGTTATCTATTCACCCTTCTCGACCCCTTTCTTCATAGCCACGTTGCCGGAGGCCTCGGAGACCACCCAATGGGAGTCCCCAACCCCCTGGGCGATTCCCATTTCGTCGACGTTGTACCAGCGTGCTGGCATGAGGTTAACCACGTCAGGGGCGTCACACCGATCGAAAAAAATGTTGATATTTGCCGCTATAGCACCATTCACTCAGTTGTAGTCGATAATACGAGACTTTATTATCTTGACTTCCGGGTTTCGAGACAGGAACTTGGATGCCCAATTTTTCCCTAATTCTCGAGCATCCCCGGTGGAATGGAGCATCCGCTGGGCCATGAGACGGAACTTAGAGACCGCCGGAGAATACCCTAGCCGTGCTTGCCCCAGGGCCCAGCTTGCCAGCTTATGTTTGAGATATGGTGAGAGAGCCTGTTGGAGAGCGCTGGTCTCATTCCGCGTTGGGGTGCCAGAGATTCGTCGGTTGACGTACAAGCGACTGATTTGCCATTCGAGGGCTGACGAACGGACTGGAGCTCCGCGTTGGATGGCCAAAGTGGCGGCTTCAGCTTTTATTTGACGGCCGTAAAATGACATCATGAGATTCAGCAGTGGATAAGGATTCAAATAGTGTGCTTTGTGAAAAAAAAGATGCAAAAGTGATGGTGTAGATGGTGGATCACCATAATCCTGGTAGTTGGTGAATTATGCGTTTGTGGGTCAGAATGCGCTGGTCCGCGGGGGGGTGGTCCGCAGGGGGGTGGGAGATGTTATCACGTAGAAGGGTCTACCACTCAACCCTGTTACCTTTCATAAGAGCATTGGTAACCCGTGTGTTACCCATGCTGGCATTGGCTAAACGATACTTAACGACGATGCGGGGTTCTCCTCCGGGATGTGAAATCTCACATGCATGGCTCGCGTAGCACAGCTCTGCATAATTATCTCAACCATCCATTAGTCAAAATATTCGTACTCTTCACACCTCAAGATTTAATACCTGCGACAACATCACGCGCCATGAACATGCTCTCTCAAATGGCTCTCTGCGCGCTAGCAGTCATCCCCTTTGCTATTGCTTCCCCAGGCCGTGTACCGGATGCGGTGGACTACATTGCCATACAGCACGAGCCTCACAAAAACAACTATTTTTCTTGGCGCCCCGCTATTAGGGCGCAACCTTGATATTTGTATTAAAGCAGGCACTTCTCTCAGTAACTGACTATCTCTGCCAAGGCACAAGAGAGTTTTTCTTATAAGCTGGATGGCACCCTTCCACGACGGGCCCCCAAACACGCCCATGGCCGTCCCAAAGACGACTACCGGCGGCATGCTCAAATCCCCGGCCCTTAGAAAGACATACAGCCCGGCAACTCCGAGCAGGCTCCGCCAGGCGCTGCTTGACGACATCAGCAGCAGCCCGTCACAGGTCTCTGAGGCTGACTTCACCATTATTTCCCCTCTGAAAGGAAAATCCCGAAATATTAATGACAACAGCACCACTGGAATGAAACGACCTTAATTAAACAAAATCTCGACAGACCAAGCCATTATACGCGATATAAGGAATAAAACCTCTTCCTCAGAATGTCAGGACCAAGTTGCCAGAATACTGGCTAAAGACAAGCACCTTTATGAAGCCAGGATGACAATATTTCAAGAGTGTGCTGCAGCGGTTGATAAGACACTTGAGAAAGCTGGAACCGAACTATACTCTCATGCCAAGGAGTTCAGCGCTTTCTTCTCTAAATGTCTGAGCGAGTGGCTGGAAACCCAAGATCCGCCCAAAAGGAAGACCATCCCTGGGGGGATAGGGATGGTAAAGCCCACCATGACCTTTGCCCAAGCTGTCTCTTCTAGCCAACGACAGCATCCACGAACAGTCAACATTACCATAAAGAAAACACAGCCTGGCGCCCGCATCACTACCAACCAACTGAAAAAGAAACAGGATAATCTCTGGGTTTTTGTCTGCATGGATAATAGCCACCTAGAGCCTTACGGAATAAAGTCTACACTGAACAGAAGACTTAAGCTCCACCCTTAAGAGCTTAGAGAAGTGACCCGGTGCCCCTCCGGATTTACCTTACACCCAAGGGACAAGCTAACTCAGGCTAAGCTCCTGGCCTTCTAAGAAGAAATCACCGATATTCTCAAGGCAGAAAAGATCGAGATCCACACGGTCTGGCATCACTATAAGGTCAATGGATGCCCAAGAAAGGTCATCAGTACAGAAGGATTAACAATCGACATTACTGACATTGCTGTTACTGATAAAGTTGAAGCCCAAACAGGTGACAGACCTTTAAGGTACATACTCTCAAGGAACACAGTTGATTCTGATCCGGAGACTATATAGGTGATCTCTCTGCCCCGTACAGCAAAGAAACCATTCACGCTTTTTGCTCACTCAATGACCTCAAGGCACATTCAATACTCCCCCAAGGTTCACCAATGTGCGAGCTGCTTCAGATACCATGGTAGGAACTACCGATGTGAAAAGCAAGTATGTGCACGTTGTGCCAGTACAGTACACCAGGGGGAGTGCGAAAAACCAATCCTAAAGTGTGTCAACTGCAAAAAACCTCATGCTGCCAATTTGACAAATGCCCTGCACGCCCCAAGGTTGTGAAAGGCATCATCCATAAGCACACATAGGAGCAAATCCAGGAAATAAGGCTGGCTAGAGAAAGAGCCAGATCCAAGGCCTTCAATGAAACAGGCAGAAACCAAGCTGGGTCAACACCCAGCAACAATAACAAAGACATCACAATGCAAATCGACACAACAGATACAACTCATCCCAGAGATGCCGATACCATTGTTGTCAGTCAATGTTAGGTACATCAAACAAAACATATTGACACGGGCATCTAGTCATCCATTCTGTGAATACAGCAGGAGGACAAAAGAGTGCAGGCCCTACAGAATTAGTTATTAACCTGGCTGACTACAAAGGAGAACAAGCAGACATCATTCTGATACAAGAGCCCTGGGTTGGCATACCACCAGGCAAAAGAATGGGAGTAAAGACACACCCTACTTACGATATATACTCCCCAGTGGATTCCTGGGACAGCGACAGTACACGGCCCAGATCTCTCATCTATATAAGAAAATACCTTTAAGCGGATCAATTTTGGCCCTATGCTACATAAGACATCACCTGGGTCAAGGTACAAGGCATTACATTTGCCAGTGTCTACCGGCCATGTGACAACCCACAGGGAGTGGATGACATTCTGGAAGTATGGACTCCACCTTTTGGCTGCGTTATAGCTGGAGATTTCAATGCTGGCAACACATCCTGGGACTCGAGCAATCCAGGATATCATGGTGGTGTCAT